CCCCCCCTTATCGACGTCGACGCTTCTGCGGACTCCCGAACTGCCCATTGCCGGCTCGGCACACCTCTCGGGGAGAAAACCTACTTCGTATTGCGGCCCGGCAGGCGACGCGCAAGCGGACAGAACCAGAAACAGAACGGAACAGGCAGCCTGCTCGCCCGCCATGGTCAGCATGGAATGGGACCCCGACTACGTCCCCGGCGTCAAGCTGGGGCTGCATTCCTTCCAAATCATCCTGTCCTTTACGGTGTGGTGTCTCGAAATCGCCACGTTTGTCGCAAAGGACGCCAAGATTGTCGGCAACAATGCCTGGACCTTTTCAGTGGTATGTCTGGACCCTTTCCCCCCATTGTGGACGGCGAGGCCGCGGGAGGTGTGCGTGGTGGGATAGTAATCACCAGACGTCTGACGCAGCTCCAACTCGCAGTGCTTCCTGTCCATTCCCGCATGGATCTACCTGATCATGACGCCGCGCTTCTCCCGCGCCCGCAAGTTCGCCGAGCCGCACGCCATGCTCGTCGTCGACCTGCTCTTCACCATCATATGGCTGTCTGCCTTTGCGACGCAGGCCGCCTACAACACGTCCGGCCTGTGCGGCAAGGGCTGCAGCCTGAGCAAGGCCATTGTCGCCCTGGGCGTCTTCATCACGTATGCTTGCTGCCCGCCCCCGGGCCGAGACCCATTCCAGTCGGAAGCTAACTCTTTGACGATAGCCTCTTCTTCGCTGGCTCGACCGTCGTCAGCGCCTACACCCTCCAATACTACAAGTTCCACGGCACCCTCCCGGGCTACGACACGCGCAAGATCCGCGGCGGCGACAACAACAACATCGACCCAGACAAGGCTGCCTTTTCCATGGCGCCGCACGACGAGGAGGCCTACGAGCGCGTCAACATGGACGACCATGACCACGACCACGACCATGACGACCGGCCGTACGGCCACTCCAACCCCTACAGCGCCACTGCCGACGACGACGACCCCAACCGCTACGGCGCCCTGCCCCCGCGCCAGGACCCCTTCAACGCCGACACGGAGTACAGCTCAGGAGGCGCCGGCGTGCCGCCCCTGTCGATGCCGTACGGCGGGGCGGGCTCGGCCTCGCACGTCTCCTACTCGGACGAGCCGGCCAAGTTCCCCGCCGGCAACTACGACCGCGTGCATCCCTGAGCGGCGGCGGCGGTCCCGTCACGGACATCTGGCATATAGAGCGACGGTGCGATTTGCACAGCTACCTACGCGTGGGAGCATGACAAGGAATTCTGAAACGAACATGACGGAGTGTCTGAAATCATCCACTCGAACCTTTTCGGGACAAGGCTTCATGGAGAGAAAGTGTATTTTCGGGGGGGCTGCTGTTGTAGTCTCGCGGCGTTTGGGTGTTGGATTCCGGACCGTGGCGAGGACGCCCTCGCTGCAGGGAGAGAGAGATACCAATAAAGCTTGGTTTGTATATAGACGGGTTTAGCACTGGGCAGTTCTGCCTGGGTGGAATTTGAACGGTTTGCATATTCATCTAGATGAGCTGGACTCGTATCATGGAGCCCTAAATGCGTGAAATGTAGACTGAAAACTCCTCCAACGCCGTTTTCCATGGAATGCCATTTTTGCGTGTCGTGCACCACCCTCCGCTCTACCACTGTCCCTTGCCGGTGCCACGTTTTCATCACGCCTCGCGCTGCATCTTCTTGATGCGCTTGGCAATGTCCGCCGCCGTCTGCTGCATGGGGTTGAGCTTGGCGTCGCGGGCCATGGCGCGCGTGTCGTCGCCGTGCCTGGCCACCAGCCTCTCGAGCCACTCCCTCTCGCGCTCGCTCGTGTGCCTTGCCTTCTTGGGCGCCGCGTTGTGCGACTCGGCGATGAGCGAGCGCACCACGTCCGTGGCCTGGCCCTCCTGCGCCTCCTGCTCGGCGATGCCGCCCCACTCCTCCTCGTCGCCGCCGTGCTGGTTCACCGCCGCCGCCGCCGCCGGCACGCCGTCACCAACGTCTTCCAGCTCCTCGTCCTCGTTGTCGGAGTCGAGCAGTGCGAGGGGGTCGTTGAGCGGGTTGTCGCCGGGGCGGCCCAGCACGCGCACAATCTTGCCGTCCGCGTCGCGCTCGACCCTGGCCTCGGAGACGACGGCCTTGTCGATGGTGGTGATGGCGAAGGGGTCGTTGGGCGTCGCGCGCGTCGTCGTGGCCGTGGCCGTGCCGCTGAGCAGCTTCTTCTCCACGCCGCCGGTCGGGGCCTTGAGCCGCGCGACGAGGCCCAGGCGGCGGTAGTTTTGCGCGAGCGTCTCCTTCTTGTCCCTGCGAGTCGAAGCGCGACATAAATTAGCCAGGCGAATTCTCATCCCATCCTCGATTGTAACCATGGTCATGGGCCTTGAGGAAGAGGAGGAGGGTGCAGGATGGGTTCGTAGCATACCAGTTCTGCGCAATCACGTTGTTGCCCCGCGGGTTGAGGACCTTCTTGGAGGGCTTCTTGGGCCGGGCGGGCTGGCGCATGGCCCGCCGCTTCTTCTTTTGCAATTCGCGACCCATTATGTGCGTTCGGATGGCAGGCTGGCGGGAGGTGGTTTGCGGGACGGGAGAGAGGCAGCGCGGGCTCTGGGAGTCTTGATGCCGTCCGCCGAAAGGCTGCAAGACGGAACGGGGTCCACCCCAAATTTTCTTGTCGGCCGCCTTATCGATAAGGAGCGAGCCACCCCAGCCAGGCCAGGGACGTCGGAGCGACTTGGAGGGGCGGGCAATTTTGACGACGCCATGCCCGATCAAGCACCAGGCGCAATTCTCCATGTTAGTCCAGCCAAGTCAATTCAGACATGCATCCTGAACTCTCGGTCGTTGGCATACATCACGAGCGTCAATACCCAAGGCCCAGGCAGCGACTGTGCATTGCTGATGGCTACCCAATGCGGTATGCTCATGCCGATACATTTCCACGTCGATGGCCCATGACCCCCGACTTAATTCAACAACGAAACAGTTTACGAGGCCCCCATTGAGGTCTCGGTCCACCGACAGGAAGCTTTCTCGATCAGGAGAGCTGTGCATTTTCGCATAAAAACTCACGCGGGATAGGGAAGAAGCCCCACAAGGATGGCCATGGCCCATGGGATTCCATGACATGCTCAGCTTGGCGTTCGCACTGACTTGTCCAAGAGAATCCGAGTCCCCGGGCGATGCCGACCGACCAACAGAGTCGACAACTTGCTACACAAGCAGTGTCGGCCCGCCGCCTCAAGTCTCGACCCAGTGAACACACATGAAACGCTTGCAATTGACAGCTAGTTCTTGTCTGGCAGTTCAATTGCCCTTCATTAACCCGGCACGTTCTGCTTAACAAGTGAGGAGTTTGTTTCCGCTCGGGGGCCAAGTATAGGTGGCGTCTGAGGTATAGCTATAGCTAAGGGAACGTACTTTGACCATCCTTTACCTGTATGGTTATACCTGCCGCGACGTCGAGCTCTTCGCCGTCGAAACCGAGGCCCCATCGCCCCGTGTTCCGCTTTGACCTTTGTCCAGGATGGGCTTCAGTGTGATTTTGATTCGCCCCCTCTGTAATATCTCGACTCATATTGAGTACTGGCTGGCGATTTCACGAGGGCCTCATTCCTCTGTCATGGCAGCTTAAACCGTATCAGCACCTTTATAATAGTAGCAGTCATATCTTCACATCTTGGGAGGTTGCGTTTAAGGTTGATGGAGTCAACAGCCCCACTGAGTTACTGACAGCTCAGTATGATGAAGTTGGCGGTCGTGGCCCATTGCTACCTATAAGACCATGCCGGCGTTTCATTATTCCCTCCATTCATGGTGTCACTCTGCCTCTATTCGCATACCTCTACTGTCTTGGGCCAAGTAAGACCTCGCAGACTGCACACACGACGGCTCGCTACGATGCGTCTCGCCGGCCTCATCCTGTCGGGCATGTGCCTATCCCCGCTGAGCAACATCCGTGCCATCGCCACGCCACCACGGCCATCTGCCCCTCCGCCGGGTAACAACATCTCCGCGTATCAAATCGTCTATCGCGGAGACTACAGGGACCCCTCCCGAGTCAGAGACGCCGGCGGGTTTCGACCCAACGCCCTAGGCTGGCAGAGCGTAGACCGCGTGTATACCATGGACCACCACTACCAGGGCGGCCCGCGGGGCTGCAACGCCACCGGGCAGCGGCACGTCACGGCGTACGTGTCCGTCGTCGTCAACCCGTGGATGGCGGCGAGCTACGGGCGATGGATCTACGAGATCCGCGCGACGCCAAACTTCTTCCTCAGCGGCAGCTCCACCGACTATAACATCTACGCGCTCGGCGGCGTGCAGTGGAGGCAGATACGCAGATATGGGTTGACTAACCAGGAGAGTTTCGTTGAGGAGATGCTGCAGGGCAATCCGGAGTACGAGGAGAACTTGTATGACTTTTCTCATCTCGCGCCCCTGTGCCACGTCCGGTCGGATTTCCCGTATCAGTTGCAGAGTGGCGAGCCAGACACCAGCATCAGCAGCAGCAGTGACAACAAAAGAAAAAGCCAGCGTGAGCGGTATCCCGCTAGATGTGCCGCCAATGAGACCATGAGAAGTACCGAGATGTTGGCTCTCGTCGGGCCGTTTCCACACACGCGGAGACAATGGCGCTTCAACATGCATCGTCCTCATTCCAGCGCCCCGGCCGAGCCCGAGATCAGCTCGGGAGAGCAGATTGGTATTCTCCTGGCTTCTCAAGTTGCATACCTCTGTGGTCTTCACACTGACCGAGCAATCTCACGAGTACAGCGGCTCGGGAACTGCAATCCTTCATAGACATGGGCCCTGAGCGTCTGAACGAGATGTACCCCTACGGCGGCACGGTCGTCGAGGAGCTCCTTCGATCAGTCCCCTGGAGCGCCTGCGCGTCGGTGGCTCTGTCCTATAAATGGCACGGCCCGCGCCAGGTCGAGCCACCACCCAGCAACGCAAGCGGTATGAACTTTGCGCCGACCCAATCGTGATTTTGTGCCAAAAACACCGGCTATCTTCAGTACAGCTACTAAACCTCTGGACGTAGGGCAGCACGAAAGCGACGGGTGCTGCAGGGCGGCCACCGTGCTGCGGAACAAGATCGCGGACTTGCCCGGCGCCGTGCTGAGGACTTGCACGCGTCTCTCTGCGCTCAAGTTTGGGATCCAGCTGAGCGACTCATGGCTCTCAGGCACGTGGGACACGCTCATCCTCGCTTTTGGCGACGGCGAGGCGCACAAAATCGCTTCCAGCCCAGGCCGCGGGTTCCACGAGTGGCAAAACATTAGCATGCAGCGCACCTTCAAGTCCGACGTGGTGGCGCTCGACCACCTCACTCGGATCCGCATCTTTCAGGAGCCTACAAGCGTGCTCGTCCATGACAAGTGGGACCTTGTAGGGGTCAAGTTGAAGGCACGGTGCGCAGACTCCCTCACGGAGCTGCACCTCGACAAGTTGCAGTCGGAGAACATCGAGTCTTTCCGGCCGGTCGTGCGGCACGGGGTTGCCTGGCTGGCGTGGTCCAACAAGATTGACCCGAAGAAGGACTGGGTCACGTACATCGACTGCAGCCACTTCAAGGCCATCGAGATTGAGCTGCGGCTCGCCAAGTCTTCGAAGGAGTTGAAGCTCGAGGATCTCTTTCTGAGTTTCGTCAACGAGGGCATCGGTCGCAACACCGTCACGGCGAGGACCAAGTCTTTTGAGATGGACAATCTTTTGGTCACTCAACTGAGGAGAACGTTTAGTAAAAGCCCCGTCCCGGTTCGGGACATCAAGTACTTTGGCGTCTACTCGCATGCCCAGCAGGCGCCGATACCGTTCTGGTGGAAGTCGATAGGTATGTCTCGCCCCCGCGCTTCGCGAGCAACGCAGCGGCACACTAAGCAACTCCGATTGGGCCTTACAGGGCTCACCGTCAAGGGACACTGTGCTGGCTCGAATAATGTGGCCCTGTTCGACAAGTATGCCAAGGCCAGCGAGAAACTTGAGCGCAAAGACTCGTCCTCCGATGACAGGCACGAAATACCCATGGAAGACTGGCGTTGGGCGACTGCCGAGACAGAGGCAAAGGCCAAAACACACGGATCGAGCGATACCTGGTTGTTTGGTGGAACACATGGAGCTTGATTTGTGCATCGAGTCAAGCTCCAGTAACTGGGGCCGACGACACAGAATCCAATCCTTCTATTTGTTTGCCTCTGTCGTGATACTATACCATAACTATAAGTTTTTTTCAAGAGTGCGAATTCCTGCTTGTACTTTATACCTTGAACTTCCGCGGGTCAAGCTTTTCGACATTGGCGCTGGTTGCCTCGCCGTCAAAGATGTACTCAGACATGAGCTTGCCCGTCGCAGGGCCATTCTGGATACCCCAGCACGTATGCCCTGCCGCCACCCACAGCCCCGGGACGGTCGTCCTGCCCAGCAGCGGTCCGCTTTCTTGCCCGAACCGCATGTGCCGCGGCAGGTAGCAGGCTTGCTTTGCCTTGACAGGTGCGGTGGCGAGCACGGGACTAATGGTGGCAATGTAGGAGATGATGTCGTCGCACTGCGCCTCATCGAACTGAACCTGGTCTGCTGTTTCTGGTAGGGGGATGAGCGTGTCGGGTTCGCCTGGGAGAGGTTTAGTTGTAGGAGCCCTGGCTTGGAGATGGGTGCTACTCACCGCATGCGTATACTTCGCCGAACGGGCGGGCGTAAATCTCTGGATCAACGGAGCCCTTATGCATTTTACGTTGACCCATCTTTGCGCGATGATCAGGGACAAAGTTTGAGGGGAGTTGTATGTCGGTGAAGACGGCGTACGGGGTGACTTCCGCCTCGTACACGACGCTGTGAGCTCGAAGACCCTCGACCTTGGCTCGCGGCAGCAATCGGCCTGTCCACGGGCCCGCAGTGACAATAACATCCGTTACATCGCGTACTTCCCTGGTCTCGTTGGTGGTTCTGTCCTGATATTCCACCTTCTCGACCGCAGTTTTCGAGGTGACCAGCTTGGTGACCTTGGCATGCGTCCGCAGCTCGACGCCCGCCTTTTGCGCGAGCTCGGCAATGGCCCTGGTGAAGTGTAGGGGGTGAACTTGAGAGGTTGCTGTCGTGCCCGGGCGGCCCATCTCTGCCCACCCTGAGATGGAGTCACGGTCAACCCAGTCGAGGTGTTGCGGCAAGGCCCCAGGTTCCAATAGTTCCTTGGCGGCGTCGTCCTGTTTCGGGAGCTTCTCCCAGGCCTTGCCCTCATCCTTGGCCTTTTTCATCTCATCGAGCCTGCTCTTGGAGACGGTAGCCTCAAAGCTGCCGCAGGTGAGCTGCCGGTAGCCCCATTTCTGCGCGCCGTCATGCTCGGTCGCCAGCTCGTTGTGCAGCTTGTATGACAGCGGGACGAGGCATGACGGATACGCCCAGAGAGCCAAGAGGCCGCCGGCCTTGCCCGACGCACCTGCGGCAACGGTAGGAGCGGCTTCGAGAAGTGTGATTGTGTGAAGCGCAGGGTTGAACTTGGGGTGGCGGGTCAAATAATAGGCCGTGGTGCACCCAATGATGCCGCCACCTGGGTCGCGGGACTCGCGAGTCAGTCAGTCCCGCCAGGAACGGGAAGCGCCATGAGGACGCGGACGCGGCAAACTCACCGACGATGACAATGTTGCGCTTCCCGTCCATGATGACGATGATGATCTGTGCGCCACAGGGGGTTAATTATTAGTTGGGAGCGGCAAAGTGCAACCGGTGCCAGCAAAAACGTTGGCGTTATCGATGCATCGGACACCGATGACGCAAGCGGGGCAAGGCGAGCAGATCCGATCCGATCAGATGCTGATTACGAGCAGAGCGACAGGAGGACACGGCCGGAGTCGGCGTTGGAATTGCAATGGCCGCTGCTGGCATACGAGACATGCTGTTGTAAGGCGACGGGGCGGCGCCTCCCAGAGTCCCAAGGGGCATCGCATCGCGAGACGATGGTGGTGACACGGAATCCGTCCAATCACCGCGAGAGCGTGCCAATGGTTCGCATTCCCCCGCGCCCCGAAGCTCCCCTCCGCCAGCGCCAGTGAGGTGCCGAGGGTGCCCAGCCCTGCCCTGGAGGTGCCAGGTGGTCGGCGCGGGTCAATCGGACCCTCCACGGCCGGCACGTCGTCGCTGTACTTTGCCCCGCAGTGCCGTGCTCGTGGCGGCTTTACCGGGCACTTGCCACCAGGGCACTGGAAGTCGAGCTGCAGCTCCCAGCTCCAGGCGGGCCGGCAGAAGCTTGACGGTGCTGGCAATGAGGGGTCAGCACTCTCTTTTACCAGGTACTAGGTACGTATACGTCACTGAGAGGCGCCCATGTCTCACGGAGCTCATGCCGAATCTGTCCAGTTGCTCTCGGATGCGCTTGCGGCCGAGGCTCGCACCACTCACTGTCACCTACGAAGTGCCGCCTTTTTTCTCCCCAGATTCGCCTTTGCTTCCGTTGCTAAAGCCTGCTCCTCGCCCATGAACCGCGTCGCCATTTGTCATCACATCGCCCCCCGCCGGCTTTTGCGCGTGATAAGACCCTCCTCGCCGCTTGCTCTCGTCCCATCCTGCAACAGCGCGACAGCTCGACCTCGCGGCATCGCCAAAGCTTCGCCAGTGATAGCACCGCATCTTTTGAACGCCGAACCGTTTCGTCACTCACCCCGCCAATTCGCCACGATGGCCTCCGCGACCGGATTCTACGACTTCAAGCCGCTGGACAGTACGCATGCAATGCCCCGCAAGCCCCGTGCCGTTGACCCGCGGCAACACTAGAGCTACATGGACTAACCGCCGTCATTCGCGTCGCACAGAGCGCGGGCAAGAGGTGGCCCTCGCCGACTACAAGGGCAAGGTGGTGCTCATCGTCAATACGGCGTCCAAGTGCGGCTTCACCCCGCAGTACGCCGGCCTCGAGACGCTCTACAAGTCCATCAAGGACAAGCACCCCGACGACTTCGTGGTGCTCGGCTTCCCCTGCAACCAGTTCGGCTCGCAGGAGCCCGGCACCGACGACGAGATCCAGAACTTCTGCCAGGTCAACTACGGCGTCACCTTCCCCATCATGCACAAGATCGATGTCAACGGCGACAAGGCCGACCCGCTGTACGAGTGGCTCAAGGCCGAGAAGCCCGGCCTCATGGGCCTCAAGCGCATCAAGTGGAACTTTGAGAAGTTTCTCGTCGGCCGCGACGGCCAGGTCAAGGGGCGCTGGGCTAGCACCACCAAGCCCGAGGCCCTCGAGAAGCCCATCCTCGACGAGCTGGACAAGAAGCAGTGAGGCTGCCTGTGAAGTTGTCGAGGTTCGATGACGACATGGGGGTGACTTGACGTGGACGGAGTGGGGAAGTATGTAATGCAGAGATACCTTGCCTTTAATGACACGCAACGCATAATTCTTGCGCACCGGCTGTCCTGGCCACCATCTGGTGAGGACCAAGCATTGTGCCACCTCTTCAACCGCATGCTCGCCTCGCCCGAAGATTCGTGTCGTCCACGCGTGTGCAGCGTGCGGCAAGTCTGCGCCGCGGGGGAGCCCGTCCTGTCGCGCTGCAGCGCATCCCGTCACCCGCATGTGTACCTCGAGTGATGAAGCTCAGCTCGCACAAAGTGTAGCGCGCAATGCGAACCACGAGTCGGTGGTCGAGCCTCGAAGACAGAGTGCCAGAAGCTTGTATCTGTACATTGTTTGGGCCGTGCTGGCTCCCGAGTCCCGACGAATCCCGTCGCTGGATACGCCCGCCGCACGGGATGGTGAGGAAGGAGCGGCGCACCACCAGGATGTGAATGTCAAGGAAAGAGCTCCCCTCGTCCCGCCGCCTCCCAAGATGTCGTCAGCCCAACGATGATAAGCCGGAGATGCCCTTGCTTTGCATCGCCACCATCTATCGTGGCGCGATGAATCCTACCGCGTCGCGCAAACGGCCAAATCCGTCAGTCCCAGACACGACATCAAGTATTGCTTTTGCCTCCTCTGCAATCATGGGCATCTCAGCTGAAGGCACGAAACGTTGACACACCCGTCATTCCGCGACCCTCGGCAGTGCCCTTGATTGCACGTCTGGATGAAGCAGTCCGCACGAAATACAGACTCCCGCGCACACCCGTCTCGTCAGTCCCTTGCTCCCACGGGTCAGCTGATGCGCGTCTCAAGGTCCAGACGAGCCCTCGTGCAGGCAATCTCCGCCGCTGGGGAAGAAAACAGAAAAGCAAGCATCAAGCTTGGCATGGGAGCCAACGAGTCTTCATGGCCCCTCGCTGTCATTTCATGATCTTTTTGTCTCGGCACGGCCCTTGCGTCGCGCCGGGGTAGAGGCTGGCCAGTCATGAATAGGCTTTGTGTCCTCTGGTGTTGGTGCAGGCCAGTGTTGACACGGACGACCCATCCCTGGCTGATTCCCTGACAGAGGTTAATAGATCAAGGTAAATTAAAGTATCGCGCCGAGTACGAGATTCCCCGTATTGCTGACCCGAGCAGGCGTCTTCATCTTGGCCCCTGGCTGCATGTCAAAGATGGTTCGCGGGAATGCTGACTCCGTTTCGACAGCCCAGTGACAAGTCAACTTCCCTGCACGTTTCCGTGGGTAGGATCACCCTCCAGTTTCCAGCGCGCCATCGGCGATAATCTTTGGCTCATGGGCGACTGCGCTCACGGGCAGATTCGTGCATCTCCTCGCGCATCGCCATAGGCTCGACCGCATGGCTTTAACCCGTCTTTTATCTGCGTCGGCGCGGTCGCGGCGAACTTGATGGAAATATTCTGACCATTAAGCTGTCGCCCCCTTTTTATGCCGCGCCTCGTGTCGTTGTATGGACTTGAGCCAACAGCGGTGTCCCAACGAGGCTGACAGGGAGTTGCCGAGACTTTGAGGTCTTGACAACAATGACGGTTCGGAATACTCCGCACACTAGACGGGTTGCTGCCCTCGAAGAGGAAAGCAAACGGTCATTTTCAGCTCCAGCCCGGCAAACACCTGCGGTGCAACCACCTGTCGCTGCAGAGAGTGCACGAGCGCCGTAGGGGCCGTGTGATTGTCTCAGGCAAGGGAGGCGGCAAGATCTGGGAGACCCCGGTCTGGCAAGTTCGCCCAAAGAGTTGGGCTCCAATTTAAAGTTGCCTCCCGAAACACCGATACGGTAGACGACGTCAATGGATGGAGTTTATTCAACGAGTTCATCCCTTCTTACCGCTGGTTCACTGTTGACGATTCTGCGAGGTCCCCTGTCGATCATGATCAAAAAGGTCCAGCTTGTTGTGAGCGGCAGCAGCCAGCCCACATGTTAGTCCGCTCTAGCCCTGTCTTCCACCCGTCTGGACGCCACAGGCCGTGGGATGGTTGGCAGCGGTTGGTCTGCCCCTGCATTAACGTGATCCCACTGGGTCGCGGGCGGTCCACGCCCAGGAGCCACAGCATTCCGTCTTTTCAACCCGCTTTGCACAGGAGATCCGCGGGAATCGCACGCCGCCAAGACGCGCGACGGTGTTTCAGATCTGCACCCGAGAGTCCCGACGACAATTGACGACGTCTGCTGGGCAGCAATCATCGCGCGACGGAAGAGCCAAGCTGTTGTCCTCTTTGACATCAGATGAGGAATGTCCTGGTCATCATGTTTGCTTGGGAACAAGATGGTATGCACCAACGCGCTGCCAAGAACGAAGAAGCAACATGCTGCCTCAGAGCAACTCTGGCCCGCACCCGGTTCCCCCACGACTAGGGGCCACGAACCGTTGACATCCACTGTCTGTGGTTCTTCAGTGGCCCAAGAGGCCTCAAGTGACGCAACTGGCCGGGGGGGAGACATGAAAGGACCGCCAGGGGGCGCCACTTGAACGATGAACGCCGTGGTGGGTCTCGTTCTCATCAACGTCAAAGCCCGCCATGAGCCACAGCGAAGGGATGGTTTACGCTTCTGGACGACGTTCTTTGCCGGAAACGCTTCACAATGCCATAATGGAGGGTAACGCAGCGTCATACCCATTGAAAGCGGTAAAACGGTTATCGACAGCCGCTTGGTGATTGTGTGGCTCAACCTGCCGCTCCTCATTTCCACAAGCAGGCGCAGTTGTCTGCACCCATGCGCATCCTCGAGACGAACGCTAGGACCATGCTCTGAAGGTAAACGGCGTTGTTTAGCTTCTCCATCAAGGCTCCCCCACGCCTCCACCCCGGTGCCGCCGGCTCTCCGCCAGGCTCATTCGCATGGTCTCCCTGCAATCGATGCCTCTGAACGGTGCTGCCGTGTTGAGCCGTGCACGTTCCGTTGGACGCCTTCCAGACTTCTGCTCTGTCCCACTCCCCCCCAGCTGTCGGGAAAGCAGCTGGGGATATATAGATGTAGCCGTGTAAATGGCCCAGCGCAGCTGGAGCCATTTCTCTCTTTCCCCTCCCCCTCCTCCTAGGCTCTGTCACTCTTTTGTCTTTTCGACAAAGTCCTTCTTTTTTTGCTTCAGTTCTTGTTTCTGTTTAGGCTTGAGACTTGGTGCCTGTGTACTACTACTACAACGTTGTCGGTCACTCTTTACGCCGACATCAGGCATTGATTGTCATCATGCTGTCCACTCTCTTGTCCCTCGCGGCTTTGCCGCTTGCGACTTACGGTCTCCTCGATCTCCCGATGGACAACCGCATGGTCCAACAGCCTGGTCTCATCCGATACCCCATTAGCGTTTCCAAGGGCGCCGAGTCCAAGAACAGGGTCGTTCGCCGCCAGAACGACGTCGGCCTGAAGGCACAGAAGACTGGCTTCTTCTACACCATCGAGATCCAGATTGGCACGCCGCCCCAGCCCGTGAGCGTCAACTTCGACACCGGGTCCAGCGAGCTCTGGGTGAACCCCGTGTGCAGCAAGTCTACGGACCCCAAGTTCTGCGAGTCGTTTGGCCGGTTCAATGGCTCCCAGACTTACACCGACCTGCACCGCAATGGCAGCATCAGGTACGGCACTGGGCGTGCCGACCTTGAGTATGGCTACGACTACATTCAGATCGGCTGTGAGTATTGTCATTGTGAACGACGTTCGCCCCTTTTCTTCGCATGTCGTGTGGAGGGAGGGGGTTGGCGAATTGCCCATGCTAACTTTATACGCAGCTGCCAAGATTAGCCAGCAAATGTTCGGTGTCGCTTACGACTCCGACTTTGCTGTCACTGGTATCCTCGGTGCTGGTCCGAGCCTGAACGGCTGGGACAGCGCGTACCCTTATGTCATTGACAACTTGGCCACGCAAGGTTTCACCAACAGCCGTGCATTCTCCCTGGACATTCGCTCGATCGAGAGCAACCGCGGCTCCGTTGTGTTTGGCGGAATCGACACCAAGAAGTTCTCCGGCCACCTCGAGAAGCGTCCCATCATTCCGGCGGCCCAGTCTCCCGACGGCCAGACCCGTTACTGGGTCTATCTCGATGGCATTACCGTCTCCAAGCCCGATGGCACCAACGTCACGGTCTTCGACAAGCCCAACAGCCAGCCTGTGCTCCTCGACAGCGGCTACACCGTCAGCGCCCTGCCCAAGGAAATCTTCAACGAGATCCTGAAGGCCTTCCCCGAGGCTACACCCCCTCAGTCTGGCTCCGACCTGTACCAGGTGCCTTGCGACATCGGCAAATCCAAGGGCCACGTCAACTTCAAGTTTGGCGAGACCCTTATCAACGTTCCTTACAATGACTTCATCTGGCAGCAGCCTCAGAACAACCTCTGCGTCCTGGGCGTCACTACTGATGGTGGTGAGTAGTAAGCCCTGTAGAATGCTCATGTAGTTTGGCTGACCAGCTTTCAGGCTTCCCTGTCCTTGGCGATACCTTCCTGCGCGCCGCCTACGTCGTCTACGACTGGGACAACCGCAACATCCACCTTGCCAACAACGAGGACTGCGGCTCCAAGCTCGTCGCCATCGGTAAGGGACCAAATGCCGTCCCCTCTCTTGAGGGCGAGTGCGGCAAGCCCGTGACCACGACCACGACTGCTTCGTCCAGCACCGTCCCTCCCACAACCAGCTCCTCTAAGCCCACCATCACGAGCGTCACGAACTCGACCACTGCTGTTCCCACGACCACGCCCAAGACCTCGACTCACGCCACGGTCTCGCACACTCACGGCCACAACAGCACCGTCACCAGCAAGCCCTCGCACCCGTCCAGCTCCAAGCCGTTCCCGACCGTGACTTGGCACAACACGACGGCTCCTCCTACTTACACTTCTACCTACACGTCCACCAACACGTACACCGTGACTTCTTGCCCGCCCTACGTGACTGGATGCCCCATTGGCTCCGTCACCACGGAGACTATCACTGGCACGACCACCTGGTGCCCCGGCCAGAGCAGCAGCTCCGCTCTGCCCCCGACCACGACTGCTCCTCCGTCGCCCAGCATCACGTCCATCTTCACCACCACCAAGACGCACACCATCACCGACTGCCCCGGCGAAGGACCCTGCACCAAGGGCCAGGTCACTACCGAGGTCCTCACCAAGACCACCTACCTGTGCCCCGAGTCCACCGCCACCTGGACCATCCCCCGCACGCACACCTGCGGCGAGGGCGAGAGCGGCTGCAAGCCTGGTGAGACGATCGTTACGAGCCACGTCGTCACCATCGTCCCCATCACGCCCGGACCCAAGCCCACGCCTGTCCCTGGCTGCGACAACTGCGTCATGCCGACCCCGGTGCCTACGGTGCCCGCCGAGACGACGCCTGTCGCGACGTCGCCCGCGCAGACGCAGCCCCCCGCCGAGACGACTCCTGCCGAGTCGTCTCCTGTCCAGCCTCCCGTGCCCACGAACACCGTCCCGGGCACCATCAGCACCGTGACAAGGCCGACCACGGGTGCGCCCGGCTCCGTGACTTCGGCACCGCCGTCCGTCACCGCCGGCGCCGCTGAGTGGCGCGTGCCCGGCGTTGCGGCCGTTGCCATGGGTGCTCTGGCCGTCGCCGCCTTCTAAAGCACCCAAGCGGCTAATGTTTTGTGTGTGTACATGTGTTGCAGCAACCCCGATTTTTAGACGCGGATATAAAGCCAGGGAAATGCGTTGTTTGGTCAAAAGCCAAGGCGGCCAAGCCAGGCCCAGTCATGTTTGTATAGGGCAACAGACGGCTTAATGGATTTTGGGTTTCCCTGTCCCCCCGCCATTCCGCATGTGGATGCTACTTTCTGATCTTTTTTCGTCTTGACGATTTTCCTTTCTTCGTTGGCCGGGGCCCGCCGTATAGGGAGGATAATCCGATATAATGCAAAGTCCCTTGCCTCGGTCCCTTTTCCATACATGAATGAAGCAAACTTGATGAGTGTACGATGCGTGAACGCGACGTTTGAGTCCCTGCATATGCCTTCGACTGGGCTTGGTGTCGGTAGAAGCTGTCGTCCGCACTGAGGATCGGTGAGCGAGGCTGTGTGACTCCCGAGCTCGACTTTTTGACTCGCCTGGATGTGCGAGGTCACAGGCAAACTCCTGCCATTATTGCCCCTCGCGTACACATTTCACCAACGATACGTAAAGGATCTCTCCGTGCATTTGCACGAGTGCGCGCTGCTACCTGGCCCGTGTGTGCTGTGCGAGGACCCGAGTGGGACGCACGCGGTCGACCTCTTCAGGGGTAGCTGGCGATACCGCGTCCATAACCCAGGCCCCCCCCTTTCTCTCAGGAGGTTGGTTCCTGATGCGATGCAATGAACGGCTCGAGATGGAGACTCATTTCTGCGAGGCAGAGCGAGGGGTTATTTGAGAATCGCTGGCAAGTTTGGTTGCGTGTGTGAACGTGGTGATCCTTGTCCCGAGCGCGTTGAGGCGAGTCGTGTATTGTGTCACGAAAGATCCGGACATACGTCTCGGGAGGAACATACAGCGCACCATAACGTGAATCAATCCCAAAAGCTCGAATTAAATAAGCCACGTCAATTGCTTTGACAGCTCAAGGATTCAACGACAAATGCCAATACGTACGAACCGGGCGGAGAGAAGATGTCGTTGCCCCTGGCTCCAGGGTAGGTTACAGATCTGCGACGACTCGACGAGCGGCATCACGAAACGTACGACAACCAGGTCCAGGGATCAATTGGCGTCACTAAGGATAGACAGAAGAGTCTGGGAAGAGCCTTTCGTCGTTGATGTGCGCTGGTAATGCCTGCTTCTGAGGTTCCCGATGCTGTCTGTTGCGACGAGTGCTCACACTCAGGAGCCTCTTGGGCACCAAATAAGCAACCGATCAAGGGAAACACTCGTCAAATACAGCCCCCGTATTGAGACAATGTGCTTCAAAATGGCGGGCAAAGATACTTCAAGGTCTACTGTTGGATCTCAGGCCGCGTCGTAGGAGTGTTCGCGACGAACAAGCACCATTCTCGCGTCGATGAACCTCGGCAGACGCATCTCGACGACCCTCAACAAGCGCCAGGCCTCGAGACTCACCAACACTTTCCCACACAACGCCCAACAAATAAGCATGATTCATCAACAACGGACCAGACCATCCCCGGAGCAGAGTCCGCGGCGGGCCACAGCAGCATCAGCTCCAGACACGCCCCGACCCGACCCGGACCGCGCCCCCTTTCCCCCCGCCGCCAGCTTCGTGGCCCACCAGTGCTTGACGCCAGGCCCGGCCAGCAGCTCGCACGCCTCGACGAGCAACAAGACATCGCCACCTCCGCACCGCGTACGCGCCGCCCAGTTACTATACTTACTTGTTAGGCAGCAGGGCGCCCATCACGGGACCCCCCCCCCAGACGGGGCCTGCTCGTCGTCGTACAGATGTGGACCCTTGCCGTCCATCGTCGGCTTGTGGGACGAAGCCGTCCCGGACCAGACCAGTCCCCAGGGTCTCCTCCTCCTCCTTCAACCTTCCCTCCCATTCCCGAATCGGTGAGACATGGCAAGGTCCTTTGTCTCGTACGCCATGGACAGCATCATAGAAAGCTATCCGCGGGTGCAAATCACAAAACAAAACAGACGACGAGCCCAGACCGTCGGGCGCCGCACGCGTCAAACCTCATCCCTGAGACGTATCGGCGAAAGCAGGCTTCAGTTCTCGTTACGTCACGATACATTCGCCTCACCCCCCCGGTAAGCTGTGACAGCTGCAAAGCCGGCCGGCTGTAAATTGCACGGTGGCAGAGGGGGCCGTCCGGTGCCAGGCTTGGCCATCTTTGATGAAAGGGCGCCCGCTCGGCTCGTAAACGATGAACGGGCGCGAAGATGGCGGGGGTGCGCAACCTGAACGGGGGAAGATGCGAGAAGATGCCTACGCCGTGGCGAGAGTCACCAGCATCATATTCGACCTAGGGGGCCATGGCTGCGGTCACGCCGGCGATCTATGGCGCGCGTGGATCAAGCAGCGGGCTCGAATGAGACGCGACGCGGCAAGCCGCTGAGGCGGTGGTGCTACTTCTGGCTTGAATCTATCGACGACAGCCTGGCTCGGTGGTCATCCGTAACGAAGCCCGGCGCCACGGCCAAGGCGTCGCTCCTCAGCCGTTCATGCCGGCCGGCGGCTCGCATCTCATCCCAGAGCGGCAGAGAAGGAGCCTCAGCGCGAGCAGAGCAGGCAGCGGAGCTCTATCGGTCAAGCATTTCGGGGAAATCTGCCACCTGGTGTACGGATTCCTGAAACTGCCCTACGCGGCGATAGGTCGATCCGCGCCATCGTCGTCAGCAGTCACACGGGCGGTGAAACTGGCCCACAAGCTGCTTGGCTTGAAACCGAAGAAACTTTTGTGCCAGTCGAGGCAAGGAGAGGCCAGGACTTCGCAGCAAAATTTTCACAGACGTGCGCGGTAGACACCTGGCGCAGTCCGGGGCCCCGGCAACGATTGACCTAGCCAACACAGCCGGGATGTGCATAATTCCCAAAGGGTCCTCAAGCCTCATTCCGAGGCCCTTGATTCACTGCAGAGACAGGCGACCTAGCCCGTGGCGGCTCTCCAGGCAAGAACCTGCTTGCCGAACGTCGTTGACAGAGAGGTTCGATGACGCACGCCACCAGGCCGATGCTCGTCACAAGACACAACGCTCGCCCTGGTAGCTACCCGGATCAGGGGTAACATGCCGGACCATGTACGATGAAGTGCGAGGGAGCACGGAGACGAAGGCCACGCCAGATGCCGAACCTTTCCAGAACCTGCCACCAGGAATTCGACATGGCCTGGCTGTTCGTCGTGAGGCGCCACGACATGTGTGTACGCCCCTCCTGTACGACGTGCATCAGCAAAACCTGCACAGTCCGTCTTGCTGCCGCGAAGACTACGGGGAAGAACGTTCTATACCTTCCCCAAGAGGTCTCCCCGGAATCTGCAATGCGACATCGACGCCGTTTCTCCGCGATCAGTGCAGCAAGTATCCTAGTGCCGCTCGCGCAAGATTCGTCAAGGCGAGGATACCTGTCCGAGCCCTCCGGCTTTGCTCAGGGCTTCCCAAATGCCGAACGAGGGCAAGTCTCTGCGACCAGACTGCGCTGTGGTGCCTTGTGGCTTATCCGATGTGGCTCTCGAGGGCCCATAAACCGCGGCGTTAGTAGGACGGTGCCATCACGAGAAGGGAAGGAGGTCTGGCATTAAAGTCGGCCGCCAGAAAAAGACGTCATTCTCGGCCCAGTGGGGTTCTTCTTCTTTTCTCACTCGCAGACAAATGAACCGCCCGCTATTCAGCTGACAAGACTCCGTACGAGGCTCAAGCGGTGGCGGCTGACTGGAGCCCATTAGCCCACGTCCGCCGCTCCCACCGCGACTGACGGCCCCGAAGGAGTGAACAACGCGATTGATTAGACAAGACCGAATGGAGATGGTAGAGACTAGGGATAGGGGCGTGCGACCCTGATACAAAGCTACCGAGGCTCGCTCGCTCTGATACGGCAAGGCGTGGCAAAGTGCCTGAAGGGCTTCATGCCTTCCCGCGTAGAGTGGTGGCGGTAACGAGAGAGGCCCAATCGCGCCCGACGCTCCAGAGGTTGTCATGGCGCCCCCTCGGATTCTGTCAGGGAGGTGTGTTCGGTTCCCGGAAAGCTCCCCGGCCGCTTGCTTCCGTGCTGAAGAGATCGTGCGCGCCGCCCCCTTGACGCCGACCTCAGTCAGCAAACCACGGAGGAGAGCCTGGAGAAGACTTGGAGGTTGGAGCCAAGGGTGTCGATGGCTACTCTCGGCCCAGGAAGCGACTGCAAGAGCTTGGTTCGGGAGGCCTACAGTGGCGATTGGACAAAGATTGACCCCAAAGACCGGAATGGTTGGGGCGGTGCGTGAGGAGGCCGCAACCAAGGATTCTTGGTCGAATGCGAACGCGACGGTCCTGCATGGAAGGCGGGCAGATCAGGGAGCTTGCTGCTTCTGGTGTAGTTGCCAACACCATCCGCATTGAAGCACCAGCACATATGCCAGGGCCGGCCGCCAACCCCCTCGCCAAGTTCCTTGGTGCTCGTGAGGAGTCACTGACGGCGATACTACTGTCGGGAATGATCATCATGGCGGAGTAGGTGGTGCAAAACGGCGTGGGAGAGCGAGCGAGCACCGATCCTTCTGCCGTCGGCTTCCGCCAACGGCCAGGCACATGAGTATCGTCGCCTTGTCCAGGCCCAGGTTTGCGTAATAATGGCCTGCCTAGGAAAGGTATCTCGCTGAAAGCGAGGACGCCGCGGCAAGTTAGCAAGCAACTGCTCCCAAGACCGCTCACTGCAAGGTGCGTGTGTTGGGCACATTACCTCCGCGAAATGTGACGGGATCTATCTCTGTTCTCGGCGCATCCATGTACCCGATTTTTGTGCCGCATTGACTGCCAGGAACTTTTGCTGCTGCAGAGCGGGGGTTGCACCTGAGCGGTTCCTTCGGAAGGCCCCTGTCACTCGCCTCCGACCACAAGGTGCGCCGAGGGGTACTTCGCACGCAGGCGATGTTTCGTCCCGCCGTGGCTGAAGGTGCCAGTGCACGAAGCAGGCATGGAGAAGTTGAAGGTGTCGTTGTGGCAAGCATGAATCCTCGCAGACGGGAGCATGGCTTGACGCGGCACGGCAGCCCGCGGTTCGTCTACCCCATGGGGATCCCGCCCTTCTCCACGTGTCTGGCACGGGTCCTCGAGTTGCACTGGGCGGAGCTGCGCCGACAACGCGGAGAAAGAAGCACTTTGCCACACCTCTCGTCGTGCCTTTGTTGACCGCGTGAGGGCTTTGTCTGTGCATGGCTCACTTGGTCATGCACAAATGCAACACCCCGCAGTTGCAAGACGGGTGGCACAAATACGGCTCAGATGAATCGCTTGCCGTTAGCCCCTGCATCGGCGGGTTGTACATGCTGCAAACTTGCCCCATCCTCGCGGTGCTCACTGGCCATCGCAAGGCCAGGGTAGAATGTAGGCGCTGGACCGATAAGCTGAACCCATGGACGCAAGTATGCCCAACAGTCGACTTCGTCCGGTTCTCTCCCTGGCATCCTTTGGCAAAGGATCCAAGTGCGTTGTAGGTCAAATTCATCCTGACATTACTTGAGCCATCGAGGGCCCGAGATGGAGAGGTCAGGTCCAGCCAGGTTCCAGAGAATTACGTCTTCGAAACTGGTGGTGGCTCGAGGCGGGGGCCACTGAGCCCCTCGGGTCGATGCGGTCGGCTGGCCCATCTTTGCGGGGAAATAATTAGGTGGGAGCCAAGGGTGGGAGGCCATCGGTGTGGGAGTCCGGGGAAGCCTGCAGCGAGCGTGCAGCAGCCGCTGCATCCCGCACACTTCCTGATGTCTTGTGACGGCGGTGGGAGGCCGGGACGGTGCGGTCCTTTTTGCCAAAGCAGCCATCCCCCCACCAACTCCCGCAATGCTTCTCCACGCGCGTTGGCCCCCCGCCAATTTGCAGTGGCGGTCGTCCTCTCAGAAGGACGCAGCTCGTTAACCTGTCTGATGTGTAGGCGGCGAGGAGTATCTCTGGAGATAGCTACTTCGTGCCGTCCATCGAGGTGGTCTTTCGGCGCCGACGAGACCGCGAACGCGACCTGCCGGTTCTGGTGGACCACCTTCATTGATATGAATCAGATTGTGAGGCCCGGGCGATGGCAGCTTGGGTTGTCGTGCACCACAAAAGCCACTCAGTACGTCTGGACCCAGTGGGTATCCTTCTCGCTGACCATGGCCTTCTGTTGCGCCTGTCGGCTCGGCAGTGGTCCTGCCTTGGTGCAACGTAGTATGGTGCTTCCTCTCCCTGGCAGGCTGACCCCTGAGGCTCAACCATTTGCGCACACGCCTTGGTCCTCCTGGCCACAGCACGGCCAGGTCAATTCAACACAAGTCTTCGAATCCAAAGTCGGCGGCGTCAATTGAGCTGCGTCGGTTTGAGACGACAGAGTCTTTGTGCGTACGTATTCGTGCATGTGGAGGCTTGGCTTCCTCGGCAGTGGCCCAACGGTCCCGGCCCCTGTTCTGCTCCGTTGGTAGGCGGTTTCAATTCCGGGACCTTGGGGCCATCTTCCGCCGCCCGTCGTGCCGGCAAAAGGCGAAGCATACCGAGCCAACGACAGGGTCGGCAGCACTTCTTACCACCACAGCGCTCCGAACACCATCCGCGTCAACTCTACCGCCTCTGAATCTCGCCTCACATGCGTAATCATCCCGATGGCTCACGTCCTAGCACGAGGCGCGACGCAAGCTTCCGCAGCAACATCTTTGCCGTGGTCCATGAGTCTGCGCCGGGAATGCCGCTCTGACCCGGCAATTGGAGGCGTGCCGATAAGTGCGGGGGAGCCAAGCTTCCTCCAGGTCTCTTGTCGCCAGTACGAAGCATGGTTTGGTGAGGATTTGGGTTCAAGTGGAAGACGCATGACGCGTGTTGGGTGCAGCATTGCCTGGAACACTGAGCCAACCAGCTATCGGCTGTCCCCTTCGGTGAGCATCCTCAGGGGCCAGGGTCATTTTCGGGCGCCCTGCGCAGTGGGTTGAAGGCCTCCGGTAGTCGTGCGACCCTTCACTGGGACGCATGAAGGGGGCGATGCTCCGAACTTCATGGCGCTGTCCAACACCAGTCCGGTGCGTTCTCAGTGAACGCTGGCAGAGGGTGATATCGGGGCTAAGCCTGCCTGGGAAGGGCTTTTTGGTCAGCATGGGGCTCACCCGGCTTCGCCTGGCCCAGGGCAAACTTCCACCAGTTGTTCCGCACTTGTTCTAGCGCTTGGTGGCTGCTGAGGCTTGCACAGCCGGCAGGCAGGCGGCCATGGTCAGCCACCGGCGGGCTTCAAGAACATGGGTGCGCCACGGTCGATGTAAAATGCCTGGAGATGGCTTGCACATCGTCCTCGGGGGGGCGTCGCGTCCAGTGGCTCCTTTCCTGAGCCAGCGGGCCAACCCTGAGCGCCTCGGTGGACGATTGGGTACCCTGATTTGGGACCACCCGTTGTATCAGATTCGTCCTCAGGCTAGAGCTTGACCTGGGCGCATGCGACGGAGTACTTTTGGCTATCCCTGGCGGAGCCGCTTCATGGCTGTGTCGAAGCTCATATAGATCGAACCTAGTCAAGTTTAAAAAAAGGCGATCGTCGGAGCTGGTGTGTCTTGAGCAGTCCAGATCGTCCCGTACCCGTTCGGTGCAGTGGACCGACAATTTGCCCAAGGCGAGCTCAACATGTCAGACCAATCTGACGGCAAGCAGGCAAACCAGGCTTGCCAGGGTCAGAGGAAGGCGCGGAGGCTCTGAGCCTCTCGTTGCGGCGCCGATGCCGGCTCCACCGCCCCTTGGGCGAGGGCAAGGTCGGTTGCGTTCCCATGAAAGTCAATCGATCAAAGGGATAGCCCTGTCACAATTGACCGACTGCTGAGGGCTTGCAAAACAGCCCTGGATGGGCCTTGGGATCGGGGCTTGAACCTCACTGGTCTTCGATCGACATTTGAAACGCCATGCTTGAGCCAATAGTGGCTTGTGGCGCTCCGGGGGGGTTGTCGAATGCATGCTTGTGAAGAGAGGCGCATCTGATGTCCATGACGCCACAAAGCCGGAGCAAGGGGGAACGGGCGGGAACAAAGGGCCCAGGGGCCAGCTTCCATGGAGATTGCCGGAATGCTTGATCGTTTCCAGCTGGACCTGATCTCCAATTTTCTAGATTCGTTCCAGCGCCCAGATGACAACGACCGCCGCCTGTCAGGCTGACACCTGCAGACGAAGGACGACGCAACAGACGGGTGCATGCAATATCGCTACCACGGAAAACTGACGGGTGTGGTCGAACAGCGAAGCTCCAAGGCGCTTCAAGGAAGCGCAGTGATCGAGCAGTGCACGCCGAACAGAACATGCAAAAAGGCGGACCTAAGCAAAGCCTAGCTTCGGCAAAGATCCGTTGAGAGATGTCCTTGGTGCATCGGGGAAATGACAAGGACCTGCAACGGCAGCCGTTCCAGGGTATAGTGGCCTCGAGAAATGTCTTGGGCCCTGGACTTCTAGAAGGGTGGTGATCGCACCTCCCGGTGAGACACGGATCTGGTACCCTCGCAAGGGCCAGCCATACCCTCCACCGAACATTCTTTGTGCGAAAGCCAAACTGGCGCGTGCCTGGTGCCTGGTTCCCTTGCATGAATCAACGTTCGTCGGTCGCGTCGTGCCTCAGATAGACTACGGACGGCAAATGAGTTCTCGCTGAGAAAGGGGTATCTGGCATTGTTTGAACCAAACCCGGCGTGCTTGTGGCGCACTTGGGGCAGGAGGGGTCGGATGCTTGACGATGCCTGCACCCCGTAACCCGTACGCCGTTGGGCTGTCATCCAGGATTTGCTCGTAATCACGGCCGAACTTGGCGTCGCGGAGAGGGACGCGAGGAGCCAATGGCCTTGTCGCCAAGCTCTAAGTCAACCACGTTCCTCCGGCATGTAGGTAAGACTGAGTCGGACGACCCGGGCACTTTCCCAACCCACCGCCGTTTGTCGCTGCCTCTGCGAACGAATGAAAGCTGGAAGCCAGACGGAGTGCTTCTGAACTTGGTGCGGGCGACGGCTCACATGTATTTTCGAAGAAGACGCAGGGAGAAAAGGCCCTCCAGACGTAAGAGGATGACTGTCGTTTGTGAGGCACAGTGGGGCAAGCAAGATAGCCGCTTCAAATGAGTAACGATCACAGAGGCCCAGCAGCGACCGCACGACTGGTCCGCTGTGATAGTCGGTGGTCGATAACGCAGTGCTCGAGAAGGAAAAGGCAAGTCGCTTCTGCAGGTTGATGCCGCAGAGCAATGCGCCATGAGATCGCCGTTGTTCGCTGTTTGGAAGGAGGTGAGAACGAGTTGCCCATGGCGCCGCGACGTAGCCAATTATCAGCGCTTCTTTGGGCCCCGGGCGCTGCAGGTCAATGCAGCCAAGGGGTAGCAAAGCATCGAGGGGGTGGGCGCGAGGCCGTGAAGGTTGAGGCTACCTCCAGCCCGGGGTTGTGCTTCGCCGCCAATGGGCTGCAGCAGTCTGGGATATCGCATTGGCTGTCAGTGTCGCCGGACATGCCATCCAAGTGCACCGACTGCGCGGGTGGTGCATGGCGATGATGCAAGTTGAGGCAGGCAAAGCATCTGCAGGTGCTCGCTGCTGTGACGACATTCGAAGACTCTGAGGTGATCGGTTGAAGGGGGTGTCGAAGAAGCGTTATCCGCACCTGCACCTACGCGCCAACCTGTGTGTTAATCCCTTGAGGCCCTGCGGCCATGGCATTGGCAGGCACCGCACTCAAAACCGCCCGGGCAGCACCTTCCACATCTCCCCGCAGCCAACGCAAGGTACAGCGAGGCGCCGACATCGTGCGCCAGGCACCAAGTACTGGCCTTGCGACTCTGCGGGTGCATCGATGAGGCCGGGCAAGTGCGATGGAGTGGCGACCACGTACCCGTTGCCCGCCTGTCCAAGGTTGGCAGGCGCACTTCCCTCTTCGTCTGTCAGTCTGCCTGAGGACGGAAGCCACCTGCAACGCCACATCATAATGGGCGAGGCGCCTGACTGCTCGGGAAATGTTCCCGCCATGGAACCCGTCTCTTGCATTGCAGGCAGTGCGCATCACCATCGCGCACAGCATAATCTCGGGCGGCGGCGGTGCCGTATCGGCAGCCCTCGCCCTGCGTTGCGACCGGCCGCCGCCAACGCAACGCCCCTCGACCATATTCGTCTTCCCTTCGGTTCGTGATGGGTGGCCAGCGTGTGGCTTGCGCTTGCTCGGACCTGGCTGGTTTGGCAACCTGGTAAGTGGCGGATCGATGGCATGGCGCGGTGCCTCAGCAGGCGCGGCCCGCTACTCGAGGATTGATCGTGCCAGCCTTGCCGGGAGGTCAGTCTCGCAGCTCGCGCGGCACCAACAGCGTGCCCGCTCAAGGGTGGCGGTTCGCCGCTGACGACGGGCCATAATGCACAACAGCGCAGACTGCACGGGACCCCTAGGCGCGAACGCACGGCCCGCACCCTCGCCTCGCGACACGCCTTCTATAGTATGTACAGCGCGAAGCGCCAAGATCGGTGACGAGATGGGGCGTCGCCGCCGACTTGATCAGAGATGCAGAGTCGAAAACCGGCTTCACCAGTCGCCCGCGTAGGAACCCAGCAGGCTGCGATGATGATCCGATCCCTCTGGCTCACGACCAGTCCGTCCCGGCACACACCACATGCGGTCGACGGGTGCTCAAAGATAACGGCGCTCCAGGCCGCTCCAATTGCGGCCCCGCGCTACCTTGAGTGCATGGCGGACAATGAGGAGCGGTAGGAACAGACACGACGACCAAGTTGCAACCTGACATGCCAGCAACCACACTTGCCGACCCGACCACGTTCAAAATCAGGAAGGATGAAAAAGACCTGATAACGCCGGAGTGGGCTCACGGGACGGAGCCGGTGAGACTCCGCGAGCGATATCTTGGACGCCAGGAGTGCAGGAGGCCGAGACGGTGCTGCAGCCGCCAGAGTGAACGAGTATCCGCACAACGCTTGTCTGATCGGTTCTCGTCGTTGGCGTTGGCGGTGCAGGACGCCACGGCAAGACAGGGTCATCTGAAAGCCGGCCCCTGTCCGTCGCGTCGGAGGCCTGGGCGATAACACCGGACGGCGGCTTGTTCGACGCAGCCCTGTTTTCACGCCCGCTGCCCTTGGTTTGTCCACATCCGTCCCCTCCCGCTGCATAGCGCCCAGCACGTCTGGTCTATAAAGACTTTCAACGCGTGTTTACTCGTGCGGCGGCAAGGTCCTGGGTCTGAGAGACGGCGGCCGCTTCGCCCTTGAAACGCGAGGCAATTGCTGTACCGGCCGCCCTGCTGCATCGGACACGCGGCGACGCAGACGCTCCCCACAGGTTGGCTCGTGATTCACGGCCAATGCCCACGGCGGACGACCCCAGGAAAGCAGTGCAGATGGAAATGACGGGGTCACGACGGCAGATGCACAACCTGTCCTTGGACATCTGCGTCCTAGTCGCCAACCAGAAGTGGATTCCTGCGGTGGGTTTTGCAAAAGGACCTGGAGCAGACGCTAGGCGCCGAATGGTAGCGTCTGCCGGTGCTGTCTAGCGCGCCGCCGCCCACCCCTCACTCGCTCTCTCGCTGCCATTCGAGTCCCTCGGGAGCGCAGGCGTCCCGGCCTGAACCCCCCCGCCAGCGCGCAGCCACGACGGCGCCCTGAATTTAAGCCGGAGACGACGGTTGTCGGAGCCGGGTCTTGTCGATGGGTCGCCTCGTCCACGATGCCTTTACCGCCACGACCAAGTCCGGGACTGGAGGCTGTCGGGGGGGGCCACAGTCTGGAGCCGGGCCAAGACGACGTGATTAATTGCGTGCGTGATTGCAGTCTGGAGCCGGAGAGATCGGACGAGACGACAGGTCGGGACCAGGTCTCTTGGGGTCGGTCAGTCAACCAAGGGCAGCCAGCCGCCGTCGTCACCGGCAGCCTCGTCGGCTTCATGGGCGAAAAAGGAACGTTTCCTGAGCAAGCCGCTCCCCTCTGCGCATACGTGCGGTGCGCGCGCGTGACGTGGTTTGATGGTACACAGGCACACCCACCCGTTCTATCTGACTAACACGGGGACTGGCCGGCACAAGAGACAGGAACAGTTGACGGCGTCTGGTGATATCCGGCGCCAGTTGTGCGGTGCCAGCCAGCGCGCCAGGGATGGAGGGCAGGCGCAAAAGGTCGGGAGAAGGTTGGCAGAAGATTGGCAGGGCAGCGCAGGGCAGGGCAGAGCAAGGCAGGGTGCCTGGACTGGGATCAAGGACGCTTGCTTGATCAAAGGCCGGGATCCAGGTTGTCGACGGCCACGCCCCCGTCGCCTTACGGCCCTCGATGGCCAAGCTCCGAGCTGCCATCCGACCCCAACTCGAGCTCCAAATATTCATGGCTGCACCCCGACCGTTGGCCGCACGGCTCTGGCCACACCTGCGCGTCTTCTCCAAGGAACCGCCCACGAACCGGGACTCCACAAGGTCCCGTCTCTTCAGGCTCCCACATGCCACTCGCTGGCAGCGCTGAGCCTCAGGACTGGAACTGGCCGCTGCTTGTTCGTACTCGCTCGCACGCGCAGGGAGTGCGTCTACGGCACTCGCCTTCTACGAGGCTGCGTCTCGACCGCAGGCCGCTCTCTCTCGGGGCAACAAGCTGGTCCAGAGCGAAACCGCGTCCCAACAAGGCCGAGCGGCGGCGTTATGCCCAGCTGGCCGGCCATCTAACGCGCCACCACCTCTCACGCCCAAGGGACATTTGCAGGGCGAGGATTCGCTGCCACCGGCACGCCCCTCACTGGGCAGGGGTCTCTGTGAACGGCGCCATTTGCACGCACCCTCCATGCGACGGCCTCCCCGCCGATCTCCTCCTCATGCTCACTCGCCCGCTCGGTTGGCTCCTTTGCGTCCGTTGCCAACACGGCCACGCCCCCCTCCGCCCGCCCACATTTTCTCCAGATAACCCACTCGCGCGTCCGCCCACTCGTGCGTGGTACTCGCAGGGTACCCGTCTCTTGACGACTCGGGGCCATGCCACACCACCGGGATACGCCATCGGGAGTACTCGCTTTGCTGTGCCTTTGCCTCCTCGACCCTGCCACCCACGCCGACAGAGAGGACGGAGGCACAGTGTTCGGGTACCAAGTCACCTTTGTACACACAAGCTGGTACTTCGTCCACCGAGCAAAGTCGAGAGTCAAGACGCACACCCCTCCCTCGCCCCCCCCGGCCATGGTGGGAGCGGCCTTGCTGCACCACCGCTGCCCTCTGCTCGTAGCACTCTCCGTCCCTATCGGCCTCTTCCAACTGCACTCCTCCCCATATACATAACCGTCCCCGTGCCCATCCCCTTGCTCGCAACGACACTTCCTGAAGACGACCCGTCTTGTCTCTCGTTCTCGAATACATTCGCCACTCTTCCGCGATCCTCCCATCTTACATCTTTCCCTCACCTTGCTACCGGCTAAACACCTACCTACACTCCCCTCGACTACATACTTCACCCGCAACATCAACCACGAACACCGCTCGTGGCAAAATCCACCGACTTCATCACGACGCTGGCCACAGCCCTCAGTCCGCATTCCACCCGCTTGCCTGTCATTGCCTGCCTAGGAAGCCATCCGATAGACGCGCATTGAGCTGGGACTTTTCACCTCACAACTGCTGTGTGGCAATGACTGCTCCCCTCTCGCACCAGACCGTTACCGTTAAGGACGCCGCCGCTGTTCGCAAGCGCAGAAGACGCGCTCCTGCCGGGGGTGCTTCCGATGACTGCTTCACATGCTCCAAGCGAAACGTCAAATGCGACCGCCGGCGGCCGTACTGCTCCCAATGCCTCGAAATTGGCAACGAATGCTCCGGTTACAAGACCCAGCTGACCTGGGGCGTCGGAGTTGCCAGCAGGGGCAAACTGCGTGGCCTGTCTCTGCCCATCGCCAAGGCGCCCCCGGTCACCCGTGAGCCCAAGAAATCGCCCATCAGCCGGTCGCGGTCCAACTCGACAGCGCCCGTTGTATCTGCACACTGGAGCGAGCATGAGGACCAACGGAGGTCACATCGTGGTCCCATGGACATCCCGCCTCTCTCACACATTCCCGGATCAACCCCCACGACTCCTTACCCTGGATCCGGCTACGAGTACCTGTCCATGTCTCACCCAGAGAGCGTCGTGCCGCATGGCAGCTGGGGCAGCGTCCATTACTCTTCCAACATGGTCCACTCTCCCGACGCCACACCCAAGTACTCCAAGTTCCCCTTGCCTCTCATCACCGACGGGCTTTCCTCGTCGGTCGATTCAGTCAGCGACGTCGATTACCTCTCCCCTCTTAGCCAGTCATACTCCCGCGAGGAGATGCCATTCGGCAGCAATCATTCCGTCATCTACGACGGCTATCCCGCCAACCAGCAAAACTCCCCCGTGCCGCAAAGCCCGCCCTCCGCTCTCGTTCTTGACCACAGCAGGGCGCCCACGTCATGTCCGGGCCTCGTTTACGCTCCCTCTGAGCCCAGCTCCAGTCTCCCGTCGCACCTGGATCACTTCGACGCGCACCTGGGCCACAAGCTGATGCGGGAGTGTGACCCCCTCAGTGAGCATCACATGGCGCCCTGTCCAGCCTTTCCGTTCTAATGAGGCAGCAGGTGTTCCTCCAGTCGACGCGTTCGCCACAAGTCCCAATCCTGCTGGCCAAATCTGGACGCCGTCTCACACCCGGGACGAGGACCTGCACTCGCCCCAATCAGAACACGCACAGGCTCGATGGCCCGCCCTTCGAGGGGCGAATGCCTTGCGTGTAAGCCCCGACCTGGTGGCTCGTATGCCATTTTTCATGGACTATTACAAGAACACCATGGCTCCGTCCATGGTATACATTGACGGCCCGCACAACCCTTTCCGCGACCACATTTTGCGGCTCGCCGCCAACAGCCAAAGCCTGCAACACGCCATCTGCGCATTATCGGCGTGCAACCTGCGCATGAAGCGGAAGCTGAGCCTAGGTCACGACACGCAAGAGTTGTGGGAGAGGCTGATGGCCGAGAAGCAGGCCATAGACAGTTTGGGCGACGCTCAGCCAGAGGAACCAGCGCTTGCGGAGGAGTTCCAGCATCGCAACCTTGCCGTTCATCTCCTCAACGAGCAGCTAAACGATCCTGTCAAGTCGGCTTATGACTCGGTCCTCGCAACAATTCTACTCCTGTGCCATTACCGCATGGTGGAGTCTGGGGTGGCCAGGTTCCACACGCAGTTCGCGGGAGTCAAAAAGATCCTCGCCATGAGGTCGGAGCGCTTCGGCCCATGCCGTGACTCTGCTTGGATAGAGGCTCTTTTTACGTATTTCGACGCTATATCGGCCAGCATCAACGACCGCGAAGCGCAACTGACACCTTGGGCGGACGATGAATTCGCCACGGACCAGCTCCTGCCCCTTGGCGCCGAGAACCTGGTTGGCTGCGAGAGGGAGCTGTTCAAGACCATCAGCAAGCTCGGACGCCTGAATTTGCTATCGCAGCATCGGCCCGTGCAGAACATGGCGGTGTCTCCTCGGCGCAGCTCAGAGGCGTCGCAGCAGCCACACAGCATGACGTCCCCGTTGACTCAATCGTACAGGGACAACATGACCGGCGTCCACAGCCAGCAGCCTGGCGACCTGTTCCAAATGCCCACGCATAGATTCGACGGCAATGGTTTCGGTACGACACTGGATGACGATGAGATCCTCGCTTCAGCCATGTGCACATCCTCGGCATTCGACGACCGCCGCTCTCTGTTCTGGCGCGAATGGAAGGACGCTCGATATGCGCTGCAAAACTGGCAGTTCGACGCCGTAGCCGTTGCCGCGACGTTGCCTGGATCACCTAGCCCGGCTCAGATCCGTGACTTAGGATCCTTGTCGGAAGCCTTCCGCTACGCGGCTCTTCTTTACACAGAGCGGCTGGCGGGTCCGAGCACGCCATCGAGCCACACCAATTTCCAGAACTTGGTCAGCCAAGTTGTCTACTATGCAACAAGCTTAGACGCCGGGAGCACTGCTGAGAAATTTTTGCTTTGGCCGCTGTTCGTTGCAGGCTCCGAGTGCGTCAACGAGCTGCAGCAGAACATTGTCCGAACCAAGTGTCGCGACATCATGAGCCGGTCGGGGTACATGAACAATCTGTCGGCACTGGACATCTTGGAGAAGCTCTGGGCAGGCGACTTTAAGAATGGCGTGGATCTCCGGAACAGGGCGAAGATGGCCGGCTGCAGGGGGCCCTTCAACTGGGCCAAGTGCTTCGGAGGCCCCGGCGTTGAGGCAGAGTGGATCATGTTCTGATCCATGGCAGCAATGGCGCGCATGCACATGCGAAATTTCGAGACGAGGCGCAGATGACGAGAAAACAAAACCCGCAACCAAAAACAGAGGTGCTGGATCCGCACAAGATGGAAGACGGTAACACCGCGATTGCTTATGCATTGTATGGAGCCATTATGGGCAACTGGGAAGCATGGATCTGAGTCATTTGACACAATGTCAAGGTATCAAAAGCGGTGTTAGGCAAGGGGTCTTGTGTTTTTATTTTATAGCGGGCATGTCTGGTTTTGCCGGTTGTTTAAGCTGGGACGGCAGATGGGCAAGAGAACACGGCCATGGGACACGGATGTCAGTGTTTCTTGTACAATGACGGCAGCATTGGTTTCGTGGCGGAATGGCGAAAGCGGGAGAAAGTCTGTATTATCTTTGGTCCCTGATGACTGGGGATGGGGAGTCACTACCCATCTGTCGGGAGTTTTTTTACAAGGAATCACCCCCATTTTTCGAGTACCTACCTACCTTTACGAAGACAATGATGTACACAGACACACACATAAATGCAAGGGGAGAACATGCACAAATGGCAGAACCTTGAAGGTATCACTCGCGGCTCAATCACAAGCTCTGCATATCTGCCTGCATGCCTTTTACTTTTCGCGGCTCATGTACGAAGCAACCTTGTCGCGAAATGTTGACGACGACATTGTTATTGAGGGCGGGCGGCCACAGCAGGCGTGCGTACATACTACATGCATGCATGCAGCCTGCCGGCCGGCCGGTGACGTCTACCGCAACAAGGGTTTCCGTCCGTCTTATTGTCACCTCATAGCCCCGCCGGGTCACGAACGAACTCGCGAGCTGGGCCGGGTCGCTGGGCGCCTGGCGGTAGTATCTCGGCGGAAGGGGTGACGCGGATGAACAAAAAAAACAAAGAAAAACACAAGGGAGTGCAGTACTGTACAGTACAGTGTGGACGTAGACTTTCACAAGCTTCGGCGGAGACCAAGTGGCTGTTGCGTGTTGGAGATGGCGATGGAGATTTCGAGTCCGAGACACCGCCGTGGACGGACCTCACGCTGGATCGAGCGCCGTGGCTTTGTCTTCACGTCGGACGGGGCGATGTCGGACACGATGGCTGAATGCGATGGACAGCGTACGCACGTGCATGTACGAATCTGGCGCGTGCGGCTCGCTTACTGTCTACGGCGAAGACAGATTGCCAGACTGCTCGTACATACACTACGTCTGAACTGTGCAGTACTCCGTACTGCCCACGCAGATCCAGGGTTCTCTCTCCCTCTGACGTGCAGGTTACACCCGAGAGCCTGCATCGGGGTCGGGGGCGTTCGCGATGGGGGACCTGGGGCAGCCATCCCTGCCTGCCACCACCCCCTTCTGGCGGCCGACAATAGTTCCAGAAGGCGGATTCGCGAAATCGCCATTCTGGGCCGCGCCATGTGCGAGGGTTGCGCGAGACGGAAGCGGGGAGATTCGTAACCGCAATATGGCGTAGGTATATCGGAGGGTATAAGCGCTGGGGGGAGGATAAACAGGGGGGAGCAAGCCAGGGCGGAGAAATAGCCAAAAGCCGCAGTGAGATGCGGGCTCTTGTGCATGGCCCTGTCCTGATGGTGGCGCAGTCGGTCCGGCATCTAACACCTTATCGGCCCATGTCACAGCGTGTGCGAACAGGTCAAGGATGTGGTCGGTAACGAGTAGGGAAGCAGGCAGAGGGGATGATGGCATGCGGCGTGCTCCGGACATGTCGAGGACGTGCCGACCCGTCTTCTTGCAGCGGGCGACCCAAGATGGCGGCCGCGTAAACTACCCAACGTCCAAGTATGTTTTTTTTTTTCGTACAGAGAACGGAGTATGTATGTCTGTGAGCCATCGAATGGGTCAAGCAAGGGAAGGGAAACCGTTGACCTGCGTTCGTTGCCCGTCAGAACCCGGGCGAGGGAGAGGGGGCCGAACCCCAAGAGGGGGGTTCGTTCGTTCGACGCCGACACCTTGGGTCAGCAGACAAGAGAGTGAGCCAAGCCCTGCCGCTCTCGTCGGTCACGGAGCCTGAGCAAGCGAAGGAACAACAGGGATTGGATAAAGGATGGAGTGAGGTCCTGCCGAGGCACTGGCTGGCTGGCAAGGTCGCTCGCTCGCTCGCACGGCACACGCAACCATCCTCCATCCCTCGAGCACACCAGGCTTGAAGTGCAGACATGACTGCTCAAAGACGGGGGAAAGCCAAGACATGATCGGCGGCCGAGCCGGACGACTCTCTTGCTTGATTCTGCGCCGCGGTGGGCGATGATTGGGCCAACGGCGCCTGCGGCTGCAGCGGGCTGCGGGGTGTGGCGCTGGGCAGGCAAGCAGATCAACCACCCTGGCGGCTAGGGGCGCGACACGACGGGGGGCCATGGGCGAGATGGGGGTGGTGCTGGGCTGCCCGCAGCGGCTGGGGGCGCCTGCTGGTCGGCTTACAGGCCACTTCCGTCCTTCTCAGCCCCTGTGATCTGGCGGTCGTGCAACACCTCTCGCTCCATGGCGCGCCGCGTTCCTTGGACGGCTGCGACGTGGGAACCGGATTGGACCGTCGCAAGCTTCTGGAAAGGGCGCGCAGAAGCCAGACATCCAGAGGCGCTTGCACCCTGGCTCCTGGCCGCGGCACAAGCAGATGGACGTGGATGGAGGGACGGGTGACGGCGTGTGTGGCGGATGCTTGCCGGCGGTCACGCGTCTCGCTCTGGCCCCCGCAACGGCCGACGTTCAAGTCGGTGCCCGGCCTTGATGCCGTCCTCGACGGAGAAGTGGCATGGAGTCCGATGAGCCACGCGCACGGGATAGTAATCGGTCCTCGCGCCTCGACACCTTGCCTCGGTGTCTGGCGGTGCCGTTCCTGACAATGACAACAGCGGCTGAACCTGCGGGGGGTGGCCGCTGACCGACAATTAGATAGGGTAGCGTTGCGATTGCGAAATCTGAGGTTGCATTTTGGCGGTACTTTGGGGATACTTGTGTCCCTTGCTCCATACCTTGGCTCGAGGTATACGAAGCATGGTACTGTGCACAGACTGACCTGAATGCAGCGCATACCGGTAGCAGCAGCAGCAGCAGCAGCACCGCACACACCCCCGTGCCGACGACGGGACTTGGCGAGGGGTGTCGTCAACGGGTAGGTAATCTAGCTCTGCAGCGAAAAAGTCTATCGCACATACAGAACTGAACGCAATGCGACAACGTGACGGGCTTGTCGGGATTACCAGGGATGGCCGCTTGGCCATGTCATGGCAGCGTGGGTGCCATCAGACGAGGCCATCGCACCGCGTGCCGGTCGTAGGGAGCGAGGGCGACGGGGAGGGGCATAGGCACGCCGTTGGCAAACCTAAACGCTCGCGTCAGCCAGTGTGCGTCTGACCGTCACCTCCCCCGCGCGCCTCACCGTTCGGTCGTTGCCTGTCAGCCGTCGGCGATGCGTTGCGGGATGAGCTGTCGGCGGCGAGAACGGTGGTGGTCGCCCACCGCGTGGGGGAGATGGGGAATCTCGAGGTGAAGCTTGGGGGTTTGGTTTGGGAGCCTCCGGCCGCCATTGGCGCCTGAGGTAATCCACCGTTTGGTAGGTCGTACCTGAGGAAGGTACGTACCGACGTGTAGTGCACTGCCAGGCAAGGGAAGGGAAGGGACGGTGGAGGGTTTTCGGCGTGCAGTACTGGCCGCCGAGGAGGGCTCTGGCTCTGGTACCTCTTTCCTCTCAACGGTGCTCTCATCGCCCCATCGCCGGTCGCTGGTCTCTGCTCTCTGCTCACCAGCTTCTTCACCTCCCAGCCAGGCATCCAGCCCAGGCTGCCAGATGCCTCGACCCAAGCACCAAGTCCCGCCAGCACAGGGGCCCCCTCCTCTCCCACCGACCGATCCCCTCAAAATCGGGGCCCGAGGTTCGGCTCTTTCCAGGAGGCCCAGCGTGCTCCCATCCAACGCCAGGCAACCCTCCGTCATCTTACAGGCAATCATGCCGCACTCAGTGGCCCGCTCGTACGCCCCGAGACGCGCCGCCTCGTCCTGCTGGCCCAACCCGGGGCAACTCCGATGGAGGCTCAAGCCATGACCATGGCTACGGTCACGCCCATCACCACCGCTGGCGCCCCCCGACGCCCGAGCTCACAGCTCACTCAGGGGTTGGAGGGTTCTCACGACGGCCCTTGGCTGGCGGGCCTGGCTCGCTCCACCAAACTAACTACCAGCCTAGTCGTGAATCACTCACCCTCCGGCTCGCCGCCGTCGATTCCTTCTCCAACAAACGATCCGCCTTGCCGCCGTCACGCCATGGCTGTCGATGTTCGCACGGCGAGAGGGCAAAGCATGTCAGAATGCTGCCTGTGCTTCGGAGGCGGCCTCGGGCTGCTCTCCAGCCAGGGTCAGGCGCGGCTGGACCCTGCGACATGATCGACGCTGGGGTTCGCGCCCGCCAGCCCAGTGTGACAAGGCTCGACGTTGGGAACGCCTGAATTGTGTGCACCACTGACCAGTACCCGAGGCGTGGCCCCCCAACCGCTCGAGTACACGGCCCTACTCTCTGTCCGCCGTGACTGGTCACTCGTTCGATGCTCGCGCCGCGTGCATTGGGGTCAAACGGTACGACCTCAAATCGCCCAAGCAAGCTCGTGTACATAATACGCCTGCCAGGCCGCTGCACCAGGCTGTCTTCATTCGCCCATGGTTCTGGATGGGGTCGCACACACGTGGAGGAGTCGGCATGTCTCTCTCCCAGGCGCCGTCTGTGCGCTCGTTGTCGCTCTGCCCGCCTTGCCGATAACACACCCCCTGTTTTCCCCGCTCCAGGAAGGCCGATCCCCACAACGGGGCAGCCGACACGCAGCACTGCGTTCACTCCCCTGAGCCTGGCTGCAGACGCCTGTCCATCAAGAGTTTGCACGAGGCGTTCGCTCTTGCGCTCATTGCTTTTGTTTGGGCAGTCTGTGAGAGAGGCTTGCGGGAGTGGCCGCGGAGCTTCCAACTCGACTCTTGGGCTGGCACGGCGCTTCTGCCATCAACTGTAACGTGCAGCGGTCAACCATGTCGGCTTTTCCGCCGCGTTGTTCCTGCAGCCCCAACTTCGACACAACACATCGCGCGTCGACAGGCGGCGCTTGGAAATGTAATCGTGAAGGATATCGGCTCAGCAGGGCGTGTCTCGTTCTGTCTACGGACCGCTTGTGCGAGAGACACTCCTGGCAAAATTTTCTTTTCCGTTCCCGAATATTTTGCTTGTCTCGTCACACTCCCCAGCTATACGGCAGGACCTTTTGGGAATCGTCGCTGCTAACAGCGCCTGCAATGGCCGGGGACGGCACTCAAGAACCATGTCCCATGAAGTGGCAAGGTCCTGCGATACGTCAGATTCGTCCGGTTAGGCGGTTCGTGCACGCATCACTCAGCAACACACACACCGGCTTGCGCCCAAAGCGGTGGGCCTCAGCGTCTCCCAATCCACATCGTCGGGCCGCCTGGCGATTTCTTGCGGGTGGCCAAGGCCCCGTGGCTGGACCCGTGGGGCCTTTCTCCCCGTAAGGATCTGAATGCTCAGGCCCAGGATGGAGCACCATCCCGAGAGCCTGGACAGCCAAGCATTCGACACAGGCAAGCATCCGCATCACCTGCGGGCCATTGCGCAGGAATGGCGAGCCTGCTGCCGGTGCATACAGACAAGTACTTGCACAGGGGCAACGGGTCCCGCCTATGGAGGACGCTTATCGGAGCGCTCGCGATTGCATGCCGGCGTATGGCCCGCATGGGGGCCGGATAGCACCCTATCGCGTGCTGTAAGGACCTTTTGTCAAACTCGTGATTCTGCCGTACAGGACTGTCCCGGAGCCGATCTGAAGGCTGGTTAGTCCAAGGACAGCCCCTCCGGGTAAAGTACCGGCGATAAACCCAACCGAGCACGAGCCCAGGACTGGACCCGGCCCGTGAGGCCCTTGCCCGAGTCACATTATTTGAGAAACAATCTCGGGATTTGTTGGCAACTCTGCTGTGCGTGTGAAGCCGCGGGCGCGAGGTGGGCGTGTGGGATGAAGTTGTCACAGCCTTCCAGTCGGACGCAATGTGACATGGGATGGTGTAGTAGCAGCGCTATAGCGCTGGGCCAGGCAATGGCGACATTTCCCGCCAGTGGCTTTCTCGTGCAGAGTTGCAGACCGCCTCGGTCGATGAAACGGGGTTCGAGTTGAATCGCTGTCGCGGACAAGAGGACCTGCCATCGAGGCTCGGTCATGCTCGTACCGAACGAACGGCTCGGCACAAGCGGCTGCAACACCCTCAATGTTGGTTGCTGCACGGACCCATGACGAGGAAAGAAAAAATCATCACGAGCTTTCTGCCGGCCTCTGTGCTGTGCTGGAGCGAGTGGTCCGAGATGTCGGTTCCCGTCGATGCCACGTCCGCCACCCCGACCCGAGCATTCTCTCCGCACTCGCGACGGTTGCAGAGTCACGTCACCAAAACACCCGCACCGTCCCGTCTTCGTTGTTTCCCAAGCACGGTGGGAGCAGATTCCCAGTTGAGCGAGATTGTCTGCTGTAGGTCTCACAACAGGGGCAGGGGCCATTGTGAGCAGCCGTATTTGGGTATGGTGGGTTCGAGGGGCAAGGGTTCCATGGCCAGAAGCGGGCAGCCAGCACCCCAACATAGTTGGAGCATCAAAAGCGTAGCACGGTTCATCAAGGTGAGTGACGCTGAATGCTGGTGAGTACCGACGCTGTCCTGAAGAAGCGCGGAGCCCTCCCGCCCATACCACGGCCACTGCTCGCATACCGATGTCTTTATCCCACGTTTTCCTCCTACTTCAGCATGTCTCACTTCACGTACCAGCTATCCCACTCTAAGTTTCGGTCTCCTGGCGTTGAGTGTGGTGCCAGGTGCATGGGAACACCGCGCTGGCTTGCATATGCCGCCACAGCATGCGGAACGGTCACTGGCAGGGAGGTGGTCGCTGGCACGTCTCAACCGCAATTCTCAGCGCCGATGACGGATCTGCATGTTTGCTCGAAGTCGACATGATAGCGCGTAGGGAGCCGGTATTGCAATGCCGTTCAATTGCCGACGCCGCGAACATTGGAGGCTTGCAGAGTTGGCTACCATGGCTAGGAGTCGACGTAGTCACGGAACATCGCCACCCAGCCCAAACCCCAGACATGGGACGACACGCCCTTTCATCTCGGCGGAGCTCAAAGGGTCCCCCAAAAGGCCAAGAGCCAAATGCTAGAAGCGAAACGGAAATTGGAGAAACCGACGACGGCGTGTCCGCCATCTCCGCGCGTTCGCGCCAGGAACGTAATACCAATTAGTGGTCGCCGTGGTATTGTGTAGCTCTGCGGTGACATGGCGCCCAGCTAGCGGGCCATCGCACGCAAAACCCGCCGTGTGGCATCGGGGGCTGTCTTGGATCCAGACCAGACTAACGAGGCGCGCAGACGACGACCCGAGGGAAGACGAGCGGCCGTTGACGCCGTCTTGCCCCCAGCTTCGGACCCTCGCCGGACGGCCCTGGGGGCGTGTATGTGACCTTGCCCGCTGAAGACAAGACGGTCGGTCTCGTTCTTCGGCGAGTAAGAGTCGTCGGTTTTGACAAACGGGCAGGCACATCTACGGGCTGAGTCTAGGGGTTCCGGCGTCTTTCGTCCGCCGTCCTGTGTCCCCCCTCTCCGCCCTTCCCTTCCCCCGCAATGTTTGGGGTCCTTGCCGTACCGTCTCATCGAGTGCGAGCTCAACCGGGTGGTTTCTATGGAGTGGCTTGCGGTTGGGGAAGAGCGTGGGGGCTGGCCGGAATGCTACAGATGCGTGTGTAGGAAGCGGGGGATGTGATGGGCGAGATCAACAGGGCGAGACACAACGGATCGCCGGTGCTATGGCTGGACGAGAAGGTTGCTCGGGTTGGCCATCGCGCCCAGTCGCTAGCTTCCGGTGTCGGGTACGCCGGTCTTGCCATGTCTTGGACATTGTAGAGGATAAGCTGAGTGGCAGAGTTGAGGCTTGGCCGTGTGCAGCCCCCTGGTGATATTAAGCCTTGAGGTGTACGTAGGCACGGCTAGGAAGCAACGCGATACAGGGTCAGGACGTATGAATGGGTGCTATGAAAGACAGAGCCACTTCAGTATAGTGTCGGTCAGTGGTGAGTGATATGCCCTCGAAGAAAAGGTCATGAGTGAAGAACATCGCTGGTTGAAGCATCCTACCATGCTCGACTTGCCTGACGAGAGTGAAAATGTCCAGCCAAGCAGGCTGGGTATAGTTCGGGGAGTTCCTGGTATACAGAAAAGCCTTGACGCTTGTCGAAGCATCGATGTAGACAGAACTGACTTGAGGGAAACGTGGAGACAAGAAAGGCGGCCTCTTCATTTGGTTCCCCCTTGGGATGACTTCCTTCACCACAACGACACGAACGGAGCACGAGAAGACACCAGGCTGCCTCCATATAATGCCTCCGTATGTTGCTCCCTTCCCGGTGAGTGAGTGACTGAGTGGTGTCGTTGACGTATATGACAAGACGCGCCCGACATACCTGATCATGCGCGTCTCACGGGCTGGACTGCCGAGACAGAAGACGGGAGCGAGCGCCCCCCTAGCAGAACATAATCACCGACAATCACCAAGTCACGAACAACTGAAGTAACTCGTCATAAGACGGTCTGGCTGTGATTACCCGGCCATTAATCTGTCTTGGCTGCTCTAGACGTAGAGGCGACAAGCAAGGACCTCAGCACTTCTGTGCAACTGCTCGTTGCACCCAAGCCCCTGATTGATCACGATGTCCGAAAGCTGCAACTTCGCTGCGCATCGTCGCCCTCCAGCACCCAGACTGGGATCATGACTGAAGCCTCGGCGTTCTAGAACTTGGCATGCCCGCCTCCGTACTCTCCTCCAACGAGGCCTCGTCCTTACGGCCCGCAGAACACAGGACAGGCCAAGGTCTTTCGTTGATCTCCGTGTCACCACCTTCCAGAAGCGACGACCCCCCTGCACCCCGCGTTTTCCAATGTACCTTAGGTAGGCTCACAGGGGCTCCGTCTGCTGCAGCAGCTGGTCTATCGGCGACGCGACGTTGACCTCGAGCGCGCTGCTGCTGAAAGCGTAGCTAGACTCCCAGCCGGCGAGCTCCTGCCCCTGGCGCGTGAGAGTCAGCTGCGCGTGGTGCTCGATCAGCTGCTCACGCGTGCGCGTCGGGTCCACCAAGACGGTCAGCCAAACGGGCGTTAAGTCGCGACTTTGCTCCAGCGATCGGCGCATGGCATCGTACGCCTCGTCTGGCACGGCAGCCGCTCTTATGCTCTGGTCCGTGACGTCCCACTCGGCGAGGCGGGAACGTTTCCTGGCGATCTCGGCAATGTCGCTGTCTGTCTCCTTGATGCCCTGCTCGTAGCGGTCGCGCTGCCTGGCAAGCGCGGCATCCAGCTCTTCCTGCAGGCGTGCGCGGCCCTGCGCCCTGTGAGCGACCCAGGCCTCGTGGTCGCTCTTCATCTTGTCCAGCCCGTACTGCAGGAAATACAGCGCCTTGGCGTAATTCCCCGTCCACTCCCTCGCCCGCCCGATCTCGCTGCGTATCGCCTCGAGCTTCTCTTCTCGCAGCCCCCTCACGAAGAATTCTCGGTCCTCGATCCCTTCATTCACAGCTTGGGTCTTCGGTGATGCATTGGGCTGGTTGCGAATGAGTGCCTGTATACGGGAGTTGTGAGCTGCGCTCGCGCTCCCCTCGGCAGCCGCCTCATGGTCGACGCAGCGCTCGCATTTCCCGTGAAACGACACCCTAAGCTTGGTGTCGCAGATCCGCCACTCGTCCTCGTTGTGTGCACATTGCCTGTCGTCGCAGGCGGCCGCTTCTATATCGCTGTGAGAACAGCGCTCATATGCGAACATATAGGTATAACAGGGCATAGTGAGATGTCCGATATGCGCTGCGGAATCCAGTCAGAAGCTATAGACCAAGGGCCGTGGTTAGCCAAGTGCCTCGGGGGTTCAAGTCGTGTGTAACTATCACAGTAGTGGCCTTTATCGACAAGGGGGTTGAGATGACACTAGGGTAGATGGTTAGAGGGGAACAAAGACGACACTTGCAACTAGAATCGATGCTTCTGACGGTATTCTGACGAGTAGCTCTTGTGAGAGGAAACAACGGGACGACCGACGAAAGCTCTGATCGAAATTTGGACGTCACGTGGGAGCAAGAGAGAAAAGGAGACTGAGATTTTCAAGGCTGTCCATCGTCCATTGCTAGGAATTGCGCCGGCAAGGAACGACAATCCAGGGGACGGGAGGTGACCCGGTTTTCACGGGCCTCACGGCCGGCGTGGGGCCGGACAAAGCGGCTTGGACGTATGCACCAAGGCTTGCGCCACGTGAAGCCATCGCAGCCCGCGCGAGGTTTCTTGTCGAGTAGTGACGTAGTGCGAACTACTTGTTGTCTCGTGGTGTACAGCGCCGTACGTCAGACTATGTCATGGGCGTCGAGCAGAGGGGTTTTCGGCATGCTTGGGGCACATCCATGAAAAATGAAGGATGCTCTTATTAGCTTGATGAGGTCTACTTAGACAGGTAAACTTGCCAGACCGTGCTCGCAACAATCCCTTGACGCAGCCACGCGCCGATCCAATAACGCCTAAAGCTAAACCAGTGAGCGACGACAGCCTCGCGAGCGGGATCAGGATCCCAACAATTTCGCCAGCGCGTCAGCGCGTCAACGGGAGACAGCGGAGCCCCTCGATGACGCCGGCGTCAGGGGGCGACGGACGACGTCGGGGCTAATGCTGCGCGAGCAGAGGGACTGCGCTGCAAGTTTCCTGTATCCGTCGAAGCTGGCCTGGGGAGGTTCGTTTGCTGGGCTGATGGTCCCGCTGGGGGCCTTTTCGTTCGACACGAGGCCCTTGGCTTGGACAAAGGCGCTTGAGCGAACATGGTGCGGGTCCCGCTCGTAATACTTGTCCAGTATCGGGTGTACCATGACGGTCTGGCGGTGGATTGTCAGGATGGAATTTGTCGGTACATTGACCCAGTTCTCTGTTGCATGCACGTCAGCGCCAGTCTTTGCGGCCGTGGTATCCGACTAGTCAGCGGCTGCTTACCTCGTTCAAACGTTAGGGGTTCGCTGGCGACGAGGACAATGTCGGCGCCTCTGTCCTTACGCTCCATCTGATACTGTCGATCATTTGGGTCGGCTGTGCGCGTGACCCATTGCGTTCCCGAGGAGTAGTACAAGCTGGCAGCCTCGTCCCGCGAGCTGCTGATATATCTTGTGCAAATGATGCTGTGGCCGTCTGTGACCGCAAAGTTGAGCAGACTCCTAGTATCGACATCTTCGCTCTGCAAAACGTCCTGCGGTATCGAGTCCGTCAGAGCGTTTATTTGGGCTATTGTCTGCTCCACCGCCGTGCGCAAGACGGTAGGTCCGAACCCTTTTTCGGGGCACGCGCTCGGGTCGTGACCGAGACGCTCGAGGGTGTCGAGGAAGAGGGCAAATGCCCACTCGCTGTCGGTGCCGCCCTTGACTCCAAGATACCACTTGTCCGCCAGGCGGGCGCCCAGCTTTCTTTTTATGTGCTTCCACCCGCCGAGGCCGCCGTTGTGCATCCACATCAAGCTGCCATGGGTGAATGGGTGGCAGTTGTCCTCGCTAAGCGAGCCCTCGGTCGTGGCACGGACGTGGCCGAAAATCAGGCGTGACGCGGTCTTGGATGCTATTCGCTGTAGGTTCGTGCAGTTCCAGGCCGGGGTGGTCGAGGTGAAGAGGCAGGGCGCGGATCCTAGCTTGGGGTCGGTGTAGAAGCCGATGCCGAAGCCATCGGCATTGTTCTGGCCGCGCCGCGTGTCCTGCTTCATGGTCAGCGTCGTCTCGCAGTGCGAGCAAGCAGCGTGATGTACGCACCAGGCGCAACCGGGAGTCAAAGGACTGCTTGAGGATCGAGTGTGTCGGGTCGAGAATGAGCTTGGAGAGGAGGATCTCGTCACTGCCTTTGTATACCTGTCCAGCGTTGCATGCCTGTTAGGTTCTGGGGACCGACTTCGGAGGGGCTTGCGACGAACCAGAAAGCGGCACATTGCGGCGGGTTACGCAGCAGCGGCGAGTGGCAGTTGAAGGTCGTCGGACTGCGGCTGCTCTCGCCAGGTAATTAGGTCACAACGGAGTCGCGTAGAGGAGTTGCAGTTGTCGAGGCAAAGGTCGAAAAGTCGTCGGCGGAATGACTGTTGGGACGTACGGGGTTCTGAATCAGGGATGGCAATGACACCATCGCTCCACCAAAGTGCGTCTATAGCTCGTGCGCAGCGGCCGACAACCGGGGTTCAGGGCGCGTGACAGGTTGGCTGTCAAATGCGGCGACCATAGGAAGTAATGCGGACGAGGATTGTAAAATAAAGATGGATCCTCAATGAGGACAGGGAGATGAAGATGCGTCAGAAGAACAGACGTGTTCTGATGGCGAATTCCAGCGAGTCAGGTTGGCGAGCTGGAACTTTCTTTTTGGGGTATGCGCACGTGCTGCGCGTCCGGTGCTGCCGCCTGCGCGCGCCTGTGGCAGCTGCATCGCCACTGCGGCGGAGAACCCTGGAGGTCCCCGTGTGAGCGTTAATGGCCACTCCTAGTCGGCAAAGAGAATGGCACAATGCATTCGGAGGAGCTATACGCATTGCGGCGGCATCCATGGATCGTTCCCGGGACCCAATACTCGTGTCTACGGGCCCTACTCCAGGTTCCATACAAAACAACCCTCCGTGCTGTTGGCACATCTCAGCCTCACATTCCGTCTCGCCGTGGGGACACTTCCAGGTTGCCGCCCTTGGGGCTATACCAGGTGGCCTGGGGGCAGTGCCCCCAGACCACGGGCACACGCTGAGGGCAGCCCTGGAGGGGCATCCAGGGGCACGGCAGCGTCTGGGAGGCGCCGTGGGGCGGCCCGGAGGCCCTGAAGTCCCGGCGAGCTACCTAGTGACGTCGGTCCCGTCAGTGGTCCCAACTAGCACCGATCGGGCTCCATCACCCACCAGACGCGACAAAATCCCATTTACACGCTCCGCGTCAACGACACGACCGAACCGCGTATCGACGCACATGCCCCAGGGCGACTTGCCCATCTCCACCCCCAGCCAGCCTCAACCTCGAATCGCCCACGCTCACCACCGCAAACTCTGGCCGCGTCAAATGCCAGTGCTCCTGACGTTTCGTTAAAACCATCCTCCAGGCCCTGCCCGCGAAATGTCAATCTCCGAGTCTTCATGATTTAGCAGTGTGCTACTGGACTCGCCGCCCGCCCGCCACCCGCGTCCGCGACCTGGGGCCTCACCGTTCAAGCTCCAATCGTCCCAAGTTTCTTCTGATCTTGCGTTTGGTCTGTCTGCCCGTTGCAGACGACCGACGGGCGAGATGCAGCGCCATGCTTCTCCTCCGCCACCGCCGTCCAGCCCAACGGCTGCGGCATCGTCGTCGCCCGCCAACCCGTACCTCTCGCCCACGCGATCGGCCCAACGCAAGGAGAGGCGCGTTCCCTCCGTGACGCCGAGGCGCTTCAGACGCTTCTTCACTCCGCGGTCTCTCCCCGGACCTCGCACCGCGCTGGGAGTCATGGATTCTGCCGCTGTTAATCGCCAGTTGCAAACTCCCGTCTCTCTATCTGGGGACCTGCTCAGCTCGGACCCCATCTGCCCTTCGTCACCCACCGAGCGGCTAGGCGCCATGGACGACGAGGATTCGGAGAAGCGGAAGCGTGACGAGCAAGCAGGGCCGGCGGTCAAGAGGAGAAGAGGCATCACATTTGCAGACGCCCTGCAGCCGCCGGCCTTGTTGCGTGTTGATACCGAGAACCTCCCCCGACATGGAGCATCGGAAGCGCAGCGCGCGGGATCCGAGGAACGGCTGCCTCTGAGCGAGAGACGCAAGGCCACGCTTGTACGGCAAAACGACTCATCGCACCCTGAATCTACTGCTAACGCACCGCAGAGCCAGTTCTTCAAAGCTAGTCGCAGAGGTGTCCCCAGTCCGCACGAAAAGCTCCTCCTTCCCAGCCAAGATATTGTCGTTGGAGACGACAAGTCGTCCACTGTACGCGTCTCTCGCTACAGCCGAACTTTGATATTCGCTGACCTTTCGCCGCCGCAGCTACCGGAACGCTATCAACCACAGCCTATCCGCAAATTCCGCAACCGCGGCTTCGAGGCCCAACTCCTCGATCGCGAACACGGCTTTGCCTCGCATCATGGCCGCCACCTCCTCAACACTCCGGCATGCGACTCGCGGACACAGACCGCAGACTTCTACAGCGACAGCACCGACGTCCACCACTGCACGCCCATCGAAGGACAGGGCAACTGCATCCCCTTTAGCCTGGCAAGCTGCCACAACTCGGCCATTACCGCCATCGGCGACGAGCAGGGTTACGTCCGGCTCTTCAAGGCGTCCAAGGTATCTTCCGATGAGGACAAGCTCGCCGCCACCATAAAGGCCCACGACAACGCCGTCATGGACCTCGACTTCTCCAGCGACGACAGTCGCCTCGCGACCGCGTGCGGCGACCGCTCCGGCAGGATCGTCGACGTGCCGACCGGCACTGTGGCCGTCGAGCTCGGCGGCGGCCACTGGGACTCGCTGCGTCAGATCTCCTTCCAGCCCGGCAAGGACAACGGCAGCGTGCTCGCCTCCTCAGACAGGGCAGGTCGCGTGCAAATCTGGGACCTGCGGTGCTCGCCGCTGCCGGCACAGTGCTTCTCCACGAGCCACGTCTTCCAGGACCGCGACACGGCGCTCGACCCCTTCGCCGCGCGCACCGTCAACACCATCGACAACGCCCACGAGCGTACCGTACAGGGCAACACATCGTCGGCTTCCGTCACCGCCATGGCGTGGCTGCCCGGCGGCCGCGAGCACCTCCTCCTGACCGCCTCCGAGGCCAACGCCTCCATCAAGCTCTGGGACACGCGCTACATCAAGCCCCGTCGGCAGGCCGAGGAAACGCCCCTCGCCATCACGCCCCAGCCCGTCACCCACGCCTGGCGCTCCTACGGGATCACCTCTCTCGCCCTCGGCGCCGATGCCTCTCGCCTCTACGCCGTCTGCAAGGACAGCACCGTATACGCCTACTCCACCGCCCACCTCATCCTCGGCCACGCCCCCGAACTTCTCGACAACGCGTACCGCCGCCGCCCCGCCGGCGTCGAGGGCCTCGGTCCCCTCTACGGCTTCAAGCACGACATGTTCCGCGTCTCCTCCTTCTACGTCAAGTGCGCCGTCCGCCCAGCTCGCGACGGCGCGCCTGAGCTTCTCGCCGTGGGCAGCTCCGACAGCTGCGCTGTGCTCTTCCCCACCGACGAGCGATACATGCGATCCGCCTGGTCCCAGGGCGAGCATATCCTCCGCGACATCTCCTTCTCATCGTCATCATTCACCAACGCCGGGGGCGCCACGATGCCCTCCCAGTCCTTCACCTCGTCATCCTTCCTGACACCCTCGGGCCCCCACCCGTCCTCCTCCCCGCTGCCCATCTTCCGTGGCGGCACCCCGCTCGTCCGCGGCCACAGTCGCGAGGTCACCACCGTGTCGTGGGCCGCGCAGGGCGCGGGCCTCGTCAGCGCCTCGGACGACTACATCGTGCGCAACTGGCAGGAGGACTCGGACCGCGCGCGCCACCTTCGCACCGTGGGCGAGTTTGGCGGCGAGAGGCACCTCTCTGGTTGGGCCGACGTGGGCGCCGACTGGGACGAGGACGAATGCTGATGAGATGATGAAGGCTACCCAGGGGCACTCCATGGGGGCGGTTACAGTGATTTTTCTGGCATGGCCAGCAGCGTCAATGGCGTTTAAGCATGGCATCGGGAGGAGCGAGCGATGATGTTATTAGTACAAAGGTCGTCAGACATGACGACCATAAATGATGAATTACGATGACACTTCAATGATGAAATAAAAATGACTTGATAGTCTAGTCTAGGTGTGAAAGTGTCGCGCAGTCTAGTCATGTCCGTCATCGATGAAAGCCGCAATGTCCCAACACAACGCACGCTCAAGCTTGCGCCTGCTTTCTCTTAACCACTGGGTATCCTAAACGCTCAGCTGCTGCCAAATTCCAAACTCCACGCATTGCCATGCTCCACGCATCAGTACCATCACCCCTGATCCCCGTCTTGCTTCGCAGCCGGGGGATAGGAGACGACGTCGAACCGTAACCTCAAGGCCGAATCTCAACCTTAATAGCCCGCTGGCCGGCCACCATGGCGCCAAGGAAGATAACCCCAAACGCCACCACGACCACCCAGTGCGTCAACCGGGACTCTGAGAGCTGCTTATACGCCATCCTAAGCGTCTCCGGGAGGTCGACCTGCGAGGCGATGGACGTTTCGCGACTGCGAACCGGTAACTCGAGCACGTTGTCGAATCTCACAGACTTTGAGAACGCCGGACACAGTTCGATACCCGCCGGGTTGTTCGCCACGTCGGGATGATCCTGTGGCAGCGGCGGGGCCGCAGAGTCGCCGTTCATGAAGCCTGCGCTCGACTTCTCCGACAGCTTCGGGTTCGCAATAGGGCAGCTGCTATCCTCGTGCCCGGAAGATCGCTTCGACGAGCTCCGCTCTTTGCGCTCCTTCGTGACGATGACGCTGTCTCGAAGTCGATTTGCCAGAGGGCCTTTGAGGAGGCTGGCGAGTGAGTGCAGAGAACTCTCTCGGTGAGATGTATCGTGACCCTCCTCGTCCGGGAAGAGCGAGTCCAGCTGCTGCACCACCAGGGTGACATTCTCGAAGATGCACACCGCCTCCTGCACAATGTCGCGCTTCTCCCGAGGCGTGAGCATCTCCTCCGAGTCCACCAAACGCTGCTTGAACTCGCGCTTCAAGTCCTCGCCGTCCATGGGGGTGTCGAAGTGGAAGAAATGCAGCGGCATGTTGTGTCGTGGTCGAGCTTCGCCTGAGTCTTCACGCGGAGCCTCGTCGTCTTCCAGGTCGTGAGAGCTACCCTCCGTAGCCCATTCCTTCCGTTCGGACGCTCGCATGGTTGGCTGGACGGGAGACGGCTCTGCGGCCCAGAACGGCTCGCCGGCCGACTCGAGCGACGCCCTGATGAACCGGCCGCCGGCGAACAGGGCCATAAACATGATATATGAATAGGCCACGAGCACGTGCGGCTTGTTCGTAACGGCGCGCTTGATGTGATTTAGGAACTCTGAGAGATAGCCCATCTGCCCGATGTGTTGGAGCTGTTCTTCGATGACATGATCGGGCCAAGCCGTCATGGTCCGGATATCGGCGCGGAGTCGCTCAGACCGCATCAGGCCGGGCAAGTGCAGATGCTCCAGCGTGGAGTACATTCTCCCACAGACGGCCGGCTTGTGCAGCTTCGGTTCCTCGTCCCTGGGGAGCAGGACACTCCCCGTGTCGAGCAGCGGAGCCTCGGGATCGCATCCGTCTGGAAGGCTGTCCTTGGAGGCGGGCTGAGACGGCGTCGGGGGCGGTGAGTCGAGAATAGCCTTCCATTCCTCCTCAAAGGTTGTGTAGATGGGTGCGATGTGTAAGAGGCCGGTGAGAAAGGCGGCAGGATCAGAGGCCCGCGGGGGCAAGGCAAGGGGCAGGCGAGAGACGATAAGCTTGTTAAGCCGTGCGTGGATCGACCGCGTAGCCAGGGCGATGGACTCGGCGAGCGGTCTGTCGGCGCGGAACGAGTCCAGGTGGATGACGGACATGGCGTGCCGGGACGAGCTGGACATGGCCCAGCTCCGCGACGGAGAGGCGTATGGAATATTGGGCGCCAGGATGACGATGTTTTGTAGGGTGCGTGACCCGGTATAGGTGCAGGGTCAGTCGATGTTGTTGGGAGGAGAACGGAATATGCCAGCAGCCTGCACACGCAACGAATCCGCTTCGACTTTGCGTGCAGGGGAGCAGCGCGGCGTATCGATACTTCTGTTTGGCAGGCGCACGACGAAGTCTTTCGTGCAAGAGAGGAAGGAGGAAACGATGACGACGTTGTGAACCCGTTACCCGCAACAACACCAGCGGCCCCTCGCAGGGGGAAGGGGAATGGTGTGCTGTAGATGAACAAGGCAAGGAACAAATGCCACGATCGAAATCCTCTCTCCTCGATAATAAAAACCGATATCCCCGCGTCTTCAGCTGTCAAACCTGAATCCCCCACCCACCGCCCGTCGGGACGGAACCCACAGGGGGGAGGGTCCTACGAGACCCCAAGGGTAGCGTCGGTCGATGAAGCTCCAGACGCGATTTGCGTGCTGGATGCGAACGCGCCGAAAAGGACAGGGGCGACAATGGGGTGGCAGCAGGCCCCCGATCCGGGGCAATAGCTCCTAGGCCGAATCGCACCCAGTGGGCTGGATAATAAATAATCTGGGTCTGGCTTCCACTCTTTTTCTCTTGGCCTGGAGCATTGTCCCGCCCCGGGGGGCATTACTCGCGACCTTTTATAAACCCTATTTAGTATCGGCGTGTTGGCGGACCCCGAGATCTCGGACTCGTGGGTCGTGCTGGACAAGGTGACGGGTTTTTGACAGGTTTGACGGGGGGTCTCCAATCACATTGGCTGCTTTGCCGGAGAGGGAGAGGAAGAGAGGGAGGGAGGGAGTTGACAAGTCGTTGCGCCGCACATGATGGTGTTGCCATACGGAAGCACACGCGGACCCTCGCACAGCAGGCAGGCAGGCAGCGCTACGGCGGCGGCGGTGGCAGCCGACCAGGTCCTACAACATGACCACCGGGGGGCAGGGGGCGGAAGGAGGGGGGCAGGGCCAATTTTCGATTACCAAGGTTGGAAAAACAGATAGAGAAACCGGGCTCTTGGGCCGCTCCGCTGGCATGTCTGCCCCCGGCTGGTCTCTGGTTCTCCACGCGAAAGCAAGGCACCGCGTCGAGTTGCGATCGAGAAAATGTATGGCGCATCGGGAGCGAAAGGCCTTTTGCGCGCGACGACGACGGGACTCACCCCCTTCGCCACCAGGGGGGGGCGGCCGGCGGGAGGCAAGCTCCGTCTAGCCCGCTAAGTAGCACCGGGTCGCTAATAGTCTTCTCGCTCTATGTTTCTCTCACTCACTCGCGTGCGCCCGCCCGTCAGCCATTCAGCCAGCCCACGGCAAGCAAGCATCAGACCGGAGTTCTTGTATGACAACATAGTCCGACAGAACTGTCAAGTTTGCAATAAACCAGGCACACAGATGCTGGCCGGAACGACGCGGGGCCCGCTTGCGGCTCCCCCCCGGTGCTGTTCAAGAGGGGGGCCCATGAGGGGCCGGTCAGGGCCCGCGACCGAGAAAGGGAGGGAGGGGCGTGTTAGGCCCAGGCATGGGACACAGGGGAACTGCGGCTGACATGGGCAATTCTGCAATTCTGCATGGCGGCATGCATGGGCAATTGTTTGCTACTACGTGCAGCCGTTGACGCGCATTGCATTGCAGCATGACGTTTTGTTTGGCCCCGTCCGCGCCGACCGTACTGAGCGTGGCTGCGTTCAAAGGCGACGACCGCACAACGACGATGACGCTCAGCTGAGTTGAAACACCGTCACGGTTCGTCCGCGATACCTCTCGGGCTGTGCCGATAACACAGAACGCGGCAAGACGGCAAGTCCAATTCCTCGGAGCTCATTTTCAGCCCCGGACGGCATCTCCCGACATTTGTGCCCCCGCCGCCACGGTGTCACCGGAGAGAGCGCTGTCCCGTCTGTGCGTTCCCAATCAATATAGCCTCTATGGCGAGACAACGACGCCGTACGATGAGTTTGCCCACGACTCCGCTGTATATCGGCCCAAAGTCCTCAAAACGCCACATGCAACTGCCTATCCAAAAGACGCAACTCGAAGCGACTCGTCGTCTATACGGCAGTGACCGATGCCCGCCTCGCCTCACCCGCGCCCGCACCCGCGCCCGCGGCCCCCTTGTCTTCGCCGTCCTCGTGGCTCTCCTTGTTTACAAATACAAACGACACGAACACGACAGCTGCGCCGATCCAGTACACGAAGCTCGAGTATTGGCCGTACTGAATCATCTCGCCCACCAGGGACAGGGGTATCGTCAGCGACAAGCCCACCGTCACCACGAGCGGCGTCGTCAGGAGCATCGCAAACGCCCACGATATGTCGCTGATGAATGACGACAGAGAGTTGACCTGAGACTCGTTAGCACTCGGCGGCGCGACGTGGCCGGACCCAAGACATACGATGATGATGACCCACACCTGGCCGGTTGGTGGCATCTCGAACTGGCGGCAAGTCAGCAATAATTCGGGAACACGGGCGGGCTTGTGCGACGCGGGACATACCGGCTCAAGGCCCGTCCAGTGGAGGATAAAGAAGAGCGGCCACAAGAAGACGAGGTTGAAGACACCGACCAGACCAAAGAACAGCTGCATGTCCACCTTGTCCTCGTTCCCCACTCGCCGCTTCATCACCGTCACATACATGCCGTATATGACGGCGCTGAGAAACGCCATCGAGTCGCCAATGGCGATCTGCCCGGGGGTCTTGTGCGGGAATGAACCCCGGTTCTCGTCACTGCCCCCGGTCAGATCCACTGTCGAGATTAGGACGATGCCGACGAGCGATGCCATGACGCCGATGAGCTTGCGGATGGTAAAGGACTCCACCCGGAACAGCGCGCAGAAGATCAGCGTCCAGACGCTGCTCGTGGATGTCAGGATGGTGACGCTTGCGACGCTCGTGTACTCGAGACACGCTGACGCAAAGTAGTTCGCCAAGAACCATAGCATGCAAAACTCGAGGCTCAGAACAGCCGTCTCCTGGAAGCCCAGCTTCTCGTCCTGCTGCAGGGCGGGCTCCAGGCTCCCCTCGTCGTCCACCAGCAGTCGCTCGCCGGTCGTGTCGTCATCGACATCGTCGGACGGCAATTTGGTATGTGATGTCTTGTTTCTATAACTGTGCCACATCTGCACCACATCATGTCGGAGACCCCGTACGCCGTTATGAAGCATGTATTTTGTAAACATTGGTATCAAGGACACTGCGAAGATGGACGTGTTGACGTAGACAAGGAAGAAGGGCTTATCGTAAGTGTGGTCGGAAAATATAAACTGCGTCGGCGCCGCGTCAGTGTCGTCCGGCGGTGGATCAGGACAGACGGGATGGAGGGGCTTACGCTGGCTAGAAAGTTGGACAGGGTCCAGAGAAATACAGTGAGTAGGAGCAGGCATATGCCCAGCGTGCGCCTCGCGATGCCTGCGAGGCCGATCCTGGCGCGGAAACCGCCCTTCTCGACGGTCGGGACGCGCACGAGCATGGAGGAGCCCGTCGACGCGGCGAGGTCGGCAGCGTCGGCAGAGAGGCGCCTCCTCTCCGGTGCCAGTGAGAGGCCTTCCACCTCGGCGGCGGTCGCCTCGCTGAGGCGCCTGGATCCCGGCGAGGCCATCACGGGCCGCGCGTCGATGGGGACTGTGAAGGGGCGGCGGAGCGGGCGGGGAACATTCGCGGTGTCGGCAGCATCCCTTGACGGGTTGTCGGCTCGTGCGTCGGTGCCGGGGTGCGGTGTGCGAGGAGAACGAGCGAATGTCGGGACGGTCGCGGGCGCATCTCACTGTCGAGACGGCGGTTCTGGCGGGCTCGCGTCGGACGTCGATGGTGGGAGGTGACGGGACGGGATGGGACAGCCCTGCAGGGCGGCTCAAGCAGGTGACGCTGCCGAAAGACCAGACCAGGGGGGGAACGGGAGAGCCCAACTCCCGTTCCGAGTGGCTGTGTGGGGCCACCACTCCTCGCCAGCGTCCCCGTCCATTTGTGGGGGATGGATCTCCGCCTAGATTCAATCACACCTGGGCCTTTGCTCGGCTTCCACCTACGGTCCACTCCATGCACAGAATTTGTATACCTACATTATCCAGGAACTGCATCGGAAAGCTGCATCGGAAAGTAGGAGCGTGAGCGGCACACACTTTCGGCCGACAAGATGGACTCACTTGGCAATCTGCCATGAAACCGCCGACCCTCCAAGCCTGCTCTCCCACTATCCAGACTCTAGACTTCGCCGCACCACGACAATACCGCAAACCTTTGGCAACAGGAGCGCTCCTAGCTTGTCCGCCGTCACTGGCGGCAAGCACTGTGTTGCCACGCCACCCAGCCGGACCCGTCGAGTGGCTGGTACATCGGCTGGTAACCAAGCTCAACCAAGAGGTCTAAGAGAGCCGGAGTCCGGTTGGCGTACGAACGCCTAATGCCAACGACCATCTGATATCCGCCTACATTTGGTTTGCGAACCAATTCTGAATTGGGGTTCTCGCCGTCGGTGGAAACCACCCCTCCGAGCAAGGCATTCGTGGCGCTGAGGTGGACGAGACCCGGGCCGATTCTTGTGTTGATATGTTGTGCTACGTACTGAATCTGTCCAAAGCCTCCGTCAAGGAGAGTGAAGGTGCCGACGTAGATGAAATCGGTGCTGTGAAGGGGCAACCCCGTGTAGTGGCGAACGCCGGCGGCCTGTTCTGCCGGTCGCAGGGTCTCCGGCTTGTGAGCCACGGCGCTTTTGCCCGGTTTTCAGTGTCGATGTGAACGAGGGCTTCTAGGGCAGACGAATGGAGGTGCAGCCGGAGAGAAGACGAGTGCAGCAATTGAATCGTCAACATGGCTCCTTATTACAGTCTTAAATTGCCCGATCCAAGACGACGGGACCAGAGGCAGACGCGCATTCATCACCAGCGTTGCTCCCTTTGGCCATTATTACGATGATTCGAAACCCAGGTTGGTTGGTCTGTGAGCCAGGCGATTCTGCAGTATTACCTAGTAGGTGCGTTCTTATCTCCAAGACGCCACAGAATCGCTTGGCCGTGATGGTGCCTAAAGTGGCCGGCAACTGCCAGGCGTATAAACGGAAATCGGGCAACCATCTAGACGTCGTCAAGACGGGCTTGTTATGTAAAAAAAAGATGAAAGCTCCATTAGCAAGCGCCGAATGTCTGCACGCAGGTCGGCGCTGCGCAAAAGCGACCAGCGAACGCCACGCGTGTCGCAGCACCTGCGTGTGCCTCATGACGGTGGCCCGTGACCCCGTCGCGCGCGCAGCGTCGGGCGGCCGGGCACGGGGTGCTTGATGCCCACCGTTGTCGGACTTGTTTGCGATTCCGTTATTTTTGACTTAATTACTTTTCATGTCGACACAGCGCAGACTGAATGTGGCGTTTATACCACTAAAGGTCATACAGACGCACTGAGTTGTTACGGCACCAAGTTTCGCGGGCCTGGCATCAGACAGTCACATGCTGACAGCCAACGGTTGTACTCAAAGCATAGCGACTGGCACTATTTTGACATCGTAATCGTTTCAACCCCCATCTCTACAGCTTTACCACCATGGCCTCGGGCTCCATGCCCTTGCCCTCGACCAGCACGCCCGCCTTGCGCAGGATGGACACGCAGTCAGCCACCACCTCTGGCTTGACGCCCTCCGTCCTCTGCGGAAAGCGCACCGTCTTGAGCCACTCGCGCGCGTCTGCCTCAGAGTAGTCCAAGTTCGTCGAGATGTACCGCACCGCCTCCTCGGGGTTCTCGTTGAAATGCCGCACGCCCTGGTCCAGCTTCGCGAAGAGGTCCCGCACGCGCGCGTCCACCGATGCGCCGGTCGGAGGCGCCAGCTTGGTCGACGCGACAATCTTCCAGCTGCTCCAGGGCGTGTAGATGTCGCCGACGCGGCGGATCTCGCCCGAGTCGTAGTACTTCTTGGACGTGAAGTGCTCCCACATGAAGAAGTCGGCCTCGCCCGAGTTGACGGCCCCGCGCAGCTTGTCGAACGTGTTGAGCACCACCGTGTCGGAGAAGGGCTTCTTCTGCTGCTGCTGATCCAGCCAGCCGTGCTTGTCGGCGAGCACGAAGCCCATCACGTAGCTGCCGGAGCCGATGCGCGAGACGCCAATCTTGCCGCCCTTGAGCGAGTCCACCGACGTGATGTCCGGGCGGTCGGCGCCCGTGGAGATGGCCCAGCCTGTGTAACGCCGTTGAACGTTGTGAGCCAGTGACACCAAAGCGACCCAACCCTCCCCGTGCATGCATGCCATGCAGGCTTCCCGACGCGGTGATACGTACACAGCGGAGTCTCGACGTAGGTCCCGACGAGGCGGTACCCGCCGTCGCCCTCGACGCCCTCCTTGCCGAGTCCGGCGATCCAGCCCTCCGTCAGGCCAATGCCGACGTCGATGTCGCCCGCCCGCAGCGCCGTGACCATGTGCCCGGTGCCCGAGGGGAAGGGGATGAGCGTCGCGTCGAGGCCATAGTGCTTCTGCGCGAAGTGGAGCGGCGTGGAGAAGTGCTCGGGCACGAAACCGATGCGCAGACCTTGCGAAGCCATTGTTTGGAGTGTGATGCCGCCGACGGGGCTTGCGCAATGGGCCGGTGTTGATGTGTCGAGTGAAAAGGCTCACTCAACGATGTGGTGCCGCTGTGACGCTGCTGTCAAATATGGCGGGGTTCCCTGCGAGCTGTTAAGAAGTTCAGCGCTGGCCCGGCATCCGGTGCCGGCTTATGCGGCGGGGCTTCCATCCGCTCCGGCACTGCCGCTGACGCCGAACGCTATTGAGCCGAAGTGCGGCAGTGAGATTCCATCAACATTAGATAGTATTAGCCGATGACAAGATCGCCGGCTTACTCAAAACATGTAAGATAACAGGGACGGGGATATGTTTGGAGATGTGCACAGTTTGCACTCTGCTACCGCCACAATCTTTCTGGCGTTCCAGCCGGAAGAAATAGTTGTCGAAAACACGCGTTCTCATCGCCAAAGTTGCGTCCGTGCCTGCTTCATCGTCAAATCGATGACGAATCTCACTTCAGCGAACCTTCTGCAAAACCACCTTTTGGCACTTCATGTTAGCCACTTAAATGCACGATCACATCGATTCTCACCCCCACCAGCAGCATCCACCATGAAGAAACCGTCTTCGTAGCACAACCTAGGTCAGTGCCAACGAGGTTGCAGAATTGGTGTCGTATAGACCATATAAAACCATTCATGTACGCCATCCCATCCAGGATTGAACTGCAAATTGTACTCTGCCAACCAGATTTCGACGCAATACAGTCTTGCAAACAAATACAACATATTTCATCCAAGATGCAGCTGTCTCAGTCACTCCTCATCTTCGCTGGCCTCCTCAGCTCCTTCGCCTTGGCCTCTCCTGCTCCGGTCAACAAGAGTCCTGCATCGCCGAAGCCTACCGGCGGAATCGGTGCTTTCCTCGTGCAGTGCGGCAGCACGATGGCCAGCATTGGCCGCGGCGGCGATTCGTCCAAGTGCGGCACATGCCAGGGCAATAAGTTCGTTCCCGCCCCGGATACCGGAGCCACCGAATGCGCGGTATGCACCTGCGCTCCACCGTCCCAGCCCTCTGGCGGTCAGGTCGCTGGCAGTAGGGCCACTGCCGGCAAGGCCACTGCCGGTAAGGCCTCTGGCGGGAAGGGCGGTATCGGTAGTTTCATCGTCCAGTGTGGCACCTCCATGGGCAGCGTCGCCAGCGGCAGTGCCGTAGCCAACTGCGGCGAGTGCGAGGGCAAGGTGTTTGTTGCCTTTCAGGCTGATAATGCCAATCAGTGCCAGAGGTGCACATGTGGTGAGTAGCATGTTTACCAGACACTACCCTCCCCGGCTGTCGCAATACAGAGGTGCTGGGAGAGAGAAGACTGGAAGGAAATTGCTAACTGAACCAAACAAGTCCCCAGTAACAAGTAGAACAAAGCCAACGCTACCCCTCGATGATGGAACGGGATACATCACTGGTTCTCTCCGAATGTTCGAGCTTGCCTTGATATTCGTGAGTATGGACTAGTGTACCAGGGGCAGTGATTTTGATACGATCTTTGACAGGGGGAGCAGACTTCCTGTACCAATAGACCTCTAAGCTTTCGCCAGTCTTACACCAGTAGTCTAATTACACGTGCTTAGTTTCAAATCCAAGTTTGACATGCGTCGTTACCGCATACTTTTGGTCCGTGTTTTGGCGTTGGATCTGCGCAAGGCGGGAAAGCCTACCGCAATCCTTTCGCTTCTGGCCATGAATTCAATGCGAAGCCTGACTTGTTCCTTCGCTAGTGGTCTACTACGACATGCAATATTTGCGGACACTTAGCAGCGCTAATCAGTATAGCGCATAGTATTGTCGTCCGAGTCATGCTAGCTCTCCTTCGTTCCCGCCCTTCCAGCAATACTGGGCCCATCAGCTGAGAGACAGCTCGACGAGAAATCTGTTTGGCTATAGCCGTGAAGTCAGTTAAGAGTAGAAGGAGATTTGAGGTAAGCGAGCAAAGAGTGTACGATCTCATACCAGCCGAGATTCATCTGACAGTCCAGAGCTGACCATCCGCAGGTGTTCTTCTTATTGCAGCAACCACCAAACTTTGATTTCGCGCACGTATAGCCGGTCGATGCACCACAAGTGCCGTCCGGCGAGGTCTTCAGGAACTTAGCACATGTGCCAAATGCAGGTTGACAACCCTCTCCACAGTGCTTCGTAGAGCTGCCGCACCATCCATCGGGGCCGCAGCAATTTCCGAAACCAGATCCTTCGCACTTTTGCTCTCCTCGTCCACCACAGGCTCCGTCTGCAGAAATACCGCTGGCGACAGGTATGACGGCTGTAGTTGTCGGTGAGATGGTCACGCTGCAGGATCCAAATTTGGGCTGGCTTTCAGATTTGGAAAAGTCCCGGTCAGCACCCGTCCCTGCCAAGCTATATCATCGCCACGTTTAGAACAATCGAGGTTCTCAGGTGTTGCGAACTTACCACCCTAAGCCACAGTGCTCTACCCTGCTGCCACACTTCCCGTTGAACCCACAGCAGTTGCCAAAGGTCACATCACAGGTGTAGCCATTTGGATCGCCACAGGTTCCATCGGGGGTATCGCCAACCTGCCAGGGAGCCTTCCACTCTGGCTGTGGTATGATACAGTTGCCAGAGTAGCATTTGTCAAAACTGCAGAAGTCATCGCCAGCGCCACATTGGCCTTGTCGACTGCAACAGTCGCCCCATTTTCCTCCGCAGAGAAGACCATTCGCTAAAGGGCCGCATTTTCCATCCATGGAGTATTGCGAGGGAAATCCTGTACAAGCACCCTCCCAACAGGTGCCAGGGGCACAATCCTCCCTGTGATTCTTCGTTGAGACAAAGGTATACCGAGGCATACATGGAACATGGAGACTCACCACGTCTCGCCACATTTCCATGTCTCGGAGTTGCAGCATTGGTAATCGGTACCAAGGCACGACGAATTGCCATGGTCTGGTCCGCAAAAGCCATCTTGAGAAACAGGAAACTGAATAACTGGATTTTATCTGGAATCAGATCATGATTTTTAATCAACCTTGACTTACGTACATCCTCTGACGCAGTAGTCAGTATCTGGGCTGATGTTGCTGCACTCTAGGTCCACAGCAGGATTCAGTAAGAAGAACTTTTCGACCGTTATTCCATGCGCAATTGCGAGTTCTGAGCAAGTATAGTAATTGACCACTGAGGACGTAGTGGACGTAAACCGACAATTGACTTCTCCGACTTTTGGTATCGCTTGCACGACCGCGTTGAGTAGTAACGCCCCGAGGAGCTTCATCATGGCTGAGTTTAGTGTTGCCCCGGGTGTTTGTGTTCCCAACAATGCCTCAAGTGAAAGGTCCTAGACTCTGCTTAAGCAGCGATGTGAATAGAAATGCACCCTTACTTCATAATAAAAACTCCAAGTGCATTGCTCTGAGATAAATCGTTGGTCGTGGCGGCGCGCAACAATTTGTTGGCGCCTGGTCAATGCCAAGGGGAGTTGCGGCGGACCTACGTTGAAATCCCACATGTTGTGTTAATGAATCGAACGGATAAACTCAACTAACCAACACGAAAACTGCTCAGACATCCGTCCAGCCTGGAAAGAGGGCCTCGGGGGCTCTACAGGTCCCATGATTTGTTCGGCCATAGACAAATTGGATGTAATGGCTCTACTGTACAGTACTGTACTCTACTTCGTACCTGCAAATTTAATCTTTAGGCGGACATGACCCGTCATTTCCCGTTTATTCTCTTGAAGGTGAGCTAGGTACAGTACAGTACAGTACAGTTCTGTAACAAGCAACGATTGCGGGAAATGGAGAAACAAAAGTTCCAATCTGGCCGCCACGTAACAAGACTAGGCGGTGAGACCGGCAGCTGCCAAGTCAACCGCGGTGGTGAAACCAACCACCAAACTCAGACTTCGCGCTCTCCTGTCGGGCCTTTAGGTTGTAGGTGTAACTGGAATGACTGGTTCTCAAAATCCAGCTCGAGGTCTTCCAGACTTGGCACCCAGACCCAACCACAATACATGTACTTGAATTCGGCATGGCTTTTCCCGGTCATTTCTTCCTCGAATTCAAGAATTTCTTGTTTCTGGCTTTGGAGCCAAGTATGCACCTGCATCACGAAGTCCCCAATGGTGATTGGTTCGTTGTCGTCCCGCGCAACGGTGAGCACGGGGGCAATCCATTCGTCAAGGAGCTCCGAGAAACTTTCTTCTTTAAGTCCGAGTACGCCTTCCGTCACCAACATGGTACGGAGGGCATAATTGGTGACATGTTCGAGCGCAATCGGATGGCCTGAAAATGGGCGACTCTCGGACGAGAGGTCGTTGGGGTCATCTAAGACCCGAATGTCGTCAATGCTATCGAAGACCGACCAGATAAGGCGATTGAGAAGGTCCTGCTTGAGGATTGGCATCTGATTGTCGTCAGACATTTTGGCGAAAGTACAGCACCTTTTGGTGTTCTCAGTGAAATGAGGGGATAAGGACACGAGTTTCGTATCAAATATTGCTATGATCGACCATTTATATACAACACGGTGCTGATAGCACACGAGGTTCTGTGCAAGTTTGTCCGGAGCTGTACTGTATGGCAAGTGATTGAACACTGGCCAACTAACATTCGCCAGCACATGAACAAGGTTTGGAACCCTTGATGCCTGGGTAATTGAATTGCATATATCCTCGCTTGCCGTAATATGACATTGAATGGGAAACGAACTGCAGGTTGCTTATTATCGACGCCGAGCCTACCCACCTCCGAGTGTTATCAATCCCAATCACATGCCTCCTTATGAAACGTTACATTGTGAAATCTCTTGGCTTGAGCCCTGTTTTCTTTTTCGTGACCGTGCAGCTCTGAGGAATGTCTTTGCCAACTCCATGCAATCTGCCCGCTTGGCAGTTGGTCGCATTGCGCAGTGAGTACGCATCGTTGATATCTGCGACTATGATGCTTACTGATGCTGTCGACAAGGTCCTCAAAAATGCTAAGGTACTGCAAAGTCATGACTACAGCCAACGTTGGCGATGCAAGGTCAATGCTGGGGCGAGTAGCTCGTGGAGTACAGTAGAGCAATACGAGGGACCGAATCGTTCGACGAGCGTTGTCAGACCCCCGTCTTATCTACTGTATTACTGGGCTATTTATATAGAACTCATTTGATGATACTGTACAGCATAGCGAATTGTCTTGACAACTACTGCGCATCGTGTTTCACGCCCATTAGTGCTGTTCACCATGAGTTCTGCAACATTACGTTATCAACTATCCTTGCTCTTGCTGTGCATCTTAACGATTTCTTCGGAAGCTCAATTTGTGCAAAGATGGCACTGGATCAATGGCAGACCTTTTTGGCGACGTTTCCCAGACGACACAAACGCACGACCAGTTCTCAACTGCACTTACGAAGTGGTCTTGGAATATAATTGTTATTTCATGCCAGCGATCTGCACCAATGTGCGGAAATGGGTTAGAGATTCTGCACGGTCTGAATGGGCTGGCCGCGAAGGGGCATACATCTTCACCCTTGATCTCCGGGCCAACAAGCGCGTTCGTCTCAGAACGGGCACAAGGCTATCGGCAAAGGTGCGATCCAATAGAGTGTTGCAAAAGACAGGTATTCTAACGTTTTCCTGTCTCGTAGGCATCGACTCACAGGCGATCCAGAGTATGCCCCTCGAACTGGAACAGAAATCCAAGCAATCCGTCGAGGATGCGGTGCCCCGAACCGGATCAACCAGACGTGATGCCAGGGCCGTGGGCGTACACGGATTTGGAGACCCAGTCCCCGCTAACCTTGCTGGAGATCAAGGGCCTTCGCCTGTTTATGGAGAATGGCGGTGTTCTACGATCGGGACGACAATACACATGCGACGAATTCCCACCCGCATCTTGGATTGAAGGAGGTGACGGACCTGGCCGTCCAGCTACTGCCAACGGCGACTCGGGAGGTTCCGAAGCAAACACATATTGTGCACCCGCAGGGCAGTCGGGCACCTGCAGGCACCCGCACCCGTACAGAGTTAGATCTGAGCAAGACTGGCAAGGGGTCATACACTCAACTTTGGGCAGAAGACTGCGAATATTGATAAAGAATGAGTTCGGTCTGGCACAATTCGAGTCAAACGATGCTGCACGGTTTCGTCTTAGTCTCGTCAATCATCCTGGCATTGGGCCAGCGCGAGTGTACTGGAGGGATGATGACGACCACCAACATGGCGAAGATGTGATCGCAACTTCTATATCCTCACCAAGTCGGATTAGAGAAATCCTGGCCTCCGGACAGGTGCTTTCAGAAGCCGACTACAAGGCCATGGGCTACGTCTTCGACGAGGTCGTTATCGTTAACGACACAGAAACATTCGTACACTTAGCTGGGGAGGGCCTCGTGCCAGCGTCTCTCATGGAGTTCCAGCTGGAAGGAATTGGGAGATCCCACGACAAGATGACAATGACCGCAGCAGCTACAGAACCATCACATACATCAGTGAGAAATCTTATGGGGCTTGGACCACAAGGAAATCTTACAGCAAGTGATGTCGATGAATCGTTGGCACGCTACTCAAGAGTTACGCAACAAGAACCAACGGGTAACAGAACCGACATTCTCGCAGTTGGAACCGAGTACACTATTGGCCAGTTGAGGAAGGGTTACAACACTACCCAAAACAGAACCTTGGCTTGGTCTCAATCGAAGAACAGTCCAGGTAGTGGCCCTGTACAGTGTAGTCCGCAATCACCATGCCTAGACGGAAGCTGCTGTAATTCAGAAGGCAAGTGCGGGTTTCAAGAAGGCCAGTGAGTTGATACCCCTTCCCCACCCCCTCCTTGGCGGTTGCAGTGAAAAGGTTAGCCCTTTGGGAATGCTGAAGCTCCGAACTCGTAGCTGCGGACCATCTTGCATTTCGAACTGTGACGCCAAAGCCATGTGTGGAATTGACTCAGCGGACGGCAAGACGCCATGTGGACTGAATCTCTGCTGTGGCTTTTATGGCTGGTGTGGTATCGAGGCAGCCCATTGCGTCGATGCCGACCCAAGATATGGAAAGACTCCATGCCAGCAAGGATTCGGTTCTTGCGAGGTAAAGAAAGTACCAACATGCATCAAAAGCTCAGGGTCTGTGAGACGGCATATCGGCTACTACCAAGGGTGGAACACAAGAGAAAGGGCCTGCGACAAAGTCTGGCCCCGACAAATCAATACCCGCGGGCTGACGCACCTGTACTACGCCTTTGCCTACTTTCACCCGACAACGTTCCAGATGATGCCCATGCACGAGGGTGACGTTCCCTTGTACGGCGAGTTTACTTCTCTCAAGAGAAATGGGCTACAGACATGGATTGCAGTCGGAGGAGTAAGTAACGCGGGTCGTTTCAACTGCAATCAAAGGCTAACAGGTCTCCAAACTAGTGGGCTTTCAATGCTCCAGGCCCGACACAGCATGCCTTCAGTGATATGGTGTCAAGTGCTGAGAACCGTGCAGCTTTCATTTCTTCGCTCACTACATTCATGGAAACGTACGGCTTCCAGGGAGTCGATATTGACTGGGAGTATCCCTCTGAGCCCACTCGCGGTGGCCGCAAAGAGGACGCCGCAAACTTTGTGCTCCTGGTTAAAGAGATGAAGACTGCCTTTCAACACAAACTTTTCGGAATCAGTGTTGCTCTAGCGCCTGATTACTGGTACCTTCGTGGATTTCGACCAGGAAAAATGCAGGAATACGTCGACTTCTTTGGCTTCATGTCATATGACTTGCATGGCCCATGGGACACCGATGTTCGAGCACTTGGGTCCATTGTCCGCCCTCAGACCGACGCCACCGATATCAAGAAGGATCTCCTGCCACTTGTGTACGATGATGTCGAGTTCAGCAAAATTAACCTTGGTCTGGCATATTATGGCCGTACATACACTCTGGCAGACCCCACCTGTGGTAAAATCGGATGTGGTTTTGTACCGGGAAAGGGCGGTTCCAGTGGCAATTGCACCAGATCAACAGGAATTCTGTCGCTAAGCGAGATCCGTCGTCTAGTCGATGAAGAAGGAGCAAAGCCATACCTCAATTCAACTGCGATGGTTAAGTACTTTACGTATGCCGGGAGCAGTTGGGTTGGGTACGATGATTCCGAAACGCTGGAGATGAAGCGGGCCTTTGCGGAGGAAAACTGTCTCGGTGGTACGATGATTTGGTCAATCGATTTTGATCCCGAAACAGGAGGAGGCGAAGGTCCGAACGAAAACGTCTCGCCTGAAAGTGCAACCGTCATCCCTATGGCACATACAACTGTGCCCCGGGGATCGACCTTCACTTTGGGACTTGGAGCCGCCACGGATTTGCCAGCTTTGCCACATGATGGCAATCAAAATACTCCAAAAGGCCCCGGAGAGGCCAAATGTTCCTCGTGCAGTTTCTTCCGCCTCATAACATCGACATGCTGTGGAACTGGCGGGTCGCTTGGTAACCCAATACTCATCTCACCGGGCCTACCGCTACCCATGGATATTCCGTTGCCTAGCGGATTCATCCCGAATCAGCCCTTCATTGACAGAGACGGAAACTCGGTACCATCAGGGGTGCCACTGCCGAAGGAGACTGTCATACCACGGGGAACCTCTTTTCCTTCACCTTTCACTATTCCGGCCGGACAACCTTTTCGCGAAGGAGAGGGAGACGATGCCGTCAACAATTCTACGACGATATGGATCTCACCTAACATTTGGGATTCTGACCATCCGCAGCTGAAATGCTTTCCCCCATGCACTTTTGTGCTGCCCCCGTGGCCAAATATAAGTACGACTCTTGAGTACCCTCGCATCACTTGGGTGGATGACGACAAGAAAACCAAAACCACAATAACATTTCCAATAATCACTAAAAGTTCCTGGCCTGTCGAAACCGTTGTGGTCGACGATGACGATCCGAAGAATACGAAGAGGTTGAGAACATCGACTCCTGTTCCACGAACAACAACTTGGCCACCCAGGACATGGTCCGATCATAATGGACGGAAACATACGACGACTCCTACATTGCCTGGTCCAATCCCGCCGCCAGCGACCATGAGTCTACCATTGATCACAATCGCAGTCGGGGCGCCTTTCCCTCTTCCTTCGGGTTGCATGGTTCCCTGTCCGCCAGGAAAGGGGGACGATCCAGACAACTCTGGGGATAGCCAAGAGGGAGACGACCCTGATACGGATGAAGGAGACGACCCTGAAAACGATGAAGGAGACGAAGTCTCGCTACCGCCGCCGGATGAAGGCGACGGAGAAGATGAGGGGGACGACGTATGCGAGCCTTCGGATTCACCCACTGACGGAGAGCCAGATGACCAATACGACCCAGACGACCCCGTCATCAGCAGCGCAAGCACTACAAGCAGCTACCAGAGCACCCGGACGACCAGTAGCGAAAGAAGCACGCCGAGGACGACCACCACCACAGCCACCATCAAGCCTGCCCCGACTCGAAAATGGGAAACCCCAAATTTCCCCGAGAGCTCTAGTCGCTGTTTCCACGGCGGGCAATGGAGCCACCGCGGACGTCTCATCCAAGCGATTGAGCACTTCTGCGGCGATTTCGAAAACAGAGCAGTATATTCTGGATACAGCGTCGAGAAAACCGAAGACTTCAACTCATCGCCTCCGCACTGGGAGGCTGCCGACATGAGGGTCGTCATGAATCTCTCTATCAAGAAAGGGTGCGAGTGGGTAGTAGATCAAGCGCAGTGTCGAGAGGAACTCCGCAAGCCAGTTGATCTATGCGACATGGAAGGGGAGAACCACAAACACGGAGGAACACTCGAGAACAACTGCATTAAGTGGTCAATTGATCCGCAAGGCTGGCTTGATGACCATGAGAGGCCACTGCCCCAGCCAACGCCCAAGGTCAGCTAAGGACCTCCAGCTGAGGGCTTCCGGGGATGCCGCCAAAAGACACAGGTTCATGGTTGCACTGTTTATATCCGGTATAGTCTGCCATGGTAGGAGGTCCGCTTCATGGAGACGCTTTTGTCATAGATTCTTGATCTCAATGTTGAACAGTGGTGGCGCAGGCAGTGGGTAGCTAGTGGCTCTGCCTATCCCTCTTCTCCAGTCCTCATGTTCAGACGAAGCCGCGGTGGCCCATTTCAAGCTCGTCACCTTGCTTTCTGTTCTACCATCGGCGGACGGGATCTCTGTCAGCATCTCAAGCAAAGCTGCGATACTTACCAGTCATAGTATAAAATGTAGGCAATTATTGCAGGCATCATGGCTCCCGCGATGGAAGCTCTGGCCCGTGAGGCGGGAAGCCAATGATCGGCAGTCAACTGGGGCGGAGCAACTACGCCCGAGCTGGGGGCTGAGATGCACAAAGTCTAGCTGCGGGAGTCGTAATCCCTCGCATCTGATACGGCGGCCAAGGCCGATATGGGCTTTTTAGCTCAGAATGCCCTGCGCCCGCGACCCTGGCCGGGACCCGCCTCATCAACAACGCAACCTTTACGTTCTCGGAGCTTGCGACACTCATCTTCGTTTTCTTCGCATTCCCGCAGGCAGACGCGTCCAGCAGCTCTTCGCCTCGTCATGTCTCACCATCCTTTGCCCTGAACGACACATTCATTACCACGGCGTCGCCGCCGCCGCCATCACGATCCTTGCCTTCATCTTCGACAGAAGCCACCATGTCCGACTTGGAACTAGACACGGAGCCGCCCTCCGAGGAGGATGCCCCTCTGCTGGACGACGACTATGAGCGTCCCGACGAACCCCTACCCACGCGCCCGCGCATCAAGGCCAAGCGCTGGCAGGCCAAGACGCCGGGCACCATCGTGCTCCTGGCGGCAACGCTCAAGTTCTGCATCACCTCGAGCGGCATGCTCATGCTCATTCCGCTCTACCGCTTGATTGAGGATGCTGTCTGCCATGCCTGGTACGAAGACGACGGGCCCGACATCATCGATGAGATGAAGTGCAAGGGCGACGAGGTTCAGTCGCGATTGGCCTTTTTGCTCGGCTGGGTCGGGCTGGTCAACGCCATCATGAGTATGCTTCGAGCCGTGGCAGGGCGATTGAGGGAAATGGCGCTAATGGAACGCAGCTCTGATCGTGGCATTTCCGTATGGCATTCTCGCGGACCGCATCGGCCGCAAGCCCACTGCATTCATGGCTTATGGCAGTGTCGCTGTCTCATTTGGCTTTGCGCCGTTCATGCTCAACGTCATGAAAAAGGCAGTGCGCGAGAACCCGTACCTGCTCATGACGGGCTCGCTTTTCCTGCTATTTGGCGGCGGCGTTCCTGTGTTGCTCAACACGCTGTACGCCATGGCTGCCGATGTGAGTAGCGAGAAGGAAAAGTACGTTATTTGCGGTCACTTCGTCTCCTTTCATGACATACTGACAGGCGCAGAGCGGCGAGCTTCCTCTACCTCACTTTCGGAGCGACCGCTGGCGGCCTGGTTGGACCTCTTCTCGCTGGCCTACTCATGGAGAAGTACGGTCCTTGGGTGCCCATATATGTTGTCATTTTCATCACGCCATTCATGCTTTGTGTCTTCTTCTTCATCCCAGAGACGCTTGTCGTCCAAGAGGGTAAGGCGAAACACAAGCATGATCGGCCGCTGCTTGAGGACCTGAAGGAGCATCTCAGCAACGGCATCCGCGATCTCCGAAAGTCGCTCGACATGATCAAGAACGTCAACATTCCGCTCGTACTCCTGACCTTCTTGTTCCAGAGTGCGCGGTTTGCTGCCTACACCAGTACGCTGGCGCAGTACATCAGCAAGCACTTTGGCTGGAAGCTCGCCGAGACGAGCCTTCTGCTCTCGCCGCTTGGCGTGCTCAATCTGGTCCTTCTTGCAGGCCTGCCAAAGGTGTCGCAGATTCTCATGTCGCCGCGCTTCCGCTTCACCATCTTCGGCAAGGATTTGTTCCTGACGCAAGTGTCGACGCTACTCATCATCGCCGGCGCGCTCATCGAAGGGTTCAGTCACAACGTGGTGCTGTTCCTCATCGGCCTCTTCATTGGCACCTTCGGTGCCGCGGACAGCCCGCTCGCACGCGCCACCGTAACGCACTATGTCGACCCGGAATTTACGTCGCGCCTGTATGCGCTCATCGGTATGATTGAGGTGTTGGGCTCGTTCATCGGCGGGCCGGTGCTGGCCTTCTTCTTCGATCAGGGGCTGCGGCGCAAGGGCATTTGGATGGGACTGCCGTGGTTCTACATTGCGTTTCTCTGCAGCATCGCGCTGACAGCGCTGATGTTTGTGAAGCCACCAAATAAGAGTCTCGACGATGAGGGAGAGGGGTTAGGTGGCGAGAGGTCCAACCGGTCGGCAGCAGGGAGCCACTTACATCCGGAATAAGAGTGTAAAATAGAAGATGGATTGTACATTGGCCATCAATCGCGCATGCCAATTATGACACTAGAGCCGCGTATCGCGTGCGACAGCCGGGGACGCGTCTCTATTTCACCGGCCGCTTCTCGTCGCCACATAACTTGATGAGTTGGGGAACGCACTGCGAGGCTAATTGCTGACACCAGTCGAGACCTCGCTTGGTGAATGGTTCCAGCCGCCTTGTGGGGTATCAACCGCCATCCCACGCAACCCGCCGCGCCAGTGCTGTGCGTGGCCTCGGTCGAGACCTGCCCGAAGCGGCTCCGCGCCGCCATCTCGGGCTGGCTTCCGGGTACGGGGACCGCATCGCTGGTCCCGCGCCAGTGGCACTCCACAAAGGGTCCTTTCGACCTTGTTCAGCTTATCTGGACCATCGCGTGTGGCAGCCTAGTCTCGCACATATGAAAGGTCTTTTGCCCGCCGTCCCGCGCCGGTGCAGCATCGTTGTTTGAAGTCGCCGCCGTCAACTCTGGACGACCTCAGGAGTCAGGAGCGATGGCCCGCAATGACACCGAGTGCGGTGATGGCGCCTTCGGGCCGGGCGTCTGGAGCCAAGGCTGTCGGGGCGGCTTTGACTTTACGTGTGAGCCTACTTGAAGCATTTTGAACTGTGAAGTCGACCTTCCACTAATGCGACAACAGTGTCATTTGAAGAGAGCATACTCACAATCCTCCCCGCGGCCGTATTTCTCGTCTTAGCTGGTGGCCGATGCGTCTACCTCTTTCGTTCCGGGGACAAGGCCAAGCGTGAGGCAACGTATACCCCAAAGCTGGTATGTTGACTAGTTGAAGTATCGCGGCCGTTCATCTGAGCTAATGAATCAGATTACGGGCTGTTTGTATGCTGCCCTCAACGTTGCCCTTCTCGCCGTCGTCGCGTCCTCTCCCCGAGCAGGCTCGAAACTTGCCATCGCCGCCGCCGTGCTCAGCCTCCTCGCATCGTTCACAATCGTCATACTTTCCCACGTCGAACACGTGAAGTCTATCCGCCCGTCCTTTCTGCTGACGATATATCTCTTTGTCTCGCTGTTATTCGACGCTGCTCGTCTACGCACCGAATGGCTCATCGCCGCATCGGCCAGCTCCGCCTACGCAGGCGTTCTCTCTGCGTCTGCAGGATTGAAGCTCTCCCTCTTAGTACTGGAGACAGTCGAGAAGCGCAGCATCTTAATTGAAGGCGGATCCAGCCCGTCGCACGAGAGCACCAGTGGACCTCTAAGCCGCGGCTTCTTCGTTTGGCTCAACCCACTGCTTATCACAGGCTGGGCGACGGTGCTCACGAATAATGACCTGCCAACCATCAACGAGAGGCTCTCATCAAGGCGACTTGACAAGCGCTTTGCAACCAAATGGGACAAGGCAACGGCCGGCGGCCGCAAGCCGATGCTGTTCTTGACTACCCTCAACGTGCTCAGATGGGAGCTGCTGAGCATTGCCTTACCGCGCGTTGGGATGATTGGCTTGAGCATCTCACAGCCGTACCTGGTGTCGAATGCGCTGCGTTTCTTGTCGATGCCCAGTGGCGAGGCGACGACAAACCTGGGCTACGGGCTTATTGGCGCCTTTGCATTTGTCTTTATCGGCTCAGCGGTATGTTCCAGAGTCTTTCCTTAAACACTGTTTCGACTCTAACGAAACAGATACTTACTGCTTGGCACGAGCACCTCACTTTCCGCGCCGGCGCCATGATCCGCGGCGGCCTCATCTCGCTCATCTACCGAAAGATGGTCCGCCTGCCTACCAAGCAGCTTGGCGAGTCGTCGGCCGTGTCGCTCATGGGAAACGATGTCGAAATGCTCACGGAGCGCATCAACATGCTCCTCGTGGAGTCGTGGGCGAATACAATCACTGTCGCCATTGCCATGTGGATGCTTACGCAGCAGCTCGGCGCTGTGTCGGCGGCCCCGATCATCATGAGCTTGAGTACGTGAGAACGGAAAAGCCATCATAAGATTGTGTCTGACAAAGCAGTTTGCCTCTTCCTCAATACCATGATCGGCCGACTCATGGTTCCCCGCCAAATCACGTATCAAAAGGCAACCCAAGATCGCATCAACTTCACGTCCGAGGTGTTGGGTTCGATGAAGGCCGTCAAGATGCTCGGCTACTCTGACACCTTCACCAAGCTCATCGAGACGAAGCGCGACAATGATATCAACTCTGGCAAGCAGTTCCGTCTTCTGAATGTCTGGGCCAACGTCATCAGTAAGCATATACATATCGATGTCGTAGATTGATCCAGGCGGGCTTACAGTTCGCACAGCCAACGGCAACATTGCCATTACTCAAACAGCGACCTTTGGCGCATATGCCATTGCCGCCAAGGTATCTGGATCTGAGCCCTTCTCTGCTGCACAGGCCATCACGGCTGTCTCGATTCTCAATGTCATGATGTTGCCGCTCAGTCTCTTGCTTGGCAGCATTCCGTTCTCGTTCTCCGCCTTTGGCTGCTTCAAGAGAATCCAAGAGTTTCTACTCCTGCCCGAGCGCATCGACAGTCGCGCTATTCAGTCGGGATTTGGAGATGGTGTATCAGTAAGGTCCACCGATGGTTCATCAACCGACGGCATCGAGCTGCAGACGTTCAAGCACAAAGGAGACCCCTCTGCATCCGTAACGATCGCAAATGGCAACTTTGACTGGGGCGAGAAACCTGTTTTGCGCGAAATTGACACCAAGCTGCCTCAACACCAGACGGGCTCGCTTACCATGATCATTGGGCCAATTGGATCTGGAAAGTCGACCTTTCTCAAGGCTATACTCGGCGAGACGGCATCTTCGAACGGCCACGTTTCTTTGAGCTCACAGGCCGTGGCGTTTTGCGATCAAACGCCATGGGTGCTGAACGCTACGATCAGGGAGAACATCATTGCGGAGACAGAAGGGTACAATGAGTCCTGGTTCAAGGCGGTCGTTGAGGCGTGCGACTTGGCCGTCGACCTTGGCCGATTACCTGACGGCGCCGCGACTGTCGTCGGCGACAAGGGATTGAAGCTCAGTGGCGGGCAAAAGCAGCGTATTGTGAGTTGAGCCTGATGATTGTTGGGCCGATCGTCCTAGCTTTGCGTTGTGCTGACTGAAGAGCAGGCTATTGCACGTGCAGTTTACGCGAGAAAGCCAGTTGCGATATTTGACGACGTGTTTAGTGGACTGGATAAAGTCACGGAGAAGACTGTGTTCAACCGCGTCTTCGCCCAGGATGGTCTGCTGCGAAGGAGCGGTACATCCATCATACTCGCAACGCACGCTGGTAAGGTGACACCTGCGCAGGTGCAGCTAGGATTCTCGGCTCACAAGAACAGTTCATCATCTTCCCGATTCTGACTTTGTCATTGCGCTTAACAAGAACGGATCGATTGTTCAGCAGGGGACCTTCAACGACCTGCGCTCCAAGGGAGGCTATGTGCGGGACCTCGATATCTCACTGCCGCACTCGGACAAGCCAGACGAGGATGTTGTCGAGGAGCCTGAAGATGGTGACAGCGATAGCTACGACAAACAGGCTGCGGCAGAGGAGATTGAGGAGCCTCAAGGCCGCGCGAGCGACCGAAGCACCTTCAAGTACTACCTTGCATCGGTGACGTGGTTGAACATTATTCCCGCAGGCTTGTACATTGTCCTTCATACCTTCTTCTACATGTTCAGGTGTAAGTAACAAATGCGACCGTGAAGCCCAGAGACTTGATCTGACGAGAGATTGCAGATATCTGGCTCACTTGGTGGGGAGAAGGCAGAGGCCATGAGAGCACCGACGTGGGCTATTGGCTGGGTCTGTACGCGTTCATGGCCGTCGTCGAGATTGCAGGCGTTTCCTTAGCAATCATGTATGTGTCTTACGACTGGACCTGGAGATGAAGGCTGACGGGCTTTAGGCAAGGATTGATCTTCATGGGCCCGACCAGCGGCAAGACGTTGCACACCAGAGTGCTCAACGCGGTCATGAAGTATGTCGGATATCACATCCGTTGTGGAGGCTGCAGCTGATAGCTCACAGTGCACCTCTCTCCTTTCTGTCAAAGCACGAGACGGGCTCGCTTGTCAACCGGTACACCAGACAGTTTCCTTCTGCACTGATCGAACTTTCACTCATACCTTCACAGGTTCAGTCAAGACATGCGACTCGTCGACATTGTGCTGCCCATCTCTCTCAGCATCTTTATGTTCGGTGAGTCTCACACACTGGCTTGTACTTCTGGTCTAACACTCCAACAGAGGTGACCTTGTGCTTTGCTGTCGCTGGTCTCGCCATCAGCGCCGTAAGCTATTTTGCCATCTGCATCCCATTTGTCGCGGTTGTGCTCGCCGTCATCCAGCGGTTCTACGTCCGTACTTCCAAACAACTGCGTCTCTTGGAGTAGGTATCGATGTTCCCTTCTTGAATATCACGAGCTAACTCTTGCAGAATTGAACACAAGGCCCCGCTGTACTCGCATTTCCTTGAGTCGATCAATGGCCTCGCGACCATACGTGCTTTCGGCTGGATCCGCCCTTACGTCGACAAGGGCATGGACCTTCTTGACAATGCGCAAAAGCCGTCGTACCTGCTCTACTGTATTCAGCGTTGGCTCACGCTCGTCCTTGATCTCGTCGTCGCAGGGCTCACGATTTTGCTGGTAGCATCTGCGGTCGCTCTGCGTGGCAAGATTAACCCGTCGCTGCTCGGCATCGCGCTCGTCAACATGATGGATTTGGGGAACAACCTCAAAGGCATCGTGCTGCAATGGTCGACCCTGGAGACGTCGCTAGGTGCTGTGACCAGGATCAAGAACTTCTCGGAGAATGCGCCCTCCGAGAGCCTCCCAGAGGAGAACACAGTACCGAGCGTACAGTGGCCAGCTCGCGGCGACTTGGAGCTCCGAAACGTGTCTGTGCAGTACGAGTAAGTCATCCAGCTCCGCCAAAAGAGCGATCGCGACTTCATGCTGAACCTGCGCACTTAGCTCTACCGAGGAACCTATCCTGCACAATCTCTGCATGACAATGAAGCATGGCCAAAAGATTGGCCTCTGCGGGCGCAGTGGTAGTGGCAAAAGCTCCACCATTCAGGCCCTCCTGCGTCTCGCCAACGTTGTTGAGGGTCAGATCGTGCTCGACGGTGAGGACATCACACGGGTGCCGCGCTCGCTCCTCCGTGAGAAGCTCAGCTGCCTCACCCAAGAGGCTTTTCTCTTTACAAACACCATCCGATTCAATATGGACCCGCTTGGCGAGCACAATGACGAGAGTGTGGTGGCAGCACTCGAGCGTGTGGGCCTGTGGGCTGTGATCCGCAGCAAGCTTGGAGACGAAAAGGAGTCGCCACTGGACGAGAAGATGGACGAGACGTTCTTCTCTCATGGGCAGCGGCAGTTGCTTTGTCTGGCGCGGGCATTGTTAAAACGGAGCTGTGTTCTCATCCTCGACGAGCCAACCAGCAGGTAAGGGATTTGCTGCTCAATGACTCTCCTCCGCGACCAAGGTTGCTGACTCCGCCCGTAGTGTCGATAGCCAAACGGACGCGAAGATTCAGGAAGTCATTCGTACCGAGTTCAAGGATCGCACCATCATAATGATTGCGCACCGTCTTGACACGTTGCTGGACTTTGACAAGGTGGCTGTCCTGGATAGGGGCTTGCTGGTGGAATATGATGCGCCGGGACAATTGCTGCGGGATGGAGACAGCTACTTTGCCCGACTGTACCGAGCAGAGAAGTCGAAGCGGGGGGAAAAGCAGAGCTCTAGCTAAGAATACCAAGGCAGTTTTACTGTGATAGTGGTGCATTCATGCATGGGCGCCAGCGACGACCTCGAGCGCGCATGACTCGTCTCTGGACCTGAGTCTATTTATTGGAAGCTACTTTCGGGTCCAATTACAACGTCGGATCACCTCATTCACTGCGCACGCCAGGTATATTGCCAGCCTCCTCTTCATCCAGGCAACCTAAATGCCCGCGCCATGTCGCCTAGGACCCCTAGAGGGTCCGCATCGGGATCCTCTTCCCACATCAGCTTCGGCGACAGGACCTTGAGCCCATTTCTATCCCGGCACATATGTTCCAAAAGCCTGCCCATGCCCCTTGTACTCCGCAATCTCCTCTCCTTACTCCTGTCCAGCCACTGTCGCTTCTGGCTCGGCGTCCACGCGTTCGTCCTGTTCAGGAACGCCAGCACCATGGCCGCCATACCGACTGCGATGGGTGTCGCCACCGACGTTCCGCTCATCTTGCGGAAGCCGGGGCCCTGGCCAAGTCCGGTCGGCCAGTGACTCGCCACGTCTTCGCCATGGGTGATGAAGACCGGCAAGTCGCGTCCAGGCCCGGGTGCGAAGCGCGACAAGTTGTTAAACTCGTCCCCAGAGGTGACGCAGACGGCCAAATCGCGATCTCGGGCTGGCCAGGCTATTGCGTCTCGATTGCCGTGATTAGCGGCAGCGGCGAAAACGGCGATGCCTCGATGGTCGGCTTCTTCCAACGCCCGGGTGAGATCATAAGAGCTTTCTCGCGGGAAGCCCAGAGAGAGGTTGATGATGTCAACACCTTGTTCCATGGCCCAACGAATCGCCTGTTAATAGTTAGCTGGTCATCTTTTGTGAAAGAAAGGGAGACTATGTCTGCTTGCCTCTTCAACAGGTCTACGAGTCTCTCGCCTACCCCGTTTGGAAGCCGGCTTCTTGTCGTCGTCTTCAGTCTGTAGATGCTCCTGGCCTGTGCTCGTCCTTGCAATGTACAGCTCCGCGCGCGGAGCGATGCTGAGGATAAGTCCAGCGATATGCGTTCCGTGGCCCGACTTGTCAGTGACGTCCTCTTCTTCCCCCGGCTCCCCGACAAAGTTCCTCCACGCCTTGATACGCTCTCGCTGCGGCGTTTCGGGAAGTTGGCGCGCTGCACGCTGCCCAATCTTGCTGCGCCTGCGTGCTGGCTTAGCGAAGTCATCGTGTTTCAAGTCTATCCCAGTGTCGAGGATTGCAATCTTGACCGGGCCGGCCCATTCCTGGCCCCCGCTCTTGGCCATCTTATCGTCATCCGGATGCCACTGGATGTACTTGTACCAGGTCCTTTCGAGCTCTGTGAAGAACTTTTCCATGTACTCGGAGCTGTGTTTGTCAGTATTTATCATCGAAGAAGAAGCGAGCATTGCTATAACTCACTTTTCTGGAGTCGAGATGGATGATTCGGTAGCACTGGCATCGCTGAGTGCATATAGCTCGCCTTTGTAGGGCGGTTAGCTCAGCCTTCGATAATCGTTGGCAGATTGGTCAGTTACCTTCAATCTCTGATCCTTGCCGAGGGCCGGGAGACGGTGTCCTTCGGAAACCCGGGCTCTTGGGCGGTGACAGCCCATTGCTGCCCGCATCAGGCACCTCCAACACGACATCTGACGCTGCAACGTGCCTCACGGTCAATAACATAGCTATCAGTTTCTGATTGCAGTGTTTGGCAATCTGCAACGCCGTCTTGTTCTCATCGTTTGAGATGTCCCGATCCGCTTTGTGGTTGAGCAGGACTCGGACCACGCCTTTATGCCCTTGTTCCGAAGCCAGCATGAGTGGCGTCCATCCGGTCTTGGTCAGACAGTTGGCGTCGGCGCCGTGCTGAAGCAGGACCTCGGCGCTTTCAACTTTGTTATTCCTCGCCGCGTAGTGAAGCGGATGCCAACCACGAGGGTTTCTCGCCTCCACAGCGTGCGGATCAGCGTGCAAGATGTACGCCACGGCACGATCCAGGTTTTTCTCTACCGCCCAGTGGATGGCCTTGGCCATGTCTATGGACGGGTCGGTCTGGAGGTGGGACTGTATCTGGCCTTCATGCTTGCCGTCGCAGGTGGCGCATTCGAAGATGTGCTCAAACTTCCTACGGTCTACGCCCCGCAGGTTGTTGACAAGATCCCGAGGCGTGACTCCCTTCTCGTCCTTTGCTGTCGCAGAAGCGCCATGGAAGAGCAGCAGAGAGGCCGCGGGTGCCGAACGCGCCTTGACTGCAAAGTGAAGAGGTGTTTCTCCAGCGGGCGTCGCGATCTGGGTGTCGGCTCCGTGGAGAAGCAAGGCCAGGATTGTCTCTGGGGTTCTCAACTCTGCGGCAACGTGAAGCGCTGTGAATCCTTTCGTCGCTGTGTTCTCGAACTGCGTCTGAGCATTGACGTCGGCCCCGTGCTGGAGGAGAAGGTTGACTACTTCAGTCCGGCCCGACTCTGCGGCGAGAATGAGAGCGGTCCAGTTCTTCTTGGTTCTCGCGTCTACTTTGGCACCCTTCTGGATGAGCTTCAAGGTGATTTGACGTAGGCCCATTTGCGCGGCGTTGTGAATAGGTGTTCGGCCGCCTTTGCCTCCCCTTGGAGACCTCGCATCGAGACATTCCTTTGGATACAAGTTGAGGAGATCTTCCACAACACCAAGTCGCTTCGCGGCGACGGCTTGGTGGATTGCTGCCGCTCTGTGCGCGGGGTTTGCTTCAGGGTCAAGCTGCTGCTCGCGCAAGAAGCGCACAGTCGTGTCTGAGGGCTTCATCGCGCGTCGTATGAAGAGTCGACGTGTGCCCGAGTCGCAACTGGCCTTGGCGCATGTTCAACTCGATGATGCAAGAGCCATGCGGTGAGGCTGAAAATGCACGAGTCCTGTCGCCCGTGCAGGCGGCGGGGGCGGTTCTCACGGGACGTGGTTCGTCCCGCCACAAGCTGACATGCATGTCGCGTCTAAGCTTGATGCAGTTTAAGAACCCTGCCGATGCATGGGCCGCGGCTGACGGTCGGCAGATTGATTCTGCCTTGCCTTGATCATCAGTCGGGCATGCCGTGCGCCGTCAGAGCGGGTTTGGGTTGATAGTAGGATTCCGCTACTCCGCGCATTCAGGATCCAACGTTGAAGAGCCTCAACTCTCATGCTTGAATCCCAACCTACGCCACCTTTGCGAGACCACCAGGCGACAGCATGCCTTTCGGAAACAGGTCCAAGAAATACTGGATCGTGCCGCAAGAATCCCTTGCGCCTGATGACCTGGTGCTGGGCAGCATTCTCAAAAAGCCCAACGACACAATAGACATTCTCAATCGCCGCGCCGTCGTGGCAATCGACCCGTCGCTTGTTATTCACGAGCGTGAGCAAGTCACCAAAAGCCTCGGCGACGCCGTTGATTCCGGCTTTGGGGCAGGTATCGGCGCCTCGTCGGTCCTCGCCGCCATCCTCGGAGCATCCCCCACGCTTGAGGGGAAATGGGCCACAGGCGTGTCCGACAACATTGAGGCAACGAGGGTTCGCGCTCAGCATTTCGTGCCACCAGCAGAATATGTCAACAAAGCGCTGCGAACACAGGAAATGGACAGCTACGTGCGACAGTCATTTTTCAGTGCACCGGTTTACATGGTCGTTGGGGTTGCGATAGCCAGCACATTGACGCGGACGGCGAATGCTTCAGCAGACAGGGGAGGCAAGGCCGGTGTTGGCTTGGGCCCGCCAGGAACAGGTGTCGAAGTCTCCGCCGACCTGTCGGCAAACAGGAACACCAAGTCCAGCTACCACGACTCCGTCGAAGGCGACGTCGTGCTGGCATACCGGCTGCGGCGATTCCGCTACTCCAAGAGGCGGGACGAGTTCGTCAAAAATGACGAGGACGAGACGAAACACGCACGATACGGCACGGATGAGGATGATGCCCCACAGAGCGAAGACGACGAAGGTGTCAACGAGGTCGCTGTCTTCTCGTTTTTTGATGGCGAGGATGTTGAGGCTGGCGATGCCGGCCTGCAAGGGTTTGCGGAGGAAGATGGCAGCGACGAGTATTCTGATTCGAGCGATGATTGAATGGATTGGCACGAAGTAGCGTTCCTTTCACTCAAGTGCCACGACTGGCGCACCCCCTGATGAAAGAGGGTTCGTGAGTTCGCCAATGATGCCACCATGTTGCCGTCCATGCAAATTCACTTCCTTTCAAGCCAAATCCTGGTCATAAAAGGCTTTCAAGGCGCACACGCACGTTCTCCGTGAACAACCAATTGTTAGAAAGCGCAGTGAATTGCCACTGTCCTGTGCGATTAATGCCGCCCGTCATCGGTCCATTGAAGCGCCGTGACATTCGCCAAATGAAAGAACAAAGCACTGAATCTACTGTGCCGCTTGCTTGACGAGACTTGAGGATTTGTGTTTAAACCTGCAGGACTAAAATACCTTTCACTCACTGCGTCACTGTCACAAATCGTCGCAGCCTGGAACGCCCTGCGTGGTCATAATTGCGTCTCGAAGCCATCATCAACGATCATGTGCGTGGAATACCATCAATACACCGTCTGTCCCGATTGCGGAGAAGACCGGCTCGTCAAAATACTTCCCGCAGAGCCCTGTACCAAGGCTCACGAAATGGGAAACCCTTGGCCGGGTGGCTGCGGGGAAGGCCTCCGGACCATCTTGCAACCATACGACCGACAGCCAGACGATGTCTATCTGTGCGAGGGATGCCTGCTGGTGGATACGAGCAAAACTTCTTGCAGACCGTCCTGAGATGAGTTTCGAGCCACCCTCAATGGGTATGTAGCGCAGACTGAAGATTGAGGAATCATAAATGCCACGCTCTGTTCATTCTACATTCTGCCTGTGATTGTCTGATTCCTCCTCCGTGTTCTTTCTCACAGCCGCGTGCTTTCCAGGGCCTCATACACCGGCGCCAATCTCAAAGAGCTCAATCAGGCCTTTTTGATCCGCTCCCTGGAGATCTTTGACCTTCTCTCCATTCTTGTAGAGGTGGAATGTGGGCATGGCCCTGATTCCAAGCTCCTGCGTCAGGTCGCTCAGCTCGTCGACGTCGACTTTGACAAACTTGATGTTCTGGAACTTGTCGAGCTCGGATGAACTGCAAAGCCGTTGTTAGATCATTTGTTGACTCGCACGACAGGACTCGACCATGGGATCAGACGCACTGAGCAAAGACGGGTGCAATTGCTTTGCACGGGGCGCACCACGTAGCAAAGAAGTCGACGACGACTACGTCATTGTCTTTGAGCGTTTGTTTAAACTCGTCCGTTCTGTATTGCGACATGTCAGCTTCCACTTCTGGGCGTCTTTGTCGCGCTGCGGCTCCGGTCGTCGCGCCGGACGCAAAGGCCTGGCAGATTGGAACGGCGCACGGAGCAGGGGTCGGCACATTATTCGTCCACTATCGAAAGGGCAAAGCAGTACTCACGACCGAACGTTGTGGACGCCCATTCTGACTGATGTCGGCTGTGAAAGGATAAGCCGGCTGTCCCTGAAGCTCTTTTGTACGGGCGGTCTGGTCTGGTGCGGCGGCAACTCGGCTTGTGATGACGTGAAAGCAATGCACAGATGTAGACTGAAGAAGCAGGGGCAGGTAGGTGTTCCGAGCTATTTACATCAAGAGGAAACGCTTTACTAAGCCTATGACGTGTGGACGATCTGATTCAAAGACGTGGATCATTTGAGGGCTTGGCCAGCGACGTGCGGATCAACGGAGTGCGCACCGGTGATGTCACGACTCGGCCCGCTTCTACACCGTCGCTGAACGGTAGCGCTGGCACGCATAATTCCGAGCAACGGGTTGCAGACAAGTAAAATGCCACTCTGGTCCACAATTAACCGCGATTTGATCTACATCCCGCAGGCAGCGCCGGTAATATCGAGCGAGTGCTGTCCAGTCTTTAGGCCAGCCTCTTCCAACGGCCTCGAACATGCAGTTCATGCATTGAGCTCCCTCACGATATATGCCTTTGATGCAGAACAAATGGTCGCACTGCCTTGCAATTGCTATTGTCTATTCCATGTGTTCGGATTCAGATCAAGGGGTTACTGTCGGAACAGTCAATGAACGCCCAAATTTCCCCGCTCACACCTCATCGTGCCATTTGTATAAAATGGGAGCATGCAGTGCCCGCCATATCCTGCCCTCATTGAATTGTTCTGACATGCAACCGCGATAACACACTTTCTCAGACGACACACACACACTCACTCACACACACACACTCACACACAGGAAGCCCCGTTCAGACCAATATCACACGATGTGTGTTAACAAGAGTTACTACTACACGTGCTGGATGTGCCAACAAGAATGCGCCTACTACAAGACCACCACCTCCCTCTGCCGCTCGGTAAAGAAGAAGGGTCGTCCAGCAGGCAAATGCTGGAGGGGGATAAGAGACAAGTGGATCCGTTCAAGCCGCAGGTTCTGCAACAAGACCTGCGAGGAACGGTATAGGAAGAATTTGGACCACATCAAGGCGAGGGAAGACGAAAACGCTCGCAGGGAATTGGCTGCTTTTATGGAGGCTCGAAGGAAGAGGAAGGCAGCAATGAGCAGGTTGATCAGGGTGTTTCCGAGTGTCGCGAGGGACCGAAGCCCCGCCTTGTTTGGCCATTCGTCTGTCTACGGCCTCTCCAGGTGATGGCAACTCCGAGCTCTTCATCCACTCAGACCCATGTTCGACTGCAGGCAACAGACCGTCCGTCCTCAACACATAGCTACCTCTGAACCAATTTCAAGCACGGCTAAAACACCAACCATAGCTTCTGTGCCTCGCAATTCGTGAACGTGCCGCTTCTAGTGATTCACCATTTGTATTGCCACATGATAACCCCATTTAGGTGCTCCGCATCAGTACCTTTGAGACCAGACTGTGTGGCTTTCATAAGCTAGACGCACTTGTAGCTTTTCTAGTACTACAGCGAGCGTAGGGTGTCAGTCCGTGGGTTAGTAACTCATCTTGGCTCGGCTTGAGCCGTGGCTGTCTGACCTCATGGTTAACCTTCGGGACTTCTATAGCGAGCTGGGACGGACTGTCTTTGGCTAATAAAGCAGACCTAGCACGCATCGTGTTACTTTGCGCGACTTGGCGATTAGGAGACCGTCGTTGATGCACTGCAAGGCTCAAACATGGATTCGAGCTACTCGTACTCTCCACCGCAGTGCACCATGGCACAAGAGTTCATGATTAAGAACCCAAAGAGACGCCGCTCCATGCATGTGCTATCCCCGAAGACTAGTACAGTAGCAGGTGGTCATCAAGTGTACTAGGTCGGTAATTCGCGCTTATTAGGACTCATACAGGGCTGTGACAAGGTCACACTAGAGGAAATAACCCCTGAATTGCTGTGCTTTCCCCTGAACTATATCAAGCCAGCACGTAGCGTCGAATTCTCCGCCGTCGCGCACACGCTTCTCGATGCCAGGCTTCCGCAGTCCAAAGCGCAGCATATCAATACCGACTCGCCCTAGCCAAGCGTATTGTCGACACCCGAGACGTACAAGATGTGCTGGGTCCAACGGTTCATAAGGTGCCATAGGTGCCGCAGGGATGTCGAGGTTTCAACGGTTCCGGCTCTGCATTGCGTTGAGCGGCCGAGCAACAACATGTTACATACACATGGTGTTCTTCGCATCCCGGGACCAACGGAGCCCCCGTATATCTACTGTTTCGAGTGTCAAGCGCAGAATGCTGCAAAGCTCAAAAAGGAGCGAGACCACAAGTATGGGCCTGGCTCCAAATCGGCGAAGTCGGGAAAAGCGTCAAAATAACTTCGGCATTTCGCTCGTGTCGACACCATGCAGGCAGAAAGATTCCTGCTTTGGCATTTGTCCGTCACCAATGGAATAACTTTCACAATAATATAGCGTTGTACAAGCCGAACCCTAGTATCTTTGTACATCTAAACATGTCTCGTGGCGGAAACGCACTTTTAATATACAGATGATCAGGATGTTAGTCGGCAATTGAGATCCATAAAGCCTTCCACCTGACCTTGAGAGAGTTTGAACTGCGTTCTACTTTGTCAGTCTTGCTTAAGAGGACTGAGGCAGAGGCTGATAGTAAGAACAGAGCTGGGAATGGAAGGTTTCTTGGGATAGCTTCCAGTTCCGCGTAAGATCTTGTTTCCTTGGTCCAATCTATCTATCTATAGTGTGGATGTGACGTCAACTCTGCTCAGCCTGTCCCTCCGACCCTTAGTCGACGAGAATCGTCCCCATCTATATCCCAGATCCCAGTGAAAGTTATATAACTCGGTACTCAGTTTCCGCCCAGAGTTTGCCGTGATTCAATGCCCGTCTAGCAACTAGCACTGTGCTTTCTACGGGGCAGACGCTCATGACTTGACGGCGAGAGAGCTTCCATCCTGTATGCCGCCACTTATGATAACAGGCAAGCATAAAGTCGGTCAAGTCTGTGATTCACAGTAGTAGGTTACGAGGTAATCTTGCATAAGTCACTATATCTTTTCTCTGAGTATAATAATACCACTTCGCAGGTTCGTACGTTGAGCAGTTGTAACCATTTTCCCTTAATAATTTCGCAGTGCGGCACCCATACCTTTTCATCCACGCTAAAGCAGACTGGCAAAGCTCGAAGTGCCCAAGATGTGCTTCACCAAGAAGATGTTCAAGTGCTATGCTTGCCAGAAAGACTTCACAATCGCCACAGTCGTTGCCGAGGTCTGCATCGTGCAGCGGGGCAACGGGAGCCAACATATTACTGGCCCTGTTTACGTGGAACAGCCAAAGAACTTTCCCTTCTGGCTCTGCCGTGACTGTATTGGAACATGTCTTGAGGTTCAAAGAAATCTTCACAAGGATTACGGTTACTTGTCTCGCGACACCTTATGAAGCACGTTCATAGCAAAGGTGATGTTGCTGCGATGATGGACCTACGGATAGCTATCTTTGCGTTTACAGCAATCATATGAATATCATAAAATTGTCACCTACCCACGGGTAGCTTTATCATTATCTGTACCAGGAGGACATGCATGCTATTGACAATGGATCCAGTTCGAAAATCAGCTCAGCCACACCCGCATGAGTACTTAAAATCTACGAATTCGCTCCGTTGCTCGTATGCTACTACAGTGCCCGGTATTGTTTAGTATATAATATAAGGGTACTGAGAGGTGGGCATTGCGTCTCTGTATCGGCGAAATTAAAAGAGAGTCATATGTAGACGGTCGGAGGTTATAGATGAACTATTGAAGGCGGGCTGCTCTGATGCATCATAGATTAATGATCGTTCGCGATCCACAGCCCAGAAGCTCAGGACTTGACGCTGGAGGGCTTTCATCGCTATCTGTTTCTTGCGTCTTGCCCCGCACTCACGGCATCAGGCGTTCACAGCGAATCGGGTCTGTGATTCACATTCGGGGGCAAGCTACCATTGCGATAAAATGATCTTGTGGAAAATGGGGTGTATAATCACTGTTCCTTTAGTTGAAATATAAAAAGAGGAGTTCCGAACTTCTCACGTTCCGCAGTCGTGACTACTTTCCTCATTAATTCCATAGCCCAAGACTGGAGGCGCCCAACTACCCTTGTTCTGTCAGAGAAGTTTATCGAAACCCCAGACGTTGAAGATGTGCTGGATCAGGACGTTGTACAAATGCTATATTTGCCAGCAAGATGTCCTAGTGTCCTCAGTCGCTGCGGCGATTTGTGTCGTGCAGCAGTTTAACAAGACCCGTTCACATGCAATTTCCTTTGTATACATGGAACAGCCCAAGGAGGGACCCTGGAACCTGTGCGCCGACTGCGCCAAAAGATGTGCTGATGTTCAGGGCAACCTTGAAAAGGATTTCGGCCCATTGAAATGAGGGGTCCCTCTCAGTGTACTGTTGCACTGGCTGAGGCACGTTCATAGCAAGGTCGACATGGATGTTGCCTAGCTGACTTATGAAAGCTATCCTTGCATTGAGAGCCATCTCATTTAGCGTATACTAGAATTACTAGATAGTAGTTCTCTAGTAGAATTGGAACCCAGTGCCCGCATAGACAGATCTGTGCTATCCTTGTCTATACCGAGGGAATGTGCCTAACAAAAAATACCCATTTACTCCTATTTGGAATCACCTCCGTCTTGCCGATATGAGTATATTAAATCCGGTGCCTTGCTAAGTTACGTATTTAGTACTGCAATTCTTAGCGTTATTTAATACGTAGTAAGGAAATATAGGGAGTTAGGCGTCTAATCTATGTATAAGCCCCAGCTAGAGGGAATTCTACGTGAAGGCTCGGACGTTATCGATGGAATAAGGTAGGCTGCTCTCATATATCCTAGAGTCGTAGTCGATTGGGAGCCACGAACAGTACTTGCCTCATCCTTGACCCTAAGAGCATTGAATAACTCTGCAACCTTTCCGCGTTGCGACCTCATGCCTCTGGCTTGACCAATACACCCCATACTCGGGGAAGCATGCTCCACGGTTGCTCATCTCCTTCGATGCTATCATAATTTTCCCACTTGCCCGCTGCCGCAAGGATCTCCCTCGTGTTCCGCGTCATGTTGCACCCTCCAATGAACGGCCACCATACTGGATTCCAGAGATCTGCTCACAGTTAGCAATCCCGGTTATTGTATTCCCATGACAATGGCGTGCTGTAAAAATGTAGTTGATCAGCTTGCGACTTACGTTGCACGGTCGCTGTCAGCCAGTCTGAATTGCGATGATGCTCCCAGAAGATCAGCTTGCCACCAGGCTCGAGCAGACGATACAGCTCCTTGGCCACGGCTTTTGGATCAGGCACCGAGCACAGCACCTGGATGCTAAGCACCGTGTCAAGGCTGCCTTCTGTGATTCCATGCTTCTCGAGGACGTCGCTCTCTTGCATTTCGCTGACGACTAGCTCATATACGTCCTGTAGCCCGTGCTCCTCGATCTTCTGTTCACAGTCGGGCGCGAAGTGAGGGTTGCATTCCACACCGACGATGCGGGTCACCTTGCTCTTGTCGTAGCGACACAGCTGGTTGCCCAGCCCGGGACCGAGCTCCAGCACGATGCCGCTACATTGAGGGACAAGTTTGGGGATCGCAGTCTTGTTTGTCTCGAAGCGAACGAAGTTTTCATCTATGCAAGAAAGTCAGGCGGCATACTGGTAACATGGAGTCACTGCTTAGGAGTACATACTCAGGACTTTGAACCACTTGTAGCATCCCATGTTCAGAAGCTGGGAAACACTAAATAGGATGCGGTAGCTGCCCTTCTGAAAGGCTTCCTTGGCGCTCACGGATACGGCTGGGACATACTGTCAGCCTCCCGCCCAAATGCACTCTCATTCGAAGAGTCCGGTAAAGGATTTCCTCGCGCGAAGTCATGATTAGCCCAAATGCCATATCAAACGGGATCCCAAGGCTCCAGATAGCTACGATATCGGTCTTTCCAGGTCATTGTTTCTTGCCGTCGGTCGCTCTCCGGAAAGCTAAGGCACGTGCAGCCTCAGGGATTCGCCAGTGGTTTGCTTCAGTCTTCCCGCAGTGTGGCATGTAGTACAAATAGTAGAGAGTACACGATGCGGATCATCTGCCGAGTGTACGTCTTATTAACTGGTTATACAGACATGCCCATAGAGGGGGTTTGCATATACGCGACAATCCGTAATCCCGACACTCGTGCCGCCTGGCTGATGTGGTTCTGTTGCTGTCGCGTTCTGCTGCAGGAGATATGAGTCACCACAACGCACCTTGCGTGGCCAGGAAAGTAGGGTGACAGGTACTGTACAGTAACGCCCTCGGCAAAAACACAGTACTGTACTCCGTACCCACGTCGCCAATGTAGCCGGCTTGTTGGGCAGCAGGCCGTTGCTCAACTCGAGGCGGATTGTCCCAAGCAAAGGTTGTTGCTGTTGGTCAAGGGCCGAGGGGGGGTAAAACGCACAACCAACGTCCATGTCTCAGTTAGCTTCAAGGTTGCGAACCCGCCGAACAGCAGGGGCCACTGCTGGCTTGGACGCAGCCGCCCCGTCTCCTCCGCCTGATATGCGTGCGCAAGCTGTGAGTTGCATCGCGAAGAAGCACAGAGTTGACTGTATGGCCTACGTCAAGTAAACAGGCAGTGCATGCTGACCGAATCATACTATAATATGTAGCCCGGGACATTGTCGACACAGCAATGGCAAAGCCCACTGCGTGAAGTGGCTCATCAAACACCCAGGGCCTCTGCAAGCGCACACCCAGACGAGAACTTACTATTTACCCACACGCATATCTCTATTGGCCACGCCGCGCTCGGGATACAAGCTGCCACCCGCCGGGCCGCTGCAGCCCGTAGCCCGGCCTCAATTGCTGCTATAGCTTACTTGCCCGCGAGACCGTCAAAATGTGCCGGGGGCCTGCAGCCCGCGATAGATCTCATTAACCCTATAGCGCGGCGGCCGCGATGGCTGCAATGGCGCAACCTACTGGCCCGCTAGCCACGATGGCTACGGCACAGCGACCGCTTGCAAGACGCGTGACTCTAATACTGTACGGGCCTCCGGTTTATATGGGCAGTGCGTGGGCAAAGAGGGATATGCGTGTGGATAAAGAATAGTTCTCCAAGGAGGTGGAAAGCATCAAGGATGCCAAGGGCATCCAAATATACATTGTGTATATTCCCGTAGGCGTGTCTGCTTTATCGCAGATGCAGAAGCGAGGTGGGAATACTCTCCCTCTTGAGCCCGAAGATGGCCAATTGATGAGTGTGTGACCTCCCGTCTCGATCCCCCTTCGAGCTCCCCAAGTCTGCCATCTCGAATGGGCATAACACTAACACTCGGTGCTCTTCCAGTTATCAATATTAATCTGCACTCGAAGCTAGATCGGGAAACCGCAAGAATGAAGGTATATGAGGGGAATGATCGCTCGAATGGACAAGGCGGCCCAATCGGCCCAATCCAGCGGGCATTACCACCCGTACGTCTTTCTGAACCATTGTTTCGAAGAACAGCGGCCTCTCGCCAGCTATGGAAAACCAATCGTGGACCTCCTTCTGGTAATCAGAAATGCCGTAGATCCCCGAGGAATCTTCCATGTATTGCAGCCGGGCCACCACAAATTTGTATCCCGCCATTGAGCAGTATCTCCAGGTGGCAATGGAGCCGAGCTCTGACAGTGTCCCGGGAGTGTACATGTAGCGTGGCCCTAGCCGATACACCTAAGATAGATCCATCACGTCGTCAGCATCAGTGCCCTGTGCGGGAGCTTGCTTTCCAGACTTCAAATCCTCTCCGAATATGATCGTCAGAAATGCCACCACGTCGCTCATGCCTTGAGGAGAATTGAACCAATGGCCTCCACTCTGATACTCGCGCCAGGCGACGTTCGCACCGAATCCTCTAAGCGACTCCCGCAGTGTTCGGCTGTACTCAACAAGCACGAGCGGGTCATCTTCACAGTGTTCCAGTAGAGTCGGCGTGTTGCGCAACACCTCGTTGTCCGTCGGTGCGTCCGCGAACTCGAGCACCTTGCGCGTATCCGCGAGACTGCGTCCTGGAAACGGCATTCTGCACGAGAACCCCATGTACGCGCCAAGTCGACGCGGAAGGGCCTGATCCTGAGGCGAAGTACGCCGGGGAACGTTGAGATTGAGCAGCGTGTGAGTCGCCGTAGCGGCACCCTGACTGATACCCGCCAAGACGATGCGTTCCCACCGTCCGCCAAGCAATGCCGCCTCCTCAGCAAGCAGCTTCCGGATTTGCTCAACACTAGGCCTCAGCCCCTCCGCCTGGAGGTCCTCGTGGTCGGAGAAGTTGCGGACATCCCAGATATCAAACCACTGTGAGACACGGTCTCCCGGCGCGGTCCGGCAAGGGATGATGCCGGCAGTCGGGAACACCCAGCGGAAGGAGGGAAATGCCTCGCGGAGGGTGTAGTTGCGCGAGTCGGTGGACAGCCAGAGAGAGTCGCAGAATCGGGGGGCCGTGTCGCCACGGCCGTGTAAGAAGACGACGGTGTGCGTGTGAGCTGCCGATGGGGCGACGATGGTCGGGGGAGTCGCCATTGTTGGGCTTTGTAGCGTGCACTTCCAACGCGGAGACTCTCCTTTTGCGTGCGCGTTTGTGGTTGAAGAAGAGAAACGGCGGGCTGGCTTCGCGTGCAGCCTGGAATTGAGGTCTGGTTGAACATTGAGCAGAGGGTCCTGCGGATGAATCAGGGTCGCTGCCTGCGGCTTGTTGGGCGCTTGGGACGGGCGCCTAATGCGACCTGCGGCCCCCTGACTGACCAGCTGCCACCAGAACGCTTAAGCGCCTGCCATGGTTTGCAGCCTCTTGTCGGGTGCCGACTGCCTCGCCATGACAGATGGTGTTCAACCGACTCAAAACTGTTGGTCGTGCGATACGTCATGGATCGACGGCGGATAGCAAGATGCCGTAAATGTGTTATCTTGTAGTCAGATAAAGTCGCCCTCCTCCCAGCTTCGTTTCTCAACCTCGACTTCCTTGGAATAGTCTCCAAACGCCCCAAATATCCGGTGGATCTGGATCTTTAACCTTTCCTCGTACCTGAACGACTCGAATAGCATCTTGGTGTACTCCCAGTACTCGGGGTAGAACCCAGCGGTCTCCCAATCCACGATGCCCGTCACATGCCAACCAATCGTCCCGTCTTCGTTGCTCGCTTCATCGATCAAGATGTTGCGAAAGTTCAAGTCCGCGTGAGTGAAGACGGCTTCGTGGCCTTTTCGGCTTGAGTCGTCTGGATTGCGCAACAGCGCGTTGAAGCCATCTTCATTCGCGAAAGGCCCAAATGGCGTGGCGTCTCGGATGCGATGATCGCGAATGGGGCCGCCCAGTGAATCGCATATCGCGTAACCGTCGCCAACGAGCTTAGGAATACTTCTGATTTGCGAGACGATCGCTTGCATCTCTTGGACGAAAGTGGTCATTTCATCATCAGAGAGCTCCTCGTAACAGTCGGTGGCCTGCCTACCAGGCATCTGTGACATGAGCAAGTACTCCTTCTGGCGGAAGAGATAACCACTCGACGCGACGACAGCAATGTCCAGCGGTCTCGGTGCTGGTATACATGTGTACTTGCGAATCATTTGTAGAGTGTGAAACTCGTTGCGACACAAGCCAGGATCTCCGGGATATTTGAGGAACAGGCCGAAAGGCAATCTCTGGACATTGTTGCCTTCGTAGTCGTAGAGAATGCTCCCTACCTTGCGTAGGCATTCGTACGCAAAGAAGCGAACTTTCTCTGGTAGCAATCGCCACACTAGTAGGAAGGCAGGTTTTAACAATTCTGTGAAACCAGCCAGGAAGCCCTGACGCCTGAGAGGGGATGGTGAAAGGCGTCTGGCGTCGGACAACGAGCCATGGGTACCTTGCTTCCGTGACAGAATTCGTTGCTCTATGATAATCCAACGAATGCTCGTTGAAAATCGTGCGTGGGTGCCAATGAATCTTGCATCGACAGGTGAAGTCCCCCGCCGGGAGTGATCGCCGAGGACCGGAACCGACCCGTTCACGAACAGTGGTCCGTTCCGTAGGCCGATGAAGACGGGACTGATCCGATACTGAGGAGCATGGCGTGGTCAGAGTCAGATCTGACTTCAATGGGAGTTCGCAGAGCAAAAACGATTGCCTGGCTTACCTCAATCAAGGATGGTTGTAGTCTGTCCATCCTCACCTCACCTCGAGCGAAGGCAGCGGCGGCTGACTGGCAAACCAACCAGTGACTGTGGAGAGGCCTGATGCTCTTGGGATCTCGGGCGCATTTGAGCCACCAGTCACGATAAGGGGGGGGTGAAGAACGCTCCTAACATGTCAAATACACGGCTCTGAAATGAAACAACGAGGGTCAGCGAACATGCCCTTGAAAACTGGTGAGTACACGTACGCTACTTTGGATCCAGCCCACAGGAAGTGGCAAGACTGGCGTGACTATGAGCGGGTCATTTCGGGTGCCAGGCTGCCCTGTGATGCAGCATTTCATGCCATCGCGACTCGATATCATGGACGCATCCTCCACGTCCGGGGCTTGCGGTAGCGTCTCGCTTTGCAACACTGGCACTGTCAGCAATGGGAACCGTAATGAGGGCACAGATACACGTACCGGATTCGACAATGTACTTCCAGTCCGACACGAGTGAGAGCGCGTCTGAGTGCAGAGTCGGCCCGTCGTGGCAATGGCGTTGAAGGAACGACGCTGCCAGGCGGGGGTTCAGCGCCTCGAACACGAACGACTCCAGAAGACGGTCCAGCGGGTAGGGAAGCTGGGCCTGCTGTACAATGGAGACAGCAGCCTGCACTTTCTCGTCAGTAGTGGGAGCCATCGTGTCGGTTCGGGCGCACGAAGGTAGTAGCCACAGCCACTGGCCTTGGGTCGAACGAGCCCAGGCTCATCATCATGGGGAAGGAAGAGCTTGAGGAATGTCTCGATGCAGCGGGAGGCGGGTGGGAGATACAATTCAGGTCCCCTGGACGTGCTGGACCTTGCAGTGTAAGCCCCTGAGGTAGCCGGCCACCCGCTGCGGAGCACCAGGCAACAGCATGCGATGGGACCTGCGGGGGGGGGACATTAGCGCCCGCTCCGTCCATGTGTTTAGCGGGGTCCGGGGCCCCCAGCCCGCAACCTAGGACTGGAACTGACAGGAATTGAGGTCAGGGGTTGTCCCCCCAAGAACGCCGAGTGGCACCCAGCGAGTGGCACCGGCCGCAGCCCTGAAGTTTGGCAACACCCAAGAACTCCAGCGGTTGGGTCTTGGATCGCACAATGCCCCATTCTCGTGAAAGACTTCTGCATGCCCGGATTCAACGACCCCGAATTGAGGTCAGCCTTCTCAAGCCTCACCCGCAACTTTAGCACGCCGACCGCGTGTGCCTTGTAAGTTCTGACAGCGACTCGCTCCGTGTTAGCAACAAGCAGGCAGGCAGGCACGAAGGCGGCAAAACGGCACTTGCAACTTCGACCCACTGGTTCCACCAGCGGCCCGCGCGTTAGGAGGGGCCGACGGCTGCTTGCCGAACCAAGACTGAGGACGGGAGAACAAGGCGACTGCGCCTCGTCATGTTGCCGCTGACCTTGTCGGCTGTCGGTAACTCAACCACTAAACTGTGGCCTCTCTCGCCGTCAATATGGCGGCAAGTGCGTACGGAAACACGGAGCCAGCGCCCGCGCAGTTTGCTCACTTACAGCTTTCCGCGGCAGGAGGTGTGACGACAAGGCAGTTCGTTGCCTGCGCCCCATGTCGTCAGGCCAGACGACTGCCGCCGTGTTACATACGAAGCACACGCCACGCCCGTTGCCGGTCCGCAGCACCGTTGCTGCAGTGGCGTTGTTTGCTACCCAGCCGTGCGCGCGTGTGCTGAAGGGACCAGAATGAACATCATCACCAGTGTTTTGGCATCCTTCCAGAAGAAGCACCTCCGCATTAGCGGTGTTGCCGAACTCCAGACTCACCTTTGACGCACCATCAATAGGGAGGAACGGTTGGCTGCTCCAACGCGCGGAGCATGTCTGGAATGCTTGTTAGCGCGGCGCAGTGACACTCACCATCATGCCACGCGCGCCCTTCGCCGCACAGGACCCGGCGCTTTGGTCGCGGCAAGTCCATCTCGTGTTTGTTGGCGAACAGATGCCGAGGGAACGCTCCCAAGAGCTCGCAGCTGATGACTCCATTTTACTTCTCGATGTGCGTGCTCGAGCCTTGCCGCCAAGACGGGGGGATTGCGGGGTTTGAGACACAGCCAAGTACAAACTTCCCGGAGCAGGTTCACAGACACTCCATCGAAAGGTGGTGTGACGAAGCTGGCGAATTGCCGGCGGCGCAGACAGACAAACGCAAGCCACATCTCACTGGCCGTGGAGCTCCCATCGTAAGTCAGGGTTTCCCTGCCGATGCACAAGGTCACGAGTGCGGCAACGACGACAATGCTAGCTCGACGGTCTCTCTCTCCCCCCTCGCTCTCTCTACACCAAACCTCGATCCCCCTACAACAATGCGACGGAAGAGTGGATGGTCCCTTCCCGCGCGACTCGACGGCACTTGCGCCCGTTGTCTCTACTCCGTTCTCTAGAGTCTGTACCCACGGCCAGCAGCTCGCTGCCACACCCATGAAGATGCCGCTCTGCTCTCGTCACCCTCGCCTGTCCCCGACACCGTCGCCACCGTCATCGTCATCGGCATCATTGACAGCCCCAACAACAGCAACGCCATCGTCCACACTCGCGGCACAGTTTTAATACGTCTTCACCCTCACCCCTCGCTCATTCTCTTCGTCGCTCTGGCCGGCCAGTTTTGTCTCGATAACGGCACCATGGCGGGGAATCCTATCGTCAAAATCGAGCTTCCGGGTCGCTCCCTGACCAAGCCCTACACGACAGGGGAGACTATCCGTGGAACTGTCATTCTCGAATCCCCCCAGACCATCCCGTTCCGCCCGCTCCTGGTATGGCTGAACAGTAGAGCTCGGACCAAGACGGCCATGAGCATCCATCCAATTGTCCGAACTTGGCATGTACCCATCCTGAGAGACCTCATGGGGTGTGGCGTTTGGAATCCAATGCCAGGCGAATTTTTCTCTGCCGGTGTAAGGTACACGTTGGAGTTTACTTACATCATCCCGCCACGACTGCCCAGGCCACAATGCTACGGCCGTTGCATGAATCCCGTCGCCGCCGAACGGCACTGCCAGCTGCCTCCCTCCCTCGGAGACTGGTATCTTAAGGACATGTCCCCAAAGGGGGCTCAGATCGGCTGGTTCATTAGTGTGGACGAGGTTCAGGCAAACCCTGACCCGCTACTTCCTTCCACAAAGCTTGCGTGTCTGGCGGCGACTCCCGTCTACATTCTGCCCTTTTGCGCAGAGGATCCTCCCCGCATCATCGACGGACACAACGACAGGTATAAGATGTGCGAGACAACGACACTAAGGAGGCGTTTCAGAATTCACAAGGGACCCATCGGCACCCTGACGGCAACCGCATTGCAGCCTCCCGCCCTCATGATTCACCCGGATAGCCTCCGCGGCTCTCAGACAGTTGCCCAGATCGACTTGTCATTCTCGCCGAGTAATCGGACAAACCCTTACCCGAAGATCCATTCACTTAAGATTGAAATCCAATCTTCTACTTTCTACAGCAGCGAACCTATGCATTGTCTCCCAGACTTGAGCCATGCCCAGCCTGCCTTGGGGACAGCCAACATCCCCCTGGAGTACTCAACGTCGCGCACCATTGCCACCGTGTTTCCTGATGCACCACTTTGGCAATGCAGCCATTGCACCAAACCCTGGGACGCAGTATGCTCCTCCTTGCCTTCAGGATCCTCATCTTCGTCCAGACCTGGCCCTAGTGATCTGGGACCTGGCAAGGACGACGCGCCCACAGTCGGGGCAACCGAGGTGCCCGAGGCCGAAGAGCAACAGTCACGGGTATCCACGAAAACATCACTGTACGAGCTACCCGCACATCTATGCAAGGACCACTGGTATCACGCGCAGCTCAAGACGTCATTTGGGGTGAACGATCGGTGGAGGACACTGTTTCTGCCGACTTTTTTTTCTTGTTCGATTGCGCGAACGTACACGCTCAAGCTGACGCTGAGGGTCGGTCCAACGAACCATAACATGAAGTTTTTTGTACCCCTTCAGGTTGGCGTGATGGGCATTGGTCCATATGCGCACGCAAGCACGCCGAATCCGCCGCTCGCAACTTACGATTCCGCTACTGGGCACCGTGAGGTCCCCCACGCGGGTGTCGGCAGCATAGGTGCGCAGCCACAGAGACAGGAGTGATCAAATTTCGAGGCGCCCAGTCTCCAGATGCCAGGCGCCGAGACATCAAACCTGGAGCCATCAAATCCCGGGGCGCGAAATCCGGAGCCGTCAAAGACGGGGTTGCAAGTCCCAAGACGTCAATTATGGACGAGGCGCTGTGAAAAGGTCAGCAATGTGGTCTTGGCTCGTTGCGTTGGAAGTTGTGCTTTCCTTGAATGAAACTTGATGCCTGTTGAGCGGTCATACTATCTTTAACTGCAGCGAAGAGGATTTGGGGTCCTGGTATTGAGTGTTGTCTAGCAGTCTTTGTATACATGAGATACTTGCTTTTGCTAAATATCAGTTGCAGCGAATTAGCCTCCCTCGTGCACTAATTGGGCTCGCCGTGTGAGCGTCGCAGATGTTACACTTGGCCAGTCAGGATGCTGGTGGGAGATCCCATCGCTTCGTTGGCGCACCGCACGGATCCTCGGACTGTGGCAGTTCTCGGGGCGGCCAGGTGAACTGCGCTTTTCTCGAGGACATCTGTGACGCTGGATGGCTGAGTGGATTAGGATTAGTTAAGCTGCGTAGCAGCACGCACGCGGCCCAGGGCACCGGACAGCAGAAATAGTTGTGATGCCTTGGTATGCAGATACGACGGGACAGATACAACGCCATTCATGCCGTGGCGCGACTCCTGACTTAGTATACAGAAAAATGAGCACACACAAATCGCCTCCCCCCCGGTACTCGCACACCCCTTCGACGTATCGATGACGGCCGTTTCTTTCGTCTCGCCTCCTCCTTTGACTTGTACATCTTGTGACGACACGCTAATATGTTTGCTTGCTTTCCGCCTGCCGCCGCGGCCGCCGCGGCCGCTTGTCATCCTCCTCTGTCGTCCCTGAATGGTGGTGGTGGGTCGTTTGGGTAGTGTTAGTGAAGCATGTAGGATAGGTCGGGGAGGTTGCGTAGGATGTTTGCCACGAGGTCTTGGTCTGCGCTGGGGGTGATGCCTGTGGGGTGTTGTTGTGGAGTGGGTGAGGTTATGGACGGCTGGGCCGGAGGGATGGTGGAGGTGGAGGGCAGTGGCTCTTTCAGCGCCGGGGGCTCTTGGATGGAAGTCGTGCCTTGTTTTGGAGTTGGGTTGGGTGTGTCGTCGATGTGTGTTGGCGAGGCCTTCGCCGCCGCCGCCGCCGTTGTCGTCTCCCAGAGGTCAAAGTCGCTGTTCGACACGCCGCCCTGGGTGGTGGTGACGAGGGTGTGCTGGGACTCGTCGGCGCTGGAGGAGCCGTGCGAGTCGGAGTCGTCGGCGGCCCAGGGGTCGTTTTTGTCCGCACGGGTCGGGGCGGCCTTGATGTGGATCTCCGTGCTCTGGAGGAGGGTGGACTTGTCGGTGTCGTCAGGTGGGAGGACGCTGGCTTGGTCGAGAGTAGGAGCGGGGGGCGTGTCCGAGCCGTTCACCTCCAGTGCGGCGGACAGTGAGGAGGCACCAAAGGAGACAGGCTGCGTGGTCGTCGGCGAGGATACCATTTCGCCCCATTCGTCGTCCTCTTCTTCCTCTTCGGCGGCGGTATCGGGGACCATCGGGTGTGTCTGCGTCAGCGGGGATGGGGGCTGCCGGATCTTTGGTATCGACTCTGGCGGTCGAGGCAACTGTAATGACGCCGGCCTCTCCAACGACTGCTTCGGCTCAAGGTGAGGACCACTATCCGGCTTCTGCTCCTCGCTGTGAATCGGCTCAGGAGGCCGAGCAGCCAGCGGCGACGAGGGCAAGCTGCTGCTCCAGGCAAATGCCGGTTCGGTAGGCGACATGATGCTCCCCTTGACTACCTCGGACGCCTGCCTCCCATGCCCAGCCCGCGCCGACGCGCCCTTCTGCTTCTTCGCCCGGAGCAGCTCGCCAATCTCCACAGGCGGCGCCTCCGAGTCCCAGTTGAACATGTTTGCGCCCCCCGCACCGAGCCGGCGGCCCAGCACGACGCGCCCGCCGATCGAGTCCTCCTCCATCCAGCGACGCACGATGCGCAGCGTCTCGTCCCGTACGTGCGAGCCGGCCCAACTGACGCGCACGTAGCCGTCGTCGTCGTCGCCGCCGCCGTTGTACTTCCGGAGGGAGCCGAAGCGCGAGACGCGGTACCAGGCTTTGCGCTCTGAGACGCTGGAAAAGGTGTCGCCGATGATGACGTCTGGGATGGGCTCTGGGTCGATGGACGTGGAGGGCGTGGAGGGAAAGAGTCGGTCCAGCTGGGATAGGTCGATGGGGAAGGGGACAGGGGCCAGCTTCGGTTTTGAGCCATGGCTGGTGGCTCGCTCCTCAGTTTCTGATAGAGGTTCCCGGTCGTCGTCTTTGGCCGGCGACTCTGATTCGGGCCGCTCCAAGACTTCCTTGTGTTCCGGACTATCGAGATTGGCGTGCTGATGCTCCTCGTCGGGCGCCTCCGTGTCGAGCGCCTCTGTGACCTGAATGCCAGGCACTTCCAAAGCCGCGTCTTTGTCCTCTGTAATCTCCGTGGGCTCTCGTTGAGGCGTGCTCGGTGGCTCCGTAGAAGATGCGCTTCTGTGGGCGATTCCATCAAACATTTCCACCAGCTCCTGCACCTTTGACGGCTTCCGCTCCACGTCGGGCGGCTCTTCCGGTGTGACAGCTTCCTGCACGCCATCATCATCACGGGGCGATGGTTCCTCGAATGCATCGGAGTCCGCCGTTTTCTCAACCGCTTCGTCCGGTTCGCTGACGTGGTCGGATCTCGTCGCGTCTTTGGCCGGTATCTCCTCCTCCACTCCCCAGATATCGTGTGCGTGCACGTCAACAGAGCCCGGTCCTCTCGCCTTGCCATCCCGCTCCGCATCGTATCGTCGTGAGCCGTCGTCCCCAAGACTGATGGCCGAGTCCGCCGTCCTCCCCTCCTCCTCCTCCACCCTCGCCGCAGCCAACCCACCCCACGGATCCGGCGACGCTTCCCTCGCAACCGCACCACCCTCCGCAGGCCTCAGCCCCGGACTCCTCCCCCAGCCAGGGCTCTCCGCACCCGCATTCCATCCCCCCCACGCATCCTCCTCCTCCTCCTCAAGCGCCCTCCCCCACGGCGCGGGCGACACCCTTCGCGGGCTGCCGCCCCTGCTGCTCCCCTCAGCCGCGAAGTGCGCCTGCCGCGGCGCAGCGGGCAGGTCGAGCTTCACGGCTGCCGCCGATGCAGGCTGCAGAGCATTGCTGCGGCCGTCGTGGTTGTCGTCATCCGTCGTTGTCGACCACGGATCGCCGCCCCATGGGTCTTCCATGCCGGGCCGCGGCGGGGCATGTCGCGTGCTCGCTCAGCCTGCGCCTGGGCTGCTGCTGCTGCTGCTCCCCGCGGGTCGGACCGGCGGGGAGGGGGGACACGCACGAGTCGCGAGAATAGGGGATTATGATATCAATGGCTGCGGCATGGCGAGGGATCGGTCGGGGGCGGATGCTGCGGACGTTGGCGCCGCGTGGACTCGGTCGCGTTGGTCGAGGGAATCGGCGCGGTGGGGGAGGCGTTGCCAAGCCAAGGAGCTCGTACCGGCTGTGGCGGCAGTCAATGGGCGGGCTGGGTCTTTGGCCGTGAGCCGTGATGTAGCAGAGATGCAGGTTCGCGCAGATGGTCGTTGAAACCGAGGTGAGGTTGAAGAAGCAGACCGTTTCCGGACTAAAGAGATGATAGCAGGTCGGCGACTGACGTTAGGGGTCCACCGCGTCGTTGAGACAGCTCCCCAGCAGCTGCCAGGCCCACACCTCCGCGTCCTCCGGAGCTCGGGTTAATAGCTCCCAGGCACAGCCATATACCTTCATAGCATTCAAAGAAGCAAAGGCGTCCAGAATTGATTTATGTCACTGCCTTACGTATGAGCCTATCTGGCCTCTATTTATGCCATGCAGAGCAAAATGCTGGAAAAGGCCATTTCGGGAGCAGGGCCCCGCCAGCCAGTGTGTATCAACGCCAAACCCCGCGCCCACGCTAAAGAGCATCGTTTCCCGTCAAGGTATTATCATCTCCAGCCCGCTTCCCAAAGAAACGTCACTACACTCTAAAGGCTGATTTCATGACCAGGTCTCAGGCTCCATTCCTTGGTTCGACCTGCTCCCGTCTTCTCTGCGACCAACTCAATCGTGTTCTTGACCTCGGCACGAGACACGTTTCCGCGAAGCTGATGAAAGATGAAGTCGACAGTACCAGCCTTGGAAAGAGCCTTGTTGTCAAGGATTGCACGCTTAACGTCGTTCAGAAGCTCCGTCTTTACCAACTTCACTGGTGCGGTTGCTGTGCCAGCATTTGCGCCAAGGGCAGCAAAAGCGTTTGCGGGTGTGGGCGGAGGTGCCATTTTGCCGGAGCTTTCGCTCGGCTGTGTGCCTTTGCCGGCTTTGCCCTTCTGCTCAGTCTCCCAGTACTGGCCTGACCAGGGATCAATGCCCCAGGTCTGCGAAAGGCCCTCTGTATACAGTGGTTAGCACTTGCCGTGGCAGCAATTCACTGACTGATAACGTACCATGCATAAACTCCATCTTGTGCTCGTACACCGACCGGTTCGGTCCAAGCCGATAATGGTTCTCAAAACAAATTCCAGTGCTCTCGGGCTCCATCGTGTTCGCAAAGACTCGTCGCGCGAGACCCGCATCCTCGGAATCGTCGAGGAATCCGTCCATGTCGTCCTCGTCATCCAGTTCCTCTTCGTCGTCGTCCATGTCGACGTCTTCGCCCTCTTCGTCCTGCCACTCGGCTTCCGAGTCATAGTCGTAGTCGAGTGGCAAGCGTCGGTCGGTCGTTCTGCGTGCCAATCTGTGCATGTTGCCGGATCCCATAGCGAAAGGCTTGAAGGTGACAGTTCCGTAGTATGCGGGACGAACGTCTTGAGAGAAGGCAATCACCTTCATGGGCACCTTCGAAAGCTGTTTTCGAACGGTTTCCAATGCGTTGCCTGCAGAGGCTCCTGTGATTCCAGTCTTCTCTGCCTCCTTGAAGGACTTCTCCATGATATGTCTGACGGGATGGTGCAACCTTCCGCGACGAGGAGGCTTTGAGGGGAGAGACAAGAGTTCAACGGAATCGAACGCGCCCGCTTTGCAATCGTGTTCTCGTTGCCCGGCAATGTACTCATCCAGGATACGAGACTTGGCGTCTCGTGTCTCTTCGTCCATCAGCGACGCCGAAGGAGTCCACCGAGTATTTTCTCTGACGTAGAACGGTCGGAATAGCTTCTCGTAGGCGGATAGCGGCGGCCTCGAATCGGCGACAGCTGGTTTCTCCGGGCTTGCCGACTTGGTGCCTTGGGAGGCATCCGGTTTCTTTGAACTGACAAAGAAGTTGAGGCGCATCTGCTGCCGCTCCTTCTTCTCCAACTCCTCCTGCACTCGCTTCTTCTCCTCTTCTTTTTGGCGCTTCTTCTCGGCTTTGACGCGATCCTCCGCTTCCTTCTTCTTGCGCTTCTCCTCCCTCTCCTTGGCGCGAGCCGCCTTTTCCTCCTCCAGCTTTGCCTGCTCCACGGCCTTGATGGCGGCCTTGGCAGCCCGCTCTTCGTCCAGCTTGGCCTTTTCGACGGCTTTCAGAGCAGCCTGCTGCTCTTTCTCCTTCTTGCGCTCGGCGGCTTCCTTTTCGCGAGCGGCCTTTTCCTCTGGTGTCAGCTTCTTGGACTTGGTCGCGGGCTTGGCAGAGGCGGCCGTTGAGAGCGAGGTGGAAGGTGTGTTCTTTTTCGGTATGGTGGCGGATGCCGTCTTTGTTGGAGTCAGAGGAGAAGGCGAGTTTCGCACAGGCGTGCTGCTACCCGTGTCCGTCAGGGCTGGCGACCCGTGTGGTGAAGATTGGATGAGGTTGCCGGAAATGGGTGCGAGCACTAAACAGTCAGCACCGTCGGGGACCGCGATCGAGGTAGTGGCCGTACAGGAGTCTGCACTCGGGCGGACGGTGCCTGGAAATGCCGACTTTGCGGCAGAGCCCTCCTCTGTCTTTAATAGGTCGGTGGCAAACTCGTCGTGACTGCGCTTCCGGCCCGCAGCCTCTGACTCCTGGATGTTATGGTCCATCGTGAATAGCGGCATCGGGTAGGCGTGACTGGATGAAATACGCTGTAGGAGATCTCAGGCGGCCCAATCAGAAGAACTAGGTGTGATATTGATCCCGCGGTATCGTAATCGAAGGAGGTGTCTCGTGACAAGAGTAATGAGAAGGTATTGCGTCCACGTCAGGACGGGGTGATGGCACTCGTGTGTGCGACGAACGAATGCAACTGCATCAACGCAAATGGGCAATGCTTGCTCGCAAGAGAAGTGAAGCCTGCTCGACCCTCAATGGACCATGCCGCGCCGTCGCGTGTCCGGAGTGGCAATTAGTGACAGTCTCATCAAGGGGTGGAAGCGGTGGCAGTGCGGGTTCGAAGTGCAAGTGGTAGGACGACGCGCCACCCCGCGTGATTTGCGCGACTGCCCTTTCCCTGGGTCGCAGGGACGCGTTACCCGGTCTCCAGGACGCGTGCTGGCTAAACGCCGGAAGTGGTGCTGTGGCTCCGGTGGAGGTACGGGGTACTTGGTCCCCTGCTCTGTCGCGCTGCACAGCCACAGGGGCCGACGGGGTACGTATCCGGCCTTTGGACCAGGGCTTCGAGCGCCCCGCGGCGCTAGGGAGCGAACGGGCCAGTGGGCTTGGCTGGCGTCAGTGGTCTTCCCATGATGCAATTCGGCCAAATGCCGTCTTTTCTGGATGCCTCCGGCCGAGTCTCACTATGGCATCACGGGGTGGCCGGCGCCGAGCCACAGCAAAGCCGCTAACAGCAAGGAGTCACATGGCCGAGATGCCATCGCACACGGCACATGGGGAGTGTCTGCATTCGGGAATTCCTCTGCAAAGGTGGGCGGAACGTTGCCTCGAGTGGGAGGCCTGTCGGTTCCCAAAGCAGTATTCTCAGAGCTCAAACGCCACAGGCAGATTTTAGTGTTCCTATACGAGACTGCCGGCCGGCGATCTTGTCATCTTGTTAGCCGCAAAGATCTTCGAATCTCACATCACATCACGTCAGAATAGGAGCAAACACTGGGTTCTGGGTTCATGCGGTCACCATAGTCTTCGTATTGGTATCTACCTCTGACACCCCGAGCGGCGCTGCCGCATCAGAGGGGTGAGCAACCACGCTTGCCCATGGCGGCTGCTGCATTAAGAATATTATGCTTTTGGCGGCCTCGCCGTCCTGCCCATGGTTCCACAATACACACAATCGGAGCGAAAGAACAGAGGCAAGAACACACAGTCCGGGGCTTCGAGGCCCGGTGTGACTATGCCTGCACAGATGATATCTCTCCCATGGCCCCAACGCCTCTCAATGCAACTGCGCCGACAATGAAAACAATAAACGATTGGCTTGGAGCGAACGTGTGATGGTATAAGAATGTGAAGGTGGGCCGAGTGTCGCGGTTCGAACTTGGCTTAATCGGGGTTGGCGATGAAGAGGCGGCCAGACGTGAGGGTGGCCGTTCGCTCGTCGACGCTGCCGCGTCTCTTCAATTCCTCCGGGCTCTTGACGCTCTTCTCGCGGGTCAGAGCCGAGTGCATGAGCGAGTTGCTGGCCAGTCTCGGGGCGTTGCCCAGCTCGCCGACATTGTCCGCTCGCTCGGCGCTGCTGCCACTCTTGGAGCTGTGGGCCTTTGCGCTGGCCGCATCGTCAACCGGCTTGGCCGTCTCTTCGGCCACGAGGCTGCCAGATCGCTCTGGCGTGTCTCCCGGGCTCCAGCGTTGGCTACCCTGTGTGCCGAGGGCACCAGACGCTCTGTAGGGTACGTTTCGACGTCCGCTGCCAGTGCTGCTGCGCCCGCTGCTTCCCGTCCTACGGTGGTGCAATCGAGACGCAATCTGACCGTCGTCGTCGTCGCTGCTCTCACCCTCGACCTCGGTGGCACTAAGTCGCATGGGCACTCCTCCTACTCCAACGTGGTTCTCGCCCGGTGCGTATCCAACGACGGGCGTCTTGCCGTGATGCCGAATCTTGGCGGCGACCTTGCCGGTGGCGCTGATGCCGGTGTTAGTACGGCTTCCGGCGGCGCCGCGGGGACCTCCGACAACCTCGAGGTTGGCTCGCATCTTGGCGGCTCTTTGTTGGGCAGCCAGGCGGGGGTCCTCGTACTGCGCCCGATCGCACCATACGGTCGCCTTTTGTTTCCGCAACAAGGCGACATACCCTGACGGCTGGGTGATGGTTCCTCCGGAGCGGCTAGAAATGGAGCGTCGCAGGTCGGTGGACGAGGAGTTGCGGTAGGCGGCGGGAGGAGGAATGCTCGAGGATGTACTGAAGGTGTTCACTGAAGGCGAGCGGCGCGAGTAGGATGCCGCCGGGTTTGGCTGGGCAACGTGCAGAGACATGTTGCCTCCGAGGACCTGTGGCTGGCCCTGAGCTGGTAGAATGTTCGACGAGGTGGTTCGGGTGCGCGAGTGGCCGTAAGCGCTGCTGTACTCGTGCGGCCTTGCCCTCGCCTGAGGCTCGAGCATGATGGGAGCGGCGGGAAATTCGGGGCGCGCGGCTTTTTAATTGCTGCCGATGCGCAAGCCCCTCCGGGGGGAGGTTGACTCTCGGAAATACTGAGATGTGATTTGAGGCGGCGTCGGTTCGGCGAACGCAGCGGCCAAGGGCGATGACGATCAAAGGAACCCGGTTGGCGAGGGGGGGTTCGTTGGTATGAAGGCTGCGGCCAGCGAATCGGCTGGGGTGCTGCGAGAACGGGCCCCGGACTGGGCGGACGGGCAAAATTTCGTTTCAATAATGCGGTGCCGGCCCGAGCTCTGTGCAGCCGCCGCTAGGACTGCGGATTGGTATATGAATGTTTCGGAGAGGGAAATGCGAGGGAGGGCGAAAAGCTGGAGGAGAAAAGCTTGTTCGCGCGGCGCGGGGGGGGAGAGAGGTGAGGGTTAAGAGAAGGAGAGGGAGGGAGGGACCGAGTGTCGTGGGATGGGACGGGATGGTATTATGGGACGGGAATGGGCTGGGATGGGCCTGCTGGGCTGGTGCGTGGAAGAGCGTGGACTGGACGGACGGCTGACGGCCGCTCCGTGTCTCGCGGCGGCGGCTACAGTGGTCAAACGTTGCATGGCTGGCGGTCCAGTCGGTCCAGGTCAGGCAAGGCACACCTACCTACCTCCTAGCACCACGACGCCAGGCTGCGCAGGTGGGCTGGGCCGGGCTGGGCTGGGGCGGGTGATGATCCGTCCTGGTGGCCCGTCGAGCGCGCCTGGAGCAGAGAGGGCGCCGCCAGGTGGGCTCCGTCAGTGGGGATTTGGTTCGATTCGGGTGCCACGAGCAGCCATTTGGGCTTGGAATTGGGCGGCGGGGGGGGGGGATGGATCACAGTCACCCAGGGCTCACCCGCCCACGCTCGCCCGCCGCACCGCACCCGCACCGGTGGACGTCATGCGCCACCGCACCAGTCAGAGGGGGCCCTCCCCCGCCAGCATTGCGCCTGGGCGGCGGGGGGGCACGATGAACAGGGCCTGCCTGCCTGGCTGGTGCCGGGCGAGAGCCCAGCTGAACGGCGCCAACAGCCCACGCCGGTGGTTCCCGTCCCATTCCCACCGCGTCCATGCCCTGCCCTTGCTTGCGCCCGGACCAACGGTGATGTAATTCGCTGGCCCGACGCGATGGGATAGATGTGTATAAGAGACAGGCCCACGCCGGTGGTTCCCGTCCCATTCCCACCGCGTCCATGCCCTGCCCTTGCTTGCGCCCGGACCAACGGTGATGTAATTCGCTGGCCCGACGCGATGGGATGGGATGGGGGATGTTAGGAAATGGGGACCCAACGACGTACTGGGCGCCGCTGGTCCTGTCTGCCTCGTCTCGCTCAAACGGCGGGCGTTTTGTTTGACGAGCGTCGGCGACGACTTGCGCAACTATCCATCTATCTATGCGACAAAGGCCTCAGCTGCCCGCCGCGCCTTCGCTTGGAGAGCCGCCCTTTCTCATTACGTTCCCCCCTCTCCGACCCGGAGATGGATCAAAGGGACAAAAGAAGCTACTCAAAGCAAAATAAAAAAGGTCCTTGCTTGGCGAGCGCCGCTTCGGCCGCAAATCTGACGCCCCGTTCGTCTCCTCGCCGCACGCGCGCGCACCTCTCTGGCCAACACCCGAGCCAGACCTAACGATGCAAAAGCCGCCGGCTCGCCGAGGGGCCGCTGCCAAGGTGCACCATTCGCAGCGCTATGCTGTTACGAGACGGGCGACGAGCCCGGTGTGGTGGGCCTTTCTTTGGTTTCTGGCGGCGCTGCGGCGGGGGAGAGGCACGGCTGCTGCTGTCGCGCTCGACGTCGTGGGCTGATCCGGTTCGCGGGTGGAGACGTGGGCGGGCGACGTCGCTGCGCTGTGATGGACGGGAGCAAAAAAAACGTGCTCTTGTACGTGCAAGCGCTTGTCGTCGATGATGATGATGAGGAGGATGCGGATGAGGAGGACGATAACGCGACCCGCATGCAAGCCACGGGATCCTCTCCCATGTCCACGCCGGGGCCAGCATGAGCCCGATCAAGACTCAAAAACGCCCATTCTCTCTGCCTGCCACTGTCGTCGCTCTTGCTCTGGTGAAACCCCACAGCGCGGCACAGACGGCAGCCAACCGACCATGCACCGCGCCGCACACGGGCCACGAGCAAGGGCAATCTCCATCGAGAACTCGCGGGAAAGCTGGGGGGCCCCCCTGGAGAATCTGCAAGATGCCCCCTCGCTGAGCGTGTTGGTTGGGCGGTCGGCGCGGTCGGTTGGGCGCTTGTCAGCCCTCTGGCAGCACGGGATTCGAATCATCAGCAACCACATCTGTCGTTGTTGTTGTTTACAAGTACGAGGGCACCACCACCGCCGCAACGGGTTGGCCAGTGAGTTGTCAGCTCGCCTATGGCTGCGTGGTGTTGCTTGCTTGCTTGCTTGCTTGTTGCCGCGTCGTCAAACCGGCGAGTCCGCCCCCTCTGTCGTCCGCACCCCGGCCTGCATGCTCGTACGTGCGTACGTACGAGACTGCTTCGTACATGCGTCTGTCTTACAGTACATATGACACCCGGATGCGCATGTGCGTGCGTGCGTGCGTGCGTGCTCTCTCTGCGAGCCCGCGTGCGCGCGCTTCATGCATGACGCGGGTCAATTACTGATGAGCAGAGTTGACATCGTCTGCCGCGCCCTGTCCCGCTAACGACGGTGCGACGAGGTTTTTGGGTAGACGATGGCTGACGCCTGCCCGCCAGGCTTGCCCGTTGTGGCTAATATTGGGCATGGATGAACGGATTCCAAGTGCCGTCGCCCGCTTCCACCGCTTCCCTGCTATCGTGCGAGTTCCCAATTCGGCCCTTCGACACCTTCTCCGGGGCCTAGACCTGCCCGTCCCCGCCTTGTCATGGCCCGCCGATAAGGACGACCTTCTCCGGACGCCATCGAATAAGCCTCGTTAGCCTGCGAATGTTTCTTGAAATCCTCTGGCCTGACGGGCAATGTTCCCAGCCGCCGGCGCTGTCCGCCTTGGTTGGCTCCCGAGCCGGCATGTAAGTGCTCGTCATTGACCCTCACCGGCCTTTCGACGGACGTCGCGCCACCACGGCTCGGCTCTTGTAAGACGTGCCATTGCATCGACACCGCGGCGCGGCTTCGCCGGAGGTTGCCCCGAAACGCCTCTGCTACGTGACGGCGCGGGCTGGTTGGAAGCTCACGCTGTCCGACCGGTAGAAGGCGTCAGGAAGCACAACTCAACCGCGGGCCAGTCGCCCTCCCAACCTGCGCATCATTGCCTTTGTCCTCCCACCCTTTGGCGGATATTGTTTTGCATGTTTCCGGATTACTGGATCTGTCGATGCTGCCCTTTACGTGCAGCGCCGCACGCATGTACGTCCCCGTTCCAGCGTAGGACGCTCCGGATGCAAATGGGCAGCTGGTGCATACAAGGGGGAGCCCATTGGCCATGGCCACTCAATCATCCATGACGAAATGCCAACCGCAACTGCAGCCGGGGCTGCATCTTCAGCAGACGCAGACCGGGAAAATATCTCAAAGCTGAAAGAATGCCGTCGCCCCAGTCGAAACCCTGGCTCGTTGACGAGTCACGACCAGTGTTTGGACGCGGGATGCTTTGCCGCCGCTCTTGACGGCGGCACGCCCGCAAACACCACGATCTGCGTCGCCGTTGCCAAACTCTGTTGCTTCCACCACTTGGAATTCGATCTCGATCTCGATCTCTGGTTCGAAGCTTGGAGATGAACGAGGTCGTTTCTTGGACAGATGCGACGCTGCGCGCGGGGCACAGGCCAGAGAGCAAGGGGCCCAGCCCACCATGCTCCAGGCATCCCTGCTCGCCCACGCCGTCAAGCTTTGGGGACCCCTGGTCTGGACAGCACGTCAACCTTTGAGCTAGAGGGCAGTCGGCCAACGACAAGCTCCAGCGTTCACCGCGAAGCGAGGCTGTCTCACACTCAAAGCCTGGAAGCTGGCCAGCGCAACGCTGTTGCCGGCCGTTTAGCCCTGGCCCCTGTCCAGTTGTCAGTGCCCATTGGCGAGGGTGCTGGCAGCTATGGCGATCTCGGGCTGCGTGCAGGTCCCCGATGGCACGCGTTCAATCCACCCAAGCTTGGGACGCTCCCAAGGGCGGCCCCTTCAGGTGTCGTTGCTTCATCACGGTCGTCGAGAGTTTGCGGCTGCTACGGCACTATAATTGCTAGGTATCTGCGGCCCTGCCATCTGCCAGCCGCAACGTGCGCGGGACGGCGGGAAATCTCGCTGACGCCAGTGCTTGGCCACGCATAAGCTCTGTGGCTTGACGCCCGACAGGTCGCGTTGTCAGGCCTGGTTGGCCGACAGAGGCGGTCGCGGTCCGAGAGCTGCAGATGCGTGGCAGCTCCCTCTGCAGCTTGGCTCACAGTGGCTGCGGGTATGCTTTCCTCTTTGCCGATGTCGACTCATATGGTGACCTGCCCATGCGAGGCTGATTGTTGTCAGGCCGACGCGACGTGCTGTGGAGAGGAGCACATAGGCAGCAGAGTCATGAGCAAAAGCCCATGTCGCAAGCTCAACTGCGGATCTTCCCGCCCGCGGCGGCCTCGGGACGAGGTTGTACGGAGCTCTGCCACGGACAATCTCTTGTTCGTTGCGCCACCAGCTCATCCGTCACATCCGCTGTATTGTTCCCACCGAGGTCCGCTGTCAAAAGTTTATTTGCTGGCCCGCGCCGTTCGAGGTACGGCTTTCCGCCGGCGCAGTTGAAGCGGTCAAGAATTGCACTCCGGTGCCCGGCTATTGGAGCCGCCGTCTTTCAGCTCGGCGCCGCCCTCCGCGGCACTCCCGGCTTTGGCAGATAAAATCTCTGGTCTGAGTGGTCCAGTTGGCGGGAGGGAGCAAGAAATCACGTTACCTGCGTCCGTGTGTCTCGCATGTGGTGAATGTCTCGTTGGGCGCATGCCGCCGGTGGTCGGGGCCTGAAAACGTTGATGTCTTGGATGGGGATGGGTTGCTGATTGGGAGGCGCCGTGTGCCTGATGCAGGAGCTCGGGTTACAGCTGAACAAGGTACGGCGTCGCAGAGACCAGCGCAGCTCCAAGACGACCTGGCTCGCTTGCTTGAGCCATTCAACTCGCCAGGCGCCTTTGCATCCGGAAACCAGAGCAATGGCAACTCTGCAGCAATGGGCCCAATGGCCCAATTAGGGAATGGAGTGCGTCAACATAGCACCGATACGTACACCCGCGATAACTTTGTCTGCTTCTCCGTTGGAAGCAACCAACCGCATGCTTGATTTATCCGCCAGTTCATCGTCGCATCATGTGGGGTTGGCCGTTGGAGCGGCATCTGCCTCCCCAAAGTCCATTCTGTTAGCGCGGACACAATGACGGATATATGATCCTCTGCATTTGTTGGGCATTTGCGCGGTTGGCGTTGCGGCGTCGGTAGTGGCCGTTAGGTTGCCGTTGTTAACGGTGCGGGCGCGCCCTGTATCAGCGAATACCTGGCGCAGGGCATGACATCAATGCGCCATCGCGTCCGGAAGTGGCAATGATGTCACGCCAGATGTGGTGCGACGAGCGCCAGCACAGATCCAACCGTCGGTTGGTACCTGGAGACGCGATTCAATGCGACCTCATTGCGGACGTCGTGAACTGCCGGGTAGGCCAAGGCCAGCGTAGGCGTTCTTGGCATATGCAATTGTCCAGGAGGCAGGCAGACAAAGCGAAAGACGGCAGGCGCAGGCAAGACTGGCTTCCTGATTCGGGCTTTGTTCTGGGGGGCAGGTGTGTTGGGCGTCGAAAAAATCCGAGTGTGGGGTCTCACTTCTGCGCGCACGTTGGCCGTCGGGAGATTCTTACAGGTCTACCCCGACCTTGACTCGCCAACCCGCATGCCAGTCCGTGGCAGCCTCGAGAGATCTTCAAGCCGACGGCGCATCAGAATCGACACCGCGGATTCGAATATCTTGCGGCCGTATGCCTCTCGGTCCAGGTCGGTCCAGTCCCCCGAGACTGCGCTGCAGCTGAGCGGACCGCCATGAAGTTCGCGAAAGAGCTGGAGCGGGATGCGGTTCCCGGTGAGTCTCGACCGACCGACCGTTACGCGATATGTCTTGGATTGATTGGGAAATTAACCTCGGCGACGCAGAGTGGCGGATCAAGTACCTCAACTACAAGGCCGGCAAGAAGTACGTCAAGGCCGTGTCGCGCGCCATCAACAGGACGCCTCGCGGCCTGAGCAACCGGACGCCGTCCTTCTTCCGACCGACGCCCGCTGGCCGAACATCCGGGCCCGAACCGTCCCACTCGGCGACCATCGCATCTCGAGGCGCCCCGGGTCGAGCGCCGCCAGCTTCGTCCGAAGCACGGCCCATCCCCACGAGCGCCCCGGCCGCCGAGCACGAGGCCCTGAGAGGCGATGGAAACAACCTTCAATATGGAAGCTTCGTGGCTACGCCGCCGCCGTCGAGTCCTCCCAACCCCGAAGATGGCCACCACAACTTTGAGCTCCCTGCTCCAGCCTTGCACCCGCCTCTCGACTCCCCAGAGCCGCCACGGTCGACGGACACGCTGCGTAAGAGTCTCAGTCGCTTCACCATGACGCGGAAGGCATCGAAAGCCGCTGCGGCGGCCGTACACAACACCAATGGCACCGATCAGCTCACGACACCCAAACGATCGGCAACTGCGACGTTCGGCGAATCGCCGTCACGCATCACCCGCATTCTGTCCCACGCATCGGCAACGTTTCCGAGGTCGGACACCACCGTTCCGCACGTTGATCAGGTTCGAGAGAGAGAACAAGAGTTCTACGAGTTCATGGACTCGGAGCTGGACAAGGTCGAGAGCTTCTACAAGATGAAGGAAGAGCAAGCCGGGCAGCGCCTCACCGTCCTGAGAGAGCAGCTGCACGAGATGCGAAATCGACGCATCCAGGAAATGGTGGACGAGGAGCAAGACGACAGTGCCGCTCACAGCAACGGCCATGAAAATGGCGTCGACAAGTCAAATGGCTGGGTGCACCCGTTCAAGGCCAAAATCTTTCCGCCCGGGCCCAACTCCAAGGCCCTGCGCAACATGCCTCGGACACCGTTCCTGCCACCAAGCGCGTCTGCCGAGACGAGGCGCGATTACAGCCGACGACCCCCCAGCAGCGACGTCTCGTACCGAACTGCAAAACGGAAGCTTAAGTTGGCCCTCCAAGAGTTCTATCGCGGGCTCGAGCTGCTCAAGTCGTACGCGCTGCTGAACCGAACCGCGTTTCGGAAGCTGAATAAGAAGTTCGACAAGGCGGCGAACGCCAGGCCACCCCTGCGTTTCATGACTGAGAAAGTCAACAAGGCGTGGTTCGTCAACAGCGATGTGCTAGACGGGCACATCAAAGCGGTTGAAGATCTCTACGCGCGCTACTTTGAGCGTGGCAACCACAAGCTCGCCGCTGGAAAGCTGCGGAGCCTGGCTCGGAAGCCCACTGACGAGTCGGGCAGCTCGTTCCTGAATGGCTTCCTGATTGGCGTCGGGATAGTGTTCACGGTGCAAGGGCTCGTGTACGGCGCCAAACTGCTCTTTGACGAGGACCAACTTGTCCGAAGGGAGACCAGCTATCTGCTGCAACTCTACGGAGGGTACTTTCTCATGCTGTTGATGTTCTCATTCTTCTGCATCAATTGCTTTGTCTGGACACGAAACAAGGTCAATTACCCCTTCATCTTCGAATTTGACCAGCGGAGCCACATCGACTGGCGGCGCCTGGCCGAGTTTCCGAGCTTCTTCCTCCTGCTTCTGGGCATGTTTATGTGGATGAACTTCAGCCAGTACGGGCCGGAGTGGCTATATACGTATTACCCTGTTTTTCTCATTGCAATTACGGCCTTTATCATCTTCCTCCCCGCACCCGTGCTGGCGCACAAGAGTCGGCAATGGTTTGTTTATGCCCACGTAAGTATATGCTCATACTTCGACCACCTATGCGGTGCTGACCCAATTCAGTGGCGCCTGTTGCTGGCCGGTATATATCCTGTCGAATTTCGCGACTTCTTCCTCGGAGACATGTACTGTTCTCTGACATACTGCATGGCTGTAAGTGTTGCTGCTACATCCACCGGGCTCCGCTGACAGCTACTTCAGAATATCGAGTTATTCTTCTGCCTATACGCAAAGGACTGGAACAACCCGGATCAGTGCAACTCCAATCACTCGCGACTCCTGGGCTTCCTCATGACCCTTCCGCCAATCTGGCGATTTCTGCAGTGTCTTCGGCGTTATAAGGATACGCGAAACGTGTTTCCGCATCTTGTCAACGGTGGCAAGTACACCATGACCATTGTATCGTCGGTAATCCTCTCTCTCTACCGCATCCACGCTGGTCACACACTCCTCGCGCTGTTCATAACCTTCTCCATCATCAACAGCGTATATGTCTGTAAGTTTGTGCTGCCACCCGGGAAACGCCGGCCTAAATGCTGACATGGGGTAGCAATTTGGGACCTATTCATGGATTTTTCACTTTTGCAAACGCATTCCCGGCATTTCCTTCTCCGCGATATTCTGGCGCTGAAGCGACGCTGGCCTTATTATGCAATCATGGTCATCGACCCGATCCTCCGATTCGCGTGGATCTTCTACGCCATCTTCACCCACAATGCGCAGCACTCCACGATCGTATCGTTCATGGTGTCACTCATGGAGATTACGCGCCGTGGGATGTGGGCGCTGTTCCGCGTGGAAAACGAGCACTGCGCAAATGTGTCGCAGTACAAGGCCTCGCGCGACGTGCCGCTTCCGTACCGCATCGAGCCTCTCATGGACCGCGCTAGCACCGAGTCTAGCCCGATGCTGGAGGACGAGGACGAGCGACACCAGGAGATTCCGCAGTCGGCATCGACCTCGACGGCGGTGGCTAGCACCCCGGGAACGCTGAGGCGACGCCCGGAAACCGGCTCGCGAAGGTTCTCCAAGATCCTGGCGGAGGCGCATAAGCAGGACTTTGAGAAGCGGCGCAAGCCCGTGGACGAGTCGGTCGCAGAGGACGAGGAGCAGGACGCCAATAGCGATGACGAGGAAGAGGAGGACGAGGAGGACGCGACCAGACTCATGGAAGTGCGCGAGTCGCGGGAATATCGGAGGAATTCGAAAGACGAAGGTGTATGATACATGCAAAAAGCACTATGAGCATGGTAGATTGGATTGTACATAGCAACACCCCCCTGTGGTGTGATGGGGAGGACCGGGCATTTGAAAAGATGGTTGCCCGGGTGTGTGGCATATGAAAGCGATGGCATTTGGCTTAATGAGGACATTGAATTGAAGGTATCTTGAGGGCGCCTCGCAGTGCATGTCTATGGGGCTATATGATGGATCTCTATGATGGTGACGGGCCACGCAGTTATTCAAGCCGTTGGATATACGTCTGCACATGAACCACCTTCTCTCGCTGACAGCACACACTCTGCGCAAGTGTACAGCGCGTCTAGTGCTCCCACTCGCCGTCAATCTTCTCCCAGTTGTCGAGGAAGCCCTTGAAGAACTTGACGCCCAGGCCCGGGTCGAGCGCGCCGGTGGTGGCGCGGATGGAGTGCATGCTAAGCTGGGGGATGCCCGCGTCGGCGGCCCGCACGCCCATCATGCTCGACAGCGACGGGCCGATGGTGCCGCCGCTGCGGGAGTCGTTGCGGATCTGGAAGTCCTGGGTCGTGGCGCCGCACAGCTCGGCGGCGCGGCGGAGGATGGCCGTGGAGACGGCGTCGGTCGTCATGTGGCCGTTGCTGTCGCCGCAGATGGTGACGCCCACGTTGAGGCGCGGCACGTGCCCGCCGAGGTACGACTCGAGGAAGTTGGGGTTGCCGGCGTGGGTGACGTCGGCGCTGAGGAGGAAGGAGCGCGCGTACGTCTGGCCGAGGAGGCCGGGGCCGTAGGTCGACGGGTTGAGGGCCTCGACGGCGCGCTCGACGACGAGGGGCAGGAAGTTGCTCTTGGCGCCCTGGCGGAGGAGCGAGCCGATCTCCTCGTCGTCGAAGAGGGCGACGACCTTGATGTAGCCGTCGTCGCCGCCGCCGCCGCTCTTGGAGGCGTGTTGTTGGTCGTGGTCGGAGTCGGCGGAGGAAGCGATGAGGGCCATGAGGGCGGGCCACGAGCACAGCTTATCGTCGATGCGCCCGCCGGTGATGAACTCGCGGTCGATGCCGCACGTCTGCGCGGGCTGCGAATCGTACAGCTCAAGCTCCCAGTTGAGCACCGAGGTGTAGTCCGTGACGCCGAGCTGCTTGCAGATGAGCCTAACGAGGCGCGGGGGCTGCGAGTTGACGAACGCGCCGGGCGGGCCAAGCGGCGCGGCCTTGTCCGCGGCGTCTGCGCCCGCGCTCTCGAGGCCGATGACGGGCACGGCCTGCGTCTCCTTGTTGTTCTGGCCAAACATGCCGACGCCAAAGTGCGGCGCGAGGGTGGGGATCTTGGCGACAGGCCAGTCGACGCGGACGAGGCGCGACGACGTCTTGCCGGTGGCGGCGTCGCGGACGACGACGCGGCCGCCGATGCACAGGTCGCGGTCCCACCACGTCTGGTTGAGGCCGCCGGCGTAGGGCGCGACGCCCAGCTGCAGGTAGCCGGCCTTGGAGGGCCGCGTGCTGACGGGCTTGAGGCGCGCCGTGAGGGCGTCGATGTGCCCGCCGATCATGGCCGCGCCGTTGCCCGCCTTGTAGTCGCGTCCGACGGCGAAGGCGACGAGCGAGCTACCGTTGCGCGAGACCCAGTACTTGCCGCCGGGCTGGACCTTGTCGGCCCAGGAGTCGCGGGCGGGGAGCTGTAGCATGAAGCAGTTAGCTTACTTAAATCCTCTACTTAAATCCTCTACCTCTCATACATGGAGGTGTGCATGTGAGTCGCGAGCCGCGGGGCGGTCTTCACACGATATCAACAAGGACGCAACGTACCTCTTGGAAGCCCGCGTGGTTGAGCTTGCGCTTAAAGTAGTCGACGGTGTGGAAGACGGTCGGGTTCTCCTGCAAAAAGTCGCAAAACGGCTTGGTGAAGGCCTCGGGCTCGCAGCGCGCCACCTGGCACAGGCGGCAGGCCTGGTCCTCGGGGAGGTGCCAGTTGACCTGGCCGATCTCGCCGGGGGCGAGCCGGGCGATGCAGCGGGAGCAAACGCGGTTGTCCCGGGGCGCGCGGCCCTCCATGTCGGCGAGGATGAAGTTTTTTGTGCGCGCGGGCGACGGCGACGACGACGGGGAGGATGAGGTCGGTGCTGGCATGGCGGCGGCGGCGGCCGGTGTCGGCGAGGGGAGCGAGTGGGAGGCGCTGCTGGCGCTCATGGCGGACAGCGTGTCGGAAAGCTGCTGGCGCAGGGAGAGCACGGATTCGTGGGGGCTGGCTGTGGAGGGCGCGCGTCTCGTCATGTCGGTGCTCGGTTCGGGGGGATGGTTGTGCGGTGACGAGAGGAGGAGATGGATGTCGAGGAGAGCTGAGGGCGGTGGGACAGAGGGGAGGAAGATGATGAGTCGGTGACACGCCGGCTAGGTGTCTCTGATTTGGTACAGTACCTACGGTTACACGGTCCCCCACCGCCGCCGCCTACGCCGTTGGTGGAGCCCGAACGGATACCGTAACCGTGGCTGGCGCGCGGGGGGGCTGGGGGGAAACGACCGATAAGGGAACCTGAGATGGAGGGCTATTATCGTTGGTGGTCACTGGTCACTCGCTCGCCATCAGCAGGCCCTGGACCGTGCCCCGTGTGACGTGCAGGCAGCCGACGATTCCCATCCACGAGCCACACTGGTGTTGCCTGTGTTGGTCCGCTCCTCGGCGGCACGAGCCGGGCAGGCCTGGCTGGGCTTTTTTCAGGGTGTCATGCGGGCTGGATTGGTGGCGTATTCGAGGCTGCAGCGAATCAGGACTGTGGCGGACGCCCGTTTTGTCCATTGCGCATCCCAGCCTGGACGTGTTGGTTGTTATGTAGGTAGGGGGCAGCCGAGGCTCGACGGTATGAGGCGAAGCGAGACCTAGACCTGGAGATGCCAGCTGAAGTGTATAATTGAGTCGACGCGTACAGGTGTACGCACACGACGCAGGTATAATTACCAGTCTGTCGCACGTTGCTCAACGACGCGTCATGGCCTCGAGATGGAAGTCGTAGCGAATGTTGCGTAGTCCAGCTCGCACGGCCCAAGTCTAGGTGAACACAGCGTCGCGCATGAGACGGACGATCCGAGAACATCCGCGTCATCACGTAATGGCAAGCAAATCATGGCACATAGGACGCATAATAATTAGTAGTTGTATTGGGTATCAAGTGAGTGTATGCTAGTATAGCCAGTTCTAAGACCTCCCCCGCCATAGCCAATCCCGTCATGTCGCATGTCGTTTCAAGGAGAGGTTAAAAACAAACAGTCCACGGCTGGACTCCCTCGTCGCGCTGTTCGCTCAGGGCCCGTACTCGCTCCACTTGATGGACTTGACGTCCTTGTAGCAGCGGTCCTCGATGGCAAACTCGTGGCTCGACGAGGATCCGGCGGGCAGGTCGTTGAGCGGCGTGCACTCGGGCAGCAGGCGCACGGGGGCGCACCCCTCGGGCACGTTGTCGTGGATCTTGCCGTCCTTGTCGACCGTCGTGGCGGCCTGCTTGAAGATGATGAAGTACCGCCCCTGGTAGTACGGCAGGCTCTCGTTGCAGGCGGCCCACGTCTCCGGGTACAGGAAGGCGTAGGGGTTGGGGAACCCCGCGATGCCGACGCCGGGCGTGCCGAGCCCGGCGTTGAGGTTGGCCGTCGAGAGCGTGTCGGAGCCGGCGTCCTTGACGAGCTTGAGGCCCTGCGGGAAGGGCGGCGTGCCGCCGTCGGTGATGACGTTGGACCGCCCGAAGCGCCTCTCCTCGGCCGTGCCGTTCTGGTAGAAGACGCGCGCGTTGTCCGTCGTGGGGATGTTGCCGACGAGGGCGAGCCCCGCGCCGGTGTGGATGCTGGCGATGTATGTGTTCTGGATGGAGGGGTGGAAGTCGCGCGAGGCGTCGGTGACGTTGACGACGAGGTGGAAGCCCTTGGACGAGGACGTCTCGGGGTAGTGCGGCGTCACCTGGCGCTCGGCGATGGGGGACGCGGCGGCGAGGCCGGCCAGGCCGAGGGCGAGCGCAGAGGCAATCATGCTAACGGTTTCTATTTGCTTGCCCGGGTGACGGAAGGAGTAAATGCTGATAGTAGGGGTATAGACGGAGAGAGAGTAGTGGTGATGATTGCTGTTTAAAGACTTGTCGAGGATGAAAGCCAGGGTGTGCCGCGCAGCTTCTTATATATACGCTCGTCTCGTCGCACTGGCCCGTCGCAGATCCGGGCGAGGAGATGCCGTGACGAATTGATTGATGCGGCAACAGATGACGATGGGCAGGAGATGGAGGAGCCCAAAACGGGGATAGACATTGGGACGGAGGCGATGCGGAGAAGGGATCCCCGTCGGGCGGAGCAGGACAACTGGAGCCCGTCATGCCCGTTCGGCCCATCCTGCATCGTCCATGCCATCCATCCACCGGGGAATACTAGCTACCGTAGCCCAGCGGGTGAGCAGGACCCTGTGGGGGTGCATAGTGGAGGTTGGGCGTAGCGCCACCCGTCCGCTGGAGGTTGAGGCAAGGTAGGGACGCTTGGGAAGACGATACGAGGCCCCCCCATGCCACGACTGCCGGCAGCGCATGGCGCCATGTCGTCATGCGTTGCGCTCGAACCCTTACAAGTTTCCTTCATTTGGTCTCCTCGGCGACACTCAGCTCAACAGGATCAGCACCCACGCCTCTTGGCATCAATGCGGCTAACAAGAAAAGGCGTATGCACGCAGCAGCAGCTATAGCACCGTAGCAGAAGCCCAACCGTCAGCTCGTATCGCCCAGTGTGGTTTTCCCGCCGCCGTAGCACAGGCGGCGGGCGGCGGTGGTGCCGTCTGGGCATGCCGGCTGGTGAGAAGAGACCTGGTGCCTGTGTGATGTCACGCCAGGGTTGCATCCGAGGGCGCTGCGACCGTCTTCGCAGTCAATTTCCTCGTTGAGACGCAGCTCCTGGTCGGTCGCTGCCGAGGAATCCGTGATTCGCCGTCGCGTGGTCTGGGCAATGTGCAGTGAGTGACGCGCCGACACAGAAAGGCGACGCCCATGTCGCACGGCTGCCTGCAAGGGAGACGGTCGCCATATAGCAACCGGGCTGCCTGCCAGACGAGACCATTACTTGGCAGGCCGTCGGTCCAGGCCCTGATCAGATCAGCAGTTTTCGATAACCGACTACAAAGAACGGCCCAATCCTCACTGTCGCATTTGAGGCAACGGCGAACCCAGAATCATGCCCAAGGCATCCATGAAGCCGCGGCTGACATTGCCACCAAACGAAACCCGCATCCTCTGGTGAAACGAAACACAACGGCACTCCCGCCTGTTCCACATTCCTTCCCCTCCCCGGCACAAGGGTCCACACAAAGCGACGCCGCACCCGCGATCCTACGAGTTCGTGTGCCGAGCCTTGCCATGCCATCTCATCATCCTCCGGGCCACCCGCCCGCCGACATCATCAAACCAATCCCCCACGCCGTCAGCGGTAGGCTGCATTGGGATGTTTGGGTGGCTTGAGTCGGCTGGCGGTTTACGAACTGTTGCGACGCTGGCCGTGTAAAACGTTTGGTGGGAATTTTTTCTGCGCCTCGTCCGTCCCGGGTGGCGTAGGCGTAGCTGCGGCGTCGTCCGCACACAGCGACGCGCTCCGGAGGTAAGGCGATGCGGCTCGGCCGTTTCGTCTGCGAGGCTTTCGTCTCTGCCGTCGGCGTGGCGTTCGGGCCGCCCATCAAGCATCCTGCTACTACTTGAAGTGCCGATGGCATTTGTGTGGCGAGATGATGATGTCGCCTTCTGCCACTCGTGGGATCCTCACGCGCCCTCACGGCCGTTTTGCACAGCCTCTCGACGGTTGGTATGGCGGGAAACATGACGCAAAGACTTTTTCATAAGGCTTTATGGAACATTCTTCAAGCAGCTCTTCGCCCAGACAGGGACGATGACACCCTTCCTCTTCCTGACCTTGTTGTTTGACGAGCCACTTGCTAGAACAGGCAATTTACCCAAGGGGTAATGTCAACGATCCCATGAGACGAAAGCGCTCCGACTATGCAGTATGCACAAGTCCACTGAGGGTGCTCAGCATCGTCGGCAGACACTCTCGACCCTCAAATGTCATTTGTCGCCCCCTTTCAGCTTTCTTGTCTCTCACGAGCATTAGCTTCAGGGTAGCCCGGAACGCCCGCCAAACTGACGCCCATGTCGCTGGGCACCGGGCTAGAACCCGCCAGACCCGCTGCCACACACATCGCGAGCCCAGCACCAGAACACACACACACACACGATAAAAAAAAAAGGATCCACACCTTTGCAAAGCCTTCTTAAGGCACTTGAGCCTCGCTTCTTCTCAACAAATCAAATCATCTGGTTTCGTGGTCTAGTTGGTCATGATTTCTCGCTAACACCGAGAAGGTCCCCGGTTCGAGCCCGGGCGAAACCACGATGTCTGTCTTTTCGGAGACGGCTTCACTTCTTTGACCTTTTCACACAATTCACCTGGTTTCGTGGTCTAGTTGGTCATGATTTCTCGCTAACACCGAGAAGGTCCCCGGTTCGAGCCCGGGCGAAACCACGTTGTCTTCTTTTTTTTTTCTTGTCGTTTGGCTTGCCTCAACTTTGGCTCTTTTGCCTGGGGGGAGTGTTGGCCACCGCGGGGGCGTGGTTTCGCGCGAACTGGGAGCAATATTGGGATCGCGGCCCCCCCCCTTTTTTTTGCTACCACGATGAGCCACGCGCTACGGAGCAACTGCCCGCTTAAATCAGACACTTGAGACATTTCCCGGGATCAGTTGCTGACAGGCATGCCGTTGATCTCTATCTTCGTGGCGTCTACGAGTCGAGGACCCTGCGTTGGCCACGCTGGTCGGGGAGAAAGGCCCATGCGAATGCGTGCGAGCTGATAATGACGCGAATTCGTATCGCGGAGGTTTCCCAGGAGCGGCTGGAACCGGGTGCTAGCGGTCATGGGCTCCGAGCGCTTCGTCCAAGTGTCGCTTCGTCCATGTCTAAAGTCGTCGAGGCAGTTGTTCCGCTCATAGCATGCCTCTCGTTCCTCTCGTTCCTCTTGCGCAGACGATCTAGTCCCTGAATCGATCAACCCCTGAATGAGTTCGCGCGATAGTCGTAATACCTCACTGCCGCGGCCCTTGTTCTCGATCACCTCATGAGGTTTTGCCATGTAAGCCTCCACAAATGCGACGCGTTCCAGACGCTGCGCTCCTCTACTGTCATCCGACCAGGCTTAGGGAAGTACGGGTCGTTGTCCCTGTATGCCGCAATCGCCTTGCCAACGTCTTCTCGATCCAGAGTGATTGGCCTTGCTTCGTTGAAGTTGAGAAGAAAGAACCTGACTTCGTGATGGCTGGGTCTTCATTAGCATGGTAATCAAGAGGCGAGTCGGAGCCGATAAAGGCTCCGTCTTCAGCATCTGAGGCGTAGTGATCGAAACTCGTTGGGCAAGATCTGGCGGTCTCTGAGACGTAATGATCGAAAGCCGTCGCTTGCGAAACGATAGCTTTGCTGCCCAAAACGAATTCCACATCCCTTCCATCGCGACGAACCGCCCAATGCATGACCGCAACCGCACTTCACATTCTTCGGGCCAGGTCTTCGACATCGATCTCGCTCTCCACAAGGTCAGCCAGATAGAGCTTGAACTTGCGCAGTGAGAACACCCGGCGGACGGCGCGGCGGGAAGCGAATCCCAAGTGAACACGCGCGAGGCATTTCTTGTTCACTGGAGAAGCGCAAGCACCAGCTTGAAGATCTGCCAGGCAGTAGGCTTGGATGAGAATTTCGCGCGTAGGTTCTGGGAGTGGGTGGATTCGCTCCACGACGAGGAAGGGCGCTGATGGCATTACTCTTGCGCTTGTGGCAGACTCGCCCAGCTGAGGGAAGACGGCGTGAAATCGGGAATGCTCGTCGCGCACGCGAGGGCAGCACGCAAAGGACTCCGGTACCTCGACGTTATCGACGTTTTGCTGCTCCATTTGATGTATGCCGTCAGATGTGCTCTAAAGTTGCGTCGGAGAGCATTAGAATGCATCGAGCTGGTGATCTTGACGATCTTGGAGCAATCTTTCATGCGAAAGATTGTACCACAACCTCCCGCGCCGACTACACTAAACATGGTTCGCCCAGCTGATTGCGCGCTGGCTTTGTGCTTGGCTTCATCCTCCGACAATGATGTCAAGATCGGGCTGTGGACAGAGAGCTCCCGGTTCACGGAAGGTCGACCATTCGTGGAGTCAAGATCTCCCCGTAAATTGATCGAGGTATCGAGACTCTCGACAAGGCCGCTCAAAGTCGCAGAGAGCTCCGAAATTGTGTATCGACGAGGAGTTTGCTTGAGTTTGATCAACATTACGAAGCGGATGTTCGAAGTACAGATGGGGCTGGGGGAAAGGCGCGAAAGGCCAAGGACTCAAGGAAATTTGGTCGGGTATCAGCAAAAGTCGCACACAATCAGGTTGTCAGTATAGATGAAGTCTCGAATATAGTAATCTTTCTCATGAGGCCCAGTCTGCTTGTGCGGTATCAAGCCGGGCTCCTGCATCCATGTCCCCAATACCACTCGTTCATGCCCCACTTACAACATGGCAAGCAAACAAGGTCGCATGCGTGGGAAATGCGTGGTCAGCGTTGCGGATGGTCGGATTACAGCAGGAGCGTAATTGAATGGACGGGTACCATGACATGTCATTCAAGGTGCACCTCGCGCAAATCACGTCATACATTGCCGTCGCGAAATGCAATGCAATGCCACTCCATAGGGCAAGGGCTCACAATTGAGGCATGGACAACGCGCATATGACAACTGCGCCTGCTGATCGAATGAAAACCTTGTGCCCCGATTGACGTCGCCAATGCTGTATGTGCCATCCAGTGAGGCGCCTGACGGCGATCTCGGGCTGGCTGGCCCTCCCGTCAGCAGGACCTGGCGTGCGGCACGGGATGGCTTTTACAGTAGAAGAGCGCGCCGTCAGCGTCGATTACCAGATCAGTGGCCTGCAAGTATTTCCTGATCACGACCTCTGGGCCGAGTGCTACTCAGATGCCCAGTACCGCGCGGACGGAGCCTGCTCACAGGCCGGAGGAAGGTTTCTTGGAGAGCGGAGGAGAGCGACAGCAGCTTGCGTGGGGAACAAGTGACGGAGTGGGCACGGATGTAATGGTTGCGTTACCCTCGGTCAAGAGTACGAAGTAGGTTGCATCGCTCGGTCAACGGTGACCCGCCCCTGTGTTCTGCTACTCCATCTCACCCGGTGTCGAGACATTATCCGGACTGCGACACATGTGGTAGACGAGGCGGGCACGGTGGCAGATGCGTAGTGGTCGAAGAATCTCTCGATCTTTCTGGAAAGTCGTGGGAGAGGACGTGGGGAGCTGCCATTGCCAGATCTGGACCCATGCGCAAGCCTCCCGACGCTTGACCAGGGCGTCGTGAGCAGGCGACAATGGCTGATCTCTGGGGCGGATTGTTCATAATGTAGGTCCTGTGGCTAGTGACGACGACTGTAAGACTAGTAAGCAGGTAATGTGCGGTAGGATTGAGGGCCTCCAACTTCAACATTATCCATAGTCTTGTGACGACGCTAACAACTGCCTGAATCTGGAGCTTCGGACATGCGGAGCTCCAGCGTCCGGTGACTGGATCGGCATTCTGGCAATTGTCCGGGACGCATGGCACCAGACGGGGTCGACACGGACGGAGATCGTGTGGAGCAGGTCAGTCTTCTGCAGGGACTCTCATGCGAGCCGCCGCCAGGAGGCAGCTCCGGTGAAGCGTCCCGGGCGAGATCCCCGAGACAGGTGGGTTCTTATGTATCTGATCGCGCCCAACGTTCTCGTACTTTCGCGGGGCTGAAAAGCGGAAGCCTCTCCGTGACTCCGTTCAGTGGGAGCATCCAACGATGCGACTTATAACCTGCATCATGTTTCACACGTCAAAGAGTCCAGAGCCATGTCGAGGCCCAGTCTCCGCGTCCAGCTCATGCACCTTGATGAGGCCCAAGAGGCATCGACTGGTCGGCAAGTCGCAAGTCTCCAACCCTCGGCCACACTCTCACACGCCCGACTAACCCGCGACGGGCATCCCCCGCTCAACCCCGCTCCATCGACGCGACTCGATTCGCGACGGTGGCACGGGAAGGACGGCGGCTGCCCCACAACTTGCGGCGTCAAAGCTGGGGGTCCTTGTTCCCTCAACCCCGAACACCGAGATACTCCCAGCAATGCGCTCGCCTTGTCGCGGCAACGGAGACCCCCGCTGCTTTCCGGCCTCCCCAGGCGGCGCCCATTGGGCAAGGCCTAGAGCTCCTGCGGGCTGCAGCTCTGTTGGAGTAGCCCGTACTCGCTGCCTGCTAACATGAACGCTGGGGCCTTTCCGGGCCAAACGCGGCGAAGTGGCGCGCGCCTGTGCCGCTGTCGCGACGGGGTCCCGCCTCGCAATCCCGAGCTCTATGCGAGCAGGCAACGCGCGGTGGGTATCGACGGACGGGCGGGACGTCAGGCGAAACTGGAAAGTGAGGAGAAAGGGGACGGCGAGACCACGATGCCACACACACAGTCTGGCCTGATCGACGAATCAGTGCGACGAGGCGCAGACGCGGGTGGAAGGGGCAGGGAGGGGTCGTCTGGGCTTGTTCCTGCCCAGCAGGCAGGCGATCGCAGAGGTGGAAGCATAAATATCAGTCCAGCCGGCGCTCCCCAGCTGTCCCGAAGTTGGGCGGCAAGAACACACACGCGACGCTCTCCCTCTCCTCCCATACCATACCGTCTGGAGCCGATCGTGACGACTGCCACGTCCAGCAGCTTCCTAATTCTACAAGCCTCCCAGCATCGCATCGCACTGTCTGCGTGCTTACACACCCCCTCGCCGAGGTCTTAGCTTTGCGACTTACAACTTTAAAAACCACCCGCCCTCCTCCTCGCCAGCCCGACCGCGCGAGGCTGCTTCAATTGTGCAAATCAACTGCCCATTCCCCCTTCGTGTATAAGTCAATCTGTCACAATGGTACTTCTCCGCCCCTTGTCCCGTTCTATCCCTCTCGCTTCCCGCGCCGCCCTCTTCTCTACATGTTCCTCAGCGACACGCCCGTTCGTGTCCCGGGCGGCCGGCCTCAGCAGCAAACTCTCCTCCACAACCTCCTCGCCGGTCTCCAGGCCGCAGTTCCAGCCGTCTTCGATCCGTGCGCTGACAACGGCGCGTGAAAAGGTCAAGGTCCTTCTTGTTCTCTACGACGGCGGCGAGATCGCCAAGGAGGTGAGTCTTCCATTTTCGAGATTCTGTTGCAATCTGTTCGGTCGCTGCTCCACCGAGTGTCCCTCAAAATCGCTGGGAGAGGCTACTTTTTGTGTCTCATACGCGGTCTGTGCAGATGCGACGAGAGGGCAGCTCCTTTCGTCCCATCCATCTTGACCTTCCATCCCAACCACCCATAACCGCATTACGGCCGACGTCCTGAGCGCCACCGAAACGCGGGGTGCCATCGGAATACGTAATGCGGGGAAGGTCACCCAACCCATCCCTTGCCAGTCTTACTGAATCATCTGCGTCTGGTTCCATCCGCTAATGCGTGCCGCCTTGGCTCCCCCGAATCGCAGAACGACAAGCTTCTGGGCACCACCCAAAACGAGCTCGGCATCCGCAAGTGGCTCGAGGACCAGGGACACACCCTTGTCACCACCTCGGACAAGGAGGGCGAGAACTCCAAGTTTGACCAAGAGCTCGTCGACGCTGAAGTCATCATCACCACTCCGTGAGTCCCCCCTACACCCGCCACTTCGACTGGCTACGTAGACACGCGACAACCCAGCGTGTAACAGGAAAAGTCGTACTGACTATATCTAGCTTCCATCCTGGCTACCTGACCGCTGAGCGCTTGGCCAAGGCCAAGAAACTGAAGCTCGCCATCACAGCCGGCATCGGCTCCGACCATGTCGACCTAAACGCCGCCAACAAGACCAACGGCGGCGTCACCGTCGCCGAGGTCACCGGCAGCAATGTCGTCTCTGTCGCCGAGCATGTTGTCATGACCATCCTTGTCCTCATCCGCAACTTTGTTCCTGCCCACGAGCAGGTCGAGCGTGGCGACTGGGACGTCGCCGCCGTAGCCAACCAAGAGTATGATCTTGAGGGTAAGGTCGTCGGAACTGTTGCCGTCGGCCGCATCGGCGAGCGTGTCCTGCGCCGCCTCAAGCCCTTTGGCTGCAAGAGGCTCCTCTACTACGACTACCAGCCGCTTTCTGAGGAGGCGACGAAGGAGATTGGCTGCGAACGGATTGAGAGCCTCGAGGAGATGCTGGGGCTGTGCGACATTGTCACCATCAACTGCCCTCTACATGAGAAGACCAAGGGTCTTTTCAACTGGGACCTCATCCAGAAGATGAAGAAAGGTATGTCTCGTGTACTGAGTGGCTGATATACTCGAGCGCTTACAGTGACTCAGGCTCGTACCTCATCAACACTGCCCGTGGCGCCATCGTTGTCAAGGAGGACGTCGCCAGGGCTCTGAAAGAGGGGCCCCTCGCTGGCTACGGTGGCGATGTGTGGTTCCCTCAGCCCGCGCCCCGAGACCACCCCCTGCGGACGGCCAAGAACAAGTTCGGCGGCGGCAACGCCATGGTGCCTCACATGTCCGGCACTTCCCTCGATGCCCAGCGTCGCTACGCCGATGGTACGAAGGCTATACTGGACAGCTACCTCAGCGGCAGGCACGACTACCGACCTGAGGACTTGATCGTCCACCAGGGAGACTATGCTACTAAGGCATATGGCCAGAGAAAGTAGGGTGGCCGTATGATGCTGATTCCTGTTGGCAGAGCGAAAGGTTACAATGAAGTTTATGTATCAGAATATTGATGGCCGCTGCGGCCGCTGCGGTAGTTTAAATAACGACGTTATGCGACGTACGTTCGTTTTACGCTGTCATGTGCCAACGAGAGCAACGAGAGCAATTGCTTGCATAATGACCTATTGTATGCAATTTGGTAGCGAAACTCACGTAAGATCTATATTCAGTTCGATGTGCCTCGCGGAGCCGTCGCTACTGCCCCGCGATCAAGCAGCAGTTGCACAATAGTTTTGTTCCATCCTTTGTCTGCGTAGTAGAGTGCGTTCCGTTCAGACATGTCCATATTGTCGACGTCGGCTCCATGATCTAGCAATATCCGAACAATGTCTTCGTGACCGTTTTCGCACGCATACATAAGCGCTGTTTTTTGCCGCCTATCAAGGTGGTTTGTGTTGGCTGTGTGTTCTAGTAGCAGCTTTACGATCGCTAGGTGGCCTCTTTCTGCCGCCCGAAGTAGTGAGGTTTTGCGTTCTTTGTTCCTACTGTCGACAAAGTTGGGATTGGCACCATGATCCAGCAATATCTTCACAACGTAAGTGTATCCCTTCACAGCGGCAGTGTATAGCGGAGTTTCGCCCCAGTTTGTGCTTCGGTCCATCTCGGCTCCATATGCGAGTAGCAAGCTCACCATGTCATAAAACCCCTTCTCAGCTGCCCAGTACAGCCAAGTCCGGTTCACATCGTCAGCACGGTTGACAGACGCCCCCGAATCAAGAAGCATCTTGGCAACTTTGTATTGGCCTTTCGCGGCAGCCTCGCACAAAGGGGTCCGGTCTTGACGGGATGGCCGATCTATGTCAGGGCGGCGATGGTGATGTAACAACAGGCGTAAGACGGCTTGTTGTCCCGCCTCAGCAGCTCGAGCCACCAGACAGCGTGTGTCTTTGCTTTCCGGTACAAGGTTAGCTCCAGCCTCGAGCAGGATTCGGACAGTCTCCTCATGCCCTCTCTCGGCTGCCACTTCAATGGGCCTCCAATCAAGCTCATCGGCACGGTCCATGTCTGCTCCGTGCTCGATCAATAGATTTACTGCAGCAGCATTGCCTGCTTTTGCAGCATGATAGAGCAAGGTCTGCTGAGACTTATCTGTCTGATCGATGCTGTCCTTCTTTGCGTCCAATAGACGGCTCAGCATCGCCTGGACCACTTCGCGATTGCAATGTTGCACTGCCCATATGATCGCCGTCTCGCGAACTTTGTTCGTTTCTTCAACGACGCCGATATCGACATCGCAGAGGTAGCCCACAACAGCACTGTTGTTGGATTTCATGGCATGCCAAATCGCTGACTGCCCAGCAGCGTCACTGCGATGAAGGTCGACCTGCTTCGTATCGACGAGGATCTTGAGAGTTTTCTCTTGTCCATTGAGGCACGCCCAGTGCACCGGTGTCCGACCTTCGATATCAGCCAAGTCTGCAAAAGCACCTAGTCTCAGAATGTCGCCGAGACTTGTTTCAAGACCCAGTTCTGCACAGTGGGAAGCTGACGTCCTACCGCCTTCGTCTTGGCTGTCGATGTTGCCCCTCAGCTCGAGGATGGCCTCGACAACCTCTGGCCACTTATTGCGCATCGCCAGGGGCAGTGCCGGGTGTAACTTTCTTGATCCAAAGTCACCTTCGTGAACGAAACAGAGGTGATAAAGAGTCTTTGCTCTGTCGTGACTCTTGATGGCCTGCACCAGTGGAGGGTCTGTCCCCCCCGGATCCGACGCAGCACGGTTGCCGGCTGCGAAGGCGGTGGCAATCTCCTTGTATCGATCGATGACCTTGCTGACTTCCTCATTACGGCGCTCGAACTCAGCGTCCTGCCTTTGTGTTTGGCCCCCTTCGCCTAAATGCGAGCCGTTGCCGTAATTCCCGTCAAGCCAGCGGATGCCATCGAGGCCAAACTGTCGCCTTTGCTGCGTTGTGTCTCTCGCCAAAGACCAGCGGTAAAGCTCACCGGTCTTCTGCAAGACGCGAACGAAGGCCGCCACGTTGTCTGCGGACGGCATGTCTGTGCCCCTGTCCCATGGCTGCGAATACTCGCGGCAGGCCCATCGAAGAAGGAGCTGTGATCGATCCCATTCGCCGGCCTTCCGGTACGTGTCCGCTCCGTTGAGTATGCTCGTGAGCATGTCTTGGGTATTTGGCCGTAGGCGGGCCCTGAACTCCGGGATGATGCTCATCATGGCGTCGGTTCGAGACCCCAGCCCATTCGTGACAAACGCATCCACCATGGCAGACACGTCACGGCTTTCAAGCTGTATCTGGCCCTCGTGCTCGAGGATTGTCGACGTCGCGATACCGTTCAGCTTTGTCAGAGACCCAATCAAAGACGTGTAAAGACCCCGGCCACAGAGATCAAGCAGGGCGTGCCGTCGCGGTGCGCACTGAATTCGGACAGATATTTGAGCTTTCTCGTAGCTGGAGATACTCCGAAGGGATTTGGCGCATCGTATTGCCTCGCAAGGTCTGAGTCCAAGAGCCTGATAAACAATGTTCCATCCGAAGAAGCGGTGCGGGATCCGATCTCTCATCTGTTCTTTGCCTTTGTACTTTTCCCAAACATCGTGGTGGCCTTTCTGTAACACCCACAAGTCTCCGTGACCCAGTGTGTCGTCCTCATCAACGAGCAATGTGTACTTTGGGATCATTGCGGTACTGTTTCCGAGCCACAAGTCCATTTCTTGTTGGATGTTGTGCATCTTCTCCCAATCATCGTTGTCAAGACCGGCCGATATGATCTGCAAACCTTCGTCTTCCCGCTGGTCTGAGACTTGACGGAGGTTGTGCATCCCGTCGTTGTTGAATAGCCGCTCGTCGTATGTAAGCGACCACATCCAGAGTCCAAGTATTGCTTCTGCTTGCGCTGGATCAATGGCCCAACCAGAATGAGTCTCTGTTGATGGTGGTCTGATCATCACTCGTAGGCTCTGCTCACGAAACTGCTCGTTGGCCAGTTTGCCGTATGGTCTCGAGGCACTTATTCTGAGCGTAATCTCCGCACGCTTGTGGCCTTCATTTTCAAGTCGTATGATGCTGTCGGCAGCCTGTCCTACGGCCGCTGCGAGCTGCTTGGCTCGAGAGCGGACACGGACCTGCTCGTCAGCCCAGTATTGATACTGAGACTTGTGCAGCCCCTCAAAAGAGAGATTGCCAGTCAAGTTCGCAAGTGTTTTCCTTATTGAGAGTAGTTGCTCATACATCTCTTGAGTTGTCATATGCACTTGATTCCGTGGCTGATTCGAGGTGTCGGAGCTGCTGCCATCCCGTTCCAGGACGTCATCCGCTCCATGGGGTTTTCGTTGCGCGTCATTCATCGAAGGTAACTCAGGGTCGTCAGGCCCTCGTGTAGCCAACATAGCACATCCTGTGATATGCCACGACGGCGCTCTATACGAGCCATGCATGTCGCCAAGCTGCCTGTCGGTGGACGGAGAGTTGCTTGGTGGTCGCCCAAGGCCAGTTGAAAAGCTCGAACGGAGGTTCTCCATGAAGGTCTTGGTTCTAGGCGGTGATCCAGGTAGCGCAAGTCTGAATGCAAGCCAGTCCAACTCATACCCAGATACCAGATCGGGCATTGTGGCGAACTCGCTGTCCTTTGGTCCAAGCCTTTGCATTCGGAGTAGGCATCTGAGAAAAGCCATGACGAGGGTGATGCCAAGCTGCGCGATTGACACCCAAGCCTTCATGCCACGCAGTCCAATAAACTGAAGCACGTACCCGCCGAGGGTTATCATCGTAGCTGCAAACGTAGCTATCTGGAACTTCTTTCCGGTCGGCTCTTTGCGTGAGGAGATCCAAGACTCCAGTGGCTTTGACCGGTCTTCCAAGTGTACAAACGCATCAAAGCTTTGGTCGCCGACAAATTGCGGCCCGGGTTGCAACCATATTAGGCGACTAGAACTGGCAGACGACTTTTGGCGCTTGTAGGTGACTTCCGATGTGGCCTGCCCGACGATTGCAGCGCAGCCAAACATTCCGAGGCAGAGCAAAGCGGTTCCGGAAATGAACATGCGCGGTGCATAGTCCTTGGACGAAGAGTCGAAGGATTGACTGATGCCCCAATCCCATTTCCATGCTCCAAACCCAGCGAGCACGACAAGGCCGGCCTGAAAGACCAGTCCTATAAGTGCTACCAGAGAGAATACCCAGAGGGGTTGCCTCTTTATGCCAACGTTGAGGGACAGATTGGGCTTTGGTGCGAAGCCTGATGCCGAGTCGGTTTCACTGCTGGTGGCAAAGGAGCCCTTCTGCTTCTTCCATTCGTCATGATCATCTGGCATCTTTTCAAGATAATCCTGGAATAATTGCACCTTCTGATCACCCGCCGCGGTCATCGGGGCGCGGTGCCGGGCAGCGGTCGGAGCCGTAACTCGGTCCGGGTCCGGGTCTGGATCCGGGTCCGGGTCCGCCGACTTGTCTTGCACGCATACCAGCTCCAGCACGTTAGGCCTGCCGAGGACACGTGTGATGCCTCCCTGGTTGAAGAGCTCGCAAACGTCGCGGCTCGTGGACGTGCATAGCTCCGCCTCGACGACGCCAGAGCCTTCCTGCGAACGCCCGATGAACGCCCTCAAGGATGGGTGCCCGCAAACGCGAATAGCAGAGACAATAGCCGTGATAATACCGATGGGGCATAGTGCGAATATCAGGTAGTCGAGGAAGGTCGTGCTCTCGCTAAGGTACTGTCGCGTAATGGACTCGCCGAACAGAGCAAGTAGCGGTCCGAGGTCCTGTGCGAGGTTGTTAGAGAAATCGGATAGGTCGTCCCCAGCTGCCACCAGAGGGACAACGAGAATAATGGCCCAGCCGGCAGGCATGGCGGGTAGCAACGACAGCAACGATAGCAACGACGACTCGTGCTCTCGAGAATCTGCTGGGCTAGACGAGTGCTTCGCCCGTCTTATCGCACGGTCATGGCGTCGTGTGTTGATGCAGCAGCAGGAGACTGTTGCTGTTAGGCGGGCATGGACATGTTCAAGAACTGGGGGCAGCCGACAGAAAGCTGTCATTCGACGGTTAGATGCAGCTCCTTGTCCGGGTTACACACCACAGCTGTGACCCGGGCCAACAGGGAGGGTGAAGCGGCGATTGGGCTGCAGGGAAGTTGTAGGCCAGGACCCTCGGCGCTTCAGAAACGGCCCAGTACGGGCTATGTGGTAACAACTAACGAGCGCGGACAAGCCTGTCGGAAGGTATTTCCTTCAAGTTGGAGCATCTTCAATGCTAATACTGTAAATAGCATGTCCTGTACAAGAAGCGTGGCCTGTACAAGATCAGGCCGACTTTGAGGTAAACATGAACGCAATGACAAGACGCTGGGCGGGGAACCCAGCCCATGTCCGGGCCGCATATGCACCTATCCTCCTTCTCCTCAAAATCAACTGGAAATACTACGCATAGCCAGCTGACAGGGGTGGTTTCAGGTCGTCACAATGCACAACACAGGGCCGAACTACCTCTGTGCCCCAAGCGAAGCGCTTCCCGCACCAACTGGATGAGCGGCCCATGCCGAAGCCCAAGGCCCTGAAACTCCTCCTGGCCACGATCCTCCGGGCATCGGCAAGAAACCTCACAGGTTGTAATGTTGCTTTTTTCGGCGATTGGACCTTCGTCACCGCGTCAAACGGCCTGTGAATGCTTAACCGGCGTGATACTGAGAGGACGAGCGCTTAAGCGACGAATGATGGGCCTACACATGCGTTCCTCTTACAGGGGGCCCCATGCGTTGTACAGGGCTGTGCCTGGACAGGGGTTTGGGTCGTGGACCCCCGCAGATTCGCTGAGGCCTTCATTCGTTCGCCCTCTCAGCTCACACTCGCTTAACTGAGCCTTGTTTTCCGCGTCTAATCCGACGCGGAGCCTTGAGCACAGCAGGCAGTATTTCGTTATTAGTCACGGAGTAGGAAGTACATGATTCTCAATCTCCGTATTCCCACGAAAGCTTCGCAACGGTCCCGCTCCGTTAACAAGCTTTGACCTGGAAGTCCTCCGCGCGTGTCGTTCCGACGTTGACGTTCTGACGTTCGCCTCGCACACCCCAGCGGCTCGGCCCGGCGCCATGCCTAAACCCAAAGAGTCCAAGACAAGAACGCCAGCCATCAGCGGTCAGCAAAGCTGCGAATACTCCCAACGCCTACGTTTCTGTACGACGATGTAGAAGCGAGCCTGTAGAATGGGCAGCTCGCAGCGCTGTTATTACTACGTGCGCCGACTCCGGCCGCCCGGGTATTTCGTTACTTTACCCATAATCAGATGCTTTCCCACAACCCTCGCCATGCAAACCCCAGAATCCAAAGTACACCAGACAGTCCTCAGACAGTCCCCCCGGAAGCGCGCCGTTTGAACACTTGTTTGAACACCCACCAGTCCGCCGAGCGAGCTCATCTCCAAAACTTCCACCACTTCCTCTCTCCGCCCTCTCCCTCCTTTCTCCGGACCTGATCCCGTCCGCGTATCCTCCAAAAGTACACGGGAATGCCCGCAACCACAAACGCCACCACGGCGAGCGTCTGCACCGGCTGCGCAAAGACCGCCCTGCTGAACAGAAACACGCTGACGCAGCAGAAGATGATGGGCGTCGTGATCCACGTCTTGTAGGGGCGCTCCAGCTGCGGCTCCTTAACCCGCAGGATGATGAGGCCCAGCACCGTGATGAAGTAGAACGTGTAGCCCGCGACGCCATAAAACGTCACGAGCGTGGAAAACTCGCCGATGACGACGTAGCCGGCGGTGAATGCGCCGTTGAGGATCAGCGCGTATATCGGCGTGTAGAACAGGCCGACGTCGTCGTCGCCGAAGCACCCGCGCACTTTCTTGGTGACCCAGCCGCGCGTGCGCTGCGTCGACATGCCGTGGGCGTCTTCGTTTTGCGCGCCGATGCGACCAAAGAGGCTGGGGAGGTAGCCCTCTTTGCCGGCGACGTAGACGAGGCGACCGGCGGTGAAGGTTGAGGAGTTGAGAGCGCCAAAGCAGCTCGCGCTGACCAGCAGAGCCATAATCAGGGCGCCGACGGTTCCAAACACCTTGGAGCCGAACATGACGGCCACGGTGTTGGATTTGTTGATGATGTCGAGAGGTAGGACGAGAAAGTAGGCGATGTTGGCGAGAACATAGGATAGGATGACCATGGGCATCGCTGTATGGATAACCCTCGGCAGGTCGCGACTTGGGTTGCGAAATTCGCCGACCACGTAGTTGGTCTGCGCAATGTTAGCATGCTAGAAACATCACGAGGTGTCTCGCTTCAACGCACGTTGTCCCATCCGTCAAACGCCCACAGACCGCCGTAGAGCGCGACAGCCCAGTTCGACAAGTCCGACGAGGTGTTGCTGAACCAATCCTCAACCTTCCACGACATGCCCTTCTGGTCGCCATCCTTGAAAGTGTATCCCGTAATCGCCACCACGATGCCCGTGACCGTAACGCCCAGCAATGCCACAAACTTCAGAAACATGAGCAAGTCGTTGACCCGCGTGCCCACCCGCGTCGAAATGCAGTTGAGAAACGTCACTATCGCAAGGCCGACGAGCGCAACCGACTTGTTGACCCAGGGGTTGATCGTCTCCGCCTCCGCGCCGATGATGGCGCGCACAAAGTACTCGCCCATGATGATGGCGATGATGGCGGCGCTGCCGGGCTTGAGTACCAAGACTGCAACCCAGGTGAATAAGAAGCCGGCCATCTCGCCAAAGGTCTTTGCCAAGTAGACTTGCGCGCCGCCGTTGAGAGGGATGGCGCCTCCGAGCTCGGCGTATGAGGCGGCGCCTGTCCAGGCCAGGATGCCGGCCACGATCCAGACGATCAGAGCCGCACCCGGCGATCCAACCTTGGAGCTCACTTGACTGGGTGAGGAGAAGATCCCAGACCCAATAATCAAGCCGATTATCAGCGACAGTCCGTTGAGGTACGTCAACGTCTTGTGCTTCTCCAGTGACCCTCCACCCAGACCGCCCCCGGCCCGCGCCGCGCTTGTCGGTGCGCCTATAGGAGCATAGCCGCCAGTGCCGGTAGTCGAGCTTAAGGGGAAGAGGTTCCCCGCAAAGTCAAACGCTGATGACACCGAGTATGATCGCCCGCGCATGCCCATCCGCGCCGCGGGGTTATCGTCGTCCAACGGATCCTCCTCCTCCACCAGTGAGAGCCTCCGCGAGGACGATATGCTCGGCCGCGAGGACACTTCGGAGGTGGCGCCCCCATTGCTGTTGCTCGAGCTTGCCAGCGAAGCAAGCTCCAGCGAGTCTCGCGTCTGCGACTGGGCGGCGTTGTAGGGGGCCATTCTGGCGTGCCGCCCTGGCTTCAAGCTGAGCTCTCGAACGGCTTCAGCGCCCGACAGTCGCGATTTCTATCCCGTCGTGTATGAAGAGTACTGGAGTCTAGAGGCAACGGCGCATAGCGGCAACGTAGTAGACGGTGTGCGCGGCGATGTCGAAAAGGCAGTCGGTGTTTTGAGGGTCGTAGGCTCGCGTGACGTTCTCGGTCGCTCGTCTTTGATGGGGCGTGGCTCGTGGCTGACAGTGTATAATGCAACTCAAGGAGGCTATAAATGACAATAACGGATCGAATCTTCGAAACTTATCCAAGCTTCTCACGGTCTGGTTGCGCGCGCTTGTTGTGTGTAGAAGAAAGGAGAAAGTCTGGCCGGCCAGTCAGGCTACTTGCGGTTCGGGGCCCGGGGGTCCAAATGAGAGCTGGCGATGATCGCTGGCCCAGTCCCCCCCGGCCAGCCGACCTCCCCCATTGGTGGCCCGCTTCAAGCCGACCAACTGCCGTGCAAAGCTTAGGTAAGGCCATACAGCGCCCAGCGCCTGTTCAGCGCACCGCCGGCCACTATAACCGCCGCGGCTACAGCGAGCACCCGCCTCTGATGCCACCCGACACACCTCTCCCACGCTGTCATCGCGCAAAGGCAGCAAACAGCGTCGCCCGTCGCGCCATGCCCTCAGACGATTACGCAGCCGTCGGCGGCGGCGGCGCCCTGCGCATCAAGGGCGCCAAGGTGCAAAAGAAGAAGAAGAAGAGGGACAAGTCCGACCTGGAGAAGAACCTCGCGAGTGGCGAAGACAGCGACAAGGCGCTCGTGAAGAGCACCAGCACCAGCAGCAAGGCCGAGGGCAGCAAGCGCAAGGACAAGCGCGACGCCGACGACGATGACGACAACGAGCGGCGGGACAAGGACGGCCACAGCGGAGAGGAGGACGATGCGCCCGCGCCTCAAAAGACGGAAGCCGAGCGGCGGTACGACGAGGTCAAGAAGAAGAGGGTAAGTTTGCGACGACTCTCTTTTCCCCCGCGATCGCGCCGGACGGCGTTGTGGTACCAGGGCTGACCAGACGCCTTGCGCAGCTACTCGAGATGACACGGGCTTCGGGCGCACGGCCGGAGCTGCTGAAGACGCACAAGGAGCGAGTCGAGGAGCTCAACACGTACCTGTCCAAGCTGAGCGAGCACCACGACATGCCCAAGATCGGGCCCGGTTAGACGGCCCTGCTGCGAGACGCAAAGGCGTGGGACGGGTGGAGGGCGCATCGAAGTGTGCGATACATGGCATATGGCTGGCGGAGTCTACGGCGTTTGGTTATACCCATCAATACATGATCTATTCCTCAAGTTGTCGATCGGGGTTCAATGTGCTGCCTGGGTGGCTTTGCTGGTCGTTGCGGTTTGGCTGGGCCAGGTAACGGGCGGTCAGTGCGGGGGAATGGACACAGCTTCTAAGGAAAATTAGGGGCCACATTCTTCAACAACCAGCCAATTGGTGAGATGGCCGAGTTGGTTATGGCGTCAGGTTAAGGTTAAAATCTTAGCATTAATTTCCTGATGGAGCAATCCTCCTGGGTTCGAGTCCCAGTCTCATCATTCTTTTTGCGGTTTGATCCTACATTTTTGCTGAGGGTGGCAACGCTCTCAATTAAGTTGTCCGTCCGTCTATTAAACAAGAGAGTTGGCTTCGTGCCTTTTTTTTTTTTTTTTTTTTTTTTTTTTGGTGTCGAAACAGTCGCAATTGCAATTGGCAAGGGGCTTGCCTTGGCATCTGAACGACACACGGACGCCCCTGACCCAGACATGAGCTACTTTGGAGTGATCACAGTAGGAAATTCGCACGCAAGTGACAACTGCCAAATTCATGTGCTTGCTATTATATGCAGTCCATGTGCCCTTTGCCCGTTTATATCAAACTCCCAACGAGCCCTTGAATCCCTTATGCCGCCGGTACAATCCAATCTAAAGTCCAGTTTTCCTTGCGCTGATGCAGTTGCCGCTCTATTGTGACATTCATAAAGGAGAGAAATGGGTAGGAAATTCGTGAAAAAAGAACACGCAACCATGCCCAGAAAATGCAATGCCACCGCTAAAACCCGACTAAACTACATAAACAGGTACCTAAACAATTATTTGTCTGCCGGGCTCCTACGCCAGCATGAAGCCAGCCAGGATCGCACCAACCGCGACTACGAGGCCGGCGGCGCCGTGGCTCCGAGGGGCGGCGTTCTGCAGGTCGGGGTTGCCGGAGGTGCCGGTCGGCGTGCCGGTCGGGACCACGGCGACCCACGAGGTCGACGTGAGGGTAGTGACGCCGCCGTCGGGCAGCGTCGTGGTCAGCGTCTTTCGCACGGCGCTCGAGGTGGTGACGGAGCCGGTGGTGACGGTCTCCTGGGTGGTGGTAGGAGCAACCGAAGTGGACGACTCTTCTTCTGCAACTCAGTCAGCAAATGATCACGTCAGAGCAACTCGCATCCTGCGGTCCGGAATCCAGTCCTCGGTTCGACCGCGCTTGCGGCGACGTCATGTCGGATGACACGCGTTGCTGGTGATGCCGCGACGTTGGAGCGTCCTGGTCCGTGGCAAAAGCACAGCAGCATAAATTACATCCGACATACCAGTTGTCTGCGGTGTGGATGTCGACGTCGTCGGAAGTGGCTCAGACGTCGATGCTGTGGTTGTTCTTGTTGAGAACGTGGTTTCTCGAGGAGAAGAATGAGAGGTCAAAGAAGAGGAAGAGCTATCTACTGGCAACGTACTGGAAGAAGAGGACGTGGACACTGGAGCACTCGTAGAGGAAGAAAACGCCGAGCTGGTTTTGGGCTCACTCGTCGTGGACGTACCAGAGGAAGAAGAGGGCTCCTGGGAGGTGGAGGGGGTGCTGGAGGGCCTTTCCGAGGAGGTCTGCGGGGTGGAAGTGGTCGGGGGAACCGGGGTTGAACTGGTGGTTGGCGGAACGGGAGTGCTGGAGGAGGTCGGAGGGGTAGACACGCTGCTAGGAGTCGACTCCCCTGCGATGTGTTAATACATGGTGATATCGCTTTGGGGTGAAGAGGCATCAAGACTTACTTGGTGTTGATGATGAGGATGGCGGCGTCTGCGATGTGGAAGACGGCGTGCTGCTCGTGGACGGCGTAGACGGCGATGGTGTCGGTGTCGGCGTCGGCGTCGGCGTAGGTGTTTCGCTGGCAGCACCGCCGCCAGCGGCCGTCGTGTTCGCGCCCCCTTCCTGACGCTTGGCCAGCTCTGCCAGGACGGTGCCCACGGCGGGATCCTCCTCGTGGACAGCCTTCAGGGCATGGTCGTCGGAAGGGTACACGCCGTCCTGGAACCTCTGGGGCAGGTAGGCATGCAGAAGCCTGTGAAGAAGGTCCGGAGACGCAGTCTTCACCTCCGGGACATCGGCCATGACGACCTTGGCCTGGTGGTCCGAGCCGCCACGGACAACGTCATGGCATCTCCTCCGGCCGGTGGTATCCCTGGCGGCAGTGAGGCCTAGGCTGACGAACAGACCAAAGACGACGGCCACGGCGAGCTTGCGGGAGGGCGACATCCTGCGGGATGGTTCCTTCTGGGGCCGGTCGAGCTCCTCTGACAGGCGCTGGTCGGAGCGGTCCTGGATGAAAGCAGTCTTCTCCTGGTCCACAGTGCTCAAGAGTCCAGCCTCCAAGTGATGCTCACGGTCATGGTCGAAGACAGGGATGGGAGCCATGTTGTCTTTAAAACGCCCAGATGTGGTGGCACTGGGAGAGATGCAAGGCAAAAGCAAATCGAGGTGCAGTCGACAGCCGGGATGGCCTATGTAGGTTTGCAGATGCCACAAGAGGGTCCCGCAGAGCCGCCTCGTTGCAGTCGAGCGGTCCGTGACTGGTCAGGACAAGCAGCCCGATGGCGAGACGGGGGTGGACACGGAGAGCAAGGTGACGAGGGCGGTGCTTCCCAATGGCAAGGACCCGGGTCGAGACGAACGGCTGGGGGGTGGTAAAGGGGAGGAGGGTTGGTTGCAGGCAGCCCGCTTCTCTTTGGCGGTCGGATGGCGGAGGAGGAGGAGAAGAGAGAGAGTGATACTGGACAGGAGAGGTCGAGGAAGAGGAGGAGAGGGAGGTGGAGGAGGAGGGGTGAAGGTCAAGGTGGCGTCCACGGCAGCCGGTGTGCCGGATTGTCGCGTCCGTCCTCACCTGTGCAGTGTTCCCGGGGGTGCGGCGGGAGGGTGCACGAGCAGGAGTGGAGGAGTGGATATCGCCAGCAGGCGAAGCTGGTGAAGACAATGATGTGCTGCTACCAAGTTGCCCATGTACTACTACTAGGTACCTACTAGCAGTGCCGGGGGGGGGTTGGCTGGGCGGCTTGGTGGCGGGACCGGCTGCCGACTCCGTCAGCCAAGCCCGAGTGCGTGTGTGCTGGCCCCGAACGAACGGCGGCTGCGACTCTGCTAGCGAGGTAGCTTTTTTTCTGTTACCGTTCTCGGCCGCTTGTATCATTTTACGAGGGCGGGCTGCTGCGGTGGTCCCCTTGTTCCTGCGGCGCGGCTCGCTCGCCTGGGTCACGTCCAGCCACCCCAGAATAAAAATAAAAAAGAGACCCAGCCAGACCTTGAATCGCACGCAGGAACCCTCGTAAAAGGGGCAGAGCAAAGAAAGGAAAACCAGGAATGACGCCCCGGCTGACGAGACGGGACCCAGCTCGTGTCGGCAGCCAAGCGGGCAGACGCCGGATACAGACATAGACACAGCCGCCGCCGCAGGCTCCCTACAAAGTACGCACGAGTACCGTATCGCCTGTCCTTCGTTCCTCCGGCAGCGGAGTCCGCTGGCTGGTGGTGCCGCGTCAGTCCCGCTGGTGACGCAGCTGAGCAGGGAACGGGCGTTGAGCGGGTGGAGAGGCGCGGGCGGCGGCCCCCCAAAGCCCCCCAGCCGTTCCATGTCGACGTCGCCGCCCGCCGCCCGTGCCACGGTGATGACAACTTTTGTCGTACCGTGCCGTACCTACATAATACAACAGCTCCAGGAAGCGTGATAGTGAACGTCGTTGACAAGCCCGTTATTGCAGGCACGGGACAAGGACGGACGCACAAAGGCTACAATGCGGTGGAGGCGCCAGGCCGTCGTCGATTTGCCTTTTGGGGCCCGCCGGCACGTTATCGTTTCGACGGGGCTGGGCGAGGAGGGGGCGCCACGGGTGATATGGCAGCGACGACGACGTGATGCATGTCTCTGTATCCCTGGTGCGTACTTGTAAATGCCGCTGTCAACCTATCGACTTTTCTGCTGACCACTGACCGACCGACCGACCGGGGGGCGTGAGGTGGATGGCCTGCCCAACGACGACGACGACGACGGATGCGTTGCATGAGGCAGGCGGCTCTGTCGGTAGGTGGGTTAAAAGCCCACAGCGAGCATGGACCTGACTGCACTGCAATGCGCTGGAACCACTGGGCAACAGCTGGAGGGCCCTGGCCGGCGGCGGGTTTCAGCGCATGTTCCGCGTTCGCAGCCCAGCTGAGCCGCTCCACTGGCATCGACATCCATCCATCCAGCCATCCTTCCAGGTTTCCGTCCAGGGAACCAATCCTTGCATCTTTTTTCCATGGCGCGGCCAAGCCCGCTAGCGGGACGCGATCCACCACCCGGGGGGGAGGGAGCTGCAGCTCGACAGCGCCGCAAACGCCCAGCACGCACGCTTTTTTTCGCCTTGGGGTTTTCCAGGTTCCAGCAAATCGATGGCAAATCCCTGGCCCAGACGACGACGACGCGCCATGGAACCTTCCTCCGCGCCGGCCGCCGCCTTCAACCCCCCTGGTCCGCATCTGCAGGTGTGCAGGCTGAAAACGCACGATTCCTCATGCGAGCCCGCAGGCCATTGAAAACCACTGTCGGCCACGCTTGTCTGCTTGGCCTCGCCTCATCGTCGTCGACGAGAAGAATCGCCACAGACACAAGTTCCCAATGCTTACTGCGCGCGTTCCCAGTTCTTGAGGCACCACCACCACCACCTCACTACTCCTCCTTAGCACAGTAGCGGGCACTACTACTAATCATGGCGCCTCGCCCGTTTTTTGGGCGTAACATCACGACGCTACCCATCGAGCCTGGTCCCAAAGCTTGCTTGCCAGGCGATCTCTCCACCGCGCTCGTATTGTTTTGCTTCCCCCCAGCCGAGGCCGCCCCGGCCCCATTCCCGCTGGCGATGCGATACGAGCGCGATGACGGGCAGCAGTGGCAGTGGCCCCCGGCGGCGGCTATGGCGGAGAGAGTCCGTCCGTTGGACCCTGCGATTGTGGGTATGAATACCTAGGTGTACTTGTGGAAGCAGCAGAGCCGCCGCCGCACCCCTTCCCCGTGTGTGGGTGCTCGCGTATCCTGCGCGAGAGGTAAGAGTGAGAACGTGAGAAAGCCTGCCTGCCATGCGCTGGCAACCTGATAACCACCAGCGCCCACAGCTATTCCCACCACCACCCCTGCTTCCCGGGCTGACACCGGGCTGAGGGAAAGCCACTCGGCCACGTCGCATGTGCCGCGTGCAAGCCTCTCGTCTCAGACAGACAAGACGGACCCCAACGGGCGCCCGACGCTCGGGTTCGGGGATCGCGGGTGCATCGAGAAAAAGAGAGCTGGCGGGCGGCGGCTGGACGGTGGACCACCCACCCCTCCCTTCCGGCCGCTAGCTGCAGGAGGCACTGCCCGGCACGGAGCAGATCTCGACACAGATTGGCGGGCCACCTTGACGCCGCCTCGCTCGTGTTGCGGCTGCCGCTTGGTGAAACCGGGGGTGATGGTGGTGGTGCGTGCTGGTGGCCAAGCCCGTTGACTTGCAGCGCAGCGTTTCGCTTCTGTTGGTTCGACGGCATTCCGCACGACGACGACGACGACGGACATGAAGCACGCTGGGCAGGGGGGCGTGCTGCTGTAAGTCTGCCCATCTGTACGAAGTATATACGAAGGCACGGCGTATTCCGTACCAAACGGCACGGAACTGCCTGCCATGCGTACTACGTATATGCGCCAGCCGTCAATGCGGGCATACGCAACTGGGCCGGTCAACTGCTCCAGTTCACGTCACACGGCATGCGTTTCCTCGGCACAAATCACCCAACGACATGTCCAAGTACTGTACGTTCGTACGACGACCACATGCGACGGAGCGCGCGCGCGCCCTGCATCCATCCGACCGTGCCGGCGTGCTTGCGGGCCAGCACCACGAGTTTTCCGATGGATGGGGGGCGTGTCCATGACGATCCAGATTGTCAATCAAGGTTGGCAAACAAGCATCTTGCCTCCTCGCCGTGCGATGGGTGCGCATCTAACCGTTCGCCATACGCCATTTGCACGTGTTAGTCGCCTCTATGGTGCCAGTCGTCTCGTCTCTGTCTTGTGAGGTCGGCCAACATGCAAAAACGCAGATGTCGTCGTCTGGGGATTGCTTGCTGTCAGGAGTGTCCGCCGCCGCCGCCGCCACGTCCGGGTCTGGCCACATCCCTGTCCAATGAACAAGTGCCGTTACTCGCTGCGGCGGCTCCATGCTTCCAACGCCATGTGAGGCTCTGAGCTGGACATGTGTCTTAGTGCTCGGCTGGCGTCCGGATGTCTCTTGCGGCTGGAATTGAGTTGGAGCTATTTTCGTCCGTCGAAAAAAGGCGGCGGGCATGTTGCGCAGCGCCCCCTCCTTAACGTCCCCCAGAGACAATGGACTTGTTCGCCATGATCGGGCAGGGTTCGCCGACGACTCCGTGTCCATTCATCGCCACGGTTTTCGGAGTTCAGGGTGTTGTCCGTCGAGCGGCGACTTACCCTGTATGGCCGTTTTATGAGTGGAATGACGGCAATTGAGTGTCTGGTATGGTGGTTCCAAACGAGAATCTTTTCCGTAGTGCGAGCCCAGGTCCATCTACAAATCAGCACAAAAACAAAGGGAATCAAGAGAAACTGGTCACTCAAAATGTAGGACAAGCCCTGAGAGGGTAAACGATTCCCAGCTGTTCTAGTGCGTTGATGCAGAAGAGCTGTCCTCAATTCTTCCGCAGCAGGCTGTGCGCTTACCCTATTGCGGGCTCTGGTTGTCTCAAAATGCAACTCTAACAAGACGCTGGATCGCCCGCTTGACATTCAGCCTGACAAATCTGGCTCAGCTGCTGGCATTGTGAGCAGCCGGCTTCTTTTCGGGGCGTAGGTCGGGTTGTGCGAGAATGACTGTCTGCATTGATGCTACCTGCTGTTATGTCGTGTAAGTGCAGTACCAACACCGAACTTGTGCGCCGAACGACAACATTACCAGGTACGTGCGCTGGCGAAGATCAAGGTCCAACTGCAGTAACCGGGCCGACATACGACGTACGGTGGTGACTGGACATGCTCGATGACGGCATATAGGACCAGAAGAGTCGTCAGTGCTGCGTGATCGCCAGTCCGTGTACAACTGCATTTGCGTGGTGGTGACCACCAACAGATAGCCTCACTTTTATCCCCAGTCCCCCAGATTAGCCGCAGCAACTTTGACTCCGGACATAGACTCCCTGCGCCAGACAGTGAGTCTGCTGGTTCGGATGCGGACTGCCAGGTCCGATGGGATGTATGTGCGTCTGGTGTAACCAGAACCGGCCTGCATGCAGGCCAAATCCCTGTTGCAAGTCAAGACACAGCAGCACCTCATCTCCTGACAAGGACACGACAAGCAATGCATATCATAAGTTAATAAATAAACAAATCCAATGGTGTCATTCAGGCTTTAGGTTAAGGCTGTACCCGCGTTGATGGCTTGGCTTCCAGGTTTCTTCCACCTATGGCTTGGCCCGCACGTGATGCTGGAGCTGCCCAGCCCGCTGCAGCTGTCATGCACCCACTGTAAGCCCGCCGCGCGCGTACCTGGTGAGGTGGCCTCGTCCCAACAACACCCGTCGTCCTGTCGTCGTCAGCCCACCGACATGTGAAAGCTGCGAGCTCCACCACGCCCGCAGCATCGCCATCTCCTGCAATTCATGCGATAGCACAGCATCCATGCCCCCTCGCCCCGACCGCTGAAGCAGCAGCAGCCGCCGCCGCCGCCGTCCTCCAGCCCGCGCTCGTCCTGCCGCACCTCGCCTTTGCGACGGCGTCTCCCGATGCTCCCCCGCGATGCCAGATAACCTCGCCGCCGAGTCCTCGACGGCTCCCAACCTCGACGATCACGACAGCCTGCGCGTGCTGAACCGGTCGCCCCATCCGTACCACCACCAGAGCGCTGAGCTCCCTCATTCGTCTGAGCGATTCGTCCTGTACCAGGAGCCTGCCGCGCATCGCAATGGCGCCGAGCTGCTATCGCCGACACGCTTCCCCGTTCTCTCCAATGAGTCCTCGCCCGCCAGCGAGAGCGGCACCGAGGCCGATGACGAGCATTTCCTCAAGGGATTGCCCGCGCCCAAGGCGAAGCTGCACAAGGGCCTGAGGGGCCGCAACGAGGTCGTCTCCGGCACGTCTACTCCGATACCGTCGCCTGCCATCTTGGAGGAGGACGAGACCAAGGCTCTCAGCAAGGCTCTGGCGAAAGAAGACAGGGCCAAGCGGCGAGCTCTGGATGTGTGGCGCCGTAATAGAATCTGGGTTCGCCGAGCCACTGAAGCTGGCATCGTCGTTGCCCTGGGATGCATGGTCTCCTCAAACCATCTTGTCGCCCCGCTCGTCCATGTTTGGCGCCAAGGTGAGCCTGGACTTTGATGCGACACGGCTCGAGCTGACTCGTTGTGTGCAGACTTTGAGCTATTTGGCCTCCTCTGCGGAACCTTGCTGGCTGTTTACCCTGTGCGCGCCGTCGCCTGGGCGTACCGGCATCGCCGCCCGTCGCGATGGATCCCGTTCCAAATCCCGTCTGATTTTGACCCGGCGCCGATACTATACCCGCCAACGATTACGTTACTCGTCTTTCTACTGGTCTCCGTCGATAATCCGGTGGCCATTCTCCCCAGCATAATTCTCGCCATCTCCTCTCTCCCACAAGCGTTGATACCCAAGCTCGATCACACTGCATCGTTCGACACTCTTCACTGGGCACTGTCATGCCTACCTTTAACATGGGGTCCATCCAAGATGAACTTGGCGTTCACCAGCGCGGATCCGCTCATATCCCAAGAATCTCTTGTTCTCCTGTATCCTTTGCACCAGACGCTGTGCATTGTACTCCATCATCTTACCACAACAAGCCTCCTCACTGCGGAGCTTCAATTGCTCTCTGTGGCGCTGATATCGATATTGATCCTGGCCCACTCGCCACAGATGCAAATTCTCAAGGCCCTTCTCTGGGTTGGGGGCCTGGGAACGCTGGTCTTCTGCGGGCCCGTCATCCGATGGGGCATTGCTCTCGCCCGGATCCCTAGATGGCGCTTCCGCCCAGGTACAAGCCGGCCACATCAGGTTTGGAGGGACATACGTGCAACCTTGTCCTGGCACCTCGTTAAGAACGAGGTTCGGGCTATTGTTTATGGCTCAAGCGAGAGGATCACGTATGACCCCGACTCATCCGATGATGGTGGATCCCCAGTTTTTGAGAGCCCAAAGAGACACCACACATTTGGACCCATTTCAGAGGCCACGACAACGGCTGACGGCATTGGCTTGTCCCCCAAGAGTGACCAAGATGCAGCGTTTCGCTCGCCGGCTCGGAGACACACCCTGACCCAGCTGGATAAGCTTGAGCGCAGGAGTTCAATGCACACGCCGTCTGGCCGAAGGAAGCGCACAACTTCCATTTCGATGCTGCCTTACCTACAGTTGACATACGCGCAAGCGACGATACGGAAATGGATCTACGCCCTGTACGTCTACGTATCGATGCTGGCTGTCATCCTGCTGGCCGTTCGCTGGCATATTCAAAACTACGCCCTCAAAGGCGAGGAGCCCATAGGCTGGGGCCTTGGATATGCCTTTGGGGGTCTGCCGTGGTTCCGGTTCCAGGTTGTCAACGCGAATCTCGAAAGATGGATATGCCTGCCCGAGCTCTGGCCAGCAGGCGATGCGAAGCAGTGCGGAAACGGCTGGGTGCAGCACGTCCGCCACGACGACTTTGGCGAGGCAAACACGAGGCTGATTCTCACGGCCTACTGGCTGATGATCATCGCCGTCGGCCTGGTCATTGTGTTCCGTCTCAAGGAGACATACGAGGTCGACACGAGGCGCAAGGTGTTTCACTTCATGATGGTGGGCATGTTCCTGCCAGCGACCTTTATTGACCCGACGTATGCCGCTTTGGCTTTGGCGCTGGCGCTGGCCATCTTTCTGATACTTGACCTGCTGAGGGCGAGCCAGCTGCCGCCCCTTTCGAAACCGATCGCCTCTTTCCTGGCGCCCTACGTCGACGGCAGGGACTTTCGCGGACCTGTGGTCATTTCGCATATTTTCCTCCTCATCGGCTGCGCCATCCCTCTCTGGCTTGCCCTCGCGGCGCTGCCCCGCACCGGGTCCGGCTACCTCGCAGGCTGGGAGATTCCGACAAGGGACGTCAGCATGGTATCGGGCGTCGTCTGCGTCGGCCTTGGAGATGCCGCCGCGTCCCTCATCGGCCGCCGCTACGGCCACCGCAAATGGCTCTGGGGCGGCGGCAAGAGCCTCGAGGGCAGCGCCGCCTTTGCCCTCGCCGTCTTCACGGGCCTCGAGGCAACGGCCCTGTGGCTCCGCCTCGGCGGGTGGCCCGTGTCGGACGATCCGCCCGTCGGAATGCTCGCCGGCGCGCGCAACGCGGGGGTGTGCGCCTCGATGGCGAGCCTCACGGAGGCGGTCCTCACGGGCGGAAACGACAACGTCATTGTGCCGGTGGTGCTGTGGACGTGTGTAAAGAGCCTAGGCGTATGATGGGATGCGTTGTCACGCGGCGGATGCATTACATGGCGTTGGGGAGGGGAGGGGGAGCTGTACCCTGGTTCTTTGTTGTTGATATAAAAAGAGACCGACCCCGGATTGGGAGACGGCAGAGGTTGCGGATCGATCATCATGACGATATGACTAGATATATACTACTGGCTTCTGTCAGATATGGTAAACCTAATAGCAAAATATGACATGACGCATAGCGTCTTCGCAGCACAGCGGGTGCCAGGTTCACGGTGTTTGATTCAGCCATCATCTGACTGATTATGATGCTAGAAATGCTCCCATGCTATGCATATATGACTGCCTTTAATCTTCTCCGATACCTGAACGCCAGCACCTGTGCACAACTCCTCGTCAAGACATCAGATCCTCCAGTATGGCCTCTAGCTCGTCCTTCTGGAACGGCACGCTCAGGAGCTCCGTGCCTAGGGCGTCCTTGCGACTCGTAATCATCTGGTGGTCATGGAACCTACATCTCGTCAGCACTGTGAAAAAGAAAGCAGTAAAGGGAAGGTAACAAAGACATACTCTTTCAGTAGCGTGCGGAAGGCCATCTCGGAGCTACATATAAACTCCTCGACGGCCTTGTTGTACACCATCCTGTACTCCACACCCGCCGCCTCGTCAGACGCGCCGGCACCATCTTCCTCCATGGCGATGAGCACCTCGCCGACGAGCAGGCGGAACAGGTTCTTCGCATTATCGGGCAGACTGCGCAGCACGAACGCGACACCCTCGCGGCCGTTGACGCGGCGGGCGGTGCGGCCAAGCAGCTCGTGCACCTCGTCCACGACGTCGAGCTCGACGCCGAGGGGCGCAAACGTGGTGCAGTCGTGGAAGGCAAAGGAAAAGGCCGAGCGCACGCCAATGTCCCACAGGAGCGGGAAGTCGGGCGTGTCGGCGGAGCAGACGAGGCGGACGCGCGGGTGGGACGCAAGCTGCGCGAGGGCGGCCTGCATGCCGGGCTTGCGCAGGGGCGGGGCGTCGATGGAGTTGACGACAAGGGTGAGCACGAGGTTTTCCTCTTCTGCCGCCGCGGAGGAGAGGTGCGCGAGGATGGCGGCGGGGGTGGGCGCGCCAGCGAGCTTCTGCTTGGGGCTGACGGCGTCGGCGATGACAGCGAGAACCTCGCGCATGGTAGCGGTGTGTGCGTAGCCGTTCACGATGACGGTCCGGCGCGTCTCGAGCCGACCTGGAGCATGGGAGTGCAGATGCCGGGCGAAGCGCTGCAGGAGGTTTCTCTTTGAGCCAAACCCGTAGAGGCACAAGCTGAAGGCCTGCTCTAGCTCAAATGCCCACTGCGGGAACGACTCGGCGTGCAGGGACTCGAGATACTCGATGTCGCTGGCATGCCGATCCTTGTGCTGGCGCAGGACCTCAAAGTACTCCTCGTGGGAGAGTAGGGCAAGAGACTTGAGCGTGTTGTCAGACGTCTTTGGCCGACCGGGCTTGTTGTGCGTAAAGTAAAGCTCGTGAGGTGGGAGGTCCCTGGGCGGCGTGGGGGACTTGGCTCTCCGCCGTCGTCGTTGAGGCGTCTTGGATGGAGTTGCAGCCTCGTCGACAGGGACACCGTTCTCTTGCGGGATCTCCTCTCCCCGCGCGTCATCTTCGTCATCCTCGTCGGCCTCACTGTCCTCGTATATCTCCCTCACAAGGGTATCGTCATCCTCGTCCTCGTCGTCGCTGTCGCCGTTCCGCACCACATTCTCGATGAGCGCACGAGCACTCTTTTTGCGCGCCGATCGGTCGGCCGCCTGCCTCCTCGGAGTTGTCGTCGCCGAGTGGGCACGTTTGACGGGCGTGGAGAACATTGGTGTCGTTCCCGTTTTTGAATTGGGTGTCCCTGCCTGTGACGCAGCTTTCGGCGGTCGGCCTCGTTTGCGCGGAGTGACCGTGACTGGGGGAGGCGCTGGGCTGTCATCTGGAGCTTCCTCAACGTCGCCGTTGAGCTCGCCGTTGGTCGTATCAGGATTGCCGAGGGCCACGATGGTGTCCGCCTCGCCATTGACGGCGTCGGACGCAATACTGCGTCTTCTCTTGGAAGGCGTCGCTTCGAGGTCGCCGGCCGCATCGTCAGGCGACCGCTTGCGCAAGGACCGCGGTTCGGAGGTCGCCGAGGCGTCTTCTTGTATTGACTTTCGTCTCGGCATGGCTGGCGGTCTGAGAGGAGTATATGGCGTTGCCAGCCTGCGGGAGTCAGCTGCTGCGAAGTGAGGGCGGCGGTGACGGTGGCATGAATGCAGGCAGTCGAGTCGCAGCTTCCGAATATTCTCCAGCTGCGCAGTTGCCCTGCGGCGCGTCTAGACGCGTCGGGGGTTTAATGGACTGGGGCGGCGCTCCACTAGGCGCCAGGGGGGCGAATTAGGCGCTGCCGCCGTTGGACAGCTTCAGCTCCATCTTCAACGACACGCCGGTCCCAGCAATTTGCCTTGTTGCTTCAAGATTTCCAGATCAGGGACGGCGTTCGAAAATAGACGAAAATGAATCTCAATCTTTCCGCATCGGCCAATGTGACCAGGCTGCTGTTCAAGCCCAGCTTGTGCCTGCCGCATCACACGGTCCCGACCTTCAATGACCTGCCGATTCCCCTGGACAAGGCTCTGCTCAAGAAGGGCCTCAAGTCCAATATCAAGGCTGTCGTGCTGGACAAGGACGACTGCTTTGCGTATCCTGACGCCAAAGAGGTCTATGAACCCTACAAGGTATGCGTAGCCAGCTCCGACAGCTTTACCTGCGCAGGCCCACTGACAAAACGCAGCAACATTTTGAGGCGCTGAGGAAAGAGTATCCTGGTCGCCGCCTGCTGGTGGTCTCCAACACGGCCGGCGCAAAGAGCTGGGATAAGGACCTGAAGCAGGCTGCCGAGGTAGAGAAGAGCACCGGCGTGTACGTGCTGCCGCACTCCGTCAAGAAACCCGGCTGCGGCGCCGAGATCATGGCCTACTTCAAGCAGCACCCGGAGACGGGCGTGACGGATCCCTCTCACGTCGCCGTCGTGGGCGACAGGCTCACTACCGACATGATGCTCGCCAACATGATGGGGGGCTGGGGGTTCTGGGTGCGGGATGGCGTCGTTCCGTTCCAACAAAAGAGCATCGTATGCGACTCCTCAAACCTCAATATCGCGACAGGACCATTTCAGCTGACCCGGCCGCAGTTCTCCAGAATGGAACGGAACCTCGCCGACTTCCTTGCATCGCGGGACGTGCAGGCGCCTCGGCCCTTCTCGCGGAGTGACTAAAACGCCGTTCCATCTTGGTGCATGGCTAAGCGAAGGAGGCTGCGAGTGCGAATTGCGTGGCGGGTCCGGCGCGTGAATCATTGCCCTGGCCCTGACGTGCGGGCACTCGCGGGTCGATAGCACGATGGGCTCGCCTAGCTGTTCCAGAAGCTCGTCTAGGAGGTGCACGGGGGCATTCACTGGGCGACGCAGGCGAGCGGGCGTGACGGCTAGCTCGTCGGCCGCGCGCACCTGGCCACCAGCTATAAATCATCTTCCGCATGACCTCTCGCTTTCTTTATTCAAAGCACGCCACTTCCCACCAGTTTGAAGCGGCGCACCACCCCCATCCCACAACAAGACCAACGCCGACCCGCCATCCACCCACGGTCCGCATTCACCTCAAACATCACCTCACACATCACTGGACTCGTCAACCGAGTGCAAGCAGGCCGTCAAAATGGGCGGCAAGACGTGGTCCCGCGAGGAGGAGCTCTACTTTTGGCGCACAGTCGTTCCCCTCTCGCCAAAGGCCGCCGCAAACCCCCCGGCACCCGCCGAATGGTCTCAGCTCGCCGCCAACATGCAGGAGCACTTTGGCCAGAACGCTCGACGTAAATACACGTCGCTGATGCTTTGTACGTTGGTCTGGTCTTTCTCTGCTTTGGATACGGACACGTTTGCTGACTCTTGATTGACCAGACGAGCACTACTTTCAGAACATCACGACCAGGCACTTTTCGCCCAAGTCGGTCGACCTCGTCCGCGAGCACATTCAGGAGCTCGGTAAGTTGAGGGGATCGATGCAGCCGCTATAGGCTCGGCTGACGCCACTGCAGTGGCCAACGGCAAAGACCCCGAGGAGATGGCCAAGGGTGGCGACAAGCCCAAGAGGGCGGGCAAGAGAAAGGCACCTGGAGGCTCGAGCGGCGCCCGCGGCAAGCAGACGCCGAACAAGAGGACTGCAACTGAAGCCCAGTCGCCGTTGGCACAGTCCGCGGGCCCTGCCGCCACGAACGCGGTGCAGGCACAGGCACCTACCGCACCGATGAACAACAACGCAAGCCAGCACGGCGTTGCGAACAATGCATATGCTGTTCCCCGGCAGCAATATTACCCGCCCATGGTCCAGATGCCTGGCTCGACGCACAGCCATCCCTCGGCGGGCAGCACCAGTCACCAACTTCAGAATTTGCTGGTGGCCGCCCAAGCTCCATTCCCGCAGCACAATTCCTTCGCACAGAACGCGCCCCGGTATGACACGCCCACCACGCCTCCTGGCCACGGCGACTCTTCCGGACACGGGCATTTCAACGATGTTAATTGGGGAAACAGTATTGGCCGCGACTCGGGCTACGCGTCGGGCGCATCGTCGAGCCACGCTGCATCGCCGATGGCCCACGCGACAACCCAGGGCGGTTCCAGCGCCTCCAACGACACTGGCTACTCATACTATGGCGTGGAGGAAGCCTAGACGACGAGGACTACGACCAGAAAACGTCCAACTTCATTTGGCTTTGGGAGCAGGGAAAACAACAGATTGACTTGACACTAGGAATTGGCGTTTGGCGAGATGGCAGGGTATCGTGACTTGGGACTAGCTCTTGGCAGTGACGGCCTGGCGGCTGTCTTGAGTTGGGGCGAGACTTACGCGTGGAAAGCAGCGGACACGGTTTGCCGCGATGCAAAAGGGTTGCTATACGGGGTGAAAGGGGTAGAAAATGCAGACCAGATTCGAGCTCTTTGTAAAGCGACTGACGCTGGCTTCTCTGCTCGCAGAATAACGTACTTCGTACAGACAGTGATGGGAATTGATTTCATGTATCGGCACATTTCTGGCTCTTTTCAGATCTGCAACGTATCGGCTCATGGTGCCTCACTCCAAGACACGGGCATTCGCTGATGGCGCCACACCGTACGAGGCATGAACCCGGACAGTTCAGACATCGGACGGACGATGTCGTCGGGCAGTCGCATCAACCGCGCGCGCCAAGCCGGCGCAGAGTGGGGCCGCCGTCAACGCCGAGCGGTCAGTCCGTCGTTCCCCTGAGACTCACTGCAAGAGGAGCCGCCACTGGAAGCTACCTCAAGGCGGTCACGCGCGGCAGAAATATTTACACTCCGGCTCTCCGCGAAGTTTGGCTGCGGCTTCCCGCCGAGCACTGGCGACTCCATAATCCATCATCATCCATCGATAACTCCCCACGACTTTTCCGCGACCACCACCCGACGACGACTTCCAGCCTTCTGTCGCAAGAGGGCGAGCGAACAGTTTTCTGCTTCTTCTTTCCCGCAAACACAGGCCCACAGCCACCACAGAGATGAACGGCTTCCCGTCAAGTACGCCGCCCGCGGGCGGGTCCGGCGCGGGCGCGATGATGCCGGGCGGCGCGTCGCAGGATCCCAACGTCAGAGCTGTATGTGCGGCCCATGCGGTGATGCCCGCCGAGAATGGGTGTCCAGGATGTGGTGGTACGGGTGATGGCTGACATATCTTGGTTGTATAGGTTCAAGCCGCGATGGAGTCGTGCCTGGGCAAGTCGGTCATGTCGGGCGTCATGGGCTTTGGCATGGGCGGTCTGTTTGGCATGTTCATGGCCTCTGTACGTTGTCCTCCGATCCGCACCTCCCCTTCCTTGTCTCCCACGATCCCCCCTCGCCGTCTCTCTCCTCGCTAACATGCCGCCCCCCTCGCCTAGATGTCCTACGACACCCCCTTCGGCAGCCCCGTCACCAACTCGGCCGGGCAGAACCTCTCGTCGATGCCGCTCCGCCAGCAGCTCAAGATGGGCTTCAAGGACATGGGCACGCGCTCCTACTCCATGGCCAAGAACTTCGGCAAGGTCGGCGCGCTCTTCTCGGGCATCGAGTGCGGCATCGAGGGCCTGCGCGCCAAGAACGACCTCGCCAACGGCGTCGCCGCCGGCTGCCTCACGGGCGCCATCCTCGCCAAGAACACGGGTCCCACGGGCATGGCCGGCGGGTGCGCCGCCTTTGCCGCCTTTAGCGCCGCCATCGACGCCTGGATGAGGCAGCCCAAGGAAGACTAAGCTCTGGGTTGACAATCCTGCTCGAGGCGGCCGAGGCGGCATGATAGTCAAGGAGCGGGTTTGCCGTGTAGCATTATAAAAGGAGGCGGTGTCGTTGTTGCTTTCATGCGGGCGTTTGGGGTTACACTCATAGAGCATCTGGGTCAGGCGTTGGGAGAACCTACATCTCTCCACTTTGGATTTGCGACGAGGACGGACGAGGGGGATATGATGCATGGATGCGGACCTGCGCGTATCTCACACGGCAGATACCAGAGGTTTGTGCGGGAGGCGCCGAGGCTGCAAGAGGCAGCGTGTACATCACCAGTAGACAGGCATGCATTGAACTGTCGTCTGTGCCATTTTCTACCTTGAACATTATACGTGTAACCGTTTCCCTCGTGCTTTGTTCTCTTTAGTTCCATTCTGTAGACCACCCAGCGCCATGCTTGTGAGAATTCCACGGTCCATTTATTAACAGCGTCGTCACAGTCCCCCCGTGCGTGTTATCATCACGCCGGCTGGTAGATCTCAAAGGAGCCAAACTCCCAGTACGCCGTCTTGTAAAGGTCAGGCTGGTTGGCGACCAGGTCGGTGCAGTTACTCGGGCCTGTTCGTCGCGTCACTCGTCAGTTTACCAGTTCACTTTCTCTCGTGCAGTTCGGGACAACGCTTCAAAAAAAAAGGGGGAATCAGGGGGATTCAGGCCACTTACACCCCGACTGCTTCCAGCTGCCATAGACCAAATCTCCGCACAGGTCAATGTTGACAATAATGGAGTTGTTCTTAAAGTGCGAGCCAATGTTGCAGTCCGTGCTGGGAAAGTCGGCCGCCGCCTCGCCCCAGGTGCTCGGGTCGGGCTTCTTGCCGGCCACGTCCTGCGGCACGGCGTCCCTCGCAAACTGCCACATGCGAATCCCCGCGTCGCGCCACTCGACGGCCATGACGCTCCCGCCCGCGCCGTTAACCGCTGTGCCGAACGTCTTGTCGTCGCCGCTCACGCCGCACCCGGCATTCTTGTTGGCCGCGTGGTCGCAGTTGCCGTCGGCCGCCTTGCCCGCCATCTTGCGCTTGACGCCGCCCATGGAGCACCCGCCTGTGGTGTGCAGCGTCATCTGGTTGCCGTCGGTGCCCTGGTTGACGCTCTCCATGATGTCGATCTCGCCGTGGTCGGGCCAGTGCGAGGGGTCCGTCAGCCAGAGCGCGGGCCAGGCGCCGCACGCGTAGGGTGTGTGCTTGACGTCGAAGAGGAAGAGCCCGCTGTTGTAGGTCTTTTTGGACTCGAGGCGCACGGAGAAGCGGCCCGTGGAGGCGTTGGGGACGGAGTCCGGGCCGACGGCCGTGTCGACCTTGACGACGGCGGTGCTGGGCGTGGCGTACGTGAGGTTCTGTTGGAAGGGTGTAAGTATCTGTTTGCCCGCACGGCGGTTTCGCGGATCTTGAAGCTCACCCTCTGCTTGGCCTCGGGAGCGGGGACGTAGTGAACGAACCCCTGGGCTGAGTCCATGGTTAGCCACGGCCACCTCCATCATCAGGGTGAGAATATCAACATACCCGGATCGTAGCCCGTGAAATAGTTGAACTTGTCAAAAAAGTTCTCCCCTCCATCTGCCGGATTGTCAGCTCGTTCCCATCTTGCGCAACAGCCCCCACCCGCCTCACTTACACGTCTCGCTCAGGCTGTACGTGATGGCTGAGTAGTCCGGGTAGCGGTTCTTCTTGCTCTGCGTGACGCCCACGGCGACAGCCACGATAATGACTACGACGAGGACGACGCCGATGCCCGCCCAGACCCTCTTGCGCCAATACCGCGGATTCCACCACGGCATGCTGGCGCGTGCCTGGCGCACGTTGCCGGGGGCGCCCCGCGGCGGGAACATGACCTCGTCATACTGCGGGGGGAACTCCCCGGGCTTGGTGTATGCGTCTTGCCGCATCTTGTGATGTTGTTTCGTTTAGGGCGTTTGTTTGTTCGACGGGGAGAAGCGCGTGTGTAACACGAGCGACGACTGTGCAGCTTCGCGCGTGGGCGTGCGTGTGTGCGTCTGTCAAACGATTGTCTTTTGGGGGGGAAACGATACACCAGCCCGGCTGCCTTTGTCCCCTTCGGCGATGATACTCTTTTGGCGTATGACTCTTTTCCTGGCTCTGCGTTGAACGAGCGGATGGAGAATCTCCGATTGGGAAGTGGCCGAGTTTTCTTGCACAGAGCCGCACGCTGCAGGAGGGGAACAACCACGGTACGGACGGCAGCAGCGTGGTATTTTTTGCCTGGCCTGCAGCAAATAGTTTCCGGCGGCGGGCAGGTGTGAAATTTGTGAGAGGAAGGCGAGGAAAGAAGGGGAGGAGGAAGGGGGGTCCGAGTCCGGTTCGTCTGAAGAGAGGGACGGGAGGAGGGAGTGTCAGTCGCTGCGCCTCGGTTCCAGCGGCAGGTTTATTAATATCTACGGTATGGTATGGTATGGTAACGGTACGAGACTGATGAGGTGCGGTCCGACTGCGCGAGCACGGGACGGGGACCGTACAGATCAGGACAGGATGCCACCTCAGACCTCGTACTCTAGGTTTGGGGCGGCTCCGGCGCAAACGGCACAGGCACAGGTACAGAGGCGCGCGCGCACACACACACAGATGATGTAGCAGCTACTAGCGTCAACAGCCACAACGGCAAACTGTGACTGGTGAGCTGCGGGATCTACGGAAGGGCGACGGGAGAAGGGGGTTGAGGGGGAGGGGGCCAGAAGGGCAGGACGGCCAATGGTCCAGGACGCGCGTCATCGTCGGCAACGGAGGGTTTTTCCTCTCTCTGCCGGTTGCGAGCAAGGCAAGCCAACGGGCTGGCTGGCTGGCGGCGGCGGCGGCAGATGGAGAGGTGTGTGTGTTGCAGGTTCCACTGTAAACGCGTTGATCCAACAACTGGAGAGTCAAGTGGGTGGATGGATGGATGGAGGGACGAGGGCGGAGCGATGGCCTTGCCGTGCGCGTTACATATCTGGGTACAGTCAGTCGGTCATCAGTGGTGGCTGCTGCAGGTGGATGGGATGGTGGTGGTGGGCTTGCGGCGCCCCTGAAGATCGGGTGGCGCGGACGCCCTGATTGATCGAGACAAGTTAGATGTGTGTGTGTCTGTCTCTGCGATCGGGATACGAGGAGGGGGACGGAGTTTGCCAGATGGGCAGGCAGGCACAGGTCGTGGTGCAGCACTGACTGCACGAAGTACCGGGCAGTCGTCAGGGCAGCGGAAGTGGGGAGAATCCCTTGACTGGCATGCATTCGGACAAAAAGGCCAGCGACGATGCTCGCGATGTTGATGCGAAAAGTCCGGAGCGTTTTGCCAGATCTTATCGGCCTTTCGTCTCAGAACGGTCTCGACCTGGAAGGTTCGTGGATAAATTGCCCTGCCCTGCCCTGGCTGGCCTGTTGGTGGCGCATGCAAAGTCTCGTCGGATGAACGGCAGCGCCAGCCGGGTTGGTGACGGGGCGCTTGGCTGGCTGGGAATAGCGCTGGGACAGCGGGCGCAAAACCCGGCGGACAGCGAGGTGGTGGTGCATCCAGGCACCGCAGCCACCCACCTACAGCACCGCACACGGGCAGCACAGCTCACAGCCCTGGATGGCTCGGCAACTGGGGAGGTGGCAGTGCTGGCAAGCTCCCTCGCCAGCACCTCAATCGAACGCACCCCGGACCATCACCAACAGCACCCCCAAGACGGACACCGTCCCGACCCGGTCCACCATAGGTACCACACCAGACGACCCCATTGCTTCCGGACGGGCCATCACATCATAGGTAGACAGCCAAAGCCGCAACGCGATACGATCGACACAAGCCCATCATCATACATGAACTTTAATATATATATATTTCAAGATAAAAAATACAGCACATGGCGTCATTAGAATCATCGACAAAAAGAAGCTGATGGCATTATGAAGGAGATTCCACGGTACAGTATCTACGAAAACGTCTTGACCGCCGCCACAAAGGCGCACACCCACGCGCCCAGGTCCGTCGTCAGCGTCCTCACTAGATTAATCTGCAGCCACTCCCTCTGCAGCTCCACGTTGGACTTGCTGCTCTTCTCCTCCTTCTTCTTCTCCTCACCATTCTCGCCCTCCTCGCCCTCCACGCCCTTCTGATTCACGTCACCCAGCCCAGCACCCGCACCCGCACCCGCACCCTCCCCGTCCGCGCGCTCCAGCAGGTCCCTGATGCGCCCCGCCACCGCCGGCACGAACCCCAGGTGCCCCAGCGCCAGCACCCTCGCGGCGGCGTACCACCCCAGGGAGCCCGTCCGCCGCAGCAGCCCGCCGTGCGCCCACGCCGCGCCCGCCGACGCCCCCGCCGTGACGGACAGCAGGGCCAGCACCTGCGCCACGCCGCGCGGGAACAGCGCCCGCCAGTACCCCGGCAGGACGGCCTCGCCGTGCGGCGCCGCCGTGAGGAGCGACAGGAAGAGGTGCTGGTCCCAGCCGAAGACGAGGGATGCCGTCGACGAGGCGAGCGGCGCGAGGAGGAGTGCCTTTTTGGGGTCGATGCCCCCCGCGAATGCGCCCGACGCCATTGTTGGTGGTGATGTGTGTGTGTTATCCCAGTTGTTAAGGCAACTGTTGACGTTGCAGTCGAAGAAAGAGGTGAGCCAAGGTGAGTGTAGAATCGGGTTCCTAGGCGCCGATGCCGACGTCCTGGCCCTTCGTGAGTTGTGCTGGTAGACTTGTGTGTAGAGAGTCCGCCTGGACCAGGAACTGTGCCCGTCAAGTGAGCGTAGGTACGAAGATCAAAGAAAACAGGACACTGCACGCGGGGAACTATCCTGGCGCTGGTATAATATATGACGCCCCCCTGCTCGTCAGCAATCGCATGACATCAAATGCAGCCCGCAACAGCCTCGCGCCGCCCTCCCTGGTCAAATTCCATCCGGGAAGGATTCGCTCCCACGCCAACCGACTCCGGCTATTGCCGACTCGTATGTTCTTGCTCGACAACACCGCACCATGAGCGCTGCTGGTGCAATGAAATCCATGTCTGATCACGGAACCGCACGCAGACAGGCATCCGAATGAATTGGCATATGCCACACAGCCGCCATACCCGTCGTGAGCGGGTTGGCTGGCCATCGCAGCTTGCATTGGATATATCGCATGGCCTCTTGCCGAGTGCCAGCAACAGCATGTTCCCACCCAGGCTAGATACTTGCACAATGAATGCACCCAAAAGCCAACGCCCGATCCATGACACCCATTACTCGTCGTCGTCCTCCACACGAGGCCGCTTCGGCTGCCTTCCCTCGTCTTGCAGGCCGTAGCCGCGCTTTGACGACGAGCTCTGGTCCACCTCGGAAAGGAACTTGTCCACGTTGAACGGGTCCGTCTTGTCCTTTTCAAACTGTACAGGTCCCTCGCGAGCCTTGATTTCAATCGTTAGCAGTGATCTTGTCCATGACGGTTTCTCGTTGCTCACCTCGACCTCGCTCGCGCCCTTGAACGTGCCCTTGCCCAGTGCCTCGCCGAACCGGCTCGTCTTCTGAATCTTGGCCATCTCCTTGTCGCCAGCCTCCGGGTCGTCCTCCTCCATATTTGCCCGCGGCCGGTAGATGCTGCTGATGGCGTCCTGGGCCGCAAACAACGGCTTGTCGTAGTGGTTGTCCTCGTTGAAGCCGCTGTCAAAGCCGCTCGACTGGTTAAACAGTCGCGAGTCGTACATGGTCTCCTTGGACTGCGTCGGCTTTGCCAGTCCGAGAGCCACCTTCTCGGAGATGTCGCGGTTCTGCTCCCGGGCCATGACCTGCACTCGCCGCTCGGCACCCATGCGCGTTTGCCGGAGCTTCCGCTCCTCGTCCCGCCGCTTCTCGCGTCTGGCCTTTTCTCGCTCGCGCACCTCGGCATCCTCACTGTCGGAACCCGACTCGGAGTCGCTGCTGTAGCTTCTTGATCGGGATCGCGAGTCGCGCGAGTCTCGCGAGTCTCGTGAGGTCCTCGAGTCCCTCCGACCGCGGCCCGCCGCAGCACGCTCCTCTCTTGCCTTTTGCGCCAGCGCTCGGAGGTTGTCTTCCTTCTGTGCCTTTTCCTTCTCCGCCAGCCTCTGCTGCATCATCGCTCGCTGCTGCACCTCCTCGCGGGCGTGCCTCTCGGCCATCTTGACCGCCTCAGCGAACTGGGCATGCTTGTCGTTGATGGCAATATCCTGCAGCCCCCGCCCGTCGGCAGCCAATCTCTTGTCCAGCGGCACCGTGTAGCCCTTCGGGTTCTTCCAGTTTGACACTGGCGGCGGGATCTTCCACATCTCCTGGTCTTCGGCCGTGAGCTTCCGCGGCGGCGAGTGCATGACGGGTGGCGGCGGCGAGGGGGGTCCTCGAGGAATCTTCTTGTGCTTGAACTTGGGCGGCTCCATCGGGTCTCGTTGGCGCTCGACAATCTTCATGATCCGGTCTTGCTTCTTCGAGTTGTCGCCCATCTGGTTCGCCGGAGTGTACCGTACAAACGTAGCTTCTTTTCGGTTTCCGACGTTGACGTTCTTGGGCTTTTGTGCCGCCACGGCTCCGCTGACCAGCGCTGCGAGCGCGTTTTTGGTCTTCTCCGTCGTCTCGGCCACCGATTCCTTGGTCGGGCGCGACAGGTCGACCTCTCCGGCATCAGCGCGTTGTCGCAGCGGGATGAGGTCCTTGAATGATGTGTGCACGATCCGGCCGTCGCCGTGTCCGCGTCGCGCGATCGCATCGTACTTGACTTTGCCCTCTGCATCGACCTGAATCGCCAGCGCGTTGCTCGTTGACGAACCCTTCTTGCCCATGTCGAGCGGGTATTGGGCGACTGGAATCTCGGGGAACGCGCCTCCATCGCCAAAGTCCTCCTGCGAGCGCGGCCGCCATCCTGCACGCTGGCCGTACGGCGGAGGGCCTGCTCGTTTCAGCACGACCTGTGTTTCGTCCAGCTGGCCGGCTCCGACGATGCGAGGACCGCGCTGCTGCGATCGTGACGCATCTTCCTCGTCCTCGCCGGTGTATTTCGGCTTCGGCAGCGACGCCTGCAGCGACGCGGCGATCGAGGCCATGGCTGTTGTCGTTGTTGTGGTTTGGGACGAGGTCGACTTGGAGGAGGCTGCGGCGAAGGCGAGGCCAAGTGGGAAAGATTTCGAAGTGTGGCGCACCAGATGTGGCTTAGCCCGGTGCCAGCTAAACCACCCACCTACCGTCGAGCCTACGAAGCCCAGCACCAATGCTCAGCATCGTGCCAACGTTCCAATACTTTGCAACGTTCACCGAGACAAATTCAATGTAAAAAAAAATTGGCAAAAGAAATCTGGCTCTCAGATCAACGCCAGGGGCTAGGCTACTAGAACAAAGGCCATACTACATTGACCGCCGACGCCGGGATCCTCTCCAGCTCTCATCGCCAGCTCATCGATTCATCGCAACGGCCAGTCGCTGCCGTCCCATGGTCCATGGGGATCGTGCCCCGGATATTACACATGCCATAACCCTGTACCCTCTTTTTATGTATCAACATGCGCCTCGTAATGTCCAACCGATGATGAAGTCATGCTCAAACGTAGCCCTTGCGCGCGCCCTGTAAAGGGTGATTAGCCGGATCCCTGCCTGCTCCGCGGTCAAGACATACCTGGAAGAAGAACCGGACCACAAACACCTGCAGCGCTCCCATGCAGATAATCAGGGCAATCTGAATCATGCTAAAGTTGACAATGCGCTTCTCCGTGCTGTTGACGGTGCTGAAGTTGCGGTTCTCGCGCGTGCGGAAGTACTTTTGGCTTCGTGAGATGGTGGACAGCTGACCCGAGATCTTGAAGATGGACTCCTCAAGCACCGATGTCTGCTCTGGCGACGTGCCCTGCTTCGACGGGATCTGCGCGGTGCGCGACTCGTTCTCGACCTGCACGAATTAGCGGCGGCTCGAGAGCCATGGACGAATTGCGAAGGGCAACGAACCGAAATGTCAAAGTCGACGTATTTCTCGGCAAACGTGCTCATCTCGTTGTCGAAGCAGAACGAGTACTCGCCGGCCTGCTTGGCCGTAAAGACAAAGTCGCCGCTCCGCTCCTTTTCGCCCTCGAGAATGACCTTGCCACCAGGGCCCTCGACGATGTAGTCGACATCAAACGAACCGCCCGATTGGACCTGCAATGGGAATCAGTCATGGCCCGGCGCAATTGCGCAGTCGATAGCACCCACCGCAAAGTAGAAAGCAATCTTCTCGTTGTCCTTCTTGGTGTCCGTGTAGAAGCAGGCCTTCTCGTTGGCCGTCAGCTTGTACGTCAGCGCCGTGGCCGCGACATCGGTGACCATGCAGGCAATGACGCCCGCGGCGATCGTCGAGAGTCTCATCGTGGTGGCGCGGGTCGGTCGGGGAGGCGTTGTCGCGTGCTGGAAGCAAGGGTCGGGAGGTGTCGATGTGTCTTGATGGAGTGTCGCGAAGGGGCCACGACAGGCTTCGGCGCGGAATTTCGCCTGCGCCGACCCCTGAAGCTCCCAAGGCTCCCCAGCCGCGCCGCCATGCCGCCCAGAGCTCAGCCCAGACCCGCCGGCGGCCCCGCCAGAGGTCAAGCCACACCTGGAGCCCACGCCACGACACGGCACGCGTCTGGGCAGGTGAGGTGAGCTGCTGCCATGGAAATGTCCAATGGTGACGTCGGTCGCTGCACAGCTCCCGCTGTCAATTACGACTGGTCGCGTCCCGCATGACATTTTACACGTCGCCTCTGTCCCCTTTCCTCCACGACGGGTTGGTTGGCACAGTCCGAGGCAAGACTTTTCCAATCCTTCTGATCTCCCTGAAACCGACCCCGGATTTTCGCATTATAAGAGCTTGGTACGTACTTCGTACTTTTGACCTCCGCGGTCTGCGACAAGTCGAAGCCATTGTCGAAGCGCGCCGGGAAGTCCGGTCTTCCTCGTCGCGGCCATGGCTCTTCAAACCACCGTCGCGAAAGTGTCCTCGACCGGCCTCAGAATATGCGCCGTGCTCTTTTTCAGATTTGTTCGTGTCCGTTGTTCCCTACTATTCCCCCTCGCATACTAACGAGATTGCAGTTTCCAGTAAGCTGGTGAAGCGACGCGCGGTTGTCTTCCTTCTAACTCGCGCAGGCACATTTCCCGTCCATCACTTTCGCGCTCTTCGCCATCTACCTGCCCGCATTCGTGGCCAGCTACTTTACCGAGCCTAATGTGGATATCGTCAAAGACGAGGTCAATGTCACGGTCAAGGAAACGACGGCCACGCCTGAGACACCCCTCCTGACCGATGACGGGGTTGCTGTGGAGCAGGAACCCGCTGTCGTGGCCGAGGAAATCGACGTCGCGGAGACCATTGTTGTCGAAGAGAAGACGGTTGCGCCGTGGAAGATCCTTGCACTTGGCGCTCCAAGCTCGAACAGTCCGAGACTGTCCATTGCGACGCTCCTCATCAACTTGCTGCTGGTCGCCCTTACGGGCGACGCGCTGTTCAGGGCCCGGTGGTACTACCCATCCCACGACCTGTCTTTTGTTCGCCTTGGATATGTCTCTCCAACTGAGGCCAAGTTCTTGATCCGCGAGCCCGACCAGAGCAAGATGCCAGTCACCCTGGAAATCCGCATCCTGGACCCGGAGCCGCCCTTTGACAATCCCTTGTGGCAGACCGGCGGCGGCGTCCGGTGGACGACCAACGAGACCGACTTTACCGGATACATCACGGCTCAGCTGAGACACTCGGAGCAGAGACGGTACGAATGGCGGACATCGAACAACCACTCTGGGGAGTTTCTGGCGCCACCAAAAGCAGGGGTGACATCCAGGTACAATGACGGAAAGTTCACGTTCCTTTCCACTTCTTGCATCCTGCCTCGCTTCCCGTACAACCCATTGGACCACGCGCTGGCCATCCCGGGCCTGCGTCACTTGGCGAATAAGCTGCCGGATCTTGGCGCTCAGTTTATGCTGTTCCTCGGAGACTTCATCTATGTCGACGTACCGGAGAGATTTGGCAAGTCGGCCGAGGAGTATCGAATGCAGTACCGCCAAGTATATGCCTCTCCAGACTGGGCCCCTGTGGCTCAGAACCTGAGCTGGATTCATGTCTTGGACGACCACGAGATCTCCAATGACTGGTCATCCAACACCACTGGCATCTACAAATCCGCCATTGACCCGTGGAACATCTACCAGGCTGATGTCAACCCTCCGAGGTCCCGAGACGCCTCGAGCAGGTTACGGAAGCGCACCGGTGTGACATGGTTTGAGTTTACTCAAGGGCCTACGAGCTTCTTTATGCTGGACACGAGGAGCTACCGATCCAGCAATAACCAGCCCTTCGACGATACCAACAAGACAATGCTGGGTCAGGATCAGCTGGACGACTTCTTGGCGTGGTTGGCGCGGCCAGAGCCCAATGGGGTCAAGTGGAAGTTTGTCGCTTCGTCTGTGCCGTTTACGAAGAACTGGCCTGTCAACGTCAAAGACACATGGGGCGGGTTCCTGGTGGAGCGGAAGAAGATTCTCGAGGCCATGTGGGAAGCCGGCGCGCGAGGCACCACTGTGGTCATTCTATCTGGAGACCGGCACGAGTTTGCGGCAACCAAGTTCCCCCCTCCTCCCGAGTCGAGGTGGCCCGAGAGTGCTACCGCGTTCGAGTTTTCGACGAGCCCTCTGAACCAGTTCGCGTCGCCGATACCCTCCTACAAGCAGACGGACAGCGAGGACATTAAGTTGCAGTAAGTAAAACCCGCGGCTGGTTCGATTCTCTACTGACGCGAGCGTTTTACAGCTATATTCCTTCGGGCTCGTCCAAGTTTGGGTCTTTCACAATCGAGGAGGTCTCAGGGGAGAGCACACTGCAATACCACCTGTACATCGACGGACAGGAGAGATGGAGCACGCTGCTTGTTGAGCCGCCCGTTGCGGAGGGCTTCAGCTCAGGCAAGTCATTTTTAAATAGGCTGCAAGACATTTTTGGGTAGGCTGCAAGTCTTTTGGAATAGGTTTCGGCTTTCGTAGCTCAGATATGGTACCGATACTGGGTTTGAGCCGCGAGGCTCCGGGGCGTATGGACTTTGGGACTGTAAAAACAATGCGGTTTGTGTCGATACCTTGCAGCTACGCTCATAATTTTGGCGTAAATACTTAAGTTAGCTGTTTTAAGCGTAGCTACCGTGCCGCTATCGGCGCTGCTGAGGCGCTGTGATCTTATGAGCTGTTCCCCCAGTGCTTCCGGTATCCTGTCAGCACCTAAGAAGCGCCCCAATGGGATGGTTCGGCGAGGCTTGGGAGACCTGATGGTGTGCGGAGAAGTCGATCTACCCCGTCTTAGCCACATCGACAGGCGGGGGCTCCGATGCATCGTCGTGAAGGCGTGATTGTTAGGGTCGGCCAAATGCTATACAAAACCGACGAAGCGGCAACGTGTTCGTCAACCATGCTGCTCGCCTTATTGTAGCCAGGCCATTATCTGCCGGCTGCCTCAGATCGACAAACACTCCCGCAGCGCCCAAGGACAGCTCGTGTCAGTTGTCAGAGATCTCTCAGCATGGCTGCCAAGCGACCCAACTTTCTCGTCATTGTTGCCGATGACCTTGGCTTCTCAGATATTTCGCCCTTCGGTGGCGAGATCAACACGCCGAACCTCGACAAGTTGGCCAAGAATGGAATCCGCTTCACAGACTTCCACGCCGCGGCGGCGTGCTCCCCCTCTCGGGCCATGATCATGACGGGCACCGACCATCACATTGCAGGACTGGGCAACCTCATCGAGTGGACAAACATTTCGGGCCAGAATGACCCCAACGGCACCATGTCTACGAATGTCCAGCGCGGAATGCCGGGATACGAGGGGTACCTCAACGAGCGCGTCGTCGCCCTGCCAGAGCTGCTCCGCGACGATGGCTACCTGACCCTCCTGTCGGGCAAGTGGCACTTGGGTCTGACGCCCGAGAGGAGCCCCAAGGCGCGCGGCTTCGAGCGCAGCTTCGCGCACCTGCCGGCCTGCAGCAACCACTACGGGTACGAGCCGCAGCTCGAGGGCCAGGACAAGATCCCCGAGTTCATGACCATGAGCTTCATTGCGCTGCACAGCGAGGACGGCGAGTACACCAAGGTGCCTGACGGATGGTACTCGTCGGACGGGTACGGCGACAAGATGCTGCAGTACCTGAAGGAGCGCAAGGAAGGGGCCGATGAGAGGCCCTTCTTCGCGTACCTGCCGTTCACTGCGCCGCACTGGCCGCTGCAGGCGCCGCAGGAGGTCATCCGCAAGTATCGCGGCGTATATGATGACGGGCCTGATGCGCTGCGCGAGAAGCGGCTCCAGCGCCTGAAGGACCTGGGCATGGTGCCACAGGATGTCGAGCCGCATCCCGTCGTGGCCGACGAGGTCAAGGAGTGGAGCGAGATGAGCGAGCAGGAGAAGGCCAATTCGTGCCGTGCCATGGAGGTCTTTGCCGCCATGGTGGAGTGCATCGACACCAACGTGGGCAAGGTGGTTGACTACCTCGAGGAGACGGGCGAGCTGGACAACACGTTTGTGTGCTTCCTGTCAGACAACGGCGCAGAAGGCGCCGCGTACGAAGCGTACCCGATCGTCCAGGGGTCAATGATCCAGCACCTGCAGCGCTACTATGACAACAGCCTGGATAACCTCGGGAACGGAAACTCGTTTATCTGGTACGGGCCGCGGTGGGCGCAGGCGGCAACCGCACCGAGCAGGCTGTACAAGGCGTACACGACCGAGGGCGGCGTGCGGGTGCCCTTCCTCATGAAACCCCCGGCGGGCTATTTCGACTCCGCGATCGATCGCCACAGCATCACGCATCAGTTCTCCACCGTCATGGACCTCGCACCGACGATCCTCGAAATGGCAGGCGTCAAGCACCCCGCACCAACGTACCAAGGCCGCGAAGTCGTCCCCATGCGCGGCACGTCCATGGTGCCCTACCTGCAAGGCCAGGCGGCCAAGATCCACGGCGAGGACTTCATCAACGGGTGGGAGACGTGCGGACGCGCGGCGGTGCGCAAGGGCGACTGGAAGATCGTCTTCATCCCCAAGCCCAAGGGTCCGGAGCGGTGGCAGCTGTACAACCTGGCGCGCGACCCGGGCGAGGTGCATGATCTGGCGGAGAAGGAGCCGGAGCGGCTGGCCGCGCTGATCAAGCTGTGGGACCAGTATGTGCTGGAGACGGGCGTCATTCCGCTGAGCCCGGAGCTGGGCCAGTGGATGGCGGCGATGGAGGAGCAGATGCCGGAGAATGCGTGGATCGAGTACGAGTACTGGAAGGACGGGGCGCGGGAGGACCCGGCGCGATTCACGAAGCAGATTCCACGGTTCGAAAGACGGGTAAAAGCTATTTAATATGAGTGTATAGGTATTGCGTAGGAATAATGCGTTGAAGCAGAGATCTGATGCGTTGATGACCACGGAGAGTCTTCAAGGGTTAGGGTTACCGGCTTGTATTGGATGCAAGCACAACGGCCCCCACAGCCGCGAGGTCCGCATCCAGACGCCAGACCCACCACCGCGCCGGCTCGGCCGACACCGCCAAGCACAACGGCCCCTCCGCCCAGAAAAATTGCCTGGCAGAATCCAGACTTTTGCTTGCAGCTCCGCCGAAAACTTCCCCCAAGGCCATACTCACCTCACACCTCACAACACACACAGCAGTTGCGAGCGAACACAATGCCGGGACAATCAAATAAGAAGCGGCCAATTGAGGGCCGGCTGCAACGCCCATCAAAGAAGCAGAAGCGACAGGCGCTGAAGCAATACCACAGCGAGTCTGAGGCCGAAGAGGACCAGAGCTTCGATCCCGTCAACCTGCTCGACTCGGACGACGACATTCACAATGCAAAGGTCGACGACGGCGCGGACGATGGCGACAGCGACTCGTCTAGCGAGGAGGAGGAGCAGCAGCAGCCCAAGTTGAAGAAGGCCTTGAAGATGCAGGCGCAGACCAAGAGCAAAAAGGCGCCGCCAAAGGAGGCAGAGTCGGAGGAGGAAGAAGAAGAAGAGGAGGACGATGACGACGAGGAAGACGAGGAAGACCTCGACGAGTTCGACCTGGAGGCCCGATCAGCTGGCACCAAGTCAAAAGCCAAGCGCAACGACCCAACCGCGTTCGCAACGTCGCTGTCCAAAATCCTATCCACAAAACTCTCCTCATCGAAACGATCAGACCCCGTCCTGTCACGAAGCGCAGCCGCGCACGAAGCGTCCAAAGCCGCCGTCGACAGCGCCCTGGAGGCCAAGGCCAAGCGCCAGCTCAAGGAGCAGAAGCGCAGGGCCCTGGAGAAGGGCCGCGTCAAGGAGGTGCTCCTCGCAACCACGAGCGAGGCCACCGGCGAGCCCGAGACGACAACGTCGGAGATCCTGGACAAGGAGAAGAAGCTGCGCAAGGTGGCGCAAAGGGGCGTGGTGACGCTGTTCAACGCGGTGAGGGCGGCGCAGGTCAAGGCGACTGAGGCGGAGAAGAGCGCGCGGAAGGAGGGCGTCATTGGCATTGGGCAGCGCGAGAGCAAGGTCAATGAGCTGAGCAAAAAGGGATTTCTGGACCTGATTGCGTCGGGCGGAGGCGGCCTCAAGAAGGGCGCGCTGGAGGAGGCGTAGGCCGGTGGACTTGTCATGTAGGAAGAGTGAGATGAGGTATTCATTAGGGCTCCATCACCTGTAAATGCATTCAAGATACCCCCAATGACGCTCCTCCCGGTGGCCCATGGGCTTTTCCCGCCTTCTATGCGCGTTTTTGGTAGTGTACATGTGTAGATTGAACAGCTGCGCCCCCGTCGGCGCCTTTAACCCCCTTCACCCCCACGGGCTCTTGTCTCATTGGAAGTCGCTCGCTTGCAGGTTCCGCGTCATGGACGGCAGCTTGACGACGAGGCCGTCGAGCTCCTTTGTCATCTTGACCTGGCAGCCCAGCCGGCTCGTCTCCGTCAGGCCAAAGGCGAGGTCCAGCATGTCATTCTCGTCGTCTTCGGGCTCGGGCATCTTGTCGTACTTGTCCTCGTCGACGACGATGACGTGGCACGTCGAGCAGGCGCAGGAGCCGCCGCACGCGCCCTCCATCTCGAGGTCGTTGGCTTGCGCAATGTCGAGGAGGTTGTCACCCTCGGAGACGGCAAACTTGTGCTCCTCGCCGTCCTTTTCGATGAACGTGACGTAGAGCCTGGTGTCGTCAGAATTTTGTTTGCCTGTCGCAGAGCTACGCGTTCTGGACTTACTCTTCGCCGGGTTTCGGCGGCTCGATGTGCCCGTGCCGCCTCGGCGTCGTGGTTGTGAAGGTGCGCCGCGAGGGTGTCAATGCCCACGCCCATCGAGGCGCGGAGATGGACTTGGTCTGGGCTGCGAATGACGATGCAAACAGAGCAGTCTTCATTTGCAGGCGACCGGGCTGCAGGCTCCGGCACGCCACGGTCGGTAGGCCAGCCAGGCCGGCGGCGACTGATCTCGAGGCGGACATTTTGGGGAGTGACTAGGGCAGGGTGCGGTGTCGCTGGGGGTTCGGGAGGTGGAGGAATTTATTGCGGCGGCGATATCCGGCCGGGTCGTCGCGATACCCGAGCGGCAATGAGCGCTTGTCGCAGACAGTCGAGTGCAGCGTCTGTGGAGGAATGTCAGATACGAATCAATTGCGCCTGTCGCCCATGTGGTAGATTTTCAAACGTACGGGCTGGCTGGCTGGTCGGTCGCGCGGGCGCGGGCTATTGCTCTCGCATTTCCGAGCCGGACAGCGGGCTTGCAAATGCGGCTCCCGTCAGTGGTTTGCGGTCGCGGGTTCCACCGGGAAATCCATTCGCCGCGGGCCCGCCCTGGCCTGTGGCTGGGCCCCCCTAACTCCGACCTGCCGAGCTCACTCAGCAGGGCCCGGGCAGCTCGTGCATGAAGCTGGGTCCGGTTTTGGTGATGATTTCATTTTGCGAGAGCTCCTCCTCCTCACCCGCGCCATCGCAGCAGCAACGCAGACAGATGCGCCACCGCAAACACCCGCGGCCGCATCCACCATGTCGACGACGCATAGAGAGGGCGTCAACCCGCTGAGGCCCTACTACATACCGCCCACCATCGGCGAGGCCGCCGACCCCGTCGCCGCCGCCAACGCGAATCCCTTCTCCGGCCGCAATGCGACGAGCAGCGCCCGCTACGCGTCCAAGGCGCGCGACGTCCTCGCCGACCTCGACTACAAGGACTACCTGCGCGACTCGTCGCCGTCGGTCGTCCAGAGCGTCAAGGAGCTGGTCGACGAGCTGATATGGAAGTACACGTCCGTGTTGATGGCCCAGCCGTTCGAGGTGGCCAAGACGATCCTGCAGGCACGCGACCAGGACGACAACGCCGCGCTGGCCACGGCGTCGGAGCCCGGCAGCTTGAAGCGGCAGGCCTCGGGTCAGGCCGGCTCCATCTATGATGTATGTGCCGATACGCGCCCGGTATTGCCGCAAAGCTCTAACGATGTGCAGTACCAAGATTCCGACTCGGAAGGGGATGAGCCTGCCTACTTCACCTCCAACGTGCCCGGGACGCCCACGTCATCATATAGAAGAAACCACAACGGCTATGGCGCATCGTCGCCGTCCCCGGCGCCCCGGAAGCCTGCTGTCCCTGAACACCAGCTGACCCTACGGAGGCCAGACTCTGTTGCCGAGGTGATCGGGCAGTTGTGGCAAAGGGACGGCGCATGGGGCGTGTGGAAGGGCTCGAATGCCACTTTTCTCTACACCGTCTTGCAGTCTCTGCTGGAAAACTGGTCGCGGAGCTTCCTGAGCGCCATCTTCAACGTTCCCGATTTGGGCGTCAGAGAAGACATTGACCGCCTCATCGACATTGCGTCCCCATACCCCTGGGTGTCGCTCTTCGTCGCCGGCGCAGCAGCTGTAGCTACTGGCGTGCTTCTCTCCCCACTGGACCTTGTGCGAACCAAGTAGGTTCTTCCCTCCACATTCTCGAGGGTTGAGGCTGACCGTTGCAGGCTCATTCTGTCTCCGATCAAGGGGCAGCGACGGACGCTGGCGTCCCTTCGTGCTCTTCCGTCATACCTTTGCCCGTCTGCGATTGCTTTGCCGACTGTCCTGAACTCGCTCGTTCACCCGCTCCTGACGCTGTCTACGCCGCTCGTTCTGCGAACTCGATTCATGATCGATAGCCAAGTCTCACCTATGACGTTTTCCGTTGCCAAGTTTCTCGCCTCGTCAGCCGCGATTCTCGTCAAGCTGCCCATCGAGACCGTGCTGCGCCGCGGTCAGATGGCTGTGCTCACCGGCCAGCAGTATGTCCGGGCGCTTGGGACGAAGGATCAGAAGATCGAAACGATTGTGCCGATCGGACGATACAAGGGCGTCTTCGGCACCATGTACCACATCGCCTCCGAGGAGGGCACGCGGGAGATTCCGGCGACGCAGCCCCCGAAGAAGGGCAAGGCAAAGGCTAAGACCCTTCAGCCTACGCACAGAAAGGGGCAGGGCCTGGAGGGTCTCTGGCGTGGGTGGAAGGTCAACTGGTGGGGCCTCGTTGGACTTTGGACAGCGAGCGTGGTTGGCCACGGCGGCGAGGGCGAGTTTTAATCGGAGGTGTGTATTCTCAGCTGGAGGTGCATTTTGGGCGGCAAGGCGTTTTGGGTTGGGAACTCTCCCCTATGACTATGATGATGGGCGGTATGATATCCTCTTTTCTTCGTCACATGTAACAATGACAACCCGGTGTATCATCTGTAAAAGGGCGCCACTGGCAGCTCCGCTGTGTTGTGGGTGCCAACGGGTGCAAGCGGAAGTACTCATGAGCTCTCTCCATGGCACTTGATGGTTCGTGGTGCTGCTCCATTAAAGATTTCCCACGAAGCGCAAAGATGTATGTTGTCCCAGCCGTGCCGCAAATAGCAGGAGCACCACTATGCAAATACCATTTGGGGACGACAGATCATCACGTTCATAATGCATCTATGATTGGTCTGCCACAAGATTTCGCGTGAGTTCTTGTGAGTGAGGTGATCACGCAACACTCGTCCGCTGCAGGGTAGGTGGAACGGTCACGTGTGGGGCAGGCGCGACCTCTTCAGGACCCTTGAGTTGCGCATCACCGCGCTTCTTCCACACCTTACACAACACGCTCGACAACCAACACCTGACAAACCCCCTGCGCAAGCCGACACCCAATCCGTGGCCAACCCCCGGCACTACCAAATCCCCATGTAGGGAGTCGAAGAGATTGCCGGAACTCGCTCTCGCCGAGACAGCGTCTGTCTGGCACGGGACCGACATCGAGCATGGCGACTCCCGCCGCGAAGCCCAATGGCGCACCCGAAACGAATGGCGACCGACCGGCTGCGCGGAAATTCAAGGCCTCTGACCTCCCATTGCCGTCCGCGACGCGTGGCGCCATCGAGTCTCTCGCACACAGTTTCAAGAAGGAAGGCGCCTACGACTCCATCCGCAAACAAGTATGGGACAAGTTTGCGGCCAGTGTACGTTTCAGCGCAACTACGACTGCAATATTCGCGTCACTAACCCGCAATAGGACTACGAGGCGCAAGTGACGAAAGCGATACTCGAGGTAGCCGAGAAAGAAGTCGAGCGAAACCCACAACAGCTTCTGACTCTGGACCGACGGAAGGCGGCCGCGCTCATTGATGGCGCCCTGGAACGCTCTGGCGTCTATCACAAGGCTGAAGATGTCATTGGAAAGCTCATAGATGTCGACGGGATCGAGGAGCGCATTCGCGAAATCAGACGTGCAGATATCGGCGAGGAAGCAGCCTCGGCAGAGATGACGCGGGGAGCAAAGACAGACGACGAATACGCTGCCGACACAGAAGCACGGAGAGCCGAGCGCGAGCGCATTCGAGAGGAGCTCAAACAGAAAGAAGCCGCGATTGAGGAAGAGAAGCGACGCATCGCCAAGGAGGAACAGCGCAAGGAGGAGAGAGAGCGCGAAGAGGCTGAGCTTAAGCGGCAAGCCGAGCGCGATGAACGGCGGCGCAAGAGAGAGCTGGAGAGGGAAGAGCGCGAGAAGCAGCGTGACAAGGAAAGAGAAGAGCGACACAAGGAACGTGAGCGTCGAGACCGAGACCGAGACCGCGAGCGCGACAGGGATCGAGAGAGGGACAGGGATCGCCCACGAGACCGATCACAGTCCCGGTCCCGCTCCAAGGACAAAGAGGCCACGTCCGCAAAGCTCAAGGAGAAGCTATCCAAAGAAGACAACGATAGACTGGAGCAAGAAGCCCTCGCCGACCTTCTCCGCGAGAGCAGTAAGGTTGCTCGAGCGCAGCCGGACTTGGAAGTGGACGATACCCTGGCACCACCACCGCGACGAGTCGGGCCAACATCAGCCATCAATCCGATACGACGAGATTCCCCCCGAGTGTCCGAGTCTCGCAAGCCTAGCGACGCTGCTGTGGCATCCGGACGGAGAGACTCGAAGACACCTGCCGACAAGTTGTCGGGCCTGCGAGAGGAGCGACAGACCACTAGGAGTGCGTCGCGACCCCGGAACCGCGACATGGAGAGGACAAGGGACAGGAGCCGGGACCGAGAGTCGGACGACCGTCGCCGCCGGGATCGACGGTCCCAGTCCCCACGGCGCGAGAGAAGCAGATCTCGAGACAGAGACCGACGGGACCGGAGTCGATCGAGGCTGAGACGCGACAGGAGCCGCTCCCGCCATCGACGGGATGACCGCCGGGAACGCAGCCGCTCGCGAGACCGACACGATCGGTCGCGGAGGAGTCGATCACGACGCCGAGAGCGAACACGGTCTCCTGCCCGGTCCGAGCGTCGTGACAGGAGCCGGACACGAGACAGACGGGATCGGTCCCGAGACCGACGCGACCGAAGTCGCGAAAGAGACCGATCTCGCTCGCGCCACCGGCCGGAGAGGCGTGATAGAAGTCGCTCACGTTCCCGGGCAAGGCGAGAGCGCAGTCGGTCCCGCGACAGTCGGCGCGGTGGAGGCGACCACTACGACCCTAGAGCGGCCGCCCGCTCGCCTACACGCCGGCGCAGTCGGGACCGGGACCGCGATAGGGACAGGGACCGGACCCGGGACCGAGACAAGGACCGTGAGAAAGACGACGAGCGTGACCGAGACAATGACCGCGATCGTGGCCGACGGAGCCGGTCTCGCTCAAGGGCCCGCACTTCCATGATACGCACAGCGTCCGTTAGGAGGGACGAGCTGGAGGAGTGGAAGCTTGAGGAGGTCAAGAAGCGCGAGAAGGAGGCCAAGGCATATCTGGCGGCTCAGAAGGACGCCAGAGCAAAGGGATTGCCAGTGCCCGGAGTAGACGACAGACCTGGTGAGTGTCTCTCTGCCCCCTCAGACAGAGCCGACGACAGGAGAAAGTCTAACAAGCGACGAGGCCGGGATGATCGTGACACGCGCAGGAGTCGATCCCGCAGCCGCGACAGGGCGCGGCCCCGAGACGGGAGTCGTGATCGAGACCGCGACAGGCGAGACCGGGACCGTGATCGGGACCGTGATCGGAGCCGCGATCGCGACCGTGACCGGGACCGAGATCGAGACCGAGCTAGAGATCGGGACCGGGACCGCGACAGGGACAGGGACAGAGATAGAGACCGTGATCGCGATCGCGAGCGGGATACTCGGAGTCGGCGTGACCGCAGCATGTCGCCCCGTCGGGAGCGAAGGCATCGCAGTCGGAGCCGGAGCCGGAGCCGACGTCGAAGCAGGAGCCGGTAGAGACAAACTTCATGAGGACCGGAGGGTATAATGTGTGCGGCGCGGCCACTTATATGGGCGACCACTTTAGAAGGGCTTGATAATGTACGGAGTATACCCTGAAGCTGTTGTGTAGTCAAGTGGACGTCATATCACTCGCATTTGCCACGTTCCTGGCCCGTTTTGATACTATGCTGTAGCTGTCATGAGCGGCCAACAGATGAAGCAAAATGTATTCCATATAGCTGCGCTCTGCTTCGATGCCGTACTCGAAAGTTGGCGACGGCGTCACTTTGAAGCGGGACGGTGCCAAAGTTAACTTGTGCTTCCTCTGTGCCGTCGAAGGATCGGCTAGTCTAGATGCCGTTACTGGTGAGATGGACGGATAGCTACCCGATCAAACCCGCTACAGGCTGGGCTTGTAAGGTGCTTCACCAACTCCCTTCGGAAGGTGGCTACGAGGCGTCGGTGATGTCCCGTTTGAGAATATGAGGGAAAGACACCCCGCATCCATCCCCCGTCTCCGGGTCTCCAACTCTTCTCCGCCCCCGTCATCCGGCCCGTCCCCCGCGGGGCTGAACATTTCCGCACCCTGCATCTCACTCTCTCCGTAACCGCAACTCGGACCGGACCGGCTCGGTCCTGAGTTTGTGCAACACCTACGAACCCACCACCCAACAGCGCTGAGCCAGAACAACCCAGGCATGTCTCCAGAGGGCGGCGACTCGAGTAAGCAAACGCCTCCACAGCCCCATCGACAATAGGTCAACTCGCGGTGTCTCCCCCTGCCTGTACACCGCCCATGCTCTGACCACTGCATGTCCTGAATAGGCCCCTACCGACCCATCAGACGGATACGACAGGCATGCGACGCCTGCAGGTACGGGTCTCGTCCTCTGAACCACTCTTGGGTGCAATTGTGAGCGCGTCAAACTCATGAGGCTAGGCGCCGGAAATCGAGGTGCTCGGGCGAGCGGCCCGTGTGTTCGTACTGCGCGAGGTTTAGGAGGCAATGCCGCTACAGCTTGGACAATGCGGCGGCTGTTGCGACGAGGGCATCGTTCTCCAGTGTAAGTCTGTCCAGGCAGTGCAGTGCCGCGCACATGCAGCTAAATGTACGCCAGGAAGAGCAGTCGCGGTTGGATCAGCTCGAGGGCAAGCTAGACTCGGTGCTGAATGCCATGAGGTAAGGATGAGCGCTTGGACATTGCCATGTCATGCTAATACATGGGACTTCAGCAAGGGACAGCGCCGAGCAGTCAGCCCTGGAAGCTCCAGCGCAGATTCCCAGAGTGCAGTTTCGCCCGCATCGCCTTCAGAGCAAGCTGCGGACGAATCAGATTGGCAGCAAAGGTAGTTGGGAACCCCTTCTCGCCCAAGTTCAACGGCCTATTTTCGTGAAACTCATTAACACGCTGCCCAGCGTCTCATTGCCAAGAAACAAGGTCGAAGCCGTGGTGGACCGTTTCCTATCTCAAGGAGACTGTCTCTCTGCCCTCGTGTTCCTGCAGGACTGCCCGCTGGGATCCCTGCAAGATGAGGATTTACTGTACTCTGTCTTTGCATTGGCAACTGTATCGGCTGATCAGCCGACTATACGACAAGCCGGTGAGGAATGCAGAAGCTCGGCCTTGTCCATTGTCGTAAAGCGCATCTCAGCCGGAAAGGTGCAGGCGGCTACGCTGCAAGCCCTGTGTGTGCTGACCTATGCGGACCTTGTCTGTGGGTGATCCCCCATCCTTTGAAGGCATATGTCTCCCTGGGTCTACTGATCGGAGTTGACGATGGCTTTTCAGGTGGCATGGTGGACCGGGCAGATATGCTTGCGTCGATGGCTGTGAGCCTTTGCGAGACAGCCGGTATCATCGTCGATGGCCACCTCAATCAAGAGCTCGATTTGAGCGACCAGCTGCACGGGTGCTACTGGAGTCTCTACCTCATGGAAAAGATGCATAACTGCGGTCGGGCCGGCCTACAGTTTCCCACCTCGAACAAACCCCGATACCAGTTCCGCTTCGCCCAAGACACGCCTCGCCCACTCAACGGCCCAGACAACTCTGGCCCTCAGGGGAACTACATCTCGGTCCTCACTCCGGGAACGCACCCGCAGTGCCCCGACCACGGCATCATGGCGTACGCGGCCAAGGTGGCGGATATTTGGGCCAGCACCGTGCGGTTCTGCCTCGGGCGGAGCGAGTCCGACAACCTCCCGCCATGGGCTCCCGGATCGACCTTTGTCAAGATCACGTCGCTGCTGGTGGACTTTGAGACGTCGATCCCGCCGCAGCACCGCTTCCACTTTGCGAGGTTTGCGGATCGCTCGACGCCTGAGCTTCAGCAGCATGCCAGCTACTGGGGGTTGTTTCTCTTCAAGCAGTTTGCGTACCACACGATATTCTGCCTGTTGAACCACCCGGTATTGGTGTCGGTGCGGCTGAAGAGGGCATCTGTCGCAGCGCCGTACTCGGTTATTCAAGGCTGCACGGAGCAGCTGAGAGTGCATAGTGACTGGATCGTCCACTTCATCGACATGCTCTCAGAAAGGGACATTTCCGTTGCGAATGCCTTCCTAGGATACTCGGCGTTGATTGTGGCGAGTGCTTGCCTGCCCCAGGCGCAGTGCATCGAGCATGAGCCAACGCAGAGGCTCCGAAACAAGTTTAACAAGTGCTTCGAGTTTGCTCAAGGCCTGTCCAAACAGTGGCCGGTTCTGGTCAATATGGTAAGGCCGAGGTCCTGAGGTCTGAGCTATGTCTCTTTCGGAGTCGATGCGCTGACAATGTATAGACGAAAGTCGTGCGGCAAATGCAGAGTTCGGAGGGATTGGAAACCCAAAGCTCAACACCCACACACTCAAGCTCAGATTTGGCAACGCTGCTGCTCAAGCTCCTAGACTGCAAGTCCGTGAGCAGGTCACCCGCATCGAGGACGTCCCTTCTCGCGACGTCGCTCTGTGCCGATGTGCAGGGCCAAACAACGCCGCGTCCAAGTTCATCGACTGTCGCTCGCGTAGTGACCCGGACACCAGTCCCCCCTAACGCAAGGGCATCCGCACCGTCAACACCCAAGGCGTCGTACACAAACCCAAGCTCTTTCGCTGCAGGAGCGGCTTGGCCCAGCTTCAGCGCTACCGGCAGAGAGGCTCAAGCAAGGACGGGTCGAGGCACGGCAGAGCACGCAGAATATGTGTTCAACGATATGCCAATGACGGTGGACATGTCGGATGTGTCAACTTGGGGAGTCTCGGGGATGGACCAGTCAGGCATGTGGTGGTCGATGGGGAGCCTGTAGCGGCCATGATTTCTGACGCCCGTATGTTCATATAGCCAGCACTCGGGGGAACTCTGTATTTCGAAAACGCAATCGCCCTGGGCATTCCCGCCAGGAGCAAGCTCATCTTATCTGCTATATCTTGACTCTTGCGATTATCTATGTGGAACGCGTCGTCTAAAGCTTCGCTCTAGGCTCATCGTCAAGCCCTGCTCGCTCTTCCTGCCCGAGTTCTCTCCTTTCCGGCCCGCCTCTGCTCCCATCACCTAGGAAGACATCCATGCCCTTGTCTGCATACTCTGTGCGGAAGCGCCATTTCTTGGCCAAGTTCGGCGGCAGTTCCTTTTTGATCGCCAATGACATGTACTTTCCCAATACAGGTGCAAATTTGAACGCACTATCTCTTGTCAGCATCTGCATTGTTCAATGTTTAATTCGGTCGGGGGTACTCACTGTCCACTTCCCGCGCCACCAATGAAGAGATTCCTGTGGTCTGGGTGGTAGTCCATGATGAAGTCGCCCGACGGAGTATCCGTGTACCAGCAAACGGCTGTCCTCTCAAAGGGACGATCCGCCAATTCAGGCAGCATCTCACGCAGGCCGTCCCTCAGTCTCTCTTCGCCGTCTTGGGGTGTAAAGTTGGCCCTTTGGCGGCGTGCCTTTGCAGGCGGGGTAGATTGAACGGATCGCGTCGCTCCAGGACCTCCATCGTTCTCGTCTGGTTGTCTAGTATACCCCCACCCGTGGATAGCAACCTTCAAGAGCTGGGTGTCCTTGTGTGGAGGGAAGTTGAACCAGCCGGTTGAGAAGTTGAGGTAGATTGGAAGCTTCTCGTACTTTTGCATTTCGGCTTCCGTTAGGCGAATGTAAGCCAAGACCTGGCCCGTTGCGAGGACGGAGTTGTACATGGGGACGAGAGCCGAGTTCCAGGCTCCGGCAGCGAGTATGAAGTAATCGCCTTGGATGACGTCGCCTGCGCGTGTACGTGCCGCCTTGATGTTGCCGCCGGTGCCATCGGTCTCCAGGCCGGTCACAGTGCCTGCCGATCCGCAGATGAACGAGACGCCTAGGTCCAAGCAATCATCTCGAAGTCGGAGCAGGGTCTTGGAGGCGTCGGCCCAACCCGCAGCGTTGTTGAAGTAACCGACAAAGGGCTTGGCGGCAAGTGGTCCCGTGAGCAACGGAAAGACTTTGCGGGCGGCGTTCGCATCGCCGAGTGTGGTCCAAGGCAGTCCTCGTCTCTCAAACTGAGACGTTGTCCCCTTGAGATAGGAAGAGCCCTTTGTGCCCTCCGTGCTGGCAATGATGATTGGCGTGGGGACGAATATGTCCTTGTAGCGAGGCGAGCGACTCCATTCTAGGTACGCCTCGTATGCGACGTCCAGGTAGTCTCCGTCGGCATAGTCGAAGCGAATTGCTCGAGAGATGTCATTGCTTGATGCATCAGGCGCCTTTGTTTGGTGTCAGCAACGGCGTTACATCCTCACCCGAGGTGCATGAACTGTGACCCTGGGACGTACCGGTGGGACATGTCTGTCAAGGATGACGATGTTCTTGTATCCCTCCAAAGCCAGCTGACGAGCCGTGCTCAAACCAAAGACACCGGCCCCGATGATGACTATCTTGCTGTCGAATTCCATATTTGCGATGCTCGTGAGGTGACAGGGGGGGCGATCAATTGGGAAATCTGCATGTGGTGCAGAGTTCTTCCTCCAGGCAAGCAAGATCTGATTTGGCCGGCGGGAGCATGGCAAGAACCGGCTACTTTAAAGGCATTTTTTTTTGCAAGCCGTTACACGATTCAGCGACCGACTACACAGACACGCCAACTTACATGACATGATGTTCGTGGAGTTTATGGGGATTGCGGGTCTTGATTCCACCGGTATCTTGTGTCTTGGCCAAGTCACAGGAACGCCCTCCGACTGACAAAGTATTCAGGCTATTATCAATGTCGCCATCAACATCGGGGCTTTGCATCGTGAAGTTGGTACTCGGCTGGGCGCCGCCCTGTGTCGGTCCGCGGACCGATGTCCGAACCCGCATAAGCGGGAGGTCGGACCGCTGTGGGGCGTCGGTGCGGAGGAGGATCATACACTTGCTCACGTTCGGTCCGGTCCCGATTGAGATGGGGTCGGACGACGATCTTACATACATACATATCGGGCGGCCCGCCAGGCATTTTGACGACATCACAATGAACGCTCAAACAATAGACTAGCTTATCTGTTCTGACGACAGCTGATATCGTTGTTTGCATCATTCTTGTGTAGTAAAGCAAAGCAAGCACCTAGTCAATAATGGGTTCCACGGACTCAAACATAAAAGACGCCCTCAAGGCGCAAGACATCCGCTCCACGCCCCTCTTCCACAACGTCCAGCAGCACTACAAGAACATCATCGACCCGGCAATAGGCAAAATCTCAAACGCCACGGACCTGCAGCTCTCCCCGCACGGCACGCACGTCGTCTTCACGGCCCACGTCTGGGAGAGTATCGAGAAGAGCCAAGCCACCCGCATCGCCGAGGTCCACCTTGACTCGGGAGACGTGCGGTTCCTCTCCACCTCCAGCAGCAGCCACGGCGACGCGCAGAAACCGCGGTACTCACCCGATGGGCGCACCGTCGCGTACACGGCCGTGAATCCTGACACGGGCCTCTCGCAGCTGTGCTTGTGGGACCGTACCGCCGGCGGCGATGGGGAGGGGGCGCCGACTTTGTTTCCGCTGCCGGGCTTCTCGTTGGAGTACGCACTCTGGTCTGCGGATGGACGATCTCTGCTCTGCGGCACCGCCGCGGCGGGGGCAGACACGTCGGACCTCTTCGGCGCGGTCAAGATCACCGGCAAGCAGGACGGGCCCGCGTGGCTCCCCAAGGTAGAGGGCTCGCAGGCCGAGCACCCGGGACGCGCGCTCTTCGTCTTCAACGTCGAGGCAAAAGAGTACCGTCGCGTGAGCCCGCCAGGCTTGAACGTGTGGGAGGCAAACTGGTGCGGGTCGCGGTCTTTGGTCGGTGTGGTTTCCGAGCACGGCGACGAGGGCGCATGGTATACATCCCGGGTCGCCATCATCGACCTGGAAACTGGCCAAGCGAGGACTGTCCACAGTCCTCCGAAGCGCTTCCAGGCGGCGGTGCCGGTGGGATCTCCGTCTGGTGCGCGTGTTGCGTTCGTGCAGGCTCAGTGCAGCGATCGGTGCTTGGTGACCGGAGACCTTTGGACGCTGGACGTGGAAACCAATGCGACGACGAAGCATGATACCGACGGGGTGGACATTGCGAATGCAACATGGATTGACGACAAGACGCTGTTTGTCCTTGGCATCCGTGCGACTCAGATGGTTGCCGGCCGGCTCAACCTCAAGGACGGACGCTTTCACGAGCACTGGGCAGCCAGCCCCGGCGTAACCACCCCAAACTACCAGCCCGACCCCGTGTCACCATCCCCCGACGGCTCAACATTTCCGCTCCTACTTGAAGGCTGGTCGCGCATTCCCGAGCTCATCCTCATCACCAACGGCAAAGAAAAGACCCTCTTCAGTCTCAACCACGACGGATACACCTACCTACAGTCCCAACTCGGCGAGAGCAAGCTCGTGCGATGGAACTCCTCCGACGGCCTCGAGATCGAAGGCTTCATCCGCCTGCCGAAGAGAGGCAAGGCGCCGTACCCACTCGTCCTGCACGTCCACGGCGGGCCCGTCGCCTCCTTCAGGGACCACTGGCGGCCCAACGCCTTCGACACGCTCCTCACCGTCAACGGCTACGCGGTGCTGTCGCCCAACCCGCGGGGCTCCAACGGGCGCGGCGCGGAGTTCACGAGCCACATCTTCGGCGACATGGGCGGCAAGGACGTCGATGACTACCTCACGGGCATCGACTACCTCGTTGAGCAGGGGCTTGTCGACCCGAAGCGCCTGGGCGTGATGGGCGGTAGCTACGGCGGGTACATGGCGGCGTGGATCATCACGCAGACGGATCGCTTCGCGGCCTCTGTGGCGATCGCACCCGTCGTGGATTGGTTCTCGCAGCATACCTTGACGAACATCCCGACGTTTGACCAGAGCTTTATGCAGGCCGATCCGTATGAGATAGCGGGCCCGTACAGGACGCGAAGCCCGATCCTGTACGCTGGCCGGTACCCGACGCCTGTCTTGCTGATTTCTGGAGAGGATGATCCCGCGACGCCGCCGTCCCAAGCGAGGCAGTACCATCGTGCCTTGGTCGAAAAGGGGGTGACGTCGCTGTGTCTGATTTACCCTGGCGAGGGCCACGGGGTGCGACAGTACCCAGCCTATGTCGATTACTGTAGTAGAATATTGGGATGGTTCCTGGCGCATGTGCCAGTTGAGGACAGCTAGACAACCAGGTTATTTCATCGCTCGGGGAAAAGGGGTCTTTGTCACTGCGCGTGTGGCGCCTTCTATTTGGAATTTGCATTGCTTCGTTATATACACACGCTCTATTGCCTTCACTCGGTGCCGAAAAAGGCTGGTAACGAAAACATGCCCTTGTTCTTCGGGTCATAGTGCCGCCAGGCCAGGCTGACGACGAAGAGTCCGCTCAGGCCAAAGGCGACGACGAGGAGCAGCCTGCGGGCCGCAATGCGGGAGGCCGCGCTTGGATAAGAGGAAGGGGAGATGGTGGCGGCGGTCCAAGCGATGACTGCGGCGCCGCCTCGGGCGATTTGGTCGTAGCCGACCGAGTAGTACGTCAGACCGCCAAGGGCGATTGTGTAGCCAAAGGCCTGGAGGAGGGTGATTTTGGTGTGCCAGATGATGACGGAAACAATGATGAGGAGGATATTCTTGAAGATGCCGGTGAGGGTCATGACGAGGCCGGAAGTCTTGCCAATCTGCGCCACCATTGTTAGTATTGTCCGTTGCGACAAAACCGGAGGAATGGAGACTCACAAGAAAGACGCTCGCAACGTTGAGCATGAAGGCGATGAGAGCGTTGAGGAAGAGCACTCCGAAGCCAACGCTGGCGAGATCGTCCCAACGAAAGTGCGGAACCTCGCTGGGCAGGGCGACGATGACGTTCATGACGGCGCAAACAGGGGCGTAGTAGTAGAGGCCAACGAGGGGGTCCATCTTAAGCCCCTCCCCGGAAAGCATTACCTGGATCATGATGACGCGGACGGCCTCGAAGCCGATGCCGCCAAGCTGGTAGAGGAACCCTATGAGCGAGAAGTGGATTTCGCCGACCGAGGCAATGGCAACGCCGGCGACGATGACGAGGACATTGATGAAGGAGGAGAGCGAGGGGTCGGCAACCCCCCAGGCCCACGAGGTCAAGAGGACGGCGACAGGAGCGGCCGACTTGAGCATCTGAATGAAAGCGACCGAGAGGTAGAGGTAGACGAGGTTGGAGCAGACCAGGGACCCCGAGTAGAGGAGGCCAATGGGGCAGATTGTGCGGATGTACAGACGAGGGGTGATGGGTAGCTTATGGCGGGAGTCGAGAAGTGACGTGGTGCGGGCGAGGAGCTGGGTCGCCAGAGTGGCGAAGACAAGGTGCCAGCAAGTAAGAATGATGGCTAGGTTCTGTTAGCTTGATGCTGCGTGATCTTGGGTCGTGGTGTCTGTGGTATTGTTGAGACAGGTGTCGTGCAATGAGCTACACTGCGGTGCCCAAGTCACGAGAAGGAGCAACGTACGGTATTCTGGGCAACAATTTGTTAGCGTATGCTTATGATGCCTACACGCTGTTGTTACGAGCGTCACCTGATGAGCGGATGAGACTTACTGAAGCTGGTCGAGCCGATGATCCATTTGTTGAACAATATAGTCAGATTCGAAAAGAAGATCCAGTTCCTGGACAGGCGCGTCAGTATCAACCCATTGGCCCTCGATGCGTGCTTCCGCCTCTAGAGACTCACATGATGTGAATTGCAGGGTGCAGGCCCCTGGCGCGAGGCACCTCGGCGTCGACGGTCTTGACCCCGTTCATGTTCATGGCGGCCTCTTCGTCGTCGATTGAAAAGGACCTTGACGGGGAGACGGCCGTGTCGGCCGATGACAGCGATGCGCTCGACATGTCGGCTGGTGCGGTTGCCTTGGAAGGCGACGCAAGAATTATATATCAGAATAATAAAAGTGGCTGCAATGGTCGCGACGCGGCTGCTGCGGGCGCGCAGTCGCTATGAGGTTGAGGCCGCCAAACCGGCTCCTGTTACGGTATTGGGACGCCGCCGCCCAAAGGCCCCGGTCGGGGGACTTCGCCTGAGCGGTCGATTACTGACGGCTGAGCGAGTCGATAGGTGCCACTCGCCAGGCTGTCGGGAGCAAAAAGGACGGGCAAACAAGGACAACCAGCAGCGTAGGCAAAAAGGACAGGATCGTGGAAGCAGTACGGGAGTAGCTGCGCACACACACGCGCGCGCGCGAACGGGGGGACAGCTAGGCGTATTTAAGAGGCCGGCTCTCACTACGGGGGAAACGACGGGCCCCCGTTTGGGGCCTGCTGGTGTGTGTCTCTCTCCCTGCTGCTCCTGCGACCCAAAATAAGTAGCTCGGCGCGACACGAGAGAGGCTCGACTAGCGGACCGATCTTGCTGCAGCCGTGTGTGTTCCCACACCCGCAGTCTGCGAGTACCGCCCCTCGCAGTAAAGTGGACGACGGTACCTCGACGTACGGCCAGGTTGGCCGGCTGGCAGCGTTGCTCTCGGGGGGCTGATTATTAGGCTTTGGCGATTCGCAGGTGATTTTCGAGGGTCGTGGAGCCGGGGCCCAGACCAATGCGCATACTGGGGCAATGGGGGCCGGGGATGCGCTGGCTTCCGTGGGTGTGCTGAGTTGAAGAGGCGCCACCGTCAAGCCACGGCGTCCGCAACCGAACGGTTGAGCCGGGCCATTTTTGCCGTCACGAAGGATACAATGCGAAGCTGCGAGGTAGGTAGTGATGCGAAGGATAGGGAATGTTGAAGGAAGGAGAAAGAGTGCAGTGGAGGCATTTTGGCATTGAAAACCCATGGACGTGAACATCACGGGGCATGTGCGCGATGCGCTCCTGCCTGCCCATCTGATACGGCACAGTGACACTGACGCTCCCATCGACACTGACATTGGCTGGGGCGCTGGGGCAGCGGGAGGGAAGGCACGACGGGCGGGACTGCCGCAGCTTCAGTCACCATAGGTACCGCCCCGTAGTACTTCGTACACGCATCACTTCATGCGGACGTCTCTCGCTTCGTGCACGCATCATGGACCGACCGACCTCGTCTTGGCGACTCGACACTTATTCAGTTCCATCCTTGGCGGCTATCTGGCACGCCCAATTCATGCCATGCCGTACCAACACAACGCGTTATCTATGCGTTTCCAACGATACTGTCCCATGACCCGCGGAAGCTGGAGATGAAACCCACTGTCCCGCCGGGCGGCACGCCCCTTGTTGGCCACCTGGACTGAAGGCTCCCGGCGCCAGCTTCCCAGGCAAGTGAGTCGCCCATCGACACGGCAATACAGGCAGCGCAGCCGAAGTCTTCCTCAACAGGACGCCTGATGGACTCGTCTCGGTTCGGGCATGTGAGTCCCTCCTCGCTTGCGCTCGAGACAAGTGCAAAGAACCTTAACGACCCCTGGACGGCTATGGGTTGGGCGACTCGGCGGTGACGCTGAGACTCCATACGATCCTGACACGGCCCCAATACGCCTGATCAAACGCGTGCCTGGCGGCGGCACCCCCGGAACTAGACAGCGGACACTTGCTGGAATAAAATTGCGGAGGACTCTCTTGGACGAGGATCCGGCCCGTCCTGTCAGCAAGTCGGTCGTATTTCGAGGGCAGGCCATCCCAGCATCTGGCCGTCCATGGCATGCATTCATGCTCGGGCGAAGCATGTCGAGGCCGAACACACACACACATACACCCCTGCATGCCCACACGCACAGCCCAGACCCTCTTCAGGGGTCCTGGAGGGCCCGCCCGCCAAACAGAGCCGCCCATGACGAAACGTGCGCCCTATCCGCGTCGCCAAGCTCCACGGCCAGCGAGACAAGCTTCGACTTGCAGGCCGCCTCGGTGCCGCCCCGATCCAATGATGCGCATGAAACGGACACTCCTTCGACGACGGACGCATGGCCTTAGCTCGGTTTTGTTTGACGGGCGCGGCGGCCCATTTCTACCTGTTCCGCGCCGGTCCATTTGTTCCCAGCACATCGGTCAGCATCGCCCTGGAGTCGTGGTCGATCGGCGAGTCCCAACTTTGTCTTACAGCCGACAGCGAAGACGATGGGTTTCGACGTGGATTTGGGAGAGAAGAGAGAGAGCGAGGGGGCCGTGACAGTCAAGTCAAAGTGGCAGAGCCGGCTTCCAGGGTGGACCAGGTGGAGGAGGAAGCTGGATCGGCTCCAATTGCCGTGCCGGTCCCGCCGCGCGCGAATTTCTCAAGCGCCGATCGGCCTGCGCGCGTCCAGACTGTCCACATGCAAACAGCCGCAGCTACAGCCACATGCTGCTGCTGTGATGGGCTGAGGCCGCCATCGCTGGCTGCGCCGCTGTGGCTCATGGACCAAAACCGCATGCTAACCCACGGCGCGGCAGACTCCTTATTACCCACCAAGTGTTCTACTTTGTCTCTTCAGAAGAGCACGTTGAACACTGGACTTGCCTTTCCATGGCAATGGCTGGCATATGTCTCCAAATCGTTTGGATGCTCCCCCAAAAGCCAAGCCTACATGCTGATCCATTCAACTTCAAACTTCACTAAACTCGGCCACCTCAGCCGCAGGTATCGACGCGGCCACAGGTCTGGATCTGCCACGTCCGAGTACTCGTACTTTGAGTTTCCCCCATATTACGTTGACGTTGCCCATCGGACGAAACGCGGGCTTCAGAACAGTAATAACGCACGTGATGAGCGACGCTCGAGCACATTGAGTTCGTCTCTTCGGCGCCGCTTGGCCGCGCTCGCTTTGACACCCGATCCGCTCGATTAGACCCTTGAGGCTGGCAGATGTCGCTTCGTAGGGTGCTGCGATTAAGGTGTCCACCGCCGCACAGCCCCATAGAAGCCCACCCAAACCCCGTGTCGCAGATTCAGGAGATTCAACTGCCAGGGCGCCGCTCGGGCACCACGGTGACAGCGCAGCCGCGGCGGGCCCGTGTCCCGCCCGCGGGGAGACGTCACCTTTCCCTGAGGATTGACGCGGGCCGCTGGAGAGTCTCACATGAAGGCACTGGAAGTCTCCAGCTTGCAGCGTGGACTCACCCGTTCGTTACACTTGCGCTGTGGGAGCTCTTTCGAAGACGGCGTCTCGACCAACGCTTCTATTCTTACGCTTGTACGTCGTAGCAACTAGTCCTGTATGCCTAATCCTAGACAACAAAAACTCCGTCGCCCATGCATCTTTGAGAACTGGCGCAGTTATCTGACAGCCGATCATGCCTGCGCCTGGCCGCCCCATTGCGACCTGCTGCAGTGCCCGCGCTTGAGTTCCAGTTCCCATATGCACTCGAAAAACAGATGCCAACTCCGTCGCTGTGATCCCCGAGACGACGAACCGTACGCCTCGCAAAGTTGCCTGCCATATCCATTCCTTGGAACATAGTGAGCCGCTTCTCACGGCCGAGTCTCGCTTGTATCATCCAGCAAGTCATCGTCGCCATCCTCTGGCAGGGGTATATCTTCCGGGCCGTTCCGCTTGGTATCAGTGCTGCTTGAAACGATGCTGTCGTGGTCTCGTGTTGGCTCTTCCCCGGCCAAGCTTTCCGACGCCTCGCCCTCGAAGCCCGGCGTGGCTGTTCCACTCGCCCCTGCATCTTCGCTGTGCTGTGGCTCTCCGGCGTCATTCATGGTTTCCGCTTCACTATGAGGCACCATGCTTGGATCGATGCACTCGTAGAACAGCATGAAAACCCCGGGAGACAGTGACATGACCGTCTCCTCATCCACCTTGCTGACGTGGTGGTCGCTGAGCCTCCACCAGCCCGCGTTCTTGCCTTGGGATGATCCAGAGTCTCGCGTCTCGTCGCTGGTGCTCTGAGAATCATCATCGATGCCGTCCTCAACAGCAGCCGAAGTCTCTCCAGCTTCCCAACTCTCAAGCGTATCCTCGGTGCCAGGGTATCGTCGATAGCATATGTAGTGGCCATTCTCATGTCGGCCTGCGTGTGTCACCGCCGCTCGAAGTTCGTAAATCGGCCCCGACAGACGCGACGGAGCCAGGTCCCCTGCCACCATCGAAGCTCTGGGGTCCGATTGCCATTGCTCCTCACTTCCGTCGAGAGAAACTTCTTGCGCGTATACCCTCGAATTCTCGCTGCTCCCTAGACACCATGGTCCGAGATCAAGCGTCATGGGAAAGCTCACGGGAGCCGAGTTCTTGATCATATCAAACGTTGCCGGGTCGAAAACTGATCTGTTGACATGTATGGCGAGGCTCTGCGGCGGCCGAGCAATGACGATTTGTTTCGTTTTCGTCGAGCTGACTTTGCTCTGGTTCGAGATCTTGCATTTCTCCGTCAAAGTCTTTTCATCGAAGTCGTCGTCTTCAAGGGCAAGTTCTACAGCTTCGAGCCTGCGGCGGGGTTCGAGCAGCTGTTCGGCCGAGGAGCCACTCTCCTCCATCTTCTCCAATAGCTTTGTCAGAAGCCTCTGCGCCTTAAGCAGGGTGCATTTCGGACACTCCACGCCCTCGATCGCCTCCACTTTGCTGTACGCGTCTAGTCTTTCGTACAAGTCGTGTCGATTCTTGTCGAGGCCGAGACTGAGAGTCAAGCAATTGAATGGAATCATCGACAGTCCCTCTGAGAATCCGCACTGCACGCACGCAACACGCTGGGCAAGCAGTCCTTCCAGCGGGTTCCGTAGCGGCTTTATAGCGGAAAGGTCCGGGCTCGAAGGCAAGCTCTGGTATCCGCTGTCATCACTGTGTTGACTAGCGGTAGCCGAGTTGTCTTTTGTACTGTCGGACTCGAGGCCGGAGTACATGCGAGATTCTTTGAAGGCTTTGGCGACGGCCTTGTCGATGTCATCGAGCATCTTGGAGTAGTATTCCTGCGCATCTTGTTGCGTCCAGGTACTCATGGACTTGAGCAAGCTTGGTGTCCATATCGTCTTCCCGTTGTTCCCCAGATCGTTGAGGTCTTCGATGAGTGTTCGGAGGGTCTGGGCGACACCTCGGTCGGCGCTTTCCGACTCAACGGCTCGCACGCACGCCGAGAGGTAGTTTGGAAAAGACTCTAGAGCGGCCAGTCCCTGAAGAATGCTGTTCTGATAGCACGAGTTGTCACGGTTGCCCAAGCCAGGCGGCCGCTCGTGATCGAGCTTTAGCCCCAGGACACTGCCCGTCATCGAGAGAGCCCGGGTCCTGGCTTGGAATACCGTGGCCACTATGCCACCGGAGCGATCCAACCCCAAGATCCTACTCATAGCTTCGCTTTTGGCCGCATGTGTGGCCGGTCGCGTGTCGGATGTCGGTCGAGGGGCCAGCGGCGGATTCAGCCAGTCGTCGATCGCAAACAGGATCGGCGCGGGCACGGCAAAAACTAGCCAGTCCCATAGAAATGTCCCCGTGGAGGTGGTTACGTCTTCGATGGAAGTTTCCGGGCTGTAAAGTTTGTAGATGACGGTTATTAGGAGCGCGAGCCCGGTGAGGACAACGGCAGGCTCGCTCCAGCGCTCCGAGAGGCGGTCTTGCGCGTATGGCGGGCGTCGAAAGGCCGTGGATCGAGTTTCGTGGAAGGTGCGAAACTCGGTCTGTTGAGAATTCATGCTGCTAGCTGTACAGTCCCTCGAGGCTGCGTGTCGGGCTAGGGCATAGCCAGAGTTCTGCGGAGGACTGTGCAAATATGCGACGGAGAGACAGCTGCCATGGCCAGCAAAGTGTCGTCAGCTCGACTATCGTGGTGCGTCGGATGCCTCAGCGAAAGCATGTATCCCGTCCTCGGTGTCGCTGATCGCAGGGCCATCAACAGCCTGTCGCCGTGGGGGAGGTACGATCTTGAATCGTCATCAAGCAGTGTTGCAGCGGTTCGGATTATCTTGGTTTCCTGCAGGGATGACTGGAAGCGACGTTGCAGTGTCTCACGTGCCCTGGGGCAACCGCGTGGGGCCGCATGCTCTGCTGTGTTCCCGGTACGTACCGGGCCCTCGGCCCTCCCAGGAGCCACTTACAACTCTCCCAGTTTCGCCTGACTTGGTTGCTGTTTGCTTTCACAAGCGCTACGCTCGACAAGCTTCTCATCATGTCTTTTTCCGTTGGAGCTCAATTCAGAGCTCTAGGGTATGCTACACCATTTCTTGTTTTGCCTCTTGACTCGTCGCTGACTGCAACAGCTCGACCGCGCGGCGAGTCGCGAATGGCCGAGGTCCGAATTTCGTGCGGAAGTTCCCGAGCACCCAGCGAACAGCTCGGTTCTATGCCACGTCCTTGGAAACAGACTGGCGCGGTTTCGTGCTCGCTAATAATGGCTCTGGGAAAGAGAACCGTACTCGGATGTAAGTCGTGATTAGCCAGCCAGCGTTGGTGACACTAACCAGACCCTACTTAGGTCCAAGCTGTGGCTGCGGTACGCACGTCCCCAGACCGGCTAACTGGAGTGACCCAAGGCTGAAGTATTCAGTGACAACTGCCGCTGTGAAAAATGTGTCAACCAAGACACAATGCAAAGAAACTTTGACACATTCGAGGTGTGAACCCTGTCCATTCCACGAGGTGCGCATGCACGTGCTCACGTCACCAAGATCCCACAAGATGTAGAAGCCAAAGATATCAAGCAGAGCAGCGAGGGCGTGGAAGTCCTCTGTAGGTCAGATTCTCCCAGTGCGAGATGCTGTGCTCACAATCCTGCAGGGTCGGACTCGCACAAGAGCTGGTACACTTGGGATTGGCTTCAGGCGACTGTTCCTGGCAGTGGGAGGTACTCGAATCTATCACACGACGCGTGAGTATTCGATGCTGAAACTGCGTGACCACTTCACTAAAGGTATTAAAACACAGGGGGAAGAAAGTATGGGACTGCAGCATTGCAGAAAATGCCCCAGAGGTCTCCTTTGACGACGTCATGGGTGGCAGCGGTAGTCGAGGGATGGCCGACTTGACCTCCAAGATTGTAAGTTAATTTCTCTCTGTAAGGGGCCACGTATTAATGAGATAGTACACATACGGGCTCTGCTTCGTTGCAGGCACGCCCAAGACACCCGAGGCGACCAACGCCCTCCTCGAGAGCATCGGACCAGTCCGCCACACCCACTACGGTGGCTTCTATGACTTTGTCCCCGACCTCGCCAAGGCAGATACTGCGTACACGAACCTCGCGCTCGCCGCTCATACCGACACGACATACTTCACGGAGCCCGCAGGCCTGCAGGCGTTCCACATGCTCTCGCACACCCCACCACCGAACGGTGTAGGCGCAGAGGGCTCACTGGGCGGCCAGTCGCTTCTTGTCGACGGATTCCACGCGGCGCGGCTGCTGCGCAAAGAGTCACCCAACGATTACGACGTGCTGCGCAGCGTCGACATTCCCTGGCATGCTAGCGGCAACGAGGGAGTCGCGATTGCGCCGGACAGGTCTTATCCGGTTCTTGAGACCCGCGGCGAGACGCTGCAGCGCGTGCGGTGGAACAACGACGACCGGGGCGTGGTCCCGTTGGCAGTTGATGTGGACGAGTGGTACCGCGCTGCGCGGAAGTGGAACGAGATTCTGAGAAGGAAGCAGAGCGAGTTCTGGTTCCAGCTCGAGCCAGGCCGTGTGCTGAGTATGTTCTATCCCGGCCCTTGCCTGCCAGGAACCAGTATTGACCCGAGAGCAGTCTTTGACAACTGGCGCGTCCTGCACGGCCGCAGTGCATTTGAGGGACTTAGGCGGATCTGCGGTGGCTACAGTAAGTTGTCATGGCCGTCTGTGGTGCGTTGCTAACCGGAGTGAACAGTCAACCGCGACGACTTCATCTCCCGATGGAAGACGTCCAACTTTCCCAGCCAGGAGGTTATCGCCTCCAACATGCAGCTCAAGTAGATCGCCGAAGCGTTGGCCGAACATCGCCATGAATTTGACATATTGCCTCGCACCCCCTTCGTTTCGGAGAACTCCACAGGAGGCTTATCTCCCATGGGGATTGTGGTGGAGGCATCGTGCGGAGGATCGGTGTCCGAGTCAGTAGCGGAAAGCCATCCTCAAGCCCATGAAAGGCCCACCACCACTCCGCCGCACCGTCACCGTTTCTCAGGCGTCGTCGGCCCCACAGGCTCGCGCTCGCTCGACGGCGAACCGAACCCGTTGACGGTCCCGGCGGCACGAGCGAATTAGGACATCCCGCAGACAAAGACCCATGCGAGTGTCGGGAGAGTGCGGCGGGGCTGGCGCACCTTGGCAGGAGAGCCGCCGTAAAAAACGCCGCCAGCCGCACGCTCAAAAGACGGCCGGCAGAAGGCGAGCGTGTCGTGATAGGTCCGCATGTCAATGATGCGCGGCTCCACTCGTCCTTTAGACAAAATGGTATGGCCATGTTACACACGAGGCGCGCCGCGCGGATACGCAGGCACGGCATCGACGTAATGGCCCGGCTGCTCCTGTACGCGAGGATGGGGGTATGGGGTCTTGGATAAATAAATGTCGCACACGACGGCTGGGCGGTGACGACGGCTCAGATGCTATAAGACGTGTCGCTACCCAGCTCCTGCCTTGGATCCCGATCCCGACGCATCGTAAACCTTGCCGTGCCATTTCCAGTCTCCTCTTGTCGCCCGTCAACCCCACCATTGCCCCTCCAACAACACCCGACCGCTGCTACGAAGTACAACCACCGAACATCACCAGACACAATGGCCGACATCAAGGATGGCGCGTTCCGCCACGACAACATGGACGTCCCCAAGGGCGATCGCGTGATGCCGCTCTTCTCTCTCAAGGGACGGACGGCAATCGTCTCGGGCGCCGGCGCCGGCATTGGTCTCGCCGTCGCCCAGGCGTACGCCGAGGCGGGCGCCAACGTCGCAATCTGGTACAACAGCAACAAGCAGGCGCTGGCCGAGGCGGAGAACATTGAGAAGACGTACGGCGTCAAGTGTACGTGCTTTCCGCCCACATCTTCGAGGTAGCGTACTGACATTCGTTCGCGCAGGCAAGGCATACCAGGTGGACGTGGTCTCGGCCGACGCTGTCGACCGGGCCATCAACGAGATCGTGGCCGAGTTCAACGGCCGGCTGGACGTCTTTGTGGCCAACTCGGGTATCGCGTGGATGGACGGCGCTTTCATCGACGGGCCCGTCGAGACGGCCAAGAAGGTCATGGCCGTCAATGTTGATGGCGTCATGTGGTGCGCCAAGAGCGCGGGAGCGCACTTCCGCCGGCAGAAGAAGGAGGGCACGACGCTCGACGGCAAGCCCCTGGACAACTTTGTCGCCGGCAGCTTCATCGCGACGGCGTCGATGAGCGGTAGCATCGTCAACATTCCGCAGCTGCAGGCCGTGTACAACGGCTCCAAGGCGGCAGTCATTCACTTCTGTACGTGCTTCGATGGTTCCTACCAGACGCCAAAGCATGTGAACAACGCTGACGCTTCGCAGGCAAGAGCTTGGCCGTCGAGTGGACGGGCTTTGCGCGCGTCAACACGGTTTCTCCCGGATACATCCAGACCGAGATTTCGCACTTTGCGTCGCCCGAGATCAAGAAGCAGTGGAAGGACAAGACGCCAATGGGGTAAGCAAAACCCTTTCTATGATTGTTGGAGCGATGCTAACAGCGACGTGCAGCCGAGAGGGCCGGGTCGGCGAGCTCAAGGGCGCCTACCTGTACCTGGCGAGCGACGCGGCGTCGTATACTTCGGGGCTGGACATGATCGTGGACGGCGGCTACTGCCTGCCGTGAGCGATTCGAGGCCAGTCGTATCGAGGCGCTGCAATGATGAATTACGATAGACGGACGGAAAGATTGTTTGGACATGGGTTGCATAGAGCAGGCTTAGAAGACTATACCCACTGGCGCGCCGAGACAAGACACTGCAATTTGGACGAGGGGCCGCGACGTTGGTGACGTCGTTGGCGCGTGAATGATGTGTTGCTCGCTCGGGCCGGAAGCGATTAGGTAACATGGGGTCGCAGAGTCGCAAATCTCGCTACGACGGAGCTGCGCAGGTTGCCTGCAGGCGTTCGAGACATCCTGATGTGCGTGCGGGTGGCCGGGGAGGGGAGGGGCGGATCAAAAACATCCATGGATCCATCATCCACGGCGCTCCCGGCCGGTCACGCACATTGCAACATGGCCCAGGCATCAGGCAGGACGGCGGCCTCTTTACTGGTGGGGCAGGACTTTTGGCAGCACCTGGTGGGAGCCCGTGCCGCCTTGATGGTGCGCGGCGTGGTGGGTTGGCGGGGTAAATTTGTCGCCTGAGCTGCCCGCGCGCACCCAATGGCCCAGCTTTGGACAGTGAGGTGCTGCTGACCCCTGATTACAGCCCTGTGGGAGGCGCCCGCCCGCCTTGCTTGGGTGGTGCAGGTGGCTGGAGGATTGACACGGGCGCTCTGGACCTGGGAGGGAGTCGAAGGCTGGGATAAGTTGCTTTCCAGTGGAAGAGTTCCTTGAAGTGCGGGCGCAGACCATGCTGCGACGAGCTAAAGAAACACACGATGCCCGTGCCGACGGGCCTCGGCGGGACAGCCTGGAACCGAACGTAGCCATCCATGCCCGCTGAACTGCAGCAGCGCTCGCGCTTGGCCGGCAGCTGAACCTGCAGAGCAGCAAGCAGCAGCAGCACCAGCAGCGAGCACCACCAGCATCATGGCCGCCGCCAGGTGATGAAATAGAGGGGAAAGCTCGACGGCAGGGCCCCTGATTGGGTAGCGCCCGGGCCCACGCCACCTGTGTGATCCATGGCCCAGCTGCCTCTTCCTCCCCTTTGCATCCAATCCTCGCCTCCATCCGTAGCCCAGCTTTTTTACCCGTACCGTGTCTTATTTCGCCGCCTCCCGACACGGGCTGTCTCGACAAGCTTCTACTCCCGCTGGCCGTGAGCTCTACCCGTCCGCCGTCCCTCGAGACCCGTCTGCCCCCGCCCGCCGCCCGAGAGCCGTCCGAGCCGCCTCCGCACACACCGCCACCGAGGACGACAACGGCCCCCCGACGTTGGCGACGACCCAGACCCAGAGCCCGTCCGCTCTCCTCCGCCGTCCAGCACGCTCGCCCAAGAGCCGCTGCAGCCCTCGCCCGCCATGGATCACGACGGCGAGACCCCGTCTGTCGAGGTGCGCCGCGCCCAGCAGGTCGACAATGCCATCCGCGCCATCCAGGAGAAGAAGCCGGTCCCGGAGATCGACTTTACCCTCCACACCATGGAGGACGGGACCCAGGTGAGCACGCTCGAGCGCGTGTGCAAAGGTGAGTCGGATTCGCTTGTTGTTGCTGCGCGAGAGCCTGTCCGTCGCAGAGAGGCGCGAGAGGCTTCCAACGCAGAGAGAGCGGTTGCTGACCGTTGTCGCGTGCCCGCAGACGTCCAAGCCCCCGCCATGCACAAGCCTACCGACGAGCAGTTCTACCACGACGACACCCGGAGCAAGCCCGACATCAACTTCCTTAAGCAGCATTTCTACCGCGAGGGTCGCCTGACCGAGGAGCAGGCCCTCTTCATCCTGAGGAAGGGCACCGAGCTGCTTCGTGCCGAGCCCAACCTCCTCGAGATGGACGCCCCCATCACCGTATGCGGCGACGTCCACGGCCAGTACTACGATCTGATGAAGCTCTTCGAGGTCGGCGGCGACCCCGCCGAGACGCGCTACCTCTTCCTCGGCGACTACGTCGACCGCGGCTACTTTAGCATCGAATGCGTCCTGTATCTCTGGTCGCTCAAGATCCACTACCCCAAGACGCTGTGGCTGCTGCGGGGCAACCACGAGTGTCGCCATCTGACGGATTACTTCACCTTCAAGCTCGAATGCAAGCACAAGTACTCCGAGGCCGTCTACGATGCCTGCATGGAATCGTTCTGCAGCCTGCCCCTGGCGGCTGTCATGAACAAGCAGTTCCTCTGCATCCACGGTGGCTTGAGCCCTGAGCTGCACACCCTGGACGACTTGCGAAACGTGCGTTCCCAATGTCCATTTCTTCGAGGCAATTGCGGTAGAAACCCTAATGGCTAACCGCGTCTTCAGATTGACCGTTTCAGAGAGCCTCCCACCCAGGGTCTCATGTGCGACATCCTCTGGGCCGACCCTCTCGAGGACTTTGGCCAGGAAAAGACGAGCGATTACTTCCTGCACAACCACGTGCGAGGTTGCTCGTATTTCTTCTCGTACCCGGCCGCGTGTGCCTTCCTGGAGAAGAACAACTTGCTGTCCGTCATTCGCGCGCACGAGGCTCAGGACGCCGGGTACCGCATGTACCGAAAGACGCGTACAACGGGCTTCCCAAGTGTTATGACCATCTTTTCCGCGCCAAACTATCTTGACGTCTACAACAACAAGGCGGCCGTCCTCAAGTACGAGAACAACGTCATGAACATTCGCCAGTTTAACTGCACGCCGCACCCCTACTGGCTGCCCAACTTTATGGACGTCTTCACCTGGTCGCTGCCTTTCGTTGGCGAGAAGATTACCGACATGCTGATCGCGATCCTGAGCACGTGCTCTGAGGAGGAGCTCAAGGAGGAGACGCCGTCGTCGACGTCGCCGCACTCACCGACGACATCGACGGCCAGCGAGGACCCCAACTCGATCGAGTTCAAGCGGAGGGCGATCAAGAACAAGATCCTCGCCATTGGGCGGATGTCCCGTGTGTTCCAGGTCCTGCGAGAAGAGTCAGAAAAGGTTACGGAGCTCAAGACTGTCTCTGGCGGAAGGCTGCCTGCCGGCACGCTGATGCTGGGCGCCGAGGGCATCAAGAACGCCATCAGCTCATTTGAGGACGCGCGCAAGGTCGACCTGCAGAACGAGCGCCTGCCCCCGAGCCACGAAGAGGTGGTGAAGCACCAGGAGGAGGAGCGGGCGACGGCCCTGCAGAAGGCGGCCCAGGACGCCGAGAACGACAAGAAGGTCCAGCAGCTCGCGCGGAGGCTGAGCACGTAAGTTTCATCAAAGTGTCAAGACTGAGCTGGGATTGTGATGAACTGATCGACTTTAGGGATCGCAAACACCGATAGGCGCGAACAGCGCGTGGTGGTAGGGCGGCAGTGAGTCGGGCGGCGCTGGAGTGAATGAGCATGACGAATGTACCGGGTTGCCGGCGCGAGAGCGACGAGATATACCATGTGATGTACATTCGGCTTTTGTCTGCATCAGGGTCAGCGTGAGGATAAGGACTTTGGCTCAGGACAGGGAAGGCTAGGCCGCGCTTCGAAGGCGCGCTACATACAACGTCGTCGGACAGCCCAGCGCAGCGGGAGTCGACGTCGAGGCGTCGGACGCGAGCAATGGAGAAGCAACACTCCGTGTAGTAGGACGGCGTGAGCGATGGAGCTAATGAGACGCGAGGCATGCAAGATCGCCGGCGTTGCATAGAGCTCCGAGGCGCCGCTGACGCTGGTCCGCCCGGCATGATGACTATGACTGTTTGATTTATGCTACAAAACTACTGGTATCGTCTATATAACAAAGAGACTCCGGCTATGTTGATGGTACATGTTCGCGTGACAGTGAGCACACGCTTATGTGCTCTGAGCCATCGGCTTAGTCGCCCTGAGGACCTGGCACGGCAGCGCGCCGTAGAGCATCTTGACGCCGACCATACTGACGTCGACGTCGGTCCATTCCAGCTCCTCCTCGAGCACGGTCCTATGGTCCTTGAAGAAGCCGAACAGGTCGACGATGAGGACGGTGCCGCCGGGCCGGCAGACGCGGGCGATCTCGCGGACGGCGACGAGGCGGCCCTCGCGGCTGGCGTTGTGCAGCGCGAGGTTGGAGGTGACGAGGGAGAAGGCGCCGTCGGCGAAGGGGAAGCGCTCGGCGAAGCTGGCGGTGTGGAGGACGGTGTGGGGGACGCAGGAGAGGGAGGCGGCGTTGAGGTACGTGGCGAGGGGGGCGTTGCCGGTTTGGTCGGCGGTGCTGAAGATGTCGATGCCGTACGCGGGGGGAACAACGGCCTGGCCCGCCTCGCCGCCGGCACCGCTGCTGTTGCTGTTGGTGGTGGTGGTGGTGGTGGCGGCCGCAGCAGCGGCGAGCTTCTTCTTGCGCTGCGCAGCCTTGAGGAGGACGAGCCCGCGTCCGCAGCCTACGTCGAGGCCGGGGCCGGCGCGGAAGACGTCGTCGGGGAGGGCGTCAAGGAGGTCGTCCCAGACGCGCGACTTGCCGCGCAGGGTGGCGTAGAGGTAGAGCGGGGAGAGGACGAGCGAGGAGACCAGCCCGACGAGGGAGTCGAGGCCGTAGCTGGGCTGCTGGGGGATGGGGGGCTGCGGGGAGGAGGAGGCGGCGAGGGTGGCGATGTGGTCCTCGGGGGGAGGGGAGGTGGTGTAGATGGACATGATGGTGTTGCACTGGTGTTGCTCTTGTTGACGGACGACAGCGGGGATGAAGTAGGAGATTGATGAAATGTAGTAGAGGTTCTGGTTGGAGGACTTGGATGAAGAGGTTGAGATGGGGCTGAGCGTGGTGGTATTATGTGACTTGTGTGAGTCGGGGTGTGTCGTCGTGCGTATAAGTGCCAGAAGAGTTCGCGATGAAGTGAGCCTGTACAAGAGATACGACAACGAGATGAAGGCCGCGTTTAAATCCAGCTCATCGAGTCACAGTCCAGCTGATCCACGACGGGCAACCAATTCGAATGAACGCTTGATCACCGTTGTCGTCGACGAGCGCGCACTCCTCGCGGCCTGCAGCCCTTTCCGCCCAGCCTTTGTGAGGTCGCCTCGTCAGCCCAGGGTCGAAATTCGTCCGCCCACCGCGAGTGTCACCCCCGCAGAGACTCGTCAGGGTCCAGCTCGTCCGTGCCGTGTGCCGGCCGGCCGCGTGGGGCCCATGCGCGGCCTCATCAAGCCACGCGAGGTCAACGGACGGTTGCCGCCTGCTCTGGGTGGATGTGTCCGGGGAGGCCAGCCTGGCTTGTTTGGGAAGCACATTCGACCTTTGTCTTCAGGCTGTGGAACGGGAACGCGAGCAAATGGACTTGGCTTTACGGGACTGGGACAATAGCGTTGCGGACCCGTGTAGCAGTGGCTGTAGTGGATCAGGTTTGCGACTTTGCGTCGTAGGGCTGACGCTCGCAGCAGGTTGCTGGATTGGGATCAATGATGGAAGCGGACTGCGCGAGGTTTCACTGGGCGCGGATGGAGCAGGGAACGACACAGAAAGATTTTGCGATGCACATGGCTCGAATGGGGAATTACGATGGATGTTGTGCATGCGATTAGGTTTTTGGATTTATCCTCTGAAGAACTCCATTATCGAGGTGTTGCGCCGCAGTCCGCGGACAAGAGAACGCTGAAGAAGCGAGGACAAGACGGTCAGTAAAGCCACCTCAGAGCACCGCTGAGGCTCCAGAAGGGGCATTACACAGACTTCACGGACGTCCGTGAAGTCGGGCAGACCCGTCTGAGCGCTTGGTAATGCACTGCATGCTTTGGCTTCATCGATTTCGCCGACTGCAAGATTGTCCGTAGGCTCGAGGTCTTGGGACAAGCTGTTCACGGATATCCGTGAAGACTGTGGAGCCGATCGGCGGCGGGCTTGGTAATGTCGTCCCGCCACTGGCAGGCCGACCAGCGCCTGCGACAACAGGTGCAATTGCACCATGGTGGGCAGACACTATGGTCACGGAGTTCCGTGAAATGTGTATTCAATTTGTGAGCATCGCCTTAGAGCGACACGCGACTATGCGACCCAGTAGCCTCGACCATTTTGTATATAAGAGCTCAATGCGAACATCTATTCGAAGTAGAAGAATAAGAACAAGAACAAGTCACTCAACTCATTCAATCAACATTCTCAATCCCAACGTCCCTTTCATTAACGGTGTTCATTGTCCAAAGCAACACAATGGCAGTCGACACTCTCTCGCTGGCAGGCAAGACCGCCCTGGTCACCGGCTCAAGCAAGGAAAACGGCATCGGCGCCGCCATCGCCAGAGCCTTTGCCCGCAACGGCGCATCGGTCGCGATCCACCACGTCTCAGAAGGGTCCAAAGCCGGCGCAGAGAAGCTCGCTGCGGATATCGCCAGCGAGTTTGGCACAAAGACGACGCTCGTCCGCGGGCAGGTGGGCGACTACAGCGCCGCGCGGAGTATCGTCGAACAAGCTCTGCAGGGCCTCGGCGTCAACCACATTGACATTCTCAGTATGTGCCGAACTCTCTGTTGTGAAATTCACCATCTGTTGCAATAGGTGCTGATACCACTGTGTTTTAGTCAACAACGCTGGCGCTGGCGGTGCTGCCTCTCTTCTGGAAATCACACCAGAGCTCGTCGAGGCCGAGTTCACGACCAATACCTTTGGCCCGCATTACCTGACGCAAGCCGTTGTCGGAATCGGCAAGATGCCCTCGGGCGGCCGCATCATCAACGTGGGCTCCATCGTTTCCAAGATGGGCCTCAGCGACACCGCCATGTACGCCGCAGCCAAGGCTGCGCAGGACAGCCTCACGGCATCTTGGGCGAGCGAGGTGAGTTTCCACTTTGTTGCACAATATCTACGACAATTAATTCTAACACGATCCATCAGCTCGGTCACAGCCACGGCATCACCGTCAACTCGCTCGCGCCGGGCCCCATCCCGACAGACACCTCGCGCAAGTTCCTGAAGCAGGCCGACGGGTCGCCCACGCCGCTGCAGCTGGCCATGCAGGCGCAGACGCGGGCTGCGGACCGCCTCGGCACGGTCGAGGACATGGCCGACGCCGCGCTGCTGCTCGTGTCGGAGAAGAGCCGCTGGATCACCGCGCAGTGGATCTCGGTCAGCGGCGGCATCAACATGTAAAAGCACGGAAATCATCTGCGGCAGGGTTGTAACAACGATAGAGTGTACATGTTACCATTGGAGTTTCTCGGTTCAATAGACTAGAGGTCGCGGGCCAAAGTAGAGGATCAATTGAACTGCATCCCAGAAAACACAGGTTGCCAACTTCCCAGAGAGATAAGTAACAGGGACACATCGTAATTTACTGGCTCGGCTGCAAAGAAAACTGGATAATTCACCGGCGATAGCCAGAAGAAGCAAGGTCGTGGTGCCGTTGCGTCACAAGTCTGACAGGCGGCGCCGTCTCGCCTGATTACAAAGCCGTCTGTGCCGTGTTCACGGAGCTCCGTGAAGCACGATACAAAAGCTAACATGGCGGCGCCCCGTAGCGTGCCAATTGAGCGCTCGTTGTTAGTCTCTATGCCAACTTCTACAGCCTGACGTTGTGCATTCTGTACACAAACAGAGTATTGCTTCATCATGTACGGCGGCCAAGTCGAGCTGCCATCCGGTGGAAACCCCGGCAGCCACGCTTGTCCGATTTGCAAAAGAACATTTGCGCAGGGTGAGTTCATGAATGTCTTGGGTGAATTGCCAGTGGTGAATACTAACAGCGGCACTGTCAAGAATCCACAAGGAAGCGCCACTATTACTACTGTCGGTCAAAGAAGCCAGACACAAACGCGTCGCGAAGGCGATCCTGTGCCGCATGCATACGGGCGAAGACTCGCTGTGTCCGGTCCGCCGATGGCGTCTCCGAGTCTTGTGTTCGATGTGATGAGCGAGGCGCCGAGTGCGATCTCGTTGCATCATCGCGGCGACAGAAAGCATCTTCTCGAGTCAGCCGTGCGTCTTCGCAGAGCACTGACAGCACTGCGTCGGATTCTGATGGGCTGGCGGACCATTCGGCCCTAACCAAGCGACATGGAGGTTTCAGGAGCACTCACGACAGTGCATTCTCTAGCAAGGCCACAGGCGTCGCAAGTTCCGCGGAATGGTTAGCGGGTAGCTTCTGGGACCCCAGCTTCAGCGACTCCACTGGCCTGAGGCTCGAAAGCGCCTATGATGACAGGCAGACGATGGATATCCTGAGTCTCTTCAACGGAGCACCCGACATGTCTACATCCGACACTGCTTCCTTGACGCCATGGACATTCCAATTATCTGCACCCGTGCTGTTCGACAAGCGTCCGTTCCCCAGACCCAAACACAGTCCACTTGTATCCCTAGTGATGCGGATTCTACGATCCTACCCATCCATGATGCTTCGGAAAGCCGCTCTGCCGCCGTTTATACACCCGTTGCTATTCTCATGGGCCGAGGCAGGAATCGGGCCATCGCATAAGGTAGGCCCGCAACAACTCCCCTTGCGCGTACGAGCTTTAAATTGTCCCATATGTGAGGAGAAAAGGGTCCCGGCCGTAGTCACAGCCACGGAAGACCACGATGGCGTGGTGTAAGAAGTTTCAAGGCTGACTTTCTCGACTGATCAGGCATTGCTCAACTGCGTTGGGCTGGTTGACTTGTTCAAGTCCCGAACGGGCCCTGACAGAAACGTCGTATGGAAGCTCATCAAGCTCGAGCAAGAAAGAATATTGACCAGCGTACGCGCAACTTGTTATTAAGATGGGACAATAGCTAAAAGCCGCTAGCACACCGAATTCGACCGTTGGGAACTGCTCGCCTCCTTCCAGGCTCTACTTGTATACTGCTTGTTGCGCCTGCAAGAAGCCCCGGTCGGAAACGATGGCTTTGACTCGGGCCTCCTCACGACAGTTAATGTAAGTTCGCCATTCTGTTCATTTCGAAAGCTGTATTTGAGCAGCTGACCAACCGGTGTCCAAAGGTCGTGTTCAATGAGCTTTCCACACGAGTTGGAGGCATTCTCAAGATGAAATTGCCAGACGACCCCGACGTGACGTGGAAGGACTGGATATATAACGAATCGAGGAGACGGTAAGCATCAGACCTGAACCAAGGCAGCGTTTCCTTGCTAAGTACAGATAGGACGGTGCTTGTTTTCCAGGTCATCAACATCATGGTGGAGTGGTCTACTGCAGCTTCGGCCTATGCCACGTGCGGGCTCGTCATCATTCCCCTCGCGACCAGCGCGACTCTGTGGAATGCCAAAAACCCTGATACATGGCGGGAGGAGTTTGCGCCCCGATGCGAGGAGCGAAGCCTCATGGGGGTCTCACAAACCGGCGTGTTGACCAAACTTCTCCTGGGCGAGTCCGGGATTACCCTCCACTCGGTTGAGTGGGAAGAATGGACGGCAGAGGTGGGCGATATCGGGACACTGGTCATGATGGTGGGTGCATTGCTCTAGCGCAGGCGTAAGACTGGAGTCATTCGAACGGCCACATATATCATCCATGATGTAACATTGAAGCGAATATTTGATCGAAGCCATTTCAGATGCGCCCGCCCCGTCAGACGCAACAGGTCAGCTTCGTAGACGGGTCAAACGTGCAAGTGTTGCCATCAGCAGTGCACTGTACGCAGACCGAAGATTAGCAAATATGCCTTGTGAGAGACGTGTGCATTCAGTGCTGGGGAGTCTCCAACTGTCTTACCAACGAGAGGCAGCTCGAAGCGATTTCTTTGATCCACGTGAAATCCAGATCATGACCGCACGAAGAGCAAAGCATGTCAGCCTCCTTAGGGTCGAAACGGCACTGTTGTGAGGCGGTAACACATGTCTGCGGTATCGCGTTAGTGAGACTCGCGTCGTGTGTAGTTCCAGTGCCAATACTTACTCCAACAAGGACACCTTCTTGGGGAGATCGTGGTCGAGGGGAAGCAATGACGTGTCGGAAGGCAATCGTGAGGCACGGAAGAAGGAGCGAGTACTTCATGTTGAAATGTTGAGTTGCGGTCGGCCGGCGACTGCACTGGAGTAGACGGCTGGGCCGAGTGATTCGGCGGAATGCATGTATGTGTACGACTGGCGCGACGGACACACGCCGGACGCGCGCATCTCTAGATTTATATTTACGATACCTTGAAAAATTGTCGACTGTCTGATACTTGACCTTTACGCACAGTCCCAATCGAAACAGCACAACGCAGTTGCGTCGTGTGACACAAACCATCTTTAAGCCTGTGCCACAGGCATTGGCTTGCAGTTGAGTGCATGAGGGCGCCCCGTTGTCCTCGAACGACGCCTTGGCTCAGTGGACATATTATGTCACGAATATGGCACGAAACGTAACGAAACCCGACCCAGAAACATCTTCATGAATGATATGTAGTAAATTTCCCGTTGTGGAGAGTCAAAGGGGTCATGTGCCACTTTCTCTTCCTTTGGGGGCGACTTGTCGAGCTGTGGCAACACCAGAGACGCCGACAGAGAGCGAGGAGAGACAGCAAGTGAATAGTCGCTCATAATTAGTTGCATCTCGAGAGGCCTTCAATTAAGCGATCAGCTTGTATAAATGCGGCGTCCTCGGTATTAGGCGTGTAATGGAATGCGAGGAGCTCAAATGCAGTGATGTGGTGGCCGGAGCAATGGTACACAATCGCCGGTCACAGCCATTTCATCATAACTTACTTCATGCAAACCACAACGTCGGCGCACCGTGCTGCTGCAAACCGCCGCAGGAACCACCAGTACTGCCTCGATTTAAAAGTCACGAGCAAGGCCTGCACCGGTAGTGGACATTCCCTGGATCCATGTCAGACACGTGCGGCAAGACCCGACGTCGCAGAAATGACCCAGAACATAATTAAAGAAACCCGCATGCACCATGCTTGTTCGTCATCGTTAGACCGCGCGGCGACTCCCGGGTTTTAGCATTGCAAATGGTCAAGTCTCCAAAGGACATGGCAAAGATAGAGGCCCCCCCGGTCGCGCTCAACGCCGAAACGCGGTCCGACGGGCTGCTCGGGCGTCCGTGGAACCCGGTCTCGGCAGACGTGGAGAAAGCTCCCAGTTGATGAGCATTGACTAGGGGCGCCACTTGTTGCAAGCTGGGGGGCGTCGCCTAACTTTCTGTACCTGGCAAGCCACGCCTGGGAATAAACGGCTTGGCCGGCAGTGTCAACGGGAATCGCGGCACTTGTTGCCCGCCAAGGAAAAAGGTGCAAGCATGGAAAACCTCACCGAGGGCAGACCGCTGAGCACCAGTTAAAGACGAACGGGCACGTTGACCTTGAGTATGGCCCCAATATCAATGTCTTGCCGTCGATTACTCCAAGAGCATCCACCGGCGATTCTGATACCCCACAAGTCCTCTCGTAATGGAATCCGGTGTCTACCCACCGACTTATCGTCAGCAATGGAGACGTCAACTGTAGCGTTGACCCATCCGAAGCCCTCCGTCCCCTCGTGGTTCCCCAAATTCCCCGACTTTCACGCTGGCTGTGCCCCCACACTCCACGTTCGGACTCTGACCGGACGAGCAGCACATCCACATCCCATTATCAGAGGGCGGACGTGTTTATCCCCAGATCAATAGTAGATAGCCTAGCCTGCTCAAAGGTGCTCGCGTAAAAGGGCCGCGTCCTCCTATCTATCGTCCCCGGCCTCAACTTGTTCTCGCCTCCTGCCTCCGTGCTGTCTACACTTCCTCCAATACCTGTTTTGTACAGTGCAGTCTCGCCTACTCCGCATTGTCTGCGCCTGTCCTCACTCTTCGACGCCGCCGATCGATCAGTCATCCCGACTGCGAATGCCGTGCCGCCGCTTCGTCGCGAATGACCGTTATATCCCCAACTTGGTCAGAAAAGATACAAGATTACGCAGAGCAGCATGACCAAAGAACCTGAGCCTTCGGACTCGCTGTCCTTGCAGGCCTCTGGGTACACGGAAAAGGGTGTCACGGCTCACGTGGAGAATGAGAAGCTGGTGAAGCGATATTCCCCGCTCTCCGTCATCGCCTTTGCCTTCACGACCACAAATTCATGGGTGGCGTTCGGGTCCGGGCTGGCCGTCCCTCTTGCCTGCGGCGGCGGCCCGGGCCTGATATACGGCCTCATTGCTGCCGGCGTCGTCATGGCCGTCATTGGTGTCGGCTTCGCGGAGCTGGCCTCGGCGTTCCCCTCGGCCGGAGGCCAGTACCACATCGTGTACATGATCTTCCCGCCGCGAGTCCGTCGCAGCGCCGCCTTCGTCACCGCGTGGCTGACCATCATTTACATCATGGCTGCGCTGGCCTCGTGCAACTTCTTCGTCGCGAGCTCGATTCTCGACCTGGTCACTCTATGGCATCCGAGCTACGAGGCTGAGGCGTGGCAGACGTACCTGCTGCACATTCTGCTGTGTATCGTCGGGTTCGTCGCCACGTCGCTGTACCCTACGGCAATCGGACGGCTTGGCATCACGGTGTTCTGGCTCTCCCTGGCTGGATTCGTTGCGTCGTTGGCCACCATCCTCGCCGTCAGCGAGAAGAAGCAGCCCGGATCCGTTGTCTTCCAGGATTACCAGAACGCCAGCGGCTGGTCCGACGGTTGGGCTTTCTTCATGGCCATTACAGGCTGCTTGTGGGCTTACAGCGGCGTCGACGGCCCCACGCATCTGGCGGAGGAGGTGCACAACCCGAGTCGCAACGTTCCCATTGCCATTTTCTTGACCATTGGGCTGGGCATCATCACGGTCCTGGCGTGGAACATTGCCCTCATGTTTGTGGTCGTCGACGTTGGCGCCATCATCGAGTCCACGGTGCCCATCCTGGAGGTCTACAACCAGGCCCTGAACTCTCGTGTGGCGACGACTGTCTGGACCGTCTACTACATCGTCATGTTCTACGAGATCGTCCTCAACCTCTTCATCTTCGGCGGCCGCACGGTGTGGTCTCTGTCTCGCGATGGAGGCGTGCCTTTCTCCAAGTTTGTCTTGCATCTCAACAATGCCAGTCCAGTTCGAGCGACGGCCGTCATCCTGGCCTTGGAGATTGTTGTTGGCGTTCTCTACGTGGCGTCGACAACAGCGTACACGAGCTTCATCAACCTCACGCTGTTTGCGCTCAACATCACGGTCGTCGTCCCGCAGGCGGTGCTGCTCTTCCGCGGACGTGCTTGCCTACCTGAGAGAGCCTTTTCGCTGGGGAAGCTCGGATACCCCATAAATGCCTTGGCGACTCTCTTCTTGATGTTCTCTTCTGTAACACTGTGCTTCCCGTCGTTTGCCCACCCTACCTCATCCTCGATGAACTACCTCATTGTGGTCGCGGCGGTTGGTGTGGCCTTGATCACAGCATTTTGGTGGGGTGGACTGAGAGACCGCTTCACCGGCCCTTCCGTGCACATTAGTCGAGAGCCAGCGGACCAGGATATTTGATCACGATTGGTTAGCTTGAGAAATATAACTGTATCTACTATACTGCGGAATCGGTTCGCTAGGACTTTCGTGCCTGTCGTGCCTGTCGTTCCTCTCGTGCCT